TAATTATATTAGCTCTTTTACCTTATTCCTTATAGTTAGGGTAGTTAGCTTTAAAATACCCTTACTTTCTATAACTTAGGTAAGCCTTATTCTTAAAGTATTATTAGTAGATCTTATCCTACTTCTTTTACTATAGGGTATATTCCCTCTTAGTTTATACTTTATCCCCTATTATTATATTACTATCCTTATTCTATTTATCTCTATAGTTGCGCCTTTTTTAAGTATTAGCTTTCTAGTAATATATAGGCTTAGTTACTTTCTACTTTTCCTAGTTTTACTTATATAGGTAATTATCTATACATATAGCTAGTTCTATTAGTGCTTCTAAGTTATTAGGTTCTATATAGTATATAAGGCCGTCTTTTACTAACTCTTTTAGACTATTATAGAACGCTAATTAGAGTAGTGCATTATCCTAGTCTATTTTAGCTTAGAGTTATTTAAATAATAAGGTATACTTACCTATTAATATAGTTTATTTTAGTCTTTAGATCTATTACTTAGCCTACTTTACCTTATTAACTTTACTAAATATAATAGTTATCTATTCCTAGAATAACTTCTAATCCTTAAAGACTAGTTTAGTGTCCTTCTAATATTCCTTAATATTATCCTTATTTTCTATATAGTTATCTACTAGGGGTTATATCCACCTAGTGGCCTATCCTACTATATATATCCTAGCAGCTAGTATTTAGTCTTATTCTTTACCTATAGTAGCTTTATAAGAGCGATTATATAGCTTTATATTAGTAAGGAATAGTTTTAACTTTTCTTAGTTCCTATTAAAGAGTTCTAGGACTTTAAATATTCCCTTAATTAGGGTAGTAACTATTACCTATCCCTAAAACTATTCTATTAATTATGCTAGTTACTCTTAGAGTTATTAAATCTAATTAGCCTAGTTAGTTATAACTATAGCTACACTAGTTATAGGCCTAGAAGTAGAACTTCTAGCCACCGCCCTTAATACTTATAAGCTAGTTAGTATTACTATTACGTCTTATACCTTTAGGTAGTTAAAGTATTATAAGGGGTTTCTATATACCTAACCTAGGTTATACCTTATAGGTATTTAGTGGACAAGAGTAGATAAATAATAATAAGAGAGTAAAAGAATATCCTAACCTTACTATAGAAGGTAAGGTAATAATTATATAAAAAGACTAATAGATCTTAATATAGAAGAGGTACTCTAATTTTAACTATAGAATTTTAACTATAAAAAATAGGAAAGATTCTAAAGTCTCTTTAGACTATATACTATTCTTTATTATCTAGGAGATTCTACCTAGACTCTAAGGTCCTAGAACCTCCTAAGGTCCCTAGGGTCTCTAAGGTCCCTAGGGTCTCCTACTTATACTAGACCTTATTACGTAATAAATAATATAAGCTACCTATCTAGCTAGCCTATAGGGCTTAATCTAGCTTACCTCTATTACTAATATTCTAAGTATAATCCTCCCTACTCGCCTTACTTAGTCCTACCGTAATTATAATAGTATATTAGATAGTTATTTACTATATATAATATCTATAAGAGTTTATAATATACTAAATACTTAGTTAGTATTTAGAAGTTATCCCCCTCTATAGGTTTAATTTTATCCTTTAAACGTTCTTCCTTAATTAGAATCTAGTATTTTATTATAATTTAGAATATATATACTTTATCTACCTACTTAATTTTATTAGCTATTTAAGTCTAGGTTTAATTATCTAGTATCTCTACTACTAGAATTATATTTCTTTTAACCTACTTATTAAAGCTAGTAAACTTAGTATTTCTTAGAAACTAGATCTTCTAGTTCTTATAAACTTTATAGATTATTTTCCTATATAAGTTTTTATAGTAAAAGCATATTCCCTTAATTTACTATTTAAAGTTAGTTAATCTAATTATTTTAGCCACCTTAAGGGCTAGTCCTTCTAGCTAGAAGTACTCTATTTCTCTAATATAGATATTCTTTCTAGGAGATATAGGTACTTCTTATATAGGTAATAAGGAGAAGGGTTTCTCCCCTTAAAGAGTTAATTAGAATAGGGTATTAACTAATTTATCTAAACTACTCTTCTATTTCTTATTATCTAACTTACTATTTAAGTTACTTATATTAAAAAATCCTAGAACTTAGGTATTTTATTTCTTAAGCTATAGAATTATTTATTCTTTTTAGGTTACTACTAACTTTTTACCTATTAGCTAGTATCCTATATCTTTCTTTATTTTTATATATAATATATATATATCCTAGAAGTACTTAGCCTAATAGGTAGCCTTATATTTCTTACTACTAGCTAGTTTCTCCTTAGTATCTCTTAAAGTTTTTTATTTTTTTAGTTTCTCTTTAGTACCCTTTATAGACTTATTCTAGCTTTTACTTAGGTAGTTTCTAGCTATATAACCTTTTTTACTATAGCTAAAGTAGATATCTTTTTTATATTACTTCTTCTTTATTATATTCTAACTTAATCTCTTTTCTTTATTAGTATCTAAGACTATTAGGTCCCCTTTATTATAGGTTTTATAGTTTTAGCTATTTATACTATATCTACTTCCTTTCTTATTATCTTACTTCTATAGGAATAACTTATTATCTACTTAGATAGCTTATTTAATTATTATAGGTAGAGTTATTAGCTTCTCTATTCTAATTATTTTATACCTAATATCTAACTTTAGTCCTTTATAGAATCTTTATATTAGGGCCCTTTCTCTATAGTCTAAGACCTTATTAGCTAGCTACTTAAATACTAATATATAAGCTACTACTATCTTAGTTTATTAGAGTTTTAAAAGTTTTTATTTAGCTATATATTCTATATTAATATTACTAAAGATTAATTATAGTTTTCCCTTAAAATAAGTATAGCTTATAAAAATAAGATTAGTTTCTATTTTCTAGTTATTAACTTAGCTTATTCTCTAATTTATAAGGTAATTATTAAACTAGTCTATTACTTTTCTAGTAAAGTAGGTAGCTATATAGACTACCTTTTAGTCTTTATTTCTAAAATATTCTTAATTTAGGTCTAGGTAAAGAGATATTAAGACTAGAAATCTCCTAAGTTTAGTTTAAGTACTATTAAACTTCTTTAAATCTATAAGTTTTAGTAGTCTATTTCTTATTTAGAGTTCTATCTACTAGATTTACTCTTTTATTATATTATTAGCTCCTCCCCCTATTCCTTCTAATATAACTCTAACTTACTTAACTAATTACTTATAGGCTTCCTTAGCCCTAGTATTTTCTTTATTAAGGTAGTTAAGTTATTTCTTTATCTAGACTAGGTCTATTAGGTCTAATAATATTAGTTAGTTTACTATAGGAGCTATTATTAATACTAGTAATCTAGGTATATACCTATAGAGACTCTTAAGACATAATTATTAAAGTATAATAGGGCCTCTAGGACTATATTACTAGCTATAGCCCTATTAGGGTTCTAGTAAGAGATAAGTAGTATATAGGGTAGTATAGATTATATAGGGTATAAATATTAATTAATTACTACTATAAGAATATATTACTAAAGACTTAATAGTAATCTTCTATAAGAAAACTAGATATAGAGAACTATATTATAGATTAATAATAAAGGCTTACCCTATAGTAACCTATTATCTCTATATACTACTATCTAATAAATAGCTCTATAGGCTCTATCTATAGATTCTTATAGATCTATAGATCCTAGCTCTATAGCTCTATATTCTTAGTATCTATAGATCTATAAATCTAATTACGTAACTTCTTATATATTTATATTATACTTAGTATCTAACCTATAATCGTATTCTTCTCCTATATAATCTAATTAGTTGCTACTATTATCGACGTAAGTCCCATAATTCCGTTGCGGCGTAGTAGCCATAATAAGCTCCCATCCCACCACTATGGTCACTAAGACCATCTCGGTTAAAGCGACGACTAAGCCTGGTTGCGCCGCCATTAACGCTTAGGGCGGCACCCAAAGCTCTAGACCGGGGTGCAGTACTCAGACCTCTGCGAGGCTACTAATGGTTGCATTGCAATGCAACACTTGAGCCATGCCAGCTCGGGCATAGCGCACCTTGGAATTGACAGCACGCTGTAACCTTCCCAGGCACATAAGAACCAGCTCTACTAGCCATCGCGATGGTCGCTAGGGTTGCAGGAGTAGAAAGACTTCTCCGGGAGTACGGGAAAGAACAAGTACGCTGAGTCTTAATGTAATTAGGGCATCTGGGTCGACTTTCGTCGCATTTAATGTGGCGCGCTTTGCACTCACTGCAGCCGTTTTTGGATGTGCGGTGGGCGCGACGACGCTTCTGGAGATGGTCGGCTGGATGTAACGATTCTGGCGTCATTGTGTACAAATTGAATAGCGGCAGCAGGAGGGTAGAGGCTAAGCCGTGATGCTTGAAAATGAGACCTGAGAACGTAATTGTTTATATCGTAGGAAACAAAGGCCACAATGTACGGCAAATGCGTAACGCTGAAGATGCAGGTCGCAACGCGCGCAAACAGTCAGTGCCAGCGCACCCTGAGCGCCCCACTTAATCAGCGGAGAAAAGGCTTGGACTATGCAACTCCACGAAACCATCACGTTACGCGCCGCGCTTATGCCGTCTCATCCATCGCCCTTTCACTGTCGTTCTTGATGACCACTGTCGGTCATCAAGCCTTCGTCATTCTTTCGCGATTAGATATGAACAGTGCGAACTACTCTACTCGTGTTTGACCCATTTGTTTCGTCATTAACTCTTACAAACATGTCTGCCCAAACGCTTACACGAGCGGCTGCACTCACGCGAGTCTTGGGCCAGTCAGGCCGTCGCTACCTCGTCGAACGCATTCTTCAAGACAAACCTGGGAACCAGGGACGCGTGTATCTTGCGACGTGAGCCAGATGAACATAGACCTACAAACACTAACGTAACGGTTGTTAGGTCTGGCGACCAGAAGTACGTCTTGAAAAGTGTTGCGCCACACGACTTTAAATACTTTAAGGATATGTTCGACGACCTTCGGAGCTCACCCTACCTCCTACGTGTGTCTGACGATGCCTGCCCCGACGAATCCGTGTTCGTCTATAAATACCTTCGAGACCACCTTCTGTCTTTTGTCCAAAATGAAGTTCCGCTTCCCATAACCAAGCGAATTCTCCGAGATGCCCTGCGTGGAATCGCTACTCTGCATGGCAAAGGAATTGTTCATACCGATATCAAGGCGAACAACATCTTGATAGAATGGAAGGACCAGGATGGCGAAATGGCAGTTGAGCAAGTGCAGGTTGCGGACATTGAGGATGCGGCCTATGTACCCAAAGGTTCTGTTATTAGGGGAAGGCAAGTCGGAAACTGGATGTGGCGAAGTCCAGAGGCGCACGCATCGGCTGACGTGCACACGCCGTCAGATATGTTTTCTTTTGGTCTTGTGGTAAGTCTCTCCAATCTTCGACAGTCCCCGATCTGAAGCACTACAGTGCATCTATGCCATGACGAAACGAGTGGTACTCGCAGTAGACGAAGAAGAGATTCCAGAGGGCATCGAACTCTTGGACATTGTTCTCGAACGTCAGCTTTCTTACTTCTCTGATCTAGAGGGTATAGATGGTCTGATTCAGTACCTTGGCAACAGTCCCTGGGCTCAACTCATTGCGATGGTAGCAGCGGACTTCAATGCGGACAACCCAAGACGGCCATTTGCATTGTGGCAGGACATCGACCCTGAATTCAAGGACCTTGTCGTACGGATGATGAATGTGGACCCCACTCGGCGGCTCACAGCTAACGAGGCATTGGCACATAAGTGGTTCTCAGACGTTCCGCGATGATAGTCGAAATGGGAACTGGCAGTTTACGCTGCAATCGCCCTTTACTTTCCTGTCCCAAACATGGATTGGATACCCGTTCCCGAGTTTCCAGCCACGTCAGCAGCTCACAGATGTCCGAAAATCGACATGTGGGTTTGTATTCTCCCGAAGAGGTGTGTGTCGTGAGCTAAACGTAAACTATTTTTCGGAGGCTATCTAAGTACTAAATATCAGAGTAGAATCCTACCTTATACCACAGAGTGTCCTTTCGACCCCCTCCATAGTGTCTTCGTATTTTCGAGGTATGATTCTCACAAAACTTCCTCGAGCCATGATGAGTATACCACTATGACTACCTAGCTCGTACAAGGTTTGGCCTTGCAGCGCCTCCACATCTGCAACGACAGCCGCTCTGTGATCTATTAACTTCCTCGCCTTTTCTACTGAAAGCCATTCGATGCTGTAGATAATCTCTAATTTGTTTCGATTTGCATCTGAGGTTGGTCCTGCGGTGTGCTCAACGTGAAGCTCAAGGCACCCTGTAGTATGAAATTGTGGTTCGCGCGCAGTCCCAATACTGCTGAACTGTGGCACACCCTTTACCAGTTGTGCACGGTCGCTTGAGATGACCTTGCGGTGGGTTGTTTAAGGACTATATTACGAGGATAGTTACGTCGCATACTGCTCCGACAAGTGTATCTTAGGAACTTTATCTCCTATCGTGATAGCACTTCCTAAGCTAAGTACGGAAGACACGCCCTCTATATCCTCTAAGAAGGAAAGCGATGCTCGGCCCTTAGATAATATTAAGTGTTCCCAAGGTTTGACTGTGTCGTCCGCTAAAGAGTTAATTGCAGATGCTACCTTCTGTTTAGTTGCCTCTGCCAAAGCTAACGTGTGCAATGTTGATGCAGATAATTATAGTGTAAGCAATATACTCTTGTTCGGAAATAGATATATAGCATTTGTCTTCTTAAGAGCAGCATCTTTAAACTATCTTTAATGCGATCTTCTAGCGCTGAGTTGAGTCTCCGATCCAAATTAATGAGATTGGGCATTAATGGCAATCTCCATCCAGGATATAATTGCCTATAGTAGTAAGGCGTATGCATCTTCCTATATATTACAAGGAAGGCATTACACAGGAAGCATGCATCCTTACTAGAACAAACTACTCGTGGCGGTAGACTCGAAGCATTAAGCTTATAGTAAAAAATAAGTTGAATTTTAGCATATATCTTTACCTCTCGTAATGTTTTCTTTATTTAAATAGCGAACTGGTCGTTGAGCGTAGGACTACTCATCTTTAGGAGACGACAGAGGTAGGCTATATCTAGCCCTTAGTAGGTTCTGCTAATTCTTGCAATCGTAGATGCGAGTAGTGGAGTAAGGTGCTCACTTAAAACTTAGGCAAAAGCCTCTTTAGGTAAATTAACGTTTACAACCTTTATTCGCCGCAGTGAGGGAAATTTTCTGGCTGTGCGATATAAATATCTTACAGCCTCTTAATACCTCGACACCTTAATAACGATATTAACAAGGTTTTGCCTTGGACTTAGGCACATCGCACGATTTAGTACTAAGTCCATAAGGGCTTAAAGATCTCTAACTTGCTTTAGCCGGTAAATGCCTTCTACCAGATCCTCTAATTCCGCCCGCTTCTAGTGTCTAGTCCATAAGTCGGCTAGTCTTACAACATCCTTAGCTCTTTCTATAAATAATCGGACGGGTAGATTGCGCAACATCTACTAATTAACTTGCTTGAGGGAATTAATAGCTTCGCTTAGGACAACTCTAAGGGGTCGTTAAGGGGTTCCCCTATTCCTAGCCAAGAATCTCAGACGCCTGAGGATGCGTTGAGAATACATAGAAATAATTGCAGTAAGTACATGATGTTCTATAGCTTAGTTTCTGTCTTGTTCTTAAAATGGTCATTAATGGTAGGTACAAAGAAGCTTGCTCAGCATACCTTCTAATACCTCTGACAGAATCGTGAAGATTGTCTCGAGGCCCTGCTTCAATTTTTGAAGCTCGTCATAGCCATCTCCCCACTTGGTCCTGTTCACGGCGAGCATGACATTCAGCGATGCCGACTTGGGGTTCTCTTCGACGCAGAGCGCTGGCACGTGGTTACGAGTAGATGTGGAGGTCTGACTAGCGCGGCAATGTCGTGTAACAAGCTTGCATTGACTTCCAAATTGTGCCCTGACCTATCAACAGAAGGGACAGTCACTTTGAGGCAAACAAGTAGCATCTTTGACAGCCGCTTCATTTCCGAAGCCAACAATAAAAACTGAGCCTGACAGTCCCCCGCAAGCGGCGCTGAGCCACTTCAATCTCTTCTCACACCCGCTTGCGTATACCGAGTCGGATGTCAATCGCTCGTGAACTCGGTTATCCCTTGTTACAACTTTGGCATTGAACCTGAAGCGGTCCATGCCGCAATTTGAACAGCATGCTCGGCAGTATTCGCACAAGGGGTTCTTGATGTAGCTCTGCAACAGGTCCCTCGCAAAAGCGAGATTCTCAGATATGGTATTCTTGAAGCATTCTGCAGTGTCGGTGTCCTTAAGCATACTTGAATATATTTTCTTACTGCGATGCAAGCAGTTTCCCCTAGTCCGAGGAACGAAACGGGTTTCGGACACGCGACTAATTCACTCATCGTAAATCCACGAAAATGGAATAGGCGACGAACGATAGAGGTCATGTAATCCCATATCTAAGTTCAGTCTCAAGTGTGTTTGTAGTAGAACATGTAAATCGCGGTAATCAAGAGCTTACTTGCTACCAGTGCCGGTATCGTGTCTCAGCAGTCGCTGCACGTCGTCACCCATGCACACAACATCTCAATCATCAGTAGCAGGCTGCTGAGCTATATACGATAAATATTATCAGGAGGTATTCTGGGATTGAGGTCTGCTAGGCTTGTAGACTACTGGATTTATACGAATAGACCTATGGTTTGTATTGAGAATTTACTCTATACATTCTAGATGTTCTTTCCAGAACCAATGACCGTATTTGGAGGATCAGATGATCACCAGAGCAGAACAGCTAGAAGGAACTCCTCAACGTCCCCAAGAGCTGGCCCAACTCATCACGAGTATGGCGGAATGCTCTCGTTGGTCCTTGATAGTCCTTGCTATATGCTCGCGCAAGCAAATCTAGATAGCCGGGATGAGGATCCCAATATACAGCGATGAATCCACCTTCATTCTCATTCCAAGATTTTTCGGGCTGGTCGATGATGAAAATGGCTCGGTTCCATTGGTCATGGCCGCGCAGTTCCGGGACGTGAAAGTCATTGTCTCCAGAAGCCTCTCTCGCGGCGACCTCCGCGAAAATATGGGCTTTGCACTTAGTGATTCTCTCCTCTTCAGACGCGTAGGCAGCAAATGGCATGCCCCAGACATCGATGCGATCAGGCTGGGAGCGACCACCTACTTCACGCTCTTCGCGCGTCTCCTTGTGCACCTTCTCGGCCAAGGCCTTGAGATGGTCCGGATCGGCAGCTTGGGGCGTTGTATCATAGATTTAGAGGGACCATTGGGGGCGTTCGTTTGCGATGTCAAAGTCTGAGGCCGACCATCCCGGGGGAACTTGCACAATCTCTTCGCGCACCCAGGCGGTATAACAGGGTGTGCTATCGTGGCTTGGGACTTCCTCGACGAGATATTGCTCACAGATTTTGATTGGTGGTAGGCCGCCTGTCGATAGTCTTCTCTCTGGGTCGTGAGACATGAGTGTTTACGAAGTGTGAGCGCGCACGCGCGCTCCACATTTTCAGGTCCAGGAATGGACTAACCTCCGATGACCTCTAGCATCATTTTGGCCTAGCGCGACGGACATAACTTCACACCTAAGACCTGTCCATTGCCATTCTTCAACCCGAATATTCGCACCTAGGAGACACTCGCATGGGCTTCATGCTATGTTGCAATGGGCCAAACGCTGCGACGGTCGTGTGCCGCATGCGCCAAGTCAAAGCTCGGTTGTGATTTGCGGTTGCCGCGGTGTTCGCGCTGCGAAAAGCGCAAAGCCATATGCGTGTACGCGAACGAACCCTTGACAGGGCCACCGGCTGCTCCAAAGTGGCATCATGATACGACGACACCGTCACCTGAGGCATCCTCGGGAACATTGACACACTACCGGCCTGGATCTCTGGATATGGACCCCTTTGATTCATACCCGCAGACCCGGCTTCCCCGGGAACAAATTCAGCGACTCATTCATACCTGTACGTGAGCCATCATCACGCAATGTGTCAGGGCTTAACTAAACAGTCTAGTCCTGCACAAAATCGCCTTTCAGTATTACCCTCTAGACCTTAGCGCAACTTCGAATCCATTTCTAGTTTCTTGGTGGTGAGTTCACCCAACACACACGAGTCCCAAGGCCTCTGTCCATCGTTCGCTTGCTTACCGGGCAGGCCAATCGCGCTGGGGGATCCAGCGTTATTTCACGTCTCGCTTCAGACGGCATGTCTCGACGAGGAGCTGTGGGCTCAGAAGGGCTTCCAAACATCGGAACTACTGATGGCTGACTCTGTCGCGCTGCTTCGCCGGAAGGTCGAAGACACATCACTCGCCGTCCAAGACGGTACCATGAATTCTGTGATCACCCTTGCGGCGATTGAAGTGAGCTTCTCTTACACTAGCCTACGCTCCGAGCATATTAGGATAACGCTGATGCCATGAAACTTTAGTTCGGCAAGGGTAACCTGGAAGTCAGTGAGATGCACGTTGACGGCGTTAAAAGACTTGTCGATCTCAGGGGTGGCATCAACGCCGTGAGACAAACAAGTCCTCTCACAGCGAGGATGGTGAGCTGGTGAGAATATTTCTCCGTTTGTCAAGATCAAGCTCATACATGAATAGGGTTTCAATGCTTATCATGCGACAGCCACAGTTCGAAGCGCAAGATGACTTTGGTACAGGAAGTGGCATTCCGCCTATATCCGAGTGGCAATTGGACCCATTTGCCACCCCCGAGGATGCATGGTACCTCTGCGAAAGCAATTGCGATATAACCACCAGAAATGTCTTTAAACGTCTACAAAATGTCTTCCAACAAGCAAACAACTCATCATTACCGCCCACACGTCTCCATGACTTGGCAAGTTTTGTCATCCATCGCCTCCTCTCCGCATCTGCAGCTCCGCAGACAAATCTACCAGCGTCATCTTCCGAATGCATTCGTTATGCGCTGATTTTATATATGTTCATCGTTCAAGGACCGACATATTACACTCACGCCGTTATACTACAAGATATTGTCGATCGATATACTGTTCATCTCGAGCAGATCGAATCGGACTTCCGCGTTTACGATGCGATAGACGTGTGGCTGCATGCAATTGGCCTCGTTGCTGCAGCTGGAACAACCAGCTACCAGTGGTTCACCAGTCGAACCGGAACGATTACTGCTTCGATGGCATTGACCGGGTGGGAAGATGTGTTCGCACGGATCAAGAGCGTGCTCTGGTTGAATATCCCGCACGGCGAATGCATGTTCCGCCCGCATTGGGACGAGGCCTTCCAGATACCAGAATGGGTGGAGGTGGAAGACCTAGATTAATGCCCGAATGAGATTCTTATCTCCTGAAGGTACGATCATCGTATGTGTTGGAACGTACGGCGTTACAAAAATCTTATCAAGTCTGGGGCGATTGAACGCGCGAAGTGTCGAAGCGCTGGAGCAGACTCTCGATAATCAAAGACGATCGTATCCCTGAACATGGATCGTCTATGGTTCGGCGACCTTTATTTTGAAGACACCTGCAGCCCAAATCTGTGGAACAACCACGCTGTTCCGAGGTGTTCATATGCACGCATGCCAGAAATCTAATTGCGTAGGGCAGGGCCTGGGAGCTTACCGCATGGCGATGAACACCACGTTAACGCAAGGTCTGCTTCGGCCTCGCAGTTCAACAGATCTTGATCAGGTACTACAATGAGAGGATCGCTCGCGATATCTCGAGAGTTACTACTGGAATCAGTTGTACGGTGGAATATTCCGTAGAGCGTATGACACCACCCACCCCTATGTTGCGCCGAATGCAGACCTTGTGCGTAATGAGCGTACGGCTTTGCCCCATAACATGAGGCTCTGGGCATGAGCTCAGTTGAGTGGGACTGGGGTGGGATCTGCATGACGACCGATGGCCTGGCAATGATAGCCGTCCCTCAGCCATTTGGGACGAGTGCACACGCGATAACTCTTTGGAATGACAAGGCCTTGGATGAAGACTACTGGGATGAGAACGATTGGGGCGACAGTAAATGGGACAATGAAGACCATCATCAAGGCCCTCACCGCCATCGCAGAGGTCGCCTTCCCGGCTACTATAGGAACCTTACCAAGTTGACAGACGACTTCCACCCACCAAGAGGCTTCGAAGTACCTGTCCCGCTTGATACTCCAAGGCCTGTAACACTGCCCAGTAACGCCTATCCGTACGCTGCGCCTCCATTCTTTAAAATCGATTTTCAAAGCCGACTGGGGCTGGCAGACAGAGTCGCGAATATGGACGCAAAAAAGGATGAGTTCGGCTTCACGATAACAGTGTATTCATATAAACATCTGTAATAAACTGTGTTCCAATTCCATCCATTGACGATTAGCACCAAGTGACTACTGCTTCTTCAGCCAAATCAACTTGCTCAGATAATCCGCCCTATCCCACTGAATATTGATGCCACCGTTCATATACGTCGCCCCAGTATACGTCCCATTATCGAGGTCATTGAAGTACCTCGCTTTCGGGTCCAAGCCTTGCAACTTGACCGCCGGCGCAGCAGGCTTCACAGTGTACTTCTGCTGGAAAGCAAACACGATACTCTCGCTCCCGTCCTCGGATACGAACTGCGTCGCAGGCCAAGGCGTGGTGTCGGGAAGCGCAAGGCGGTAGAACGTGCCGGAGATGACGATCGGATTGACCTTCTTCGCGTCCGCCATGATGGATGGGAGGGCGGCGGCTTCGTGCTCGGTGAGCTCCTCGGGGTTGAGTTCGAGCCCGAAGGAGCCGCATTGCATGGCTACATGGCCGCGGAACTCGATGGAGATGTTGCGCTGGTTGAAGCCATTGGGTGCTTTTGAGATGTGGCAGCCCATTGCAGAAGGCGGATAAATTAGGGATGTGCCGAGCTGGATCGTGAGTCGATCCGATGCGTCGGTATTATCTATAAGATGTGAGTTCTAGGTTTGTCGCATGCAGCAAGAGCTGACTTACCAGAAGTCCAATGCTGCGGCCAGTAGTGAAGCAGTCCAGCGTCGAAGCGTCCGCCACCAGAGGCGCAACCTTCCCATAGGACATCAGGATAACGCGTTGTCAAGTTATCGATGACGCGGTAAAGGCCGAGCATGTAATTATATGAGTCTGATGGGTGAGACAGCTCGTGCATCCCGCGGTTATTGTCCCATTTGACATACTGAATGTTGGCTGAATCTAAGATGCCCGAGACTGTGTTGATGATAAAGTCTTGGACTTCTGGCAGGCCTACATTGAGCACCATCTGGTTCCTAGTGAGAGTCCTCGCATGCTTGCCTGCGTGCAGAACCCAATCTGGATGCTCGTTGTAGAGCGTCGAATTAAGGTCGACCATTTCTGGTTCGACCCAGATACCGAATTGAAGAGGTTCCGTGGAGTTCAGAACGGTGAAGTTGTTGACTTGCGCCACGTAGGGGCCGAGGCCGTTGGGGAAATACTCTGGGTTTGGAGTCCAGTCTCCGAGTCCCAATGAGTCGTTTTGGCGTGGGTATTGGACGCCGAACCAGCCATCGTCGTTCACAAAGAGTTGGACACCCAGCTTCTCCGATTCTCCCGCCAACCTGACTAGTGAAGTCTGGTTGATGTCGAAGCCAAGACCTTCCCACGAGTTAAGCAGGATGGGCCGTGTCATGTGAGTTTGCTTCGCTCGCGACAGGTGGCTCTTATACAAGTCGTGGAAAGACCGGGACATGCCGTTCACGCCATCTGCAGAATACACGGCCACTGCTTCCGGAGACTGGAAAGACTCTCCAGGCTTCACCTTGATGCTCGAATGCAGAGAGTTTAGCCCAAACAGAACGCGCACAAAGCCATTCGAGAACCTCTCGGCGGTTGCTTCGAAGCTTCCGCTCCATACCAGGTTGAAGCCCCATGCCTCACCGGAAGTCTCGGTTGTAGTAGGAGATACTAGCGCAAAGAAGGGGTTGTGGAGATGTGAGCTAAAGCCTTCAGTGCTTCGGAACGTAGTCTCGCCGTAATCGATCTTTCTCTTTACTCTGTTGAACTCGTGCGACCAGTCACCTTGGACCTCGATCATGTCCAAATCCAAGTTGGGGAAGTCGGTGCTGAAGCTGGCTGCTCTTTCAATTGAGATATTCCCGGTCCCATTATTGGTAACGCTGAAACTTCTCGCAATAGCATTGTATTTGGGAAATATCGAGTAGGAAAGCACGGCGGAAACATCCGATACGTTGTCATACAGGTGTACCTGAAGTGTCGAGACGTCGCTATTATTACCGTACGTGGCAGGCAAACCCGGTAGCTCTGGTTTACCTTGGGTTACCTTGTGTGATTGATAGAGCAGAGCGGTTACGGTGTCCCCGTCAGGGTGCTCGATGTGGATTGCAGGAAGCCGTGGATCACTTCGGCCGACATCGGGGAACTCTCTCCGGAAATTTGCCAAGTTGTCGTGCCAACCCCATCCCAGCACAAAGGCTGCTGGCGTGAAGTCATCTACCGGCGCTCCAAAATGATCTGAGATGAGTTCACCAGACTCTGTGTCGACGTGGAAAAGGTACGACACATTGTCTCCGGCCAACGTGAAATTGGTGCCGCCATTGTCCGATATAGCTGTGCGTCACGTCAATCGAGGAAACGAATATCAAATGGTACAAGAAATAATCACCTTGACTAACAGACACCGTGGCGAGCAATGCCGACAGAAAGACTGCGCGAACAACACCCATGGTGAGCCGTGACCGAGGGATGAAGCATCGTGGGCAAAGGCCACCGTGCCGCGCCTATATGTCGTGAAAAACTGCACGCGGAGCTACAGCACGGAACGAAGCCGATCGTGAGGGGTACACGGGGTACAAGCCCAAAGCTCCACAGCCTGTGGGGAAGCTGCATAAAGTTTGACAGCCAAGGCCGCGGCCGTTGACGATGTTCGTGGACCTCCAGGCGGAAGAACTCACTCCGATCTCTCCTTCTTTATGGGGTTAGAGCATTGCCGCATCGAGCCGTGACAATTCCCCGAGCCTCCCCGCCTCCCCGTTCCCTTTCGGCGCTTTTATCACGTGCTGTTGGGCAGCGTTCCTACATGTTGTGATTGACTTGAGTTGTTGTTGAGCGGCGATGCCTAGGACGGAACCGTGGTACGCGAAGGGGCTGCGGGAAGCGCCGTAAACCTCTGCATTGCCTATCCCACTTCCATCTTCATCCTCCACACCCTTGTCCACATGCCATAGTACGCGCCGCCCTCGCCGATGTGCTTGCGCCGCTAATCTTGGCCGGCGGACCGCACTTCCGTTCCAAGGTGCATCTCCACTAACTCTCTTTGTTGGGCTTATGCAGACTTCAAGAGGCAGAAAAGGAACGGGAATGGCTGAGGTAAATGAAAGTTCGGGAAATGGACTTGAACGGAATTCGTAGACGGATGATAAGTGACAAAGATTGCATCAAGTTACGCAGTGTACTAATGAAGCAAGTACAAATTCCGTCTGTACAGACATCCACGCCGCTCGACCCCGCTAATAAGAACAAATTACCCTTCAATGCAAACATAGAAGTGTATCAGAACAGCAATCTCAACATCAAGCAACCTCAGCAGTCTGCACAGCATGCTGATATCTTAACGGCAACTGCGGCGCCGGCACCGGCACAGGAACCTCATTGACGCTCCCAGGCTCGACATAATCTTTATGCCCGTTAACCCTCAGCCTCAGCTTCCTGCTCTCGGCATAGACAACCCTCCTCATCCGATTCGTACTGCCCAGCGGCCGATGCACCTTAAGTCCATGCCAACTATTCACCGTGATACGATCATCCCACCACACGCGGAATTCAGGCAGCCAGCTATCCTGCGGGGGGAACTCCAGCGTAGCGATCTGCTCGAAGGGGTATTTCGTCGCGTCCCATTCGATGCCGATATCGTCTACTGGCTGCTCGGCTAGGTCTTGGAGGAGCTGCGCGCAGAAGGAGTAGGTTGTTTTGTGCTTCATGTGGAAGGTGCGCAGCTCTTGGGAGATGATGTTGATGGGGTCGGAGGATTGGATCTCGGTGGATTCGAGGTTTTTTTGTACCTCGCTGAGAGGGAAGACCCCGAATTTGGCTACGTAGGAGCCGAAGCGGTAGGCGGATTGGGAGTACTCTGGCATGGCGACCACTGGGTGGGTTAATTACTGGCACAAATGCTGGCTGTGTAATCGTGCACTCACTGTGTTGCTTCGGCAGTTGGCTTCCAAGGGTGGCAACATCAGCGTCTACACGCTTTGACTGCTCGTCTGCAAAAGTAGGGAGGTCGTTCCAGTTCCGCTCGAGCGAATCGGCAATGTCGTATGTGGTCTCTGGATCGCGGAGCTCGAGTATGGGATAGTTGTTGAACGTCCAATCCTGCGTCTTCTTGTCCTCTCCCCATATCTTCTCGCCTTCTACACCGAAGATCTTCATCCCGATGCCTCTTGGGGCGGGTATGTTATCGGGAACGATCTTCGGTGTGAGAGAAGAATAGCGCATGATCACATCGTACGACCCGGGCTTAGCGAACATGCCCTGGGCAAGATGAGGAGACAGATTATCGTGCACGATGACTAAGGTTGGATATCAGCAACTAGAAGGATAGCCTCATATCGTCTCAAGCTCTCACTAGCAGCAGCTTAGTACAACCTCCAAGTTCGCCCGGGAGAACGCTAGACCCACCATTTGCCCATAACACAACCTTGCGTCTTCAGATGAGTACCCCGTAGACAATGCATATGCCTAGACACGCAGATTAGAAGTCAGTTAGTTCAGAAAAGTTGGGATAGTACAAAGTGTTTATGTCGAGACATATCGACTTCGTACCCGGGCAATACTTGCTCATTGAAATTCATCATCTGAAAGCGATTAAACTGCTCAGACACAGCCTGAATCTTCTCCTCTTCCCCCGGCTGTATCTTCTCCACGCCCTCCGCATCCCAGCGGATATATGTCCCTGGCGCAGGCTTGTCTTTCCCTCCAGCCTTCACGGTTCCGTTCGCGAGCTTGCCATTGTGGATGTTCTCGATGCGGTGGTGGCTCGCTGGACAGGTCGCGGCTTTGGGTCCGTTCATCTTGGAGACTGGAGGTTTAGGATGGGCGTATCGACTATCGATACCTATGGTAAGTTCAAGATGTGTATGTGTTGCTGTGGCTTGTTCCGCTTTATGTACGGCTACGCGATGTGAGACACCCCGCATACTGTTAGCTTCCGCGTCACCGAGAGGTTGCTGTCCGCCACACGGATGTCGCTTCCGTGAAGTAGCATGCGGGGTAGGTGTAGACAATTCCATTTTCTGGACGTGGACCCTGGAGCTAGAGATAGATCCCGCGATCTCGTTGACGCACGATGGTCTAGCGCTGGAGGACCACCAATGGCAATATAGCGGATAGTTCAGCCATCTCGGGTATTGCGACGTATGATGCCTGGATGCTTGCGAGTGGCCGATCTGATTTTAAGTGATGTGCATTCTGGAGAATAGATGTGAATATGCTAATAGTGGTTCTGAACCGATACTTTCCAATAGTTGGAAGTTGTCCTAGGATCCTACATCTTGAGCACAACCTTACCAACATGGCTCCCCGACTCCAGGTATTTGAACGCCGCTTTCGCATCATCAAACTTGAATACCTTGTCAACAAGCGGTTTCAAGTCGACTTTCTTCTCGTCGAGAAACCTGCTCACGGCTTCTAAATCGGCCCTCGAACCCGCCAAGATGCCTCTGTATAGTGAATCAGCAAAGCGCACTCACAAATACAACGGGTATCTCACTTAAGCGTCGCCGCCTTCGCAATAAGCCCCATCAACACACTTGGATCCCACTTCGCCTCGAAGCCCTCCAGAAACCCGATTAGCGCAATGCTGCCCCCGTACTTGCGCAGCATCTTCAAGTCGTCTGGAACAGACGAAAGGCCGACGTTGTTCAGGACGTAATCGACGCCCTTGCCGTCTGTGAGACGCAGGACTTCCGCCGCTATGTCCGAAGTGGTCTTGTAGTTGACGCCCAGAACAGCCGGGCTGATCTTCTTGAGGCGCTCGAGTTTCTCGTCTGAAGAGGATGTGATGATGGGCGTGATGCCCGCTGCAAGGCATACCAGGAGCGACATTATGCTCACGCCGCCGGTGCCCTGGAGGAGTGCTGTCGCGCCCTTGGGTACGTTGCGGAGCTCGTTGAGAGAGACCCAGGCTGTGATTCCCACGCCTATTATCGTTGCGGCCTGTGAAGTTCACATTAGCATTCTCGTCTACCCGATTACCACCAACTACCCTCTCAAGTCCCGGAGTCCGATGGAAGACAACGTACCTCCTCCCAACTCAAATGCCCAGGTAGCTTAACCAGATGCCTCTCCTCAAAAACCGCCCACTCCCTCAACACACCCGGCGTGTCTCCCCCGAGCGCACACACCTCCGCGTCGCGCTCCTCCCCAGTTAGGAAGTTCAGATTCACGCTTGGTGCGACCCGGTCTCCGATGCGAAACTTCGTGACAGAGGACCCGAGGGCGACGACCTCGGCGGCGCAGCAAGAGCCTTCAACTTCGGCGTCGTTGACGGGGATGGGGTATCTAGCGTGGATCAGGGATGTGTTGCGGAAGAGGGAGGGATGTAGGGGAGAATGGGAGAGGGAATGGAGGGAGAACGTACTTTCCCTCATGCAACATGGCGACGTCGCGGTAGTTCAGGGACGCAGCGTGGATGCGTAGGACGACATCGTGAGCGCCCAGAGTTTCTGGGAGGGACTCGGTGGTGTATTCGAGAGTGAGAGGGTAGGGTTTTGCGGAGCGGCGGAGGGCGCGGTAGGTTTTTGGGTAGGCCATTGTGAGAGAGTAACTCGATTAAAGGGACGATGTTTGGTATGTCTTCTGCTGGAGGGTTGGGGGTTGCTGTATTTGTACTTGTGTTTCAGAGCAAAAAACTGGCGTGGCTCGACTCTTATGCTTGCGCTATCGGACAAATTGTTTCGCTCGACAGACACATTGCATGCTATAGGTAAGCAAGTAGATGGAACTCCTACGGCATGATTTGCGACTGGTATGGTCGTTGCATCCAAGCAAGTACGATCTCGTAAGTAAAAGGGTGGAATTCCACCCTCGCTTATCGTGCACATGATTATAGGATTTTATACGAGCAGCTGACAAAGGCTTATTCTAACGGTATGCCTCTCGTCTCTGCACATTGTTCTGCGCAATGCAGAGGTCGTACGTGGGAATATGGATGTCAGAAGACGTCAGAATCCAACGTCAGAAGCGAACGTCAGGCTAGTGCATCCCTACACCTACATTCGACAAGCATAATTACTAGGTACAACATCTACATTTTCGTCTACATTTTATTCACATCATCTACATCATCATCTACATCATCATCTACACTAAAACTACAACAATGCTTTTACTCATCACTCATCACTCATTACCCTCCACCCCCCGTCCTTACTCTAAGAGCTCCCAATCCCCGTTCCCACCGGACAATCCGGCACGTTCTCCTGCCATGCGACCTTCGCGTAAGCGGGTAGATAACTATTCGTCGTAAACTCTTTGGGCAGGTAGTAGCTCACGTCGCTCAGGCTGTAATTTCCTCCGACGTCAGCCCCATTCAGCGCACTAACGATGTAGCTCGCGATGAAGTCGAGGAAGACTAGATCTACGGTTTCGGGGAGGGAGCCGTCGGTAGGGAAGGAAGCGTTGGCCTGGAGATCGTTGGGCTGCGAGTAGCGGGGGATAGCCTTGTGGATGGTATCGTCGCCGTCGGTGCCGAAGTCGTCCTTGGTGGTGTACCCTGGCGAGGGGTCGGCTGCCTGGCGGCGGATGATGCGGGCGTTTGAGCGTTTGGCCATGCCAGAGGCGTGGGTGAGCGGGGGGTCAATGCAGATGTCGCGGTCGGCAAGGACGGGGGCGAAGTTGAAGTCTGCGGTGGAAAGGTCGCGCTTCTTCTGGAAGGCACCAGCATTCAGGATGCCGAGGACTTTAGAGGCCTGGCTGTAGGGAACGTCAGGGATGAATTGGAAGGCGTCGTCGAAGGGTGAGACGATAAAAGAATCGTCGTAGGTGAAGGGGCCCTTGGCTAGGTCGAAGCGCACGCTGCCGGTGTTGATGATGATGAGACGGGGTGTGTCTTTCCTTGTCTCGTTGATCACAACGGTGGAGAGCGCCGTCTGGAGAAGTCCGAACAGGTTGCCATCCGCCAGGAACGGCTTGCACGTCTGGCAGTAGGACTGCGGTGCACAGCCGTATAAGCTCGTAAGGTTGAGCGACTGGCGGTATGATGTGATTTCATTGGTGGTGTTCTTGCCTTTAGCAGTGTCGAAGGTGGTATACTTCTGACTACCCTCAGCATGGTAGGCAAACGTAAGGCGGTTCCAGTCAAGGTATCGCCGGGCCACGAGGAGATCAGAAGTGCCGTTTGAGCTGGAAGCGCCGCTGCTCGTGGCGTTGGCCTTGGGAGGAATGGGCTTGCGTGTGGGGTTTGGAACTCCGCTGGGAGCCATAGTTCCGTAGCCGGAAGACTCGATACCGGACAATGCAAGCCAGCCCAGCGTCTCGCAGTAGCGACCAGATTCAAGTCCGGTAGCCTTGGTGTCATAGACTGCAAAGTCTCGGATGTGGGAATGACCGCCAAAGGCTTGGATGGGGGTATCTGGATGCACCTTGCGAATAGCATCGACCACCTTCCCAATGGTGCTGCTGGTGTCGTTTCTCCTGACCGGGTTGTGACCTGAATCGACAGAGTCAGTATGGCATCCACAATATCGAATAATTCCTTACCTGTAACAACGAACAAGTCGATAGGCTCAGTGTAATTCACAGCATCAAGGAACCACTGCTGCTGCACGAGCTCAGCAGCCTACAAGTTCCCATTCAGTCAGCAAAGCATATACCAAATGCACCCAGAAAAGACTTACCTTGATGACCTTCGACACGTTCGAGTTCCCCGTGAAGTCAAACAGCACACCGAACGCCATAATTCTCAGTCCCTGCTCCGTCGTGAAGTACCGGTACTTCTTCCCAATGTACTCCCACTGGCCCGTCGCAGGATTGCTGATCTGCACATTGCTCGTAAGATACTTGTCACCGTAAACCTTTGAGAAATTGGTGAAGGTCTCGTAGGCAATCTCCGTGACGTAGAGCTCGTGATTTCCGATGGTCAGAAGATCATAGTCGATGTTCTCAAAGATGGCATTCGACACGTTCCCATTCGGCTTGGTAGCGTCGCTCAGCCCAGCGCCATCGTGCAAATCACCCGTGTCAACAAGCAAAAGGTCCACGCCCAGATGCTTCGCCTTCTGCTTCATCCCCTTCGTAAAGCTCACAAAGTCGCCCCAATCCGCACCATAGTTCTGTTCTTTGATGTGACCTTCGAGCCAGCTACCAAATCTGCGTCAGCATACCGCATTGAGGGTATAAAATTGATGAGAGGCGCACCCATGCGTATCCGTCGTATGCAAGAAGTTAATCTGGCCCCATTCCAACGGCGCCTTCGGTCCGGAAGTTGCGTTCTGCGCATCAGGCTGCATGCGCCGAACGTGGCGCGTGAGGACGACATCGTGCTCGGGCTCGCCGTAGCAGCTATCGCAGGCCAGCACCGCACGGGTAGCAATGGCCGCGGTGATGATTCTGGAGAGCATCTTGAAGGCGGGCAATGGCAGATGCACGACGCGGTAGGAGGAAGGGTCCAGCAACCCGGGTTCTCGAGCTTATAAGTAGGCTGGGGCCCTGGCGCCACCCGGGCTGGTGGAAAGCGCATGCAGGAACGACTGGTATGCATGGGGTGTCCTAGAGCAGCGATAAGCTCGCGCAAGCATTGCAAGCATTGTCTGCTCCCCGGCGCGGCAACTTGGAAAGCTTAGTCTTGTACGCGTTGTACGAGGAGGACCTGCTTCGTTTGTGTTAGCGCGCGGACCCACGTGCCCGCGTATCTTGATGAGAGGAGAGCGGACGGGGCCGCCACTTATTTCCGGCATCATACAATTTCTTGCCTCCACGGAGGAGACGCTCTGGTTTCCTCACTGTGGAGATGAAGTCGTCACTGCGATGGAAGCAGCTTACATGTTCTGATTCACGTTGCTGTGCGGGCCACGTTCCTCCACAGTTGGAGTAGAGTACATCAGCCGGCTATGTACCGCGTCGACCAGTCCCTTGTGCCCAGCTAAAGAATCCAGTGAAACAAATCACAATTACACAACCCTCTCAATTAACACCGTCGCTATGCCCTCAAAACGCCTTGTACCAGCATCCCATAGAACGTAGAACGCCCTCAATGCAACCCACGTCTCACGCAGCGGGCAAATGCACATCTTCACGCACCCGCAACATCGCTAACCCTCAACCACCTCTCCTCCATCGCCAACACAGCAAGTTCCTTCATGCTCCCCAGACTGTCCGTCTTCGCCAGCGCAAAGGGCTCTAAAAGCTCTGCAACCCTTTCCAACACCTTGTACAGCTTCAGCGCTTTCCTTACTACTTTGCTCTTCTCTTCGCTGCTAGCTTCCACGTTGCGTATGACCTGCGTGCTGGATAGGTTGGATGGCTCGTTGCCATCTAGATGCGCGAGGAGCTTGTGTAGGATGAAGTGCGCCCAGACGAGGTTCGTTTTGGGATGGAAAGAGCGCCAGATGTCGGGGGGGTGGGTCGCAGGGCGTTTTGATGGTTTGTTTCCGGGGGGGGAGGTGCGCGGTGATGATGGGTCGGGGTCGTCGAAGCGGATGTGCTGCGGCGTCTTTCGTGGAGAGGGACGGAGCTGATCGGGGTCGAGGCCGCTTTTTGTCGAAGGCTCCGACTTGAGAGGGTCGTTGTAGAGGACGGCGCCGCGCATGTAGCGGTAGATTTCGTATTGGTATTCTTGCGAGGCGTCGCCGGTGAAGAGACCCATGTCTTTGTCGAGGTCGAGGTAGGCGACGCCTAAAGGTGTGGATGGGTCACAAGGGGAAGATGGCGAGGCTGAAGAAACATCCGTAATCGATGACGAGCGTCGAGATGCAGACGAGGAGACGTCCGCTCGTGAAAGAGTGTAGTCGATGACTGTAGTCTCGAGCCCAGTGAAGCCGAGCTTTCGTGTTAGTGGACCCTTGACGATGGGATTCATAAGGTCTTCGTTCGCTTCCGTCCGCGATGATCTTATGCAGATATTCTCCAGATGCAAATCGCGATGCTCGAAGCGGCATGCCTCCTCAGCTTTTGCGACGCTCAAACACACGCCCCAGAAAACATCCCATATCTCCCATACGGTGCTCAACCCACCCTTATCCATGACCTTCTCGACATCTGTGCCAGCGTCTTGCATCTCGATGACGGCCCAAAGCTGGGTATCGTCGTAACTCGCCTTCTTGCTTGGATCCGGAAACTCGCTCTTCTTCCCTCGCGGCCTCGCTTTGTTCCATGCCTTCCATGCGTCGGTAAAGGCTTTTGAAGGGCGCCCTTGAAGCACAGTAAGCTCGCGGAAGATGGTAAAACCTGGGATGTAGTTGAGGTTCTGGAGGAGCTTGACCTCCGAATGCACATCGTCAACATGCGACTTCCACGAATCGTCTTCTTCTCGCGCATCCCTTTCCATTTGAGCTTGGACGTCTGGATTTCGGGATGCTCGCGATTGTAAGCTGTTTCTGAGGGGCGCATTAGGAGCACTTTTCAATGGCACAAGTTTCAAGACCGATTCCCTGAGCGATCTACATGCCGTGTTTGTGGCTGACAGTCGATATACTTCCGAGAAGGAAGCTTCAGCGATCTTGCTAACGGTGAAATGCGGTTCAATCGAGCATGACCATTCCTTGAACGGTAAAATGGCTCTCCCATAGCTCTGAAGCGACAGTAACGGCGATACGTAGGATGTGTAGGGGTCTTTAGGGTCTTTTACTGGTTCCGAAGTAGAAAGTTGTGGCATTGGTTTGGATGCAGTCTTTACCGCCGCGTTCGAATTGCGGGCACGTGTCGGTGTTTCTGGTATTGTTTGCTGATCCGCCCGTTGTTTGGGTTTGGCTGTTTGCTCTTGGTTTGTCGCGACTTCGATTCTCTTCCTTGGGCTTGATCTTGTAGGAACTTCTCGGGTGATTGGAACACTTTCTGTTCGCTCACAAGGTGCCTCGTTTGGGTCCCCATCGTTTTTGCTGATGCGTAGGCCGTTGAAGCATTCCGCAAGAGCTGTCTCTTCCTTCTCTTTCAACTGCGGTGGATCACTGCTGTTACCAGTCGACTCTTTCCGGATCAAACCCTTTCCCGCCTTCTTACGTCCCTTCAATGGTACAATTTTTCTGGTACTCTGACTTGTCTGGATCGGCTGGTTGGGGTTTATCTCAGCTAGGACAACATCGTCCTTAATCTCTAGCCCATTCAACTCCCCCACCAAACTACCAACATCCGCCTCTTTCTTGGTCTTTTTCACCGCATCCCTGCTCCTCGCTGCCCTTTTCGCTTTGCGTTGCTCGACTTCTGTATCCTGCTTTCTCGGAGCGTCGACGTCTTTACTAGGGCTGATAAATTTGGTATAGGTCGCCGAGGGTTTCGCTACTGTGCGCTTCCCATAGACCTGCTTTGGCGGCATCTTCCAGAGGTTGCCGAGCGAGCGATGGCGTGGTGATTAAAGATCTTCGATGAGGTGAGGTGCGGCGCAAAAGCGGTGCAAGGGTCTGTTGGGGACGTGCTGAAAGGGACTTAGCGTGGCTGGTTGACGGGGAAACCGCGACAGGTTCGCAAACCACGTCATCGCTCTCTTGAAATGTGCAACCACATCGAGCAAACGAGAATGAGGGAAGGTCAAATGGGCGTGCAAAGATTGAAGAATGCAGATCGGCGTGCGCAAATGATTAATATTACTCCGGCATGTATACCGACATGTCGAACCACGCCTATAGCTCGCGGAGGGGCCCACCTGCGAACGTGCATCTCTACCCTAGACGATAAAGAAAGCTGGCCATGTAACTCACGAGCCTGCTCATCCCACTCGTCTTAGACATGAATGAAAGATCGCTAAAGAACAAAAACGCTAGCAACGAATGGCAAATACCATAGGTATTTGACAGATTCAAGGAAACCCCAAACAATGCAGAACCGGTACATGCGTGTGCGGATGATGGTGACAATTTACAGCCAAAGGAGATATTTGGTGACAGGTGATGATAGCAGTTTGGATGGATGGTGGGGGGAAGGCGCAAGGAGCCTAGTTCTCCCCACTGTCAACATCCGGTGTCGAAGCGGCGCTCTCTTCCTCGACGAGCGCTGGTGGCGGGACGACGCCCATGCTTCTTCTCTTCGACTTCTTTTCCACGTCATCCTTCGGTTTGGTGGCCGTTCCATTAATAGTCGACGGCCCCGCTCCATTGGGAGCGTTGGATGTAGTTGGACTAGCTGCTGCTTTGCCCTTTCGTGGAGCAACACTGGAGTAGCTCGTTGAAAGTTTCGACGTGCCGTCGGTGGTGTCAGAGGCATTGGTGAAATCCTTCCATCGACGCCAACCGTCGAAGTCGATGAGGGCTTGCATGCAGCCCCATTCTTTGACTTTCCGTTCGAGCCAGACGAAGTTGACAGGCTGGATGTTGGTCAGTAAATGTGTCAAGATGTAAGGTTCATGGTTTGCCCACCTTGGTCAAGAAGTCGTTGCAACCGGCAGCCAACGCTTCGTGCCTGTCGCTCTGCAGTGAACTGGCCGTGAGTGCTACAATGATAACGGGACTCTTGAACAGGTTCTTGTCCCCCAATATGTCGTCGCTCGATAAGTCTCTGTCAAGACCCTTGTCTCCAAGCCTGTTGTTGGGCGCTTCGCTGCTACCACTACTAAAGACACCAATGCTATTGACCCGTTCAAGACGCCGAATCTCCCTAGTAGCCTCCAGACCGTCCATGATCGGCAGCTGAATGTCCATGAGCACCAAGTGAAATCCGCCGGCCCTCCACTTCTCAACAGCTTCCTTGCCGTTCATGGCCCGCTGCCACCGCACCTTCAGACGCTGCATGAAAGCCCCCAAAACGCGCAAATTGATGATGTTGTCTTCCACAATCAGCACGTTGATGGGGGGTACTGAATTGTCTAACAAGCCTGGGGGCAAGCTCGGGGGCTCGATCGGCTTCTGCTTCTTCCGCTTCTTGTCTGGCTTCGGCGACGATACGCGGGGAGTCGGAGGAGTGGAGTTTTGTCGCAGGTTGGGGTCAGCTGGGGCTGGAGGGGTAGGTATGGCTTGGTTGCTGGAGGCAGAGTGCTTTTCAGAGGCGGAGGAATCGTGTCGAATTCGCTGTTGAGGTCGGGTAGTGGTGGCAGACTGCGGCACACCGCCGGTCAACGTCGTAGGCGAGGCTGTGTTGTGCCGAAAAGCCTTGGGACGGTTAGCGTGGGTCCTCCTCGTGCCTCCAGGCGAAGGCAATGCAGGTAGATGCCCTGTCTGGAGCACCTGTATGGAGTGCGGCTGATGTGGGAGGGAAGCTCGTGTCGTCTCGTGGGAGGCGGCGGTCATGGGAGAGGGATTCGCTATAGGCATGAGTGGGAAGTACTCGGTCTGATGATGGTTCTGCGAATCGTCGTGGTGAGCATAGAACTGCGGGATGCGCGGCGAGGGCTTGGGCGTGCGGGCCGGCGCCGCCCGGATGGGTATGTCGATGATGAGAGCCTCATGGACTGTCTGGCCGCCCGGGTAATATGCGTCGAGCGTCCGGCACATCTCTTCCTCTGGGCCTAGGATGCGCTCCTGCCCCTTCCCATTGCTGTCGCGGGGCAGTATGCGCAGCGTGAGGTCTGGCGCGTCGAAGCTTCGGCCCAGCGAGTTGCCGTACTTCTTGAGGATCATCTCCCGCACGTCGTCGACGAGGTCATCTTCACGGATCTGGACCAGTGTCGCCGAGGCGCTCAGGCGCTTGACCCAGATCTTGCGGTGCAGCATGCCGGCGCTGAAGTTGTTTGCCCCGGAGAAGTAGTCGGTTGCAGTCGGTGGCCCGGTCACGGATGGGCCAGCAGCAGTAGGGTCGGATGCGAGCAGTGTCTTGATAGCGCGGGCATTCGAGGGCGTGACGAGCGACTGGCGACGGGCGGGCGTCGGTCTCGAGCTCGCCTGGAGTGAGGGGAGCTCGGATGGGCGGTCTTCTGAGGCAGCAGTCTCTGCGCCGGCTCCAGCGAGGGCGGGGAGCACCGGCGGCGGCGGCGGCGGCTGCGATGGAGGATGCACGGGCGTGGGCTCCTCGAGGGTGACGGTGGGGTTGGCGGTGCGCACGTCGTGTGGGAGCGACGTGGTCGAAGACTCGATCAGCCTGACGTTGTTGATGCTCGGTCCCTCCTGCGAGTGCCGATCTCTCGACCTCGAGCTGTCGAGCGTTTCGGGCCTACTCTCGCTGGTGCCGTCGCCGGTGCCAGACCGAACCATGACCTCCGACTGCACCATGCGGTTGTCGTCTCTCTCTGCGGGCACGTCGGAAGCATGCACGGCGGGCAGCTTCGACAGCGAGACGCTCTTGCGCAGGCTGCTCCCTGTGTGGATCCGCTCGCTGCCCGCCGACGAGCACTGCGACGCCGACGACGAGATGTGGCTCTGCCGCCTCAAGAGTTTGGCCCGCGCATGGCTGATGCGCGACCTGATGCTGCTCATAGCGGCGAGCAGCCGACGTGTGCCAGCCTGGAGAGGCGCCTCCGATGCCGTAGTCGCGGGTGGCCGGGTGCAGTGGTGCGTGTATGTAGCCTAACGGGTATCCGGGGCGCATTCGCAGCCAAGAGGGACGGCGAGGGAACGGCAGGAAACGGCTAGCGAGCGTATCGAGGTCAGGTCAATGTACAGAAGAGAGAGGCAGCGCCCGCCTGCAGTCGAAGGGACCAGAGTTGATGGGATTTCTCGCGATGCAATCTCGATTCTGGCATATCCCATGTCAGGCCGTGTCCGCAGAGCTAGCACGAATCGCGGAGCCTGACGACAGATAAAAGTTGGCCGGCACCCTCCACGCGCGACACTGCGTTACCTATCTACATATTCAGAGGACACGCTGGCTGCACGCGTAAGCCAAGCGTGGCCCCGGGCCCAGAGACAACGCGCCGCGAACCTGTCTCGCGGCCCCTGTGGTGTCTTCAGTCACTGGTTGCGGAGCATGACGACTCCACAAACATCGCAGGCCACTCCCCGCATCGACTGACAGCACGCCTCCGTCAGTGGCCGCCCCAAAAACTGATCTTCTCAGTTGACCCTCCCCAAGACGAATCCCTCGTATCAAGGTGGCCAGCTCTATGCGTACAACATGTAACGTAGGGTAACTTTCGCCATAGTACACGGTGAAAGCTGCGACCTGATACTGCCTGCCGTCTCTCATGTTGGCGCGAGAACCAGACGCGTTTTACTATGTATCGGCCACTGTGAATCTCCACCAAGGTTTGCTTTGTTTACAGCTTTCTAGCAGTGGCTCTACCATTGGCCCCTGTGCGTTTGTAATTAGAAACGCGTTGCGCTACCACCCGCTTCTCGCCACTGCATCTCGTGCAGAAACCTGAACATGCAGCTAAGCGTCCTACAATAACTTGATATCGGCCCTACATTTCTCCCTTCCACCGATGACCACCTGGGCTGGCGCCACGCCCGTCTTCGTGGTACGTCGAATCCTGCTCCGTGCAGAGCCACATGAGACTTCCATGTCCAAGTTCACCGTTCAGGGGCACTCATCGTGACCGCGGCGTCCACGGCTTTGATGATTTGCACTGTTCTCCGGAGTACTGCCCCGGGCATTACTTCGAGAGACATTGACGCTGTCTTTCCGCTTCGCCTTGTCTCATGTCTATCAATTGCCAAAGCCGGTTTATTTGCGACTACGCTGCCTACCAACACCAGATGCAAAGCACGCATCCGCGAGACCTTTCGTAAGCAACTTCCCCAGACATGGCGATGCAGTACCGTGTACATGGTCAATGCCATCAGGACGTGTGCAATTCAACCTATGGGCCCACAGCGTAGAGTAAGACGATCGCAACACTGTAGGGTAACATGGCAAGACCTGCTCGCAAAAGTAGTCACATCGTACGACTAATTGGAGAAATTGAACTTTCTGCATCGTGTTCTGACATGTTGATGAGGTGATAGAACAGCCCTCGCCGTCTGTTCATGGTGAGGGTACTCGAGAGATCCGTGTGACTACCTCGGTGATTGATCGAGCACAGCCGTCAGTAAGTGAAAGCGACGCAGTATATCAGCATCGACGTCACAGCTCAAATTCAACTCTCATTCTCAGACTGTGCAGACACACACATACATACGTATCGCTCAATTAACATTTCCCAGCCTTTACCCGTCACCGCTCGCACCTCCAAACCGTCTACTAATATTGGCACACTCACTGCTCACCGACTGCTTACCCCTTACTCCCATAACATTATACGTGCCAAATTCACCCACTCACCTTCACGGTAGTGTCCCATCACCGTGGCCACGCTTCACCATCCTCGTCATGGCATTCAGCACCGCACCAGTCACCGACATGGTTCCGAGATACCAGACGACCGCACGCTGCGGTCAAGACACTCCATCGCCGCTCTGCGCCGTGCTATCTCTACGTTTACGACTGAACCGACCATCCTCCAACCTCTACACATGGATCAAGACCCGTCGTTCCCACCGCTGTCACTTTCGCGGCTCACGCACACTGCGTCCATGAAAACCACCATACACGGCTCGCCCGAGTCCCGCTCACGCTGCACCGACGCGCAGGTGAAAACTCCCCCCGGGCCGCCAGATTCAACCATACGTCGTTCCCGCTCGGACAGCGACCTCCAAACCGGGCAGCCCTCACCCACATCCTCATCACCATCTCTCTCTCGTTCCACCCCACATCGCAGATCAGAAGACCCCCCACTCCCACTACCCCTTCTCCAGCTCCAGCTCCCCAAAGCCCGTCCTAGCCTCGCCATCGATCTCTTCCCAGGTATACCGCCCACCCCCGACGCCATGCTGCATCCCCGTCAGACCCGTTCGCGCTCTTCTGTCCGCAGTGCCGCACACCGCGGGCCCTCGCGCCAGAGGGCAGAAGACGGCTGTGTGTCATACGTGCCTCACTGCGTTTAAAACGGCGGAGAGGACGGGGAAGTCGCCGCAGAGAAGGGGAGTGTCTTGACGTCTTTTCCGCCGTTGCTTGCTGAGGACAGCGTTGAGAAGGGAGACGGGGAGGGAGGGGATAAAGCGGAGGGGGATTAGGAAGATGAGTATTGTCAAGGGCATTACGAGGGTGTTGGGGATGTTGAGGGGTGGAAGGGGAGAAGTCGGAGGAGTGGTCGGAGGGGAGTGAGAGTAGTTTGGAGAGCTGGGGTGGGAGCGGGGCGGGACGAGTGCGAGTGGGTCGGCGTCAAGGTCATCGTTTACGTGCTCGACTTCTTCGTAGGGGCGAGAAGGACTGTGCCGGTTGTTAGGCGTTGTGAGGAGTTTACGCCTCGGTGCTGCAATGTTTTCGTATTTGGTTCTCGCATCTTTCCGTGACTATGCTAAAGCCTGATAATGCTCACGTCTAGTTATAAGCGCTAGCATTCTTGCCATCGATGTAGGAGCTAGAACGTCCGTTTAGCGTTCTTCTTTCGCAGACCGTAAACACGCAATTTGTACGCTCCAACAGCACCTCACCGCTCCACCTCATATCTCCGCAGCATCTTCCACCTCGCCCTCAATGTCTCGTTCTCGCTCTCTCTCACCTACAGGTTCATCACCTCTCTTCGCAGCAGTCTTCCTGTCCCTCCACAGCAACACCTGAAAAGCCGCCGTCCACCCAATCACCAGCACCTGCAGCCCAGCCGTCCACAAATACCCCTCCTCGCGCACGGGAAGTCCGCTGTCTTCCAGAAAAGGTGATCCTAGGAGGTAGTGTATTCCGGGTAGAAGCCGGATCTAAGAGCACTTAGTGGTGCTCGCATTTCTTTTGCCATGCATTCGACCACTTACTCGGAGAAACCAACCAGAAAACGCAACGCATACAACTCCTTGTAGGATTTGACAGCCGCAGTACAGAACGTGGAAATGCCCCAGCCAACCTCGAGCTAGGGTACAAGTCAATATAAAAAGCCATTTCATGGAACTTGAGACGACACACCGCAGGGATAACCCATCTCGGCGACACGCGCGTCAGTAATATATCAGACGGTATCTGTCCGATCACGTATCCCACGGTCCAGATAGATGTGCTCGTAAGAAGCTGATCCCCGTACATGCCCAGCTCCTCCTGCATACTACAAAGCGAAGCATTCTTAACATCATTTAGGGCCAGGTTCCTAAGAAAGTATCCCAGCAGGTGAAAAGGCTTGAAAAGCCGCTCACGTCTTGCGAGTGAGCACTCACAGAAGCAAACATCAGGACGAACGCGTCGACTTTGAAAAGCAACGGGCGCCGCGCTCGGATGGCTCGCGTGTGCCTTTCGGGGTGGTGGCTAAAGTGTGCTAGGAGTGATAAAGGAGCTCGAAGTCGACCGTCCTGTACATATAGCGCTACCTAGGTAGTAGGCGATTGCCGTGATGTCGGCATCGCTCTTGTCCACAATAAGGTCTAAGGTAAGTGCCACCTGCCCATCAAGTGATTGGAAGCGAGGACGATACTAGAAGAACCTTGCAATGGAACCGATAGATAGTCAAAGTAGCGGGTGCAGTTAGTTCACCTACCTTTACACAATCAGCTAGCTCAGCTACTGTAGACGAAGTCCTCATTGCTCACAGACGCTCACGGAAGCACAGCCGAAGGCAAGAAGAATTCTTCGATCATCGATTCGTTCATTGAAAAGTGTGTTGGGTGTTCTACATACAGTCCATCATCGTCCATAATCCAGATGCCTTCCTCTCCATCGTATCGCTATGGTATCATTATACACTGCATTTCAAAATGCACAAACCGAACCCAATTTCTGTGTCGTGCATCGCTCACTCGCTTGAAAGAACCCAAACGCCGTAATATGCCTGGAGATGTGCGTGCTTCAAGCATCGCTATCACTTAGTGAATCCCTTCGCACGGTGCGCACACCACCTCGGCGGTATCCAGCCATGACGTCCCTACCCCCACGATCCTCGCGCCTGGGACCCCGTGGTGCACCCATCTGGCTCACGCTGTCGTTGGGCGCGACGCTGCCCGCGGTGCTTAGACCGGGGATGTGGCACGGGTACGCGATGGTGCCACGCGTATCGCCATTCGCCGTGGTGAAGATGTCTGAGGCGTTTGATGGGCCGGTACGCGAAGCTCGGTGGTGCTTGCGAGGAGATTGGGAAGAGGGACGAGAGCGGGATTCGTGACGGGGGCGGGATTGAGAGCGAGAGGCGCGAGAACGCTCGGCGTTGGGGCGGTAGTCAGAGTAGTAGGAGGATTCTTGGGCTTCAGAGGGGGCAGGGGCAGCACGAGACTTGTTGTTGGAGACGTCGGTGCGGGCGCCTGTGTACTCGGTGCGATCGTCTCCGGTGGTGAAGGAGTATGCGGCGGAAGGAGGAGCACGACGAGAGGAACCTTTAGCCGGGGCAGGAGCTTCAGAAGGGGCAGTGTATTCGGTCTTGGGGGCGTCGTAGGTGTATTCGCTTTCGAGAGCGGTGTACTCTGTCATTGCGGGGCCACCGATCTCAGAGGGCGCGACTTCAGACTTCGCCTTCTTTGCTTTCTTCTGCTCGGCTTTCTTCTCCTTTGCGGCTTGCTTCTCGGCTTCCTTTTGGGCTTTGGCTTCGGCAGCGGCGGTCTTGGCGGCTTCCTTCTCGGCGAGCTTAGCCTTGCGCATGCGCTCCCTTGCGCGCTGCTCCTTGGCTTTGGCTTCCTTCTTCTTGTCCTTTTCGGATTTCTTTTCCTTGTCCTTGACGAGTGGGCGACCGGAGACGTTGGAACCTAGGTCGGAGGGCTCGGTACCAGTAGCGGAGTAGTCAGTGTACATGCCATCCGCCTGTCGGTTGAGGCCGCCAACTTTCGCGGGGCGCTCGTCACGGTAATCACGGAGATCGCGGTCCTTGTAGTCGTTGTCGTGCTCGTGACGCTTCTTGCGCTTGTCCTTCTTCTCGCCGTCACCACCACGGATGCCGAAGGCGCGACGGCCTTTACCCTCCTCGGCCTCACGCATTTCGCTGACAGTTGTGCCCGTCTCATCGGTGTATCCCACGCTGGTCGGGGCGCCGTAGGTGCCGCCATGTACCACACTGCCTCCGCCGAGCTTGGTGCTCTTTGTCGCGTTACTGAGTGTCTTTCCGTCCGGTCCCTTGCGGCGCAGCACCGTCGACTTGTAGTCTTCCCAGTCGTCCTGCCGCCACTTGAAACCGCCGTTTTTGGCGCGGAAGAAGAACCACAGCGCCGTCAAGGTCATTCCGATTCCAATGAAGGCAAACAACAGCTGAAACCATAGGTTGTTGTAGGCTCGCGGGTCCTTAGCTCCCGCGGACGCGGCGACCTTGTAGTCCGCACGCTTCGCAAGGTGGATGTCATGGACGGCCATTGGTGAAAAGCCTTCCAGATCGGAGGTGATGGTGAGCGGGGATGGTGAGGGCGCCATCGTGGGCCGCTGCTCGATGTGGGGTTGCTGCAAGGCAGGTGGTCTCGGTGAGGCTTCGAAGACGATCGGTGCAGCGAGTGTCAACTGGCAAAATAGTCAGGTATGATGGTTTGTAGTGATGTGGGAAGAATTGGGGAGAGGGTGGAGCTGTCGTGCCCCTAGAACTTCTCTTTGTTGGTGGTGTGGCTGGTCGCGTCTCGCGGTGGTTGGGGAGGTTGGGAAGTGACGCCATGCAAATAAACACGCTATCTCCACGGTGACGCACGGACTCCTCTGGGTTTCAGAACACCAACCACCAGTCGATGGCATCGCGAAAAATGACATATCAAAGTACCACATGATCGCGATTATTCCTACGTCGAAGTATGAGTGTCGAACGTTATAGAATTTTTATAGGACGCAACTGGTTCAAGACTTTGAAGGGTACTCAAATCACCACCTGCACAAGCTTGCTCACCTGAAATCTCACACCATCGGCAATGCATGGCAAAGAGGCCCTGCTCCTTTCACATCCTGCATCTGATTTTGAGTCGTTCGATACTGTACCTGACATTTCATTGATCGCTTGAGAATGTGCTGGTGAGCTATGAAAGTAACTTGAATAGAGTGCAGACGGTGTGCTTAGGCAGCCTGATTAAGGGGTACAGCATAAGGTGTGTTGTAGAGAGACAATGAAGCAAGGGACATATGTTCTGCAAGAGACTTTTCGAGTGTGGTGGGCGCGAAGGTTTGTCCATACATGATCGCGCTCCCAGTCCTAGTCGCGCCTTCCACTTCTTTTCATGGTCTCATTCGAGTCACGTGTCGACCGGAAGCTTCTGCTAGCGAGATCCAGTGAATACATAATACCAAAGAAAAAGTGAGGTTAAAGATCGAACAATGCATAGAATAAGGTCGCAAAAAGAGAGGGTTGATTAGTCCCAGTATTGACCTGCTTCGATTAAGTCTTTTTTTGCTTAATCTCACCACTAGCAGGTTCGAACTCAGGACTATTTCAACTCTCCCTTATGGACATTGTCACTGACCCTACCTTTTACGGTAAGTCCCAGCTTCTCTGCCCAGTTCCGAAGAACGAGGATTTTGCTAATTAATAAATCTATATAGGGAGAAGTGAAGTTAGTGTTTGAAATTGGTGAAGTTAGTGAATGGTGTCCGTGACTTCCATACGTGATCTCGTTCAACCGACGTAACGGTCGGTCTGAGCCGCGTGTTTCACTTCTTTTCAACTAAGCAAAGTGTCGACCAGGGCCTCGGTGAAGCTCCTACTACCTACTGTTCGCGGCTTCCACGTACGTTCTTGCTGATTTGGCACTGGATTCCCCGCTCACCCCTTTCGTCCGCCTTTCAACACCGACTACAGCTTCACGAGCATCAGCCTGTTGGCGCCGTGACATGAGTATCAGAAGAAGTCAATACAGCTTCCGTCCCCTCATTCATTTTGTGAGCCGCGAACTGCAAAACCAGATACATTCAGCGCTACACCTGGCGTGTCGAAAACCTGAGCTCGAGCGTCTTACGAAACGACCACATGTTCCACCAAGGCTATACGTGAGAACGCGAAGAAGGCAGTGCCTCGGCACCCCTTAAAAAATCGGCCCCGGACATCTCCTTCCCATCTCGTTGACTGGGTCCCGGATTTGGGTTCGTGCTTGCGCACAAGAAGAACAGACAAAGTTTCCGCAGCATCTGCATCAGGATCATTGATACCTGGAAAGTTACAAAGCGAGTTTGATCTCGTTAAACTCCTTATTTCCTACCTGCAGACATTGCCCCTGAGCATAGAATAGTATGACGAATTGTACTGCGAATATCTAGTGTAGCACGAGATCCCGTCACGAACGCCGCTTGGCTATCTGGATACCGAATTTAACGGGACAACCCTGCGCTTGCTACTTCCAGCGCTGACGGATATACTCCACGAGCACGTCTATCAAGACTTGATTTACTAGAACATTGCCAGTGGCCGTTCTATTGTGGTCACGGGCATGATACGACGTTCGAACCAATCTTTTCGGCTTTTGAGCTTTCGTACGAGTTGATGCGCGGCGGCCCCGGGAATACTGGCTGGGATTGTCTCGCGTTGACGGTCAACCCTCATGCTGGGGCAGCCCAAAGATGGGGCGACAAGGACTACTATCTGCTCAGCCAGTTCCTCGACGGTATGTGATCATCCTTCCACGTTTGTGCTGGTGTCTATCGCTGGAAGCTTTTAGGCGTTTAGGCTGATAGCCTTCAGGCGTTCAATGCCCGCGGCACTATGCACGTTATCTCAGCACAACTCCTATCAGGCCAATCATAATCAACATAAACAAAGACGTCGAGGGTGTGAGGCATAAACATAGAAGTATTGAAGTGTACAGGCGGAGGTGAAGCAGACGAGACTAATTTGCGGCAGGAAAGGTACTATACATTTCTACAATTCTACAATCATTCAGAACTCTTACACCAGGATCTTCTCAAAAAACCCAAACGCTCCTTTTGGATCATACTTCTTCTTCAACCCCCTCAGCCTCTCCAGCCTCCACTTCTCATACCCATACACCGCCTCATTGCTCTCATCTCCAATAGCATAGTTCACGTACGCCCCTAACCTCTCCCCCGTCCCGGCTAACATTGCCTCCCTCACTTTTTTCCCATAGCTGTACGCAAGCGCATCTTGCGTCGCATTAGTCGCATCATACGTGAACGTCGGCGCAGCAAGAATATTTCCGTCGCGTAGTGGATACGCGGTGCTAGCCGCATCCACGAGCCTCACGCCATTGACAGCATAAGCCTCGAGCAGCATGGCACTCGTTTCGAGTCCCGTGCCAGGCAACTCAGCGAAGATATCGAGCACTTTGCGCAGGTTGGCGGGGGACCATTCAGCGAGGTCGACGGGGAATGTTTGTCGTCCGAAGCCTCCTGCGCAGTTGGGACCATCTAGAGATGAGCCCGAGAGCGCGTTTGCGCCCGCGAGGTCGGTGTAGTTCGATGTTACGCTGAAGGGCTTCAAGGCGTCGAGCGGGTCGCTGTACTTTTTGGGGAAGGATGGTCCCTGCCAGAAAACGAGGAGTTGGATGATGGGCTTGGTGTCGACGTCGGGATTGTTGAGGATGACACCGAAGTGGGTGAGTTCTACGGGACGGGATTTGGCGCGGATCCAGGTGTTCAGGGCATTGAACACAGCTTCAAGTTTGTCTTGTTTGAAGACGTAGACTTTGGTGGAAAAGCCTTCGTCTGCCGTGGTTTTTCGATCGTGGAGTTGGTAGTTTACTTGGGTTACGATGCCGAAGTTGTGGCCGGCGCCGCGCATGCCTAAACACGGATACCAAGTCAGTATAAGTCAAGATGGTGGGTATGGGTATCTTGCATCTATGTCTGAGACATAGCCACTTTGTGCGCGATCGTTACGTACCCCAGAAGAGATCCGGATATGAGTCTGCGGAGACGGTAATGGCGGTGCTGTTGGAGAGCACGAGGCGGTAGGAGACTACGTTATCGATGGCGAGGCCGTATTGGCCTTGCATCCAGCCGTGCCCTCCTCCGAGAGTCACTCTGAATGAAAGGTCAGTGGCTTAAAGGGTGATAAGTGTGGCTGAGATGACTTACCCGGTGAATCCAGTACAGTCACAAGCACCAGCAACTATTGTCGTGCCCGCCGCCCAAGCAGTGCCGATGACTTCGCCAGACTTTGCGCCGCCTTGAACATATGCTACTGGGCCCTTTTCGGTACGCTCGTTGCTTATCGTGACATTCTTCATGCCGCGCATGCTGATACCGATCCCGCCTTTGAAGTTGTTGAGGGTTTTGGAGAAACCGTGGCCGCCGTTAAAAGCGAGGAATGGTACACCGCGTGCGTTCGCATAAGCGACCTGGGCGGAAATTTCAGTAGATATCTCACAATTGTGTTATTAAACTCACTGTAGCTTGTACGTCTTTCTCAGAAGTGACTTTGACAATGGCGTCGAAAGCTGGGTTGATGTTGACAGCCCATCTCGTCTTCGCTTCGTCGAAAGCCTGCGTTCCAGGCGTGTATATCTCAGCGGCTTGTGCAAGACTCGGCTTAAGGTCTTTAGAGAGATCTCCAACGGCTGCCCCTGATGCAATAGCTGCCAGGAAGAGCGTCTTGAGCATGGTAGGTACGATGATAATGTGCGCTCGGCGTGCAGCCTGTTTAAGAAGCGGAGCGTGCTATCGTACTGACAGCTAGAGTATGCTGCAGGTACAGATGCATTAGCTTTATACACTGCATACTTATTGCGTGTTTATTGCGTTTTGATATGTTCATAGTGCTGGATATCTTCTCCAGATGCGTGGGGTTTGGTCAGCCAAAACATGACTGCGGACTTCGCGTCATCCACGCAAAGCACCTTTCCGAGACCCATCATGCTACGCAGTACAAGTGGCGTGTAAACGATTCAGAACAGGTGGAATGTGAAAAGTCCGTCGGAGCACTGGGTGAGAAGTAGCTCCTGGCGCGTTCAGTGGAGCCATTTCGGTGCCGAAAACCGAAAGCCTTATATCGGCGCCCTCCAGAAGTTGCTCCCCCACCTTCCTATGGCTCTGGATACCTAATTTTGCACTCGGAAACCTATAGATTAGACTTCTTCTATTCATAAGTGGTAGAATCTTGTTGAATTGCTAATTCTTGTTATGGTACGCGTTAAATTAGGGCTCTGAACTATTATGATAAGCTTACTAAGGGTTTCTAGCCAGTAGACGGCCTATTGTAGTATACATGTCAAATTTAACTCGCGAAAATGATTCTAGAGTCGCAGGAACATGGACGAGAAACTTCCATAAACGGCTATAACATATGGACATAGTCCATAGCTCAAATTGAGTAACTTTTGACTTAAAGCATTTCCCAGACGTGATGCTACTGAGCACTGACTTGTATCTGCCGCGGGCCGACCACTAGCGGGGGATAATGTACTGTTCCAATGTGTTACCTGAACAAGTTCAATAAAGTCATGTGTCATATAGACTGCGCAGTCGTTCATTCCTTCTAAACGAGAAGAAGCGAGGCTATAGTATTCGTTGCAGAAGCTGAATTTTACGGAAGTCCGCCTGATCTTACATCCGCGGGCAGGCTGTATCTGACGTCGACTATAGCAGGATATTATGTGAGATGTACGTCGGCGCGGGCCGCTGTTCGGAGATAAGGGTCCAGTCAATGCTCTCGCTAACTGCGTTGCATGCGACTAAATGAAGGGTAAGCGCTGGAGCAGTTAACAGTGCTGCACTGTCTCTGGATACCATCAGGTCTTCGGATTCAGAATGGTGATTAGCGACAGAGGCTTTTCGCATTCCTACTGCGGTTTGATGGTATGTTAGAATTGGTGTCCTCTGTCGTTTGAGTGTACCGAGTGGATCTTGATTTGATCTGAATCCGGCCCAGCACCGTAATGTCGCGAGCGACGTTCTCTGAACTCACCCCAAAAGAATTTTTCGAGGGACTAGGGAAGTAATAGAAATGTGAACGTAGCAGTACTCGAACTCCGGAATGATAGTGGGAGGAGCGACGCGTGATCCACCTCGAAGGCCTGATAGGTAAAGCAAGCTACAGCCGTGTCTTACAACACCTTCCAAGGAACTGCATGCAGCACGGCAGCTTGTAAATGATTGGTCGCTCCTCGCTACACAGTAATTAGACAGATTACCTGTGTGAGCAATTACGAATCTATTGAATACGCAAGCCGCCAGATGATCGTTGTCCACCTGTGTGCATCCTGGCAAGTCCGGTTGCGCAGTTGGATGTACGAAAGAGCTCGTAATTGGTAAGTCACCACCCTCGCTAGTCCTAAGGTGGCCAAAAGGTGACTCAGTAGATACGAACTCCTTCCTAGTCTAAGCGTCACTGGTATCGAATGTTTGGTTCCAAAACTGTGGTAAATTTCTGGCTGTGATTGAGAGGAAAGGTGTAGAAGTGTGCGTTATTAGTGACTGAACCAACCAGCTCAGTCGCGTGCTGGTATCTTGGCGGTTACGTCACGTCACGTGTAAAACATTTGACCTCGAGAGGGTGACCTGGAACCTTGCTCACACATCTCAAGCCCCACAAACTATGTCAATCAACGCCAGATCCTCGGTAGGATGTGTCATAGCGTTGCAAAGCAGTGTCTTCATCGGTACGAGCGCGCATGTCTTCAATATCTTTCCATCGAGACCATGATCCTCCAACCACGCCACGGAGTGCCTTCTATGGTCAGATACAGATCGTCACAACAAGCTTCCTGACCTACTTCGCCCGGTTTGTATCTACAAAGTTCTGGTGAACTGGTCCGACGACCTCGATGAAGTATGGATCTGCCTTCATGCGGAGGAAATAGTCGACATCTTCCAATCCCACTTACTTGAAGCTGTCGTAATTTGCAAATGCTTCATATTGCAGTCCGGCAATCTTTGCCATCTCAATCTTGACCTCGAACTTGCTCACGTGGAACACTTTAAAAACTGATGTTGGTACTTGCTATGGTGAACCTGGTAGTGCCACATTTAGCCGGTCACCCTTCGCGAAGGGAGCGTGTTTCCCAGACGTGCATGTGTGATAGACTTCCTCGCTCATTCTCGGTCCCTGATACGCGAATACGGTTCATTGGAATAGTCCTCGTGGTTCATTGTTGAGGATGTCATCGTTGAAAGCCAAAAAGAAATACCAAGGTGCGATAAAGATTGGTTCGCATTAATGCGCACAATGTAATCTTGACTCATGATTCGTAGTGGGGACCGTTTAGTATTGTTTCCTCGTTATCCCAAGTCAGGCTTCCGGAGACTGTGGGCTGCCAGTCGAGAAACATCGTCCAGTTCCCTCGCCCGCCACAGTTTGCACGTGAGATCAGTCATGGTAACACTGGAGCGGACATTGCCCACCTATTTGGGTCTTGGTAACACTACTCAAGTCCATTCAAGCTAGGCGTGCGCAACACATGGTTTCTCCTGCAAGGCACAATGTTCCTGCAACAGGCCTAGGTTGACAATGAGTTTGTATAGCCAGCTCTACGGACCTCGCTGACAGCTTGCTTGATTACCAGTGGACGCCTCACTCGGTACCTCCGTCGTACGAGATGCAAGCGGACACGAGAGGTTTATGCTTCGTAGTGCTTCTTCGAAGTGCTTGCACTCTTATGGACGGCCAATCCTGACGGTAATTCGATGATTCCAAGCAGTACGAGTATTGCCATTGACATCCACCGAGATTAAGAGTATATATGCCCAAGGCAGCAAATGCGCTAGAAGGATGCGGCCCCAGTACTGTACGATGCAACAAGTCCTATTACGCCATCCGACAAGGTAAAGAGCCGCCGTTTATGACGATCATTGGCGTCACGACTGCGAAATCCTACAGTGGAAATGTTGGTGTGGAGCAGGTCTGTGCAGCAATTAGTTCCACGTAATACTAATCTCCACATCGCTGCGCCACAACCCTCGATATGTATTCAGTATCTCGGCGACAGCGCTCTGGGGGCCAATACTACCTAGGTACTGTACTTTGTTCCCAAGGCCACACGACCTACCGGGTCCGCGGCCTTCGGTTGGAGTGACGTCGCCCAATCCGAAAAAAAAGTCTGCTCGCTTGCGCCGAGGTGTCCTAACGATAGCGCCGAGGAGTATTGACATTGGCGCGAGAACCTGCATATTTCGCTTCTAGTAGGCAGTAATTGCAAAAGCATGTGCCAGAGCAATTTGATCGGCTATCCGATTTCGCAGAGGCAACCAGCCTTGCCAAAACTTGAAAAGTACGTTCTGCTAACCGCGCCCGAAGACGCCGATGGCTCGTAGTGACATCTAGAGCCAGATCGGCATTCTAGGGGAGTGCCGTACGTCTGCCCCTATCTTTTTGCTTTTCTTCGCGACATCCGTCATCAGGGCCGGCACCAATATCGCCCGCAGTACCGATCAGTTCCTTTTCCCTAAAAAGAAAAAAAGCCCCGACATGCAGCTCATCTGCGCATCGGACTCTGCTAGGTGCGCACGACTGGAGGAAATCATAACCCAAGAGTCAGGATCCTGGGCAGACACTGCGGCTGCTGCATTAGCGCTCGGAGTTCGATTGATAGTGGGCAGTAGTTCACAGCCAATGCTATGAATGACGCAAATGGTCTTGTATTGCCAGCGTGGAAGGTGATAATGATGTTTACACATATCACTGTACAGTTGTGCTGCATAGTAAATCCTTCTATCAGAATCGTTCACACGCGCTGCGCTAGGGGTCTACGTGGTCAATGTATGATTGGGTATGTGTAAGCGCGGTAGGCGTTCATTGGCTAGACCGTCATCGAATTTAACCGTATCGATCGTACAGACAGTATCCAATCGTGTGGCTTGCTGCGCGTGCTCCTAAGCTCGGGATAGCCGTTAGGTTTTGGGCCACCACGTGTCAGGATAAGGTCCCTGGGCTTTGTACAGGGAGGAAGGCCGTTATTCGAGCCAGGTTACTGAAGGGGGCCGAACGTAGATCGCGCATGCAGACGAATTATTACATGGGTGGCATACGCTAAGCAAGGAATATGATGTTCATCTTGTGCCCGGACCTGACAGATTGTCTCCGCATTCTCTTAGTACACCACTGCCGCACATATGTATACTTCAGCGCCACCGTGAGCTCATATCATTCCGCCATTCATCAATAGATTTGGTATAGTCGACCTTCCAATTGCAAGTCTGGTATTAACTCAATGATTCTAGACTTCGGATCGCAACTTATAACAAGACTTTGTTGCCTCGCTTCCAAAACGTCTCAGGTCGATATGGCCAATGCTCAGCAAGATTCGCCCATGCAACGCACTGTTTGCATACCAGGAGAGGGACGTGTCAAGCTTCGATTCTCTTGCGATGGTATCCACATCCCAAGAACAAACCTTGATTGGGAGAGGCTTACTTTCTTCAGCTTGCTCAATCGCCAAAGTAAAATGCGACAGTCAGGCCCCTTGTGAACGGTGTCGAGATAATGCTATCAATTGCTTTTACAGCCCCTCTAGGCGTCATGGAAAGCAGCCGTGGGCAAAAAGAGTCGCCGACCAGCATCAACGATATCTGCAGTCGACAATGTACGGTCATAATTCCCAGGCTTCGGCTTCCATGGGTTCCTTCTTAGCCTTCCAGCCCAATCCAGGGACCGGTCCGTTCGCAATGCCGTCGACGATAGCATCTGGTACGCCGATAAGTCCAATGAAGAACCTCTCCTTTGTAAATAGTCCAGTTGGCAGCCCATCTGCGGATCATCCTTTCAACGTCGGCAGCAACTTTCAATTCCAAAATCCGTGGCCAGGAGTAACTCCCAGCGTTGCGCCAGTAGCATCTCCGAGTCCACCCAGTACTTCAACGCTAAGCATGTCAGATGCAAGCATGTCACCACTGCTTGAACCGGCTTTCCAACCCCCCATGCATGATTGCGAAGCTAAAGCCCTCACTATGCTTCACTCTTTACACATGAAATCCGCAGAGCATCCAACATCCGGAAGTTACGCTACCCAACATCTTCCCCCGCTCGACAAGATATTACATACCAATCGGGTTGCTGTTAGCACTCTAGGAGATTTACTGCAGTGTCACTGTGCCCAACAACCGCATCTTGCCCTCCTTTATATGGCCACGATCTCGAAAGTCCTTTTCTGGTATCGACTCGCGATCAATATGTCCTTCAAATCTTCGACGCAACCTCCCGAATCCCGAAACGAGACCTCTTCCCCACATTCACAGACAACGTCATACGGCTTGTCTCCGGGATCCAACATAACCGCGGCCGCCACCAACGTGGTACCAAATCATGCTACTGAAGCTCCGAGAGCGAGAGCGAGAGCGAACACCATACAGATTGGCGTGTTTGATTTAGAGGAAGAAGACGAGGCAATCCTCGTGCGCAGCGTAGTCACGACGGAAGTTAAGAAAGCAGCCCGTTTAGTGAATTTCATGAAGAACAGTGGCATGCAGATGAATCGGGGAGAAGAGCATGGGCAAGACAGTCTGAGTGTAGGCTCATGGTACAGAGCCGGAGGGGAGAAATTAGAGAGGGAGGTGCAAGATACATTGCAAGAGGCAAGAAGAACCGGTAGGATTGCGACTAATTTCGAGCCACATACGGGAATGAACGAACAGACGTGGTCGGCTTGAAGTTCAATCGAAGGATGCAATGCCAAGTCGGGCATCCATCGACCCTTTGGCGAGTGCGAAAAAGGCGAGGCTCTTCATTCAGAGTTCGTTTCTCCGTTTCTCCGTCTATGAGGCTGCTGCATCGGTTTCTTGCTCAAACAAACCATGTATGGAGCAATCCATTTGTCAATCCTCCTTATCTGGATGCCCCTGACAAGGAGTGAGTGCTGGAAAATCGCAAGGGATCGTGGAAGCAACACCCCGGTTCACATGGTCCAGATGCAGGGCCCTTGAACGGGAAGGATGGAGCTTGTGGAAAAGGATGCTCCATGCGTTGAAGGATCGATGTGACGAGCAAAAACAGGAGGGAGATCATCTGGATCCTCCTGACGCCAAGGTGCGCGCTAAGCGGGACTAACGTGATAGTGGGGTCCAACAAACCTACCTAGTGAAAGCGTGAACTCCCGGTGCTCTCACTCGTCGGCTTGCCACAAGCAGCAGAATTGTTCCACACGTCCTCTCGATGCACGTTGAATTGAAACGGCCAACAGCTCCAGGCACATTCTTCGCTCCTTGCCGCCAATGTATGGTTTCTAGCAGGGTGCTCAGGCGGCCTTATCAGCAAGCGAATAGTGTCGGCTGCGATCAGCCGAGCGCCATGTCTTGGTTGCTACGTGTACCTGGCGCCGACCCTTTCACTGAACCAGTCTTCGACCAGCGAGGCCAAGAAACTCCCCATCGGTCGGCGTATGTTGTCTGGAAGTCCACTCGCCAGGACTTGAAGAATACGTGCTATAGCACGGCAAGCCGACTGGCACAGCTTTGTGTGGACCGCCATCCTTCAACGCCACACCCACCGCATTGATCGTAGGTCGAGTCCAGTGCCGCTAAGTGAGCACGACACCGGACGAGTACTGAGCAGATCAAATGATACTCGCTTCGCGTGCGATCAACCATTACGTTTTCGCTCGCCACGAGGTAGAACGGCACGTTGCTATGGATTTTGTGACAACATTGTATTCCATTTCGCGCATAGCACAGCCTTGAGAGACATTCCGCGAGCCCTCATGAGTAGCTAGTACAGTACTACCTAATGTAATGACTCGGAAGGTCGCCATCATCTCTCCGCGCACTAGCTGCAGATCAAGCGCATGTGACCGACTACCGTTTACATCGGAGCGATCGGAAAGGCTCACCGTCAATTGGCCACGACACCTGCGGAGTAGTCGGACCGCGTAAGGAGATAACGTCTTCCCCCGCAAAGAAAGGTCTCTCAAGATGGTCAGATGATGTCTTGGTAGTGAAAGTCCGCCCGAAAGCCTCCTCAGCGAAGATCGGGAGGACTTCTCCGAGCTCAGGCTAACACACGCTATCAAGCTAGTCCAAACAGCACCTACTCCCGAGCTCTCCGGAGATCCATTTGCTTTTGTCTTTATTTTTTGGACCGGCATAGCACGAATACTATTTTACTTAGTGGAGATACCATAGGATGTTTCTCATCCTGTAGGATCAGGATTCGGTACACTCTTTTAGTCCAGCACAATGCAACGTGATCAGATAGACCACTTCTCATTGATCTACCGGACCATGTACAAGACACGTGGATCTTCGCCACACTCTATGAACCAAGGACTGCTCAGCAACTGATTGCTCCTCTATTTCTAGTCTCCCGGGTCGCAGGCATGGTTTCATAGCTCTTAGCAACGATTGCACCCCATAAGGAAGTAGAAGAATAACTGCGTACACGCGGATGAAACGAGGATAATGAAGATGTGACACGAGAGCTTTCGTTACGCTCACTTCCCAGATATCTTCGATAAGATTTTGTCTCCCCCACAATCCGACAATCGAGCAAGTTTGGGCTGAGAAACATTGTTCGCAATGTGAACAATCTTCGAATCATTATATTCTAATGCTCACATGGAACTACCTCGTGAATAGTCCGTAGCACAGCACTGTCCCAAACCTTTCCATGGTTCCGGCCGCTCTCAAAAGACAGATGACAAGGTATCATCGCCCTCCATATGTAGCCGGATTCGCGATGCTATGCCCCAAGCAAATCCTTAGTACCTAGACCCACGCTATGCTATGCGAAATTTTATCGCGCAACGCATACTAGAGCTTTCTTTCCTTAATCGTATTGTCAAGCTTCAAACCAAGCTTCTCCATCCTCCATCAAGTGTCCTCCGTCATGTCCATTTCCTCAACTCGGTCTACAATCCTTCCATTAACATATTGGAACGCGGATACGTCCAGCTCGCTTTCGCTCTCCTCATCACCACGTCCTTGGGACGAGCTCGCCTGGCTCTGTATAAGATATCTATCACCCCGCAATCTATCCTGTGTCCATTGGGATAAACCGTAGGCACTGCCTCTATCCCTGCTTTGAATAGCATCGTCAACAGCATCTTTCACGTCGCTAGTGTTCACAGGACCGATAGATGGGCGGACAGAAGGTGCGGAGGTGATGCTCATGCGTCCTAGTCTAAGTCGAAGCTCTGGCTCTGTGCTCGTGGGAAAGGTGCTCTTGAGACGATGCTCGCGCTCATCGGCTTCGCGGATGTCCTCTTCATTGTGGAACTCGAGCTCTCTCTGAAAGTGCTTATCGAGTGCAGCGGAAGCTTTCTGCTTTGCACGGCGGGCGGATGAACGCACGGCTGCTCGTACGGAGGGCGACTCGGAACGAAGCGCTCGCTCAACGATTCTTGAGCTAGTTGAGGCAGCTGGTGTATAGGATATTGCTGGTGCAGAGGATATTGCAGGCTTGCTGTTTGGTTGTGCTCGATTCCGCATGAGACTATAGGTAAAGTTTAGTTTCTTCTCTATGTCCCTTACGACTACATGACTTACGGCTTCATGGGTTTGAAGCCCATCTTAGGAACTCCAGATGGAGGCCTAGCAATTCCTGAGCAATGAGTAGGCTTTGCTTTCTTGAGGGCTGGCTTCTGTTGCCGCTGGATTAAAGGAACATCGTCGCCTGAAGATGGCTCCCACTCTGAAATATTATCACTATCATCGCTGACGTTGGGCTGGACCTTCCTTTTACGGGTTGGCGGAACTTGCGATTGTGGTGGTGTTGGTAATGAGAATCGATCGTGGCGCGTGTTGTCTGCGCCCACAATTGGGTTTGGGGGCATAGTCTGGCATAAGGCTTGGGATGTGACAGTGCCTTCGCGCCTCATGCGTTCTGAGGTAGAGGCAGCGCCACTCGGAACTTGAGGGACTTTGAATTGAATGGGTGCAGATAGACCGTTGGGGACGTTCACTGGGCCTGGCGCACCTGAGCTCGTATGAATCGGCTGACTGTTCCGATCTTCTTCATCTTTGATACCTGGTCGGAATATCTGTGATCGTCAGCAAACTGTAAATAATAACCTCTTAGTACTACCAACCTTGTCGTTGTTTCCGAAGAACGATAATGCTCCACTGGGGAGCGGCGGAATAAACGCTACCTGTCGACAAGATGGTCCAGCTGTATTGTTCTGAATCATGGATCGTGGCTGCGGCTCGATATCCTCGTCTGAGCAGAGATCAATGACCTCGGGTTTTTGCTGCTTAGGGCCATTGTAGTGCGGCTTTGGCACAGGTCTAGGCTGCGCCTTGGTAGCAGGTTTACCCTAGGCATCGTCAGTCTGTAATGTCCGCATATTGTTGGTTGTGAGCCTGGCAACAAGTGTCGAGGCACTACTGGGAATCCTACGTACCTGAATATGAGCTGCGCCCTGACCTGTAATTGCGCGAGGTGCTGTAGGAGCCCTCTTTGGCGCGTTTGCTGGCAACTTCGGTCGAACTGGCGCAGGTGTTGCTTTCTGCTGGGCGGCTGGCCTTCTTTGGTTGGGAGGATGCGGCCTGGACGGCATGTTTGCACCTGCTTGATGGAGAGGTACAGGGCGTCTATTTGGACCACTCCTAACCTGATTGACCTGATTGACCTGATTGACCTGAGAGTAGCTCATCCAGAATTGTTGCTGTTCATGCGCATCTATCTCTTGAAAATTTCTTCTGACATCTGCGGCTCTTAGTTCGAAGCTGTCCCTTCTCTCTTGTTGCTTCTTTGTGAGTTTAAGGTACTCTTCCATAACAGCTGGTGGTACTGCGCCTGTTGGTGGTTGCCCTGGCAGCTGTCGTGCTGCCATGGTGGTTGCGAATGTGTTCTTAATAGTGCGCTGAGGAGAGCAGTGCAAGGATGAGAAATTGTAGTAAAAGGTAGGTGTTGTGTCATTTAAGTGTTTCTCAAGCGAAAGGGAAGTTAAGGTGAAGGGGAATCAACTTGTTAATATTGATGTGACGGATAAATTATGGTGAGAGAGACTTGAAAGATTGCGAGATAAGCAAAATAAAGGTAAGAGAGACTTAAAAGATTGTGAGGCAGATAAATTAAGGTGAGAGAGATTTGAAAGATTACGAGACAAACGAAATGTTAGGAAAGTGCGATCACGAGAGCGGTAAGGAATGGCAAACGCGTAGCCCACACAAAATTTGTTAAAGATACACATCAATTCCAGAGAGCGCCGCACGATGCAACCCATATAGTACCACATAATGTACACGCCTAACCCCCGCTCCATCCGTCTAAAAACCCGGCGGGTTCAATCTTTGGCTGACCCTCGTCCACTTTGGTACCTCTGCTCAGATGTCAGTACTCACTCTCATGCACACACACTAATCGCCTCCTCTCCAATTCCTCTAGAGCTCCTTGAACCCCACTCCCCCACCCTGAGCAGCAAGGCGCACTTACTGTGAATGCCCTTCCTATACCTCTTCACTTTCCGGTCGAAAACTGTGTATTTGTCCTTGGGCAGCATCTCCTGCTCCGTCGGCATTTCCTTCTTCCACATTTCCACCTTCTTCAGGCTCTGGCCCAGGCGCGCAAGGGCGCTATCAACGGTAGAGACGATGGTATCGACACCCCTAAGGCGTTCGCGTTGGCGGTATTTCTGGTGGCGGGAGAGACGCCATGGGACTTTCCTGCATGATTAAAGATCAGCCTTGTGCGTAGTATGGCATGGATGGGAGTGAGGTTGGAGGCAAAGCGTCCATTGGATTGCGATCGCGGGGGTTCGTCTTCGGATTGGTGGGCTGCGTACCATAAAAGACCGCCCGACAGCGGGTTTGTGAGACGGAAGGGACCGAACATTGTGGGCGCGAGGTATGGCAGCTTGGATGGTCGTGATGAGGATGTGGAAAAGTCGCGGCTCGAATCCTTGGCGTTGGACCCTTGCTAGCGCTCTTTCTCCGCATCACCTCCGAGCACGACAATTCACCCCACGAGCGAGTCGAGGCGGCCACCGCGGCCATACCAGAATTGTGATCGACCAAACAAGCTCACATACTTGGAAGCCTGCCTCTTGTACGCTGCCATTCTCCGTACATCACCACACTTCCTGCCGGTCACGAGACGTATAAGCTCCGAATACTCCGCGAACGACCTCAATACGACCGTACTTCACATCACCGCATACGAGCTACAAGCCTGATACCTGCAATAACCACACCTAAAGCAACCACCATACCATCCGCGCACAATGTCCTACTACTTCACCATCTTCTCCCCAACCGACACCCCCCTCTTCACCCACGAATTCGGCACCTCCCGCTCCTCCGGCGACGGCACCGCCCACTTCAACGCAACAGACCGCCACCTCGCCCCCTTCATCCTCCACTCCGCGCTCGACATCCTCGAAGAAGTCCAATGGGGGCCCTCCTCCACCGCTGGCTCCGCCCCAATGTACCTCAAGCACATCGACAAGTACGCGAATAACTATGTCAGCTGCTGGATCACGGGGGCGAATGTGCGGTTTTTGCTGCTGACGAGGCCGAGGGATGAGGTGCTTGGGGAGGTGGACTGGGAGGGCAGAGGGGAGTCTTGCCGGGGAAGATTGGGGGTGGGGGGCGTGTATAGGCCTGATGCGCCGGCGACGGAGGAGGCGGTGAAGAATTTCATGGTCGATGTGTATGAGAGTTGGGTTAAGACTGTTATGAATCCTTTTTTTCACGCTGGGAATGGGGACGTGGTTAAGAGCCCGGTGTTTAGGGCGAGGGTGGCGGCTGCGGCGAAGAAGTATCTGTGAGGAATGATGGGGCGTGGGAGGACGCGGTATGGCATTGGGTCTGGGGTGAAAAGCGATGAGACGGGGGAGGCACGATGGGACTGCTAGAATGGCCTGTGCAGCGCTATGCAGATGACGAAGTGGAGGACGAGTGCAGCATGGGAATGGCGTCAGCGAGGCTGTAGAATCCCACAGAGGCGAAGAGACAGACCAGCGAAGAAGATATACCCAATAGACAGTGCGAAATCAGGTATCTCATACCATCCAATTACAGGACATACCAAACCCCCAACGAGGAGCAGCAATCTACACAAAGAACTCCTGCTACTCAAACCATCCATCCCATTTCATACCAGCACAACCATGGCATCCGCTTCCCAAAACACCCTAAACAAGCCTCCCGCTAGTGTCCACCCAACACTTCCTGTCCCTCCAGCGGCACATGCACCTGTTCCACCTGTTCCACCTGCGGCACCTCTTCCCTCACCACTCTCCTCCTCTCCCCAAAATTATGCAACCTCTCCCCCACAAGATACACCTCATCCCTCACAACACCCCTCCATCTCCTCGCGCACTCGATGCCCTCCTCCCCGCCCACGCCATGCCCACCACCGCCCCCGTACTCGGAAACGCAAACCGCCACACCAACGTCCTGCTCATCTCGTTGGCGCCGAGCAAAAGCGTGTAATTGAGTGTGATAGCAACAGCAGACGGCACGATAATCGAGACCACGAAGAGCGCAAGCGCAGGCAGGAGGAAGCACCGCGTAGCGATCTGCGCATTGGGGTTGAGATACCCATCGCGAATAACAGCTGCGAAAGCGCGGGCAGGACGGCTCGCGCGGTCCGCAAAGGTAAGTCTCGCGACTAGCCTCGCGTACAGGAAGCCCAGCGTCCAGTCCTGGATTAGATGCACGACGTGCGGTTCCTTGGGGCCGAGATACGCGTGCAGGGGAATCAGGCCGTAGAATTCTATCAGGACAGCGAAGAGGAAGGGGATGAGAAGGATGAGGCCACCCCATACGTAAGCGAAGCGTAACGCACGGAGGGCGGCGCGGCTCGCAGTCGCAGCGAGGGTGGCGAGGGCGCTGGCGGCGGGGCGGTCGATGGAGGTGAGGAAGGCGTGGAGGTGGTAGAGGGAGTAGGCGAGAGAACCAAGGGTGTAGAGGCCGAGGCTGAAGGAGTGGATGTCGTTCATTTCGACGGTCGCAGGCAGCAACAGTGAGAACAAGTAGCGACCGAAGAGCAGCGGGATGATAGTCGCACTCACGCCCGCCACGGCTGCAAAGATCCAGATCGTGAAGACGAAGATGCCGATGCGCAGGCGGAACCACGGGGGAATGTACACTTTAGCTACGAGATTAGAATTGTGTACGCCGCCGGCGTCCTGGAGACCATCTTTGCGCACGTTATCTGCGTCGACGTCGACGAAGACGGGGTCGCCCTTGGGAATGCGGACTTGGTCTGAGGCGGGGGCGCGGACGTAGCGGCCTTCGAAGACGAACTCGCCGGCGACTTTGCGGCCTTCTTGGTCTTTGGCTCTTTCGCCGAAGAGGAAGTTGGAGAGGCGGAGGAAGCGCGCACAGAGCTTAAACCACCATCCTGAGATTGTTTGTAGGGCGTCACTCGGTTTGTACAGCTTGATGATGACAGGAGTAAGGAAGTTGTAGAACAAGAGATCGAGCGGGAGCTCCAGTGATGGCGCGTGGGACACCCAGTGGATAGGCAGCACGCCGGTGGTGAGGCGGTTGAGAGTCCATACTACGCCGCCGAGGCAGACTATGACCAGGGCTCCGTACACTAAACCGCTGAACGCAATCTTCCGAAGTTGTGTGGTAACACTGCGTTCGAGCACATCGCGCACAGGATGGAATTGTGGGTCGTCAGGGTCGCGGATGAAGTAGAGCACGCCTCGGCGCATGATCTTACGGCACATGGAGACGAACAGAGCAAAATGGAACATGTAGCATGTGCCAATGAACCAGTGTACGAATCCTGATGTCCATGGGCTGCCGCGCGTGAACTGCCAACGAGTGTAGAGGTTTGCGTCTTTGAAGAGGGGTAAGAGTGCCATGTCGAGAAGAAGGCCACAGTAGAGGGGGAAGACCAACATCTCAATGGAGATGATTAAGATCACCTTCAGTACACCACCCGCTTGCTGAAGAATCTCGGTGATGATCCGCTCGATCTTCATGCCTTGAGAAGAACTGCTGAAGAAACCGCCGCGCTTGAGATAGACAGCACCGGCTAACGCGAAGAAGGCATAGCCAGCGAGGACTGCAATCAAGCGATCAGTTGCTGTCCATTGAGCCTCGGCTGCAGAAAAGGGGCTAATATCGCTGCCAAAATCGAGGTCGAAGGTGATCTTGTACGTTTTGGTAGCCAATAGCCATGATGCAACTGAGGCGACTTTGGTGTACAGTGTCGTGAAGGATGCTTTAATGGCTTCTGGAAGTAGGCGAAGGGTTGCGAAAATGATTGAGGAAGACCTGTTCTGTGCGGCATCTTCTAAGAATACGGTTACCATATTGCTCGTTTGGTTCAGCGTATAGGACGTGGTGTTCTGAATCGTGCGTAAAGCCTCATGCGAATGGATTGATAACCGGAAATAGGTCGGTGGCGGGAACAGCGGCGAGGTTTCAACAAGTTTCCAAAGACGAAGTGCTGCGTTGGCTGAAATCGACTTTGCCTGTTCGAAGGCGAGTTCAAATGGACGATCCATGGTGCCCTGACTGGCCAGTTGGACGCAGCGCGACATGACCTCCAGCACACCTGATACCATAACAGCGGCTAGGAACACAAAGCTGTCGACAAGGAGATCTGCCAATGTCGCTATGATCTGCAACGGGAGTTTGACGAAGAGTGCAACTGGGCTGCCCATGAATAAAATGACCACCTTACCCCACAAGTAAGGAAGCCAGACAGCGCAGGCTAGAGTCGCAGAGATCAGAACAGCACTAAACATGGCATTCTGGAACAGGCCGGTTAGAGGGCCTTGCATGCCAATGAGTTCCAGGATACCCTCCAAGTCTTCAGCATCGTCGATAGCATCCTGGTCGTTGACGTCGATACCAGCTTGCGCAGCTGCTGCCGCAACTTCAGGATCTTGGATTGGTTGGTTCGCTACTTCGCGCGGCTCGTTACCTGCAAAAGGCACAAAAGGCGCCTCATCAGCTATGTTGCGTACGATGTGCGCATCATCGGCACCGTCCTCTGCTGCTTGCACACCAGGTGCGACGCCGTCGAACATCCAGTCCAGGATACGGTCCAAAGTGCGGCGAGGTGGCTGCACATCACCTCCAGGAGCTGGCTCAGGTTGCGCTTCGCGCGCAACGTCATTCTCCTGATGCTGTTCCTGTGGTAATTGTGGTGGAACATCGACCGCAGAGTCCTCTGCATCGGTGTCCACACCATTTCTGTAAGAGTCCGAACCGCACGTAGACATGTTCGACGCCTCATCGACGACTTCCGAGGGTCCGAATGTGTCGCCTTCTGTAGACATTGAGGGCCCTGACCTTGCAATAGGAGATGGGCCGTGGTCGTTGCCGACATCTTTGCCTTTGCCTTTGCCTTTACCTGTGGAATCCTGGTCGCTACCTTCGACAACAATATCTGGGACCTGTTGCCAGCTTTCGCTGCTATGGTCGCTGCCTTGTTCTTGATCAGCCAGCGATGAGCCCGCCACTTCATCATCCCACTTGTTGGGAACCGTAGCATCAGAATTCCGCGAGTTGTCCCCTGCCGCCTCTGGTACATTCGCAAATGACCATGAACTATCCTCTTCCATGCGCCGTTTGACATCAGTAGCAAGGGATGAACGACCTCGAACTGGCATGTGCGGTCTCTTGGACGGCGAGGCCGACCCCGTACGTGCCGCTGAAGGCGTCTCGTGGGTACGGTACGCCAGACTACTTGAGCGCGCAGGGAGACTCCGTCCTCGAGTAACACGTGCTTCATCTTCCCGGCGCTGCTGAATTTGCTCCAGCTTTTCTTCTATACCGCCGGGCAGTTCGTCGAGGAAGTAATCCCAATCTTCTGACAGCTGGAACGACCCGTCTTCGAAAGCTTTTATTATCATCTCTTCCGGAGGTTCACCCCTTTCATGCCAAGCTTCCAAGATAGCTCGGCCTTCTGGAAGTTCGCTCTCTAGCTTCTCTGCGCAATCGAAACTTGGTCCTCTAATTATCGGTCGTGTGGGTGTTCTGTCCTCTTCGCCTCCTTCTGCGTCTCCTGCATCGTCCGCATCGCCACCCTCGTGGGCATGTTCCTCTCTGAGAGCAGCTTCATCTTCCACAACGTCCTCATGATGTTGAGCCTCTTGCTCCGCAGCTGCGGCGGCTGCATCGCCGTTCAGCGCTACCATGTTGATGACAGGTTGCTGTTGTACAACCCATTCGCGTATTAGGAATATCAAGATGAATACAACTACAACAGCGAGGGTGATGATCTGGCCCTCGAGCACGTCGACCAAGAAACCATTCGCCGCTTGTGAAGGGAACCAGTTGAAGAAAGAAACGTCAGAAAGGAGGGATGGATTGCGTGGACCCAGATGGTCTGCGGTAGCATTCAGCTCGGTTCTATTCAAGGCTGGTGGAGGCGCCAGTGTGTGCAGCGGAGTGATGAAGCCCCAAAGGAAGCGTTTGGCAAATGTCCAGATGCCTGGCTCGCCAGCACTCGTGTTCAGCGTGTGCGAAAATGGCATGAGCAGGCTCGGGATGGGGGTGTCTTGAGTCTGATTTGCAGCTTGGGCTGCTTTGTAGGCAGAATGGAGAGCATTCAGGTCGTACACGGAGGACGGTGAAGTCCCGTTCTCTAAGCTGCGGAGCTCGATATAGTCGTCACGGTTCCATCCTCCGTCACCGACCCAGAAGAGACTCCGCCAGACAACGCGCATGCACCAGGGCAGCAGAATCAGCCAGACCGAGGCCACCAGTACAGCGCGACACCATGTCATGAACAGCTTGAGTATGTGGACGGCGGCGCGGCGGAGGAAGACGGAGGTGGGTATGGTGTTTGGCATGCCGGGGTGGTACAGCTTGGTGAAGCGGAAGGACGTCTTGCACAGCTCGCAATATTTCTTTTGCGAGTGGGATAGCCACTCCATGAGACATTCCTGATGCACATATTTGATGCTGCCGCTACACTTGCACGGGTAGAACAGCGGCTCGTCCGGCGTGCTCTCGCCCCGACATATGCGACAAGTGTCGACATCGTCCTTGTCTGGCGGCTGGTTATGTGATTGTGGGACGGTCGCCGGCGGGGCATCTGGTATGGGAATGAGACCGGAGTCGCCTGCGGAAGCCATGTCTCAGCGGGCCAGTGGAAGCCGTGGGGTTGGGTGCTATGTGTGGACGAGTATAAAGGCGTGGTGCCGCAGCGGGGGGCTATGAGCACATCGGAGAGCGTGGTAGCGACGGTGTTGGGTCGCGGAGGGTCTTTAGGTGTGGCCTGTGTTGTCGCAGAGACTCAAAGCTGCGAGTGGAGGGCGTCGGCGTGAAGTAGTGAAAGGTAGTCGCTGAGGAAACGTCGGTGGACTTTTTGGCAGCTCGATGGTTCAACGCGGAAGTCAGCCAGTCGCCGCCGCAGCGGGCCCTTTCGCTTGCTTGGGTCTGGGGTGCTACTGGCAGCCTCCCGCCTTGCGCCTGTTGCTGATCTACTCGTACCTGCTAGCATGCACGCAACAGATGTCTACAACAGCCAGCATTAAGCCGCTTTGGGCCTGAGACATTCACTGTAGCCAAAAGCAGTTTCTCAACATGCAAGCTATGCAAGTCAGGCCGACAACCATGGCGTCACGACCGAAGCAACACGGTGCCAAACAAAGAGCGCGGGCGGCGTATCAAGTACGCGCCCTGCAAAACTTGCCGGCGGTGCGGTGAGATTCCACCCGCATGGCTGATACGCAGCAGTCTCCTGTGCCCCCGACGCGGGAAACACGCGCCTCGGTATCGCACCATCCCTCACCACATGCATCCTTTCCAGCTCGTTGATGTTCCCCATCGAAGATTGATTGTGTGATCGCGCCCCGACCTTATCAAGGCCAACGTCTGCACGCGATCAGCACGTGGTCTGACATCATCCCTGTCCGTGTCTGCGCCTGGAGCTTGCATCCTGGTCCCGTCCTGCCCACATCTCTCACTTTGGTTGACTTCCACCCACCCCAGAGGACAGCCTGTAACTCGGTATGTGTATCGCGCCCAAGCCCCCATCCATCAACAGAATACTCACATCTCTCACAGAGGCTTGTCAATCCAGCGTGTCACCTTACACCGCCGTCCGCACGTGAACACCGACTGTCGCGAACCTACACGCACGCTTCACACACAGCCATGGCAGGCCAAAGTAATGGTCGGGCAAAAACGCCAAAGAAAGCCACACCGAATGGCAAAGCGAATGGCCATATGAACGGCCATGCCGACAAGTCCCAGAAACTATCTGCCAAACAGACAAACACCAGCAGGAAGCCGAGGACAACATGGATAGGCAGCTTGACAAACGTCATGGGAAGGTACGTCGCTTTATCAAAACATTCCTGGCTCTTTCTTGCCTGTACAGCGGCTGCCCACGAGAACCCATTATCGCCTTCAATATGCCGCCCTTGCAATGTGGCAGCACGCTGACTACCACCAGATTACTGTCGTGGTATCTCATCGTCACGCTTGCCTTCAGATGCCCTTCGTCGTTGACCCAATTATCCGACTCGTCTCCACAAGTCTGCAAGCCGTATCTTCACGCTCGGTCGTATGCCGCACCGTACCTAGATCCCTACTATCAGACCTACGTCGCGCCGCAAGTCGAAAAAGTACAGCCCTATGTGGACACGTTCGATCAGCGCGTTTACACCCCCGTCTCAACATTTACGAAGCACCAATACGCTACCTACGGCGCCCATCGTGTTGAGCAGGCGCAAAAGTACGCCGAGGCCGAGTGGGCTAGGACCGCGCGACCCCACATCCAAGAGCTTCAGGATAAGGCATACGCTCAGTACGAACAGCACCTGGGCCCTCATGTCAAGACCGCCTCGGATGCCGCAAGCCCGTATATTGAGCAGACCAAGGAAAGCCTGGTGGAGATCTATCATCTGAGCCTTCTCCCCGCGTATGAGGCACTATTACCATACGCTCGTCAGGCGTATGCTCAAGGCCATCACGCCACAGTGCATCTCATCTTCCCTGTTGTTCAGTCGGGGCGGGATGCATCCTGGAAGTTTGTGTCTCGTACCCTCTGGCCATACGTGCGAGTCCTTTACGGCGACAATGTCGAGCCTCAATTAGTGCGCATCAGGGAAAGACTAGGAAGATACAAGGACCAGCAGAAAATCGAGTCAGTAGTTGAGGCTGTTGACTCTTCATCGTAGGTTTGCACTCTTCCTACCTCAGGACATGGTATGCTAATCGACCTTAGGACTTCATTGCTCAAGACTGACGCCATCACCTCCACTGCTACTATTGCTTCCTCCGTCTCTTCGGCTGTCAGCTCCGCCACCGAGTCTACGAAATCTGGCTGGGGCGTTTTCGACGACTTCTTCGGTTCTGAGTCAAACTCAAAGCCGTCTGAACTCGAGACTAGGAAGTCTACTCATTCCAAGCCGCCTCAACCCACCGGTGCAGAGCTGAGGGAAAAGCTCAACCAGGATCTTCGGGACTGGCAGACCAAGTTTGCAACCGCTGCAGACAAGGGTGCAGAGGACTTGGACACACGCGTTGCTGAGATCACCAAGCGACAGATTGACAATGGTGTCCAGGGACATGGCGCCGCCATGATCGTTCAACTTGAAGAGACTGCGGAGTCAACCATCTCTTCGTTGAAGAAGTTCATCAAGCAAACTGTGAAATCGCTACCCGAAGATGCGACAGAGGAGCAGTTGGAAAAAGCCTACGAGCAATGCGTTGCCAAAACACGAGAGCTTGGGCTGGCTGTCAAAAATAAGTCACAAGCGGTTAGGAAGTGGAAAGTCGCATTCGACCAGGAAACCGATAACCTTGTCCGTGCCGCTGTTGGGAGCACCGTTGAAGTCCTCGAGAAGATACACGGTTTGGGTCTCCAAGAGGTCGGCATGCGCTGGGCTTGGCTTGATGGTGTGGAATATAAAGACTGGCAAAACTACCACAAGCTGAGAGACACTCTCAACGAATGGCAAGAGGAGGTCGAGGCCGTTGGCGCAAGACACGAAGGCTTGAAGGTTGCTCATGAGGAAGCAGCGAAGCTCGAAGACAAGGCCATGGCGATAGCATCGACCATGGTCAACGAGCTCGTTCGTCTCAAGGATGCATCCAGATGGAAGATCTGGGCTGGAGACCATTCCGATGACTTCTCGGAAAAGAAGGTACCGGTTAGGGCCTACAACGCTGCCCAGCAAGTTCTCAGCGGCGCACAAGAAGCTTCTTCGCAAGCTTCTGAAGCAATACTTGGTTCGGAGACTCCCGCCAGCGAGAGCATTGCATCTGCGGTCAAGGAATCCGCCTCGAGCGCCTCATCACAAGTTTCGGAGAAGATCATAGGCTCAGAAACTCCTGCCGCTGAGAGTGCTGCATCGGCTGCCAAGTCTTCAGTATCCAATGCCGTCGTTGGCTCTGAAACTCCCGCTACTGAAAGTCTTGCGTCGGTCCTGAAGTCGGAAGTCTCCAAGGCATCCTCCAAAGCTTCTGAAGCCGCCAGTGCTGGCCAAGATGAGGCCAGCAGTGTAGCTTCGGACGCAGCAGAGAACATCGAGAGAGCGACCAAGGCAGCCAAGAAAAATGCTGAAGGAGCAGCTTCTGCAGCTTCAGAGGCACCGAAGAAGGTTTGGGGCGGAGCAAATGCCCAAGTCCTTGCGGAAGCCAGGGAGGTTGTTTTTGACGACGTGATTGACGATGATGAGGATGATACTTACTCTCAAAAGATTCAGAGTTTGGTCGCAGACGCTGGAGACCGAGCATCTGACCTCAGTCGAGCTGTGAGCCAGGCTCTCCTCCAACCTACAAAGACGCAAGGCACTGCCGAGTCCGTCACTTCGCTTGCCAGCGAACAGTATGTGGCGGCTCTAGCTGCCGCTTCAAGTGTTCTGTATGGCACACAACAAGGGGCAGTCGACAGCGCTACCAGCGTCGCATCGGACAAGTTCGCATCCGCTGTTACTGCGTAAGTACGCGCCTACCCATGACTGCGAACGACACTGACAACACGTTAGGGCATCTTACGCCATATACGGTACGCCCACGCCTACTGCAGTCGTCCAAACCGTTCGCACGCACGCTAGCTCCCGCTACAACGAGGCAGTGAGCATTGCCAACGAGCAATTCGAGAATGCTAAATCGCAGCTCTCCGTTCTGGTTTCTGGTACCACAAAGCCTGCTCACGAGACTATGCTCGCAATGATCGAGAAGGCATACTCGGACTCCGTCGCAGCTGCTAGTGAACGGCTGGGCGCTGCTCTGCAATACACCGAGTCCGTGAAGAGCTACGCAGCTGGCCCTACCCAAGGCTACTTTGAGTCAGTATCCTCTATTGCCTCATCTAGGCTGTCTGAAGGGTTAAGCCACGCCTCTGCCCAGTTCTCTTCCCAACCAACCGGATCACCTGCACTCGACGGCGCGCGCCGACAGTACTACGAAGCGATTGGACTGGCCCATGAACGATACTCTGCGTTCCTCGGTGCTGCTTCTAGCGCCGTCTATGGACCGGAGCAGGGCACCTTCGAATCACTCGCCTCAGTAGCTTCCGATTCAGCAGCTTCGATTGCCGATTCCGCACAGTCGTACGCATCAGGTGCATCCGATTCTGCACAGTCCGCCGCGGCCAACGCTCAAAAGGCAGCCGAGTCCCTGGCATCGCAAGTCAGCTCTGGTGTCATTGGATCTGAGACTGCCTGGACCGAATCTGTAGCCTCTCAAGCGAGCCAAAACTGGGAGGCTCTGATTGCGAAGGCCAGCAACCAAGTGTACGGTGCGCCAACTCCTTGGGCAGAGTCAGCCTACTCGCAAGCTGGCGCCTACGCTGCACAAGCAACCGCCCAGGCCGTCGAACAGGCTGCCGCCGTTCAAGCTTTGATTTCTGAACTCGTCATTGGGAAAGAGCCTGATTTCACAGAGAGCGTCATGGCTCGATTCTCTTCTGCATACTTCACGGGCCTTCCGGCCGCTGTTTCCTCCGTCAACTCATTCGCGTCCGAGAACTACGAAGCTGTCACCTCCTATGCGGGCGAGAGCTACGAAGCGGCCTCTGAGTTTGCCGCAGACGCCTACGCTTCTGCCTCCTCGGTTGTTGAGTCTGTGTTCGTACCTCCGCCGGCTATCGAGACCATTCTCGGCAACGTCAACGACCAGCTCAATGCCGCTGTGGAAAGTGCTTCCGTCGCCGTTTACGGCACGCAGAAGGGCACCGTCGAGCAAGCCAGCGAGTCCGTCGCCAGCGCTTACGCCTCTGTCCAGTCCAAGGCCAGCGAAGCCATCTACGGTACCGCACAGGCATCCCAGGACTTCGCGGCCGTGGCCTCGAGCGCTCAGGCAGCTATCAGTGAGGCCATCTTCGGCACGCCTACGGCTACGGGATACGCAGCTTCTGCTTCCAACGGCGCGGCTGCCGCAGCGAGCGTGTACAGCTCCGTTGCTTCTGTCGCCAGTGAAAAGGCTGCCAATGCCGCCGCCGCAGCTAGCGAAGCCATCTACGGACCGGAGCAAGGCGCAGTGGAGAGCGCAAGCGCTCGTCTCGCTGCTGCCGTCGAGGCGGCCAACTCCCGTATCAGCGAGCTCTACGCTGCAGCGGCGACCAACGCGGAGGCCGCGGCTAGCGGCGCGAGCAGTGTGGCGGCCGAGGCGACAAAGCGCGTCAAGGATGAGTTGTAGACTCGCTGCATCGTGGAAACGACGTGTTTCGTCGAACGAGTACCCGTCACCTGGATCACGTCTTCTCCGACAACTGTATCTTTCCTTCCGAGAGATTGAACGACTGACCAGGTGTCCGAATGACACCCTTCTTCGCACCGCACACCCCCTTCCCAACGATGGATCTCCCACCAAACCTCACCCTCGTTTCCTCAAATCAACGAACAACAACGCCACACCGCACACCCTATACTTCCGAACGCTCTTCAGGTCATCCTTTTGGCGGTTATCTATCTTGCGGTATTCCCCTTCAGTTGCAGCAGGGCTGGGCTGGACACGAATGAATGTTATGCTGTGTATGATTTAGTGTTTCCCTTTTTATACTGTCTGGCAAGCAAGGGAGGATTATAGTCTAGTGTCTTGTAGCGTGTGGGGGCTGTAGGCAGTGAATATACCCTTTTTTGCTTTTGACTGTAAGTGGTTTGTGATTATGTGTGTAGGTGTATGCTGATAGGGAGAGTGGCTGGGAAATGAAGTTGTGCTTTGGATGCTTGGTAGGTGGGGTTGTACTTAGTGAAGGGTGTAGTAAAGGGTGTAGAGAGTGTTTCCAGATGTGTGGCTACGGACGGGTACGTCGTCTTTCTGGTGGATCGTCTTTTTGGTACGACGGTCCTCACGTGAGGTGCGCGAAGGATGGAGAAGGTTTCTCCGTACGTACGGGTAGAGACGCATAGATGTCGTGCTGCGTTTGATGAGCGGCTGGGTTCACGAGGCATCTTTCTTTTCGGCGGTTCGTGGTCGGAACGAGTTCAGTACGGTGGAAGTTCTCATTTGCTGGCTGAGCTGGACTGGGGATTCACTAATCGCTTCACGCGCTTTTTCGTTCTTCATCTTTTTTGAGTAGATCGCTTCCCAGTAGTGTAGCTCAGTCGTAGTTAGAAAACTATCTATACGGTTCTATACGGTGACTGGTTTAGGCAAATGCTCACGAGGTGACAGTAGAGGATGAGTAGAGTTTCTTCCACAGTCTTGCGTACGGCGATCACACAACTGCGAGTCATGTGCCTCCGCGCTGCGGACGCGGAAGGGTAAACAAGTCCCGCCCGCCGTATAACATCCTACCGCCCGTTTACCCGGCTTGACGCTCCCGTGGCTACGCTTTTAGACTGCGCTTGCTCTCCCCGGCGGCGGTTAGGTAATAGTTTACCCGTACGAAACTTAAATATGAATGCGTACGAGGGGAGTATTGCGGGCGCCTGCTTACGCGGGAAGAAACGCGTCGCAAAGGTGGCCGTGAGACTCGCGTGAGCCCCGGGGCGAAACTTTATATCTTCTTGAAGCGTGGCTAAGAGGTGGTTCTCGGAGTGGCAGCTGGGAGAGCCAATGGGGTGGTTCCGGTGCTGGGGAGGGAATCCTGTAGCTGGGGAAGTTTATTTGTTCGCCATGGGTGTGTCGGGACCGCGGCGGAACCTTAGATGAGCCAATTTCGACGCCACAACGGCGTTGCAGCTTATGGGTTGATGGATGGCTTGCGGAGCTGAAAGGTTGTCAGGAGATCAGCTGCGGGACGGGAGCGCCCTTGGACTGGGTCGACGGGTACAAGTCGTCATGTCGTCCGCGACCGTGCTTGTGGGGAGGAAGTGGATTGAACGCTCTTTGCTTCCACTTTTGACGGCGGCGACCTTGTTCTTCGATTCTTTGCTAGTCCCCGCATTCGTGGGTGTCTACTGGTCGTTGTTTTGAATATTCAGATTCCTTCGTTATACCCTGTTGGATACTTCTTCGCAGAAGTACAGTAGAGAGCAATGGGCATCCTAGACGGTCCACCACCTCCCGACACCAACTATGCGCCGACCTTCCTCGCCGTGACCGGTGTCTTCACACTCCTTGCCGTTCTCCTCTGCGGTGCGCGCATCTATTCGCGGATACGGCCAACTTTCAACATCCGCGTGGACGACTACCTCATATTAACAGCTACCGTACGTACCCTCCATGACCGCCCTTCTCAATCCTCATAAGCTCCGGACTGATGGCCTGGGGGAATAGATACTATGCCTCGTCGACCTCTCCCTCTCCATCGCCTCCTCCGTCCACGGCTGGGGCCACCACAGCTACTACGTCACCCCCTCAGACGTCATCCAAGTAATGAAGATAAACTTCGTGCAACAAGTCGTCTGGATCGCCGCCATCGCTCTAACGCGCCTATCCATCGCGCTGTCTCTCCTCCGCCTGAGCCCGGACCGGTACTGGAAAATCACCCTCTGGAGCATCGTCGTGATACAGATGGTGACGTATTTCGGCCACATGTTATTCCAGTTTGCGAACTGCCGGCCGCTGCGAGCGAGCTGGATGCCGGTGTACGACGTGCGGTGCTGGCCGAGGCGCTATGTGCTTGTGTTTGGGTGGGTGGCGAACAGTACGTTTATCCGCCTCTCAGTATCCTCCTTTCCCCTTCTTGGATCCCTCTCAGTACTCTTATCAATATTAGGAACTGACAAAAGTAGGTTTATTAGTTTTGAACGACGTGATACTAGCCTTGCTCCCCATCCACCTCATCCTCACGCTGCACCGCTCGACGCGCGAGAAGATCCTCATCTGCTGCCTCATGGCCATGGGGCTGGTAGCGGCTGCTATAGCGGCGTACCGCATGGGGATTTCCGACGCAACCTTTGCGGGCGACTTGATCTCTTCGACCGTCATGATGAGCATGTGGTGCATGCTAGAAGTACTGCTTGGCATTATCGCGGCGTGTTTGGCGCCGCTGAAGGCGCCGGCTGAAAGAGTGCTGCATAGGGCGGGCGTGCTGATTACGAGGGGGGAGTTGACGAGGCCGAGTTTTGTGATGAGTATGGGGGAGCAGGAGGTGGGGGACGAGGTGCCGCCGAGCAGGAGGACGGATGATTCGGGGTTGAAGGATAGTGTGCATTCGGGTCAGGGAGGGAAGACGAAGACGGGTGTGTTGACCGTGGAGGTTGCGCAGGGAGATAGGAATAATGGGGATGTGGTATGAATGGTTCGAGGAGCGATTGTGGATGGGAGGATCATAAGGATGGCACCCCCAGAGCTTTGGGTGTCTTGAAAGAGTGCTGGGAATGAACTTGAATGGTTTCCCCACCCCCTTTGGCCGTCCTCGGTGTTTCCTTCAGTCCGCCCTTGAGCGATGCAATACTACCTCGTATGCTGTGGGAAGAGACCGTGGCAGGGGAGAAGCAAGCTGGTACATGGGCTAGTGCCGGAAAGGAAGGAAGTCGTTTGCGCCGCCAGAACAAGGGCAAGCTCTGGCGACCTCCGTCGATGCAGTACGAAAGGACAAACTGATTCTAAAGCAAGTATCTCCAGATGAAGGTACGGTGAGTCTCACCTTCAACAAATCACCTGATGACGGGTCTTGCGGTGCCCTTCGATACTTCTCCCAAGGCGACGAGATATGCAAAGTTGATAAGATGTCCTTGGATGTCATCAAGGATACGGTGCTCGTGGAATTTGTGAAGTACTTCGAACCCTCAGGCAGGCGAGATGACGAACTTCGTAATGCAAAGATGAGGAGTGGAGGAGCATAGCTGGGGTGTAATCACGGCCTTCGCACCGTAGTACGTCTTTGCAATGGGTGGATTGGCGTTGAGGGAGCCTGTCAGTGGTATACATTGTGCGGGGACAGAGACAGCTGAGAACTGGCCAGGGTACATCGATGAAGCAACTGGTAGCGGTCAACAAGTAGCTTGCGAGGTTTCAGGGAGCATGAAGTGATTGTGCTGTTGATAGTAATGTACGATCTATGCAAGTAATGTTGCATTGGAATCTATGGAGGTCACCTTCGAGGATGTTCTTAATTCCGAAATTCCGAACCGTTTCCGACGCTAACGTCATCCCAGCTCTCGAAAACTCCAATTCCACGCGCTTTCAGCCTGGAAAGTTACACTATGGCGCCCTGAAATACCTGCGACTACTCACAGAGTCTTACGCCCTTGAAACAACGTCGCGCAACCGTACGCGCGAACCGACCGCTCAACGAGAGTTATGCGCCGACCCCACAGCCCACAATATATAATTAGAGGCGCGCAATGAGCGATAGACGGGGGCAATGGAAGCGCGAAAAGCGGCAACATGTTCAATCAGATGATGGATGGACCGTTGTCTCCGGCGGAAGACCGAAAGATGGCGCTGAAGCCCAACAGCTACAATCTGCAAGACCTACCAGGACAGTTGGCGGGCTGACAGAGGAGAAGCTGTTGGATGAGTTGAACACAATGGAGCGGAAATGGGAGAAGACCTCCTGCGCGAAGAACCTCGCGCGGATGCTCAGCTTGCGAGACTGGATGGTCACAGAGGCTGTTTGCATTGGCATTGGAAGTTTCAGCATTGATTGGGACCATCGGTATCGGTCGATGTGGCAGTTGGTGCTCTTTCGGGCGGTGGTGAAGACAGGTAAGTCGAAGCTTTGGTGGTGTCCGCGGACCGTAAGCTGATGTGTGTATAGTACAGCAAGAGGGTGTACCACTTGCTTTATACGCGCAAGAACCAGCATTCACACCTATCGATATCTCTTTTCTTTCTCGTCTTAAAATCACCGCAACGTCTTCCGGAATTGAATCCCGCATAACTTCGAGATCCTTCATATACGCGCCGTTTGTCGACTGGTACATACTTCTGCCCTTATTCTTGAAGGAAAAGGATCCGGAGCTATACATTGGCAATGAGATACTAGGCAGCTATGGGACGTATGCAAATACGAAGGAGAAGAAAGATGTACTTGAAGAGTGCAATGGGCTAGGCAAGAAGTTTGCAAAGGGGAGGGAGCGAAGAAGGGTACCGGATTTTGAAGAGCATGGAAATGCGTTGGAGGGATTGATGATTTATTGGAAAGAAGAAGAAGATGAAGATGACTGAAATATATGACCATGATACGCATTTTCGAATAAGAGATATAGAGGTCACCCCGAAGTCCAACATGACTCGCTCCCTCGATACGCTAGTTCCTATGATGGTACAAGTAGTAGAGGCAAATATCAGCTGTGTGGTGAATGTCTGATCACATCGCACTCTCTTACCGTCCCTTAATGTCCGCCTACAATGCTCTCCTCCCGGTCATTTCTTGGGGCCCCCTGGTACCCTTCACTTTCCCTTTCACTTTGTTCTATGATTGCGGGCCTGCCGTGCGATGTTGTTTTCACCTGCCGTTCCTTCCTGTTCCGTTGCCGCACATCGGAATAACAATAACCCCGCTGTTTCCGTGAACCCTTTGCCCTCACTTCACGAGTTGTACTCTGCTTCTTACCTTCTGGCTCGGAGATCCTCGTCGTCACAATGGCGCCTCAAGTCAGTCGCTCCGAGTTTCCATGGAGCAGTCCGGTTGTCATTGTCAAGTCTGGAGATGTAGCTCTCACCAAAGAGGAACTCGCGGACTTGGTCCTTGGTAAGCGCCTCCATCTATGGGTACGTCTTTCTACCAGTGCACTAACATGAGCAGGCTCCCTCGCTGCGGACGCTTTGGGTAATGACTCAACCCCAGTTGAGAAGCCGACCCTGAATGTCAAACCAACACATCCGTCGCGCGATCTCAGGAAAGAGAACGCAGAGCTCAAAAAAGCGCTTGAGCAGTGCCGAAAGCGCGAAGGTGCTATCCAGGCTGTGTTTATCAAGAACCACGAGAAAGAGCAAGAATTATCCGCAAAGGAGCGAGAGCTAGATGACAAGCATTCCAAGCTGGCAATCTACGAAGCAAGGCTGGAGGTTGAGAAAAAGGACTCCTCTAACTACGAGTTCTGGGCGGACCACACGCCCGCACAAGCCGACCGGAAACTGAAGGCACGCGTCGAATACCTTGAGCGTGAGTTGGCCCGGTGCCTGGAGCGCGAGGACGCAGTTCTGGGGGCGCTCAATGAGAATCAGAAGAAAGAGCAGCAGCTGGCTGAGAAACAATTGAAGCTGGAAAAGCAAGAGCAATGCCACATATGTGAGAGTAAACTACTGCAGATCACGCAGGATGCTCTGGAAAAGCAAAATCGGTGCATCGATATGTATATTGCAGAACAAAACCTTGTGCTTGAGTCCTACAGAACTGGATCCGCGCAGTCAGATGCTGAGGTGGAATCCGAAAGCAATCGGAAGTGGACGGCTACTCTGCAACAACCTCGTAGTACCATCCTGTCATGTGGAGATTCCAAGAAGCTGTTCGACAACGAATCTTTCGCACATCTGGACGAGTATGACTTTGAGCTGTTCAATTCAACAGTCATGAAGTCCCGCGATGTAGAGCTGCTCCGGAGGCACGACTACTACAAAGGCTGGCTTGATGCAAAGAAGGCCGAAGACGCGGAGCATGCTTTCAATGAAGGACTTTTGGGAGAACGTGACGCAAAATATCTCTGGGACATCGGTGATACTAGGAGTGCATCCAATGCAGGTCACAATGTTGGCGCTTCGTTCGGTTGGTCTGCTCTATGTGTGGAGCTTGACGAGAAGGACAAGGATCCCCGACTTGATGGCAGGCAGTGGGCTCTTGCTGACCTGGTTCCTCTGACGGGAGCACAGAGCAAGGATTTCTGGGAGGGTGTTAGGGCTGGTTCGGACTACGCCGCCAAAAACTTCATGGAGAGGAAGAGGAGCGGGAATTGGTATGAGACTGTCGATGGACACGAGGCAATAGCGTGACTTGTGAGTGGTCTTCCGAGGACTAGAGGTTAATGACATGGCACAGTGGGTGTTGGTTAAGACTTTTCTTTTACCCACAAAGTAAGCCATGAATGCGAAACAGCAGGGTGTTGCCCTATTCCTGTTTCGAATGTTGCGGTCTCGTCTGAGATACCGCAATGGACACACGGGCGCTGTAGCTGTAGCTTGCATACTCGAATTGTATGCTATACCTCTGAATGTTGTCTAGAACCGCATCGAACAAGGTAAATACGTGTGAATCATATAAAACCATGCCGCACGCGGAAGGGCTTCGCAGAATCAACTCTATCGCGATTTAAGAGTCGTTGATCGAGGGTGAAAGTAAGGCTTTTGCCGGAAACAATGATGAATAGTTGCCAATGAGTCGGCTGACGACAATACGACTAAAGCGTAGGTGTAGATGATGATCAGGAAATGTGCAGCTGCGGTAACAGACATTATACTTGAAGGAGCTCTAGAAAGCGACATTGTCGCGTACGTACGACGCTTATATATCATATATCGACTGTCTACGTCTCGGAAATTCTAAAGACACAACCAGAGCTCAACACACCAAGAAGTCTAGACAAATTTCATATTAACGCATGGAATTATGACAAGCCCGTTGAAACTGATCTAAATACTTTGATGTTGCTTTTCACGGGGGAAACTCAAATCGACTTTTTCTTTGATTTCTATGGCACACATTTACAACGCACCAAAACCTCTTCACCGAAATCTTACAAGATGGACTAGAAACCCTACACATTTCCAATTTCCTCTCCCGATAATACAAATAGCAGTTAAGGAGACGTCACGATCAGCTATTTTACATTCAACATAATCGATCCTTTCTTTGCATCCATGGGCCACCTTTACAACCCATAAAACACCTATCCACCAAGACCGTACAAGCTGAACTAAAGAAGCTTGCACATTTCTCATTCCGTTCCCCCGATAATGAAGCTACTGATGTACGAGAAATCGAGATCAGCTATTTCGCATTCAACACACTCGAAGATCGCAACGAACATTCGCATATATCAAAAGAGTATGTACATCCAAAGCGTGCAGCCTTCCCCCCAACCCATCACCCACGGTAAAACAAACCGAAGTCAAACATTGGGATTACACGAAATTTTTATTCCCTCTTCATCAAGCAAACACACCATACCCCAGCACAGCTCCATCCTTCCTCCACATTAGTGCAACCCACCTCCTTATACCACACGCCGAGACGTGAAAGCACTCGCCCTGCCCTCAAACCACACGACTTATACAGCATTATCGCTCGTATACGGTAAGGAACAGACTCTACGGGCCGTTACCTTTTCGACTGTGACTAAACCACAAGTCGATTGTATTTTAACGCCACGCCAAACTACCTACCTAACCTGCTTACAATCTCACCATATGGTATCATATCCTAGCCTTGGACTGGCTGCGACGTCCCACATTCCTCCAGTGCGATCGATGCACCATACAGGACAGGTCAGGTCGCCGTGCTCGCACAGCGCATAGACAAGCCTTGCCGTGCCTTAATAGAGCGCCAAACAGCTGCATTCTGTGTCCTCCAGTGAAAGTGTAAGTAACCACATGACGACCCCCCGTGGAATCAATCGGAAAGCATTGTCACCACGTATTGCACCATGCGACGTGCAAGCCGCGAGATGTGCTGATGCACAGCGTGGCCGCTGTTTATGCTAGCCACGGGGGAGCGTTAGTATCGTCTGTTAAAGAGGGAGAAAGAGGCTGCTTAGGTGCAAGAGCGGTGTTGGATTGGATTGGGTCTTCATGGCACCGAATGAGGTGGCTGCTTTCTGCACAGGGAAACGATGTCGCTGTGCGGAGGGAGCCTCAACACATGGAAGACGCAAGGAGTGCAAGCACGAACGACTAACTTCCCCAGCATCCATCCGTCCGCTGATCCCAAGCGCTCCCAGAGCCCATACCAACCCCAGTGTCGATACCTACCTCCCCCTCACCCTTCACCCCTTCGCAGCCATCCCCGAAGCGCATCCCCACCATAAGATCCACAGGAACATTTCATACACCATCCCCAGCGATCCGCTCGCAACCGAACGTTCCCTCCCTCCCCGTCCGTCGCCAGCCAAACTGCCGTCGCCACCGTAAAATGAGGCAACGCAGCAACGCCCTTCAACCCAGGACCTCCCTGCACGCTTGCTCGCCAACTCACCGGCACGCCCAACGGCGCGCGCAAATCACATCATATCGTACCACGCGTGCCTAATCAGCCTGCTGATCTTGGGCAGCGCTACCATCATTGCTGCGCTGTCCAAAGGCTTGTCTGCTTTGCGTAGAATGGCCGACGAGATGGTGAGAGTTTGGAGGAGAGTTTGGAGGTGGGAAGGGGAGTCCTGGATGGGGGTGTTAAGAAGAGGGGATGGGGATATGGGCTAGGGGAACGGGTGAGGTGTTGGCCATGGATGGCTCCGATGGAGTGAGGTGGCAGGTGGAAGCGATGTTGTGATGAGCTCGAGGCTCGAGGCTACGGCCCGAAGACCGCGACAACGCATCGAGAGTCGATGATCCATCGGAGATAAAACACACAGACCATGACTGGAGGTTGGAGCGATTCGCCTCATGTTAGCCCTGGGAGCAGCCCTCGCCCGTCTTACCATATCCGGCGTCACGCCCATCCATTCCGTAAACTCAATGCTCGTCCATGAGGACGGCAATTGCCATTCTGACTGACCAGAGCATCCAGACCACGCTCACAGGCCTTTGCCTGCCCGAGTCACGTCGCACGATGGAAGACGTCGACAAAGCAAGCCCACCTTGCCGGAGCAGCCGAATTTAGGGCTGGAGGATCAAAGCAAGGCTGGTAGCCTGTGGGAGTTCACGGCGCGCCTTTGTTATGCGCTGTGCTGTGCGGGTGTCTGAAACAGGGAAGAGGAAGCTAGAAATGTCGACGGGTTTGGTGAAACGTCGGCGTAGTATACGGCTTTCAACAGTACTGTGCATCCTAAAGTGGAAACTAGTCGAGGGATGTGTTCGCGTCTGTTCTTTCTGGTCGCAGCATTTGTCAGGTGGTATATTTCTCTGTGAGAGGTATGATGTTGCTGCTTGGGGTTACTGCTATTTTGGGCAACCGGTGTTGAACGTGAAAAGGGAACACATAATTTCCACGTTCAAATCCGTACCAGCGGCCCGCCTCGTCGCACTTGACTGGCACAGCACGCGACTGACGATGAGCTGGCTCCTCGAGTAGTGTACTTGGCGAATGTTGGATAATGGCGCATTGGATGGTGAATGTTCAGAACGGTCGGCGTCGTTCTGGAATGTCTCATGAAACGAACGATGGCTGCAATGCTCTGGGCGCACCCGCTGATCGGCCGGTGTAGGTGGGTATGCAGAATGCCACCGGCGCCGATCCAGTAGTTCACGGTCTGAGACTCGGTTGTGGCCGGCGCATGAACAACAGCGTTGCGAATAGAATGTAAAGGGGCTCCTTTTCTCTCAGAGAAACAAGATCAAGGAACGGTGAAACGAACTACACGTGTGTAGTACTCAGAATAGAAACCCTGTGTTCCGAGAGGTAGCAACTGGTAGCGAGATGAACAAGGGCATGGGCGAGTAGGCTGCAGGCATCAGAAGTCGGTAGGGCTTGGCCTACGCGACAACACTAGCACGCGTCTTCAGCGTCCGCCCAAAGGCGATGGCGGGCGCGATTATAGTCACACTGATGGCGCAACTTGTTCAACTTGCTTGCCATTGCGCCGTTGCAGTAGGGCTGCGGATGTGTGAAGTCCCGTATGAAAATGCGCTCGACCACTCGGTGGAGAAGACGCGTACTATCCGTTCCAAAAATAAGCGTGTGTCCTGGCCCCATTGACAGCTGCGCGGCGTAACACAATGAATGGTTGATGCTATCGCTGATCGTATTGATCAATACGCGCCAAGGTTGGAATCTCCTATCTTTGCATCAGCTGTGCTCCAAGTCAAAACACAGGCGTCCAAGCAGACGTTAGCCAACCTCAACAGGAAGGCCACGAGTACATCGACGGCATACTCTCGCATAAAAAGAAATTACACATCGCGAGCCAATGATTGTTGAAAATAAAACAGGAGAAGCTGTCGGGCGTGCTGTCGGGCGTTCTATCGGTGTCTACGGGCCGGTGGTTCAGCTCGGAGCTGTCCCGAAAGGTGTAGTACTTCATGCGATCTATCGGCTTGATGACATGGTCCCGAGTTGTACATTTGCAAATTTTTTGAGATACTCTCACACATAGAAGCTTTTGTTTGGTGCGGACAGCGCGGCCGTTTCATTGGATGCAGCTGTCAGCGTCAGTCGCTGTTCTCAAAGTTAGACGTCTTGTAGATAAGTCTTGACTAGGCGTCGCGTCCTCAGCCTGGTACTACTTCGGGCCGAGCGAGTCATGCTATTTCTGATGTATCGTCGGCGGCAGTAATCGTCTGATTTTGATTTTCCTTTTTAATCCTGCGAGCTTGCCGACAATCCTGTTTGCGAATCCGAGGCCCCAGCTTTCGGGCATTTGCAAGAACAGTAGATCTTCCGTTGCTCAAGCTTGAGCCGGGATGTTACGATGACATCGCGTTCGCGCGGTATACGAGGTCACGAGTACGATCCTGCTATGCGGGCAACCACGCAGGAGAACCATCGATCTGCATCTGCATCCGAGCTTCTAAATTTGCCGTCTTCTTTACCGAATGATGGTTCTATTCTCTTGTGCATGCCACGTCAGCATGGCAAGATATTGATTAATTTGGAGCCATGAATGGCAGTAATCCGACTCCCAAATGTTTAGTAGCTGACGCGTGACGATTCTTGCCTGATGTGGGGTCTGCGACGCTGATTGGCAGACCGCAAACACTCGATACTGCCTCAACAAGCGCGTTATAAGAGTGAAATGCGGGACTCATGCAAAGCATGCTTTCTGTCACAGCGCGAATGTTAGCAACTAGCGATGCTCGCCTCATCACGCGTGCCATGTTTTGATGGAGCGCGAAAGTCTAGATGTGCATAGCGGAGGACGAGACGGCAGAGGACCCGACAGTTTGGTACGGGCGCAAAACATCTCCTGAAATGCCATGTCGCCCAATCATGAAAATCTTGGGGGCGGGGAAGACAGTTTTATCGGCTTGATGAGTGCGCCGCGAGCCGTGTTCGTATCTGGTAAAGAAGCCGTCAGGGTCGAATCAGGCTGCTGTCCCTGACATCATGATGGCCGAGGTTTGAGAATAGGTGTTGCGGAAGCTGCAGACATCAGCCCATGTCAGAACCCTCTACCCAAGTGTCCGCGCGAATCAAGGTCATCAGCGGCCCACTCCATCAACCAGGAAAACGCGGGAAGCCGGGTTGTCCTTGCATAGATTCTCTGATATTGACTGGGATGGCACGGGTTGTTACCGCGCCAAAAGCCGGCAGACAGAAACGCATCTCTGCATCCAATGGGCGCAACTTCTCAATATGCCAGATTGACGCTTATGCAGAGGCGTTGACTTGAGAGCTCGGTTAGAAAGCATGCGATTTCAAAGCAGGTCTCGTCGGCCGTCTCAAGCTGGCAAGACTGCTGCAGTCACCATGAAGACGACTATCGAGCTGATGTTCTCATCGCGTTCGGGTCTACCTCCGACGCCGCTTTTGCAGGATCCAGAGCGGGTCCCGGCTGAGCAGCATGCCCCTCGTATGCCCAGGTCGCCTTGTGGGAACTTTGGTGAGGATGCTGGCGCCTGCGTTCGCTCCCTCGTCGCCACGGCAGCAACCCTCAAGGGCACGCGGGAAGCATGGTCGAGGGGCCCTGAAGGCGATCTCGAAGCCTGTCAGCGAGATGGATCGCATACAGCTTGTTCCAACGTCGCATGTTTGCGAACCAGTGTCCATGTACGTGCTTTCCGGTGAAAAGACGAGCAGAACCTGCTTGTGCACTGCTAGCGTAGTCGACTCGGTCAGAGCGGATGAAAGCCAACCGAAAGCCGCCTGTCTACAGAAAACGGTCGCTCACCTCGAACTGGCATGCCGATCGCTACCCAAGCGATTCAGCCGGGGCCCTAGTCTGGTTCCAAGAAGCTGCAAAAACTCCGGCAATACTGAGATGCATGCTCGTTGATTGAATCCGCTGCAATAGGGGCGAAAAGCCATATTGAGGGCCAATCAGGGAATTTCAATCGGTGATATGGCTGTTTGCAGGGCAGCTGGACGAGGTGACGAGGGGCTATCCGGGTCTGAGGGCCCGTCAGTAAAGTTTGGCGGGGGCTGGGGGGTGAGGATGACGGGACGAGTCGGGAGCACGGCAGCCACCCAGACAAGGTCTGCGATCGCTGACCGTTGCTGGCGTAAACAGCATCCCTGCTTGCCGCGATAGCATCGCACCGTCAACGTCTTTTCAATATCAAAAGCCTGCGGGCGATTGTCAGTAAGCAGACAAGGGCCGAGAACCATGGGAAGAAGACGGTGGCGATGCGGAAGATCCATCGTCCGTGGAGACGGAAAGTGCGTCCCACACGCCTGCCAGGCTCAGTTTGAGGCAGGTACACCGACCGCAGCTGACCTTTGCGTTGATGCACGTCGCCGCCAGCCCTGGCGGAGAATGACACCCCCGATGCGCAAAGCCGTGGGAGCGGCGACGACGACTCAGAGGTTCCATGTGCCGTACCCATCGTGTGCCACATGAGATGCGATCAAGCGCGATCTCTGAGTGGGTAGGGGCGAGGGTTTGCGCGACCTTCGGGATGCCGTTATCGTTGCCACACCCCGAAACCTGCGTTCTGTGCGCGGCAGTCGACCAGCCAGGAAGACGGTGCAGCTGCCATGTGCTCACTGTGCAGCCAGGAACAATGGCATTGTCGCGAGCAGAGGGCTGTCCAGGAGGCGTTGGTTTAGAGTTGCTGGCCGCTCGGTACCTGGCTTGTCTCCCTTGTCGCTCGACAGGCCAACGCGATGGTCCCAGGGGCTCTCCGCACTCGAGCGCCTTCGGAGCATTGCTTAATCATGTACCATGTCTCGATCGCCCGGGGAGGCTAACCAACGACCTCTCGAGCGCAGAGCGTTTCTGTCGCATGAGATTCTGGAAAGACGTCAACCGAGCGCATGAACGTCCGCCGAACGCGCGGCCTGTTTCACGAAGCGTGCCCAAGATCCAAGCATCGAATGTGCAAGGCGTGCGCTTGAGACGGCTGCACAGATGGGCGAGTGTTATGGCGTGCGGTAGACGGACGCGCTTCCTCTTGATTCGACGCGTCCGCTCGGGCGCGACCTTTGTCCAGACGGCTAATCTGAGGGCTCGCGACGAGCTGTTGTTTATCGACGCGTGCAGTCGCGTCGCATAAGGCCAATTTCTCTTATTATAGGTGCCGTTCAGGGATGCATTAAACATCGACACCTGCCGAGTCCGCGAAACCAGTCACCCTGGACGCACGGCCACTGACCTCATCGCAGCGCATGAAGAGGGAGGCCCGGACGGTTTGCCCCCTGAAGGATCCCCTCCAGGCATGACGACCGCTTTTGGGCACACGCGCCGCCTCACGATCTTGACAGCGCCAGCGATCAGCACGCGAATCTCCAGCCCAAGGTACACTTCCGAGCTCCTTCCTCGTGGCGGGTGGGCTAGGCTGCGACGAGATGCATGCACCCGTTGCAGTTAGCGGCGCCACAGCGAAGAGCAGGTTGAGGGACTGTTCGGCGCCGTGCTAGAGCGCCACGCAATACAGTGATAGGCAGGCCGGTGGGCCGCCGGTGCAACAGCAAAACGGTCGACTAGCGCGCTGCGGAGGACTCGAGTCTTCAGTCGAATCTATCTGTGGCGTTGTGCCGGGCTGCGCGCGCGATTGATGACGAGGCTGCGAACGGGACGCAGCGTGGGGCGGGTTCGTGAGCATGACGGAGGGATGCGAGCGCTGCAGGGGCGATGGAAGCAGAAGGTGCGTTGCGGGCAGAACAGAGAGCCTTTGCAACGGGTATAAGAGAGGTTCCGCAGGAGGTGCATTTACCCGAGCAGGATGGATTGCTTGGGGCGGCGGTGGTGTGTGGTCTGGTCTGGTGCCTGAAGCTGAGAGAGCGCCGGCCCGTTGCAGTCCAGACGGATGATGGATCAAAGTGGGAAGGCCCGGGGACCTGCAAGTAACGTGACCGCGGCTGCCTGTTCTGCAGCGGCGACCATTCACTCGCCGTGGCCACGGCATACACGCGCCTCGCTGCTCGCTGCTGTGCTCGCTCGACAATCTCTCGACTCTTGATAGACGTTCCCAAACGGTGCAGGCTGCACGCTCAGCAGCGCGGCGATCCCTGCCCCTGGCCACCTTGAGCCGCGGGCTGGGCGGTCGAAAAGGGCTCGTCGTCCGCGGGTGCAGGGCCAGCAGGGAGGTGGCTGGCGCCGGGAGGCGTTAGCTGTTTGACGTTTATTTCACGCCTGCTCCACCTCGGCGGGCACAGGCAGTCTCTCGTCGCCTCTAGCCTGCCCACTGCCCCGTGTGCCAGAGCCAGTGCGCGTGAAATTGCGCAGGCTGCGCTACTGCATCCCGACCGCACCCTCGTCCAAACCGCGTGGGCCTCGCCAGCCGGTTCCTCGACACCACACTGGTAATTATAACAATGTCGCAGTCGCATGCGCCGGACGTCAAGCGCAGGTATAAGGAAGAGCCGGCTCCAGGCGCCGCGCAGAGAATGGTGAGTTGCCTCTCGTACTGTCCTCGAACCCTGTCGTCGCCCTCGTCGCGCCCCTCCATCTCGCGCCGCACTGCTCCCCCGCGCGCATCTCGCAGCCGGTCCATCCTCGCAGCTCAAACCCAAGCTGCAACGGCCGACAGGACTCGAGCGCGCTGTCCTCTGCTCGCGCGAGCGTTGCATACTGCAGCCTCTGCAAGCCGCACCCTCGCTCGCCCGCCGTGCCGACATGGTATGCCCTCCACCGTCTCCCGCCAAGCAGCCCTGCTCTCGCCGCCCCTGCACACGGTCGCACCCACAGCGCCCGGCGCTGCGATGCTGGCCGCCTCTTGTCACCACCCGCGCAGGCGCATCCTTGCTCCGCCATGAGCTCCGCAAGCCCACCGCCGCCCGCCGCATGTGTTGTCAAGTCGCCCAAACTCGCGCGTCGACGCCTGTAGACCCAAGTTGATTTATACCCTCCCCTCCCTTCGCCAGAAGACCCTGCCTCTGCATAGCACCTCCAAACGCCAGTCGCTGCAGCCCCAAGCCTTGGTTCCCATACCGAGGCCGCGCTACCTGACCGCAACTTGCACCCCGCATCCCCGCCCACCACCGCCCCTGCCTGACTCTGTTTCTACTTCGCGTCTTCTCTTGTACATATCTGCTGGCCACAGCGCCGTGCTGACCGGTCCCTCTCCAGCATCACCCCCACCCTCAGCAAGGCTTGCCACCGCCGACCCACCACCCGCATCCTCAGCACCATCCGAGGCCTGCCGTGGTCCAGCACCACCACCAGCACCACCAACAGCATCCCGACTCTCCTCACCAACAGCAGCCCACCCAGTCACCCGCTACTGCGCACTACCCTTCACCGCATCCTTCCTCCCAACAGGTCCCGCCGCCGCATCAGTCGCCCTACGTCCAGCAGATCCAAGGTCCGCCAGGACCGCCGCAGCAGGAAGTTCCTTATTACCCCGCGCACCCCAGTCCGTATAGCACCAACAGCGCGCCCAGCAACTATTCATCCTCAGGTACGTATTGAACACATGTCGGGTTCTGGTGATTGGACGCGTCTTCACGCGCCGCATACGTCTCGGACGCGACTCCGATCTGACATCTATGCGCTCTTAGCTCGGACCGTATCTGAACAACGTGGCTGACCTGACATCAGAAACACCAGAGCTCATGGCCGCAGCCACCATGAACCGGTCGGGGTTCCCGCCAATATCCTACCACACTCCTCAGTCAAACTCACCAGCATCCGTGCAATCGCCTCAGCACGACCAGCATGGCCGGCCCATCTACGGACAGCCGCCTAGCCAGATGCCACAGTCAATGTACTACACGCCCTACGCGTCCACGGGAGTTCCACAGCAGTCACCGTATCCCCAGCATCCATCAACACAGCAGCAGCAACAGCCAATGCCTACCAATTCGCTTTTGATGTCCCACCAGCAAGGTCAACAAATGCACCACCCACATCAACCCCACCCTCAGACCCCTGGTATGACCGGAAGCCCCAAATCACGCATGTCACAGACGCCTCTCCAGCGACCTCCCTCAGGACTTGGCCCGCCTCAAGCGCCGCCTCAAGCTCCTCCGGTTGGCACTCCGGGTATGCACAACGGGCCTCCTTCCGCGGCAAATGTAAACCCTAACGCGGCACCTGGACCCATTCCTGCGACTACACCATTGGTAGTTCGCCAGGATCAGAATGGGGTGCAGTGGATCGCCTTTGAGTACAGTCGCGACAGGGTGAAGATGGAGTACACCATTCGCTGTGATGTCGAGTCGATCAACGTCGACGAGCTGCCCCAGGACTTTAAGACGGAGAACTGCGTCTACCCCCGCGCATGCTGCAATAAGGAGCAGTACAAGGGTAACCGATTGCACTACGAGACCGAGTGCAACACTGTTGGCTGGGCATTAGCGCAGCTGAACCCGTGCCTGCGAGGCAAGCGCGGTTTGATCCAGCGAGCAGTCGACAGCTGGCGCAACAGCAACCAAGACCCGCGCCTCAGGAGTCGACGCGTAAGGAGGATGGCCAAGATGAACAACCGAAAGGCAGTTCAAGCGCCACACGGCAACCACATGGCAGGGCCAAATGGGCCAGCTGCACCTGGCGTGCCCAACTCAGCCGGCATGGCGGCACCACCGCAGCAGCCGAGCATGAGTATGGGTGGACCTCAGATGCACCACCATCACGAACACCCGGGAGGACCTCAAGGAGGAAGTAATGACGTTAGCGGTATGTTTCACCAGATGTGATGCTGCGATTTGCGCACTTGTTTGGTTTTGGACGTTGAATGATACCATCTGTCGTTTCTGCACTGCCTGTACATTACGCTCCTTGCATGTAATTCCCCTTTGAGATACCACACCCCATGCACATACACAAAGCACATACACATTGCTCATGTAAATGTCTGTCTGCTTTTGGTCAGAGTTGGAGGAATACCCATGCATTGAATCGTGCGAGTCTATTTCTTATGTTCACAGCTAATCATGGCCCAGAAGCGAATACCCACCATCATCAAGCGCCAAACGGACAGCAGTCACCCGAAGTCCGGGAGGCTCACAACTTCTACCCAACTTACCCGCCGAACGAATCGGTCGCCAGCTCCGGTGGCCTTCCTCCCATGCATGACGGTATGGGACATCACTCACGATCATCGCATGGTTCTTCAGTACCTGTTTCGAAACAGGAGCAAGACGAAGAAGAGCGCAAACTTGCCATGTTTGGCGACCTACCGGAAGCTAAGCGCCGCAAGTTCATCCTGGTTGACGATGCGCAGCGGGGAACACGCGTGCGTGTTCGAGTGACCCTGGACAGCGTCAAGATGGAGGAGATGCCTGACTCTTATCGCAAGATCAACTCAGTATTCCCCCGTAGCTATTTCGCCATGCAAATGACGTCGCCTCCTGCAAGCCCTCGTGGCAGCAAGGTCTTCAGCGACGAGCCTGACAATGAGAGCGACCCCAGCTTTCCCTTGGGAGGACGGACTACGGTGCCAGTTCCGACACTGGATGGCGAGACCACTGTGCCGAAGCCTCGTTTGACGCGGGCGAAGCGGTCGAAGGAGATTACGCTCAACGATCTGGGCTACCGCATGAGCTGGAGCCAGAGCCGTGTTTTCGCGGGTCGCACTCTGTTCCTGCAGAAATCTTGTAAGTACTAGGTATGCGCAAGCAGCAGCAATGATACTGACTGCTCTCAGTGGACGCCTATCGCAACAAGATGCGAAGCAGCATGATGGGCCATGGGCAAGATGTCACCACCGTGGCGCCACACTTCGAAACGCGCGTGGGAAAGCGCAGGTGGAACGACAGAATCGAGAAGAACAAGAAGAGAGGGCGCGAGTCTTCACCTTAAGAAAGCGGGCGGTCCACAATGCCCTGGTCTGCATCTGCAACCATTACCCGCTTTTTCCGGGGAGCTTGCAAGGACCCCTAACAAGTTGGCCGGGGCACTACCTCTTTCGGTCACGGCAAGATTGCGTGCAGCGGACATCCTGATCGTTCTCTTGAAGACCTGTTTCAAACCATCGCTCGGTATGCGTGCGCTAGGTTCATACTACCGTCACTACCGATCGATACTCACCGTCGACATCATACCTTCACAAGCCTCTCACCCACAACCACGGGCACGCGCCCCGTGTACTGGCATATGATACCCTGTCCTGCAAGTAATGTCCCGTTGCAGACGACTTTCCTGCCAGCGTTGTTCCACTGAACATACGTACTTACATATTCATCTTCTGTTCTATATCCCCTGTATCGATTTCGTTGGATTGGCGGTGTAGAAGCAGCTTTAGCCATTCGTAGGAGAGGGCCGGACAGAGCAAACGCGTTACGTGCATTTACAGATGGAAAACGGTGTCTCGGTATCAAAATGATTGCGGCTTAGGGTATCGTGTCATCTATCTGGTAGACTGGAGGCGTGCACATGAATGATAAACAATGCATTTCGGTATACAGTGTTATTTGCTTGCTGTGTTGGGTCTATGTATATGTATGCGGGCTACACGCTTCTAGAGTGATGCGAATCATATCCTCGCAACTGTCCATCCATCCCCCGAGAGTACGCCCTATCACACGCACTCCCCGCCTACACCGTATCACACCACACCATCCATCACACTCGCTCACCGTCGCAGCACCCATCGATCATCGATTCAACCCCGCTCCATAGAGTTCAAATGCAAGGACCCTCCTTCCATCCCACCGCGTACCTGACGCCTCAGGAGGGCGAGCCGCGCGCGTCAAAGGATCATGCTGGTAAAACTCGCACATGACATGAACGGATGGACTTCGCACCCTCGTTCCGGCCTACAAGCGTCGAAGTTCCAGCTAGCGTCGGACAGCGAATGCAGAAGAATGCGCGAGATGGAGGGAAGTGTCTGCGAGTGCGTGGGGTGCATGCATGCATCCGATCGTCTCGCGGTCTCGCTCTAAACTAACACTACCCTCTTATCTCTGGTGGGCCAATCAAGCCGTGGCCGCGCGTTCTTCACCTCTACAACGTCTGTCAGGCAATATAGATAGACGCCGGCCTGAAGACTGCAGTGCAGTGCCCCTGGATTGAACCTGCTGCGTGCGTGGGAGAAAGGTGGGGTCGTTTGGGACCTTGGTTTGGTCCACCACGCGCCGCCAAGCTGTCAGAAAACGGGCGCCACGCACGCACGCACGCGCGCACGCACGTTTGTGGGGCGTCCCAAGGTTGCAGGCAGGCAGATGGAGGGAGACCGAGTACCGGTCTTGTATAAGCGTTTGTCTTGTTCGCACTTGGTATATTCTTCACGGACGGGGAATGATGCGGTGTCCTCACATGTGAAATCAACACAGCGCGTACTGTATGCATCCAGAATAGGAAGTCCGCAGACGAGCTGACCATAGCAACGTGGGTGCACAGCGGCACGGCACGCTCCAGGGTTCGAGCCAGTGCGAACTGGAGGAGAGACATGGTAGGGCTGGCTCGGCTGACACGAGGGAACGGCAGGGCACGGCACATGCGCATAGTGGGCTGATGATCAGTTTATCAATTGATTGATTGATTCATGTGAAATGCTTGGGTCTGGCTGGGTATTGCTGCTTCCTTGCTGCCTCTCCAGCCTTCAGACTGACTCGAAGTATGCTATGCTATGGTGTGCTACCTATCCAAGTCATTCCGCTGTGGTTTGTTGGTGACCCACGAAAGCAAACTCTGCTCTCGGGCACGTAATAGTAACAAATGATAATGTGGCTTTACCAGGATAGCCCGATTGCGCTGAAGCGTGCCTGGTATGTGTCCATGACGAAGTGACCTCACCTGCCCTGAACTCCGCGCAGTGAAACGCAGCCTGAGGCAGTAGCCTGTGATGAGAATGGAATCGATGGGGATTCGGAGGCGGGGCCATCGGATGTGTTTCATGACATGAAGGCATGGGATATGTTTCCGAGCGCCCCACGGCCGAGCACGAATTGAAACGTAGTGTAGAGGGCAGTGTTAGAGGTGTCGAGGGGTCATGACGTATGCCGCATGCAGGTATGGAGAGTCTCGTATGTGATGAGATGCTGTCTCGAATGAAAACAGATGCTTGGTGGGCCTGATACCTCATCGTCGAACACGTCCACTCCGTGTGGTCTTTGCAGGAGCTGATTTGGCTGAACTTGCCGCAGTCGGTACCTCTAACGACTTCGTAGCACGTTTCTTCGGTGAGGCAGCTGGAGTGTGAGCAGGACTGTCGGCCTTCCGCTTGCGAGATCTCTGCTTGATTTCCAAGCTGTGGGGCTGCTGTTTGACTTTGGGAGCACTGGTCTTCTCGGAATGGGCGTCGAGCATGGTCTCATCGGTCGTCGCCTTTGCATCGGAGGATGCAGAAGTATCATTATTGTTGCCATTGCGCTGCTGCGAGACCCACGACACCAAATTGGCCTCCGCTTCTTCATCTTCCTCTTCGTCATCGCCCTGATTCAGCATCTCGTCTGCCAATTCAGCCGCGATATCGTCGCCCGCATCTTGGTCATTAGCCATGCGCAAGGCGAATTGAAGCAGCTGTTGGGGATCCATTCCGCTAAGAGGACCGCCTGCGGACCCAAGACGTGCTTGTAGAGCAGCCATTAAAGCAGTGGGGTCAATTCCTTCGATGCCTGGATCTTCTCCAACATCATTCTCCCCATCCATGACCTCCTCGTCTTCCCATTCCTGCTCTCCCTCATCGATGTGAGACTTCGGGGTCAGCGACGCAAGCTCCGTTTGCGGCGCATGTCCCTTTGAAGGTGTATGTGAGGGCTTTTGAGCCCAACCCGGAGACTTCGCCAGCTTCCTCCAGTCCTTCAAAATCGCATATGGCTCAGCATTCTCTGGCAACGGCTTCGGTTTGGCGCCTCTATCTGTCTGAGCGCGCCATATGATGGGCGAGTTGGTCAGCCACGCAACGTCCCCTTCCGGTCCTCCCTCGCCATTGACAAGCCTCTGCTTTTTGTTGCTGCGGCCTGCTACAGCACCGCGCTTCCTCTTCTGGCCAATCTTGGGCTGACCTGTCTCGCCATTGTGCGGTTGAAAGTTGGCGTCGTCGTAGCCTTCGAAGTCGTACTCGAGGTCGTTGAAGTAGTCGAAGCGGTCCCACTCGTCGAGTCTGTCTTCGTCATACGCGGTCGGAGGCGGCGATGCGATTGCGTGTTCGGCTAGGTCGTCGGCTTGCATGTACTCGTCCTCGACGTAGAGCCATTCGTCACCATAATCATCGTCAAAGTCATCGCCGTAGTCGCTCATGTTTGCGCCTAGTCGAGAAGGCACATGGGACGCGCTCGGGGTTTGAGTCGTGTTTATGAATGGCGGGTGTGGGTTGGCTTGGTTGTGCTGACTGCCCGGATGCCCTGAGATTGCGGTTGCAAGGGCTTGACAAGGGACGTAAGCACTGGTTGTCTGCGCGTGCAAAGCTAACAAAGGATGCACCGGAGTCGAGGCACAGCACGAAGGCGCGGGCTGTGATGTCTTGATGACCGTCGGAGCTGAGTATTAGATGCGCCGCGACGCGTCTTTCCCCCGCGTTTGCTCTCTCCGCAACGCAGCGACGCTACGTACGCCAAGACATACGGCTGGCTGCGGCTTTGGTCTAAGCCGAGGCACCTTACCTCTGTACTCCGCATCCTCCAGCGGGCAAGCAAACTTCTATGTAGTCTGAATTCACTCTTCTGCCTCCACTTATACCCATATGTGATCATGCGCGCTGTTCGAAAGTCTACTCACTTGTCCCGCCAGCTCCTGGCTGCCAATGCTGTCCGCCACAGCTCTACAAACGCCGTGTCAATCAAACCACTTACATCGGTGCTCATAGCGAATCGTGGAGAGATTGCCCTGTGAGAATATGTGTCTTCGTATTTCCTCCCGTGTAGAAACTAAGATATGCTCAAGACGAGTCGGACGGACAGCTTCTGAATATGGCATCCGAACCACAACCCTCTACACCGACCCGGATGCGCGTTCACAGCATGCCCTGAGCTCGCCGTATGCCATCAATTTGGGAGAGGCCTCCGCTTACCTCGACGGCGACCGTATCATCCAGATCGCCAAAGAGCAGGGCTGCCAGGGCATACACCCAGGTTATGGTTTTGTATGCCACAAGAGGCTGGATTGAGTGTTCGGGTACTGACGGGTCGCAGCTGAGTGAGAACCCAACATTCGCACGAAATTGCACAGAGGCAGGAATCACCTTCATTGGTCCGCCGTGGCAGGCCATTGAGGCCATGGGAAGCAAGAGGTATGCGCTCTTGGCTTCTGTACAAAACTTTGTTGACATGGCTTAACAGTAAATCGAAAGACATTATGATAGCCGCTGGCGTACCATGCATACCTGGCTATCACGGCTCCAATCAAGACCCAGAACACCTCAAGAATGAAGCCGCCAATATCGGATACCCTGTACTGCTCAAAGCCGTCAAAGGCGGAGGCGGAAAGGGCATGAGAATAGTGAACAAGCCCGAAGAATTCTTCGACCAGCTTGCGTCGGCAAAGTCGGAGGCCAGGAATTCTTTCGGCGACGAGGTCATGCTGGTGGAAAAGTACATCACCACACCTAGGCACATTGAGGTCCAGGTCTTTGCAGATAAACACGGTAATTGCGTCGCGCTTGGCGAGCGTGACTGCAGTATTCAGCGAAGACATCAGAAGATATTAGAAGAATCGCCCGCGCCGCATCTGAAAGAAGATATTCGACAAGACATCTGGGAGAAGGCAAGAGCTGCTGCTTTGGCCGTCAAGTACGAAGGGGCCGGTACTGTTGAGTTCATCTTTGATAATGACACTGGCGAGTTCTTTTTCATGGAGATGAATACAAGGTTGCAGGTCGAACATCCCGTTACTGAGATGGTGACAGGAGAGGACCTCGTGCGATGGCAGCTTATAGTTGCAGAAGGTGGCAAGCTGCCACTTACACAGCAAGAAATTGAGCAGAGGATAAAAGAAAGAGGAGCTGCCATAGAAGCACGTATATACGCCGAAAACCCCGACATGAACTTCATCCCAGATTCCGGCTTGTTGCTGCACCTCCGAACACCAAAGCCGACAGCCACGGTCCGGATAGACGCAGGCTTCGTTGCAGGCGACGAAGTTTCCTCACATTACGATCCGATGATTGCAAAGCTCATCGTACAGGGGCCAACACGAGAAGCCGCAATCGCAAAACTCCGCGCCGCACTAGAAGAGTACGAAGTCGCCGGCCCTATAACCAACATCGAATTCCTCAAGAAGATGTGCATAAGCCCAGACTTCGTCGCAGGCGACGTAGAAACAGGCTACATCCAAAAGCACCACGACGAACTCTTCACACCCGAGCCTATCGCACCCGAAGTCCACGCACAAGGCGCGCTCGGCCTCGCACTCCAGGAAATCTCACGAGCGCACACAGACCTGTTCTCCGGACCACCCGTCACATCCATCGGATACAGTAACAGTTTCCAGCGTCGGCAGATCGATCTCGTCGAGACGCCCGCCAACGGAAAAGGCGACTCCACCTCCACACCCATAACCCTCATCCAAACCGCACCCTCAAAATTCGACATCAGCGTCGGTGACAAAACGTATAGCAACGTCGTTTCCACCTTCGCGCCCTCGACCAACACACTCACGACGTTCTTCCCCCACACACGCCTCTCAACGACCTTCATCCGCGACGAAGACCGCCTCACGCTCTTCCAGCAAGGCAAGCAATATCGTCTTCAGCTCGCAGTGCCCAAATGGGCAGCGAAAGCGCTCGGCGTGAAGGATCTCACGAACAGCGTATTGGCACCGATGCCGTGCAAGGTGCTGCGGGTGGATGTGAAGGAGGGTCAGGAGGTGAAGAGAGATCAGCCGCTTGTGGTAATTGAGAGTATGAAGATGGAGACTGTGATTCGGGCGCCTCATGATGGGGTTATTGCGAGGGTGGTGCATGGCGCAGGGGTAAGTTGCTCAATGGCTCACTGGAGTGGAATACTAATGGTGAATAGGACCTTTGTAAAGCTGGGACTGCGTTGGTGGAGTTTGCGGAGGAGGAGAAATGAGAGGGCGATGTTGTGCAGTTGAGTACACGTTGAGAGTAAGGAATAGTAACGTTTCAGAAACTTGAGAGGAAGGAGTAGTTATGACACATTACTCTAGAGGATGGGCGCCCGCGTCCAGTAGCAACAACTTGATGCCCACCTCGTCGTCCCATTTAGAAGCCATCTGAAGTGCGCTTACGCCTGATGTGTTCTGTGTGTGAGGGTCTTTACCCGGTATGTTGGGGTCTGCACCTGCATCTAATAGTAGCTTTACGACATCTGCGTTGCCCCTCCGAGCTGCGGCCTGGAGTGCATTACCATACCTTCCACCCTGTGCGTTCACGTTGGCGCCTGCATCTAATAGAAGCCTTATCGTCGCCGTGTGTCTACTATAAGCTGCCACTTGGAGTGCATTGCCGTACTTTCCACCCTGTGCGTTCACGTCGGCGCCTGCATCTAATAGTAGCCTTATCGTCGCCTCGTCTCCATCCGAAGCCGCTGCCTGGAGTGCATTGCCGTACTCTCCACCCTGTGCGTTCACGTCGGCGCGCGCGTCTAGTAGCAACTTCACGGTTGACTCATTGGCCCAGCTCGAAGCCATCTGGAGTGCGTTGTTCCCGTTATAGTAGTCACTCCTTGTGTTGACGCTGACGCCTGCATCTAGCAGCTTCTTTACAACCGCAAGGTTGCGCCTACTGGATGCGGCCCTGACGAGTGCGTTGCTGTAGTACTCATCTTGCGGGTCCACAGGGCCAATTAGATTGAGAATCAACTCCGCAGTCCGCGTGTAGTTTTCTTCCAGAGCCTCTGCAAGCAGCGACCCTTTCCATTCCTTCTTTTCTTCGTCCCCGAAAACGAAATATTTCAGCAATTGTTCCACGACCAGGTCGCAGCCTAGATTTGCAGCTCTGTAGATGGCGTTTCTCCGGTCACGAATCACAACCACTTTTACGTGCTGCTCGATGCTACCCCATGAATAGACCTGCAGATCTTTTTCATACTTCTCGTTCCCGAGCTTTTTAGTCCTGTCTAGAACCGACATTACCTGATCATAACATGTTTTCTGGCTCTGAAGGGCGCTTTCTGTTCTCTTCTCGAACAAGAGCAGTGCTGGATCAGCAGAGACCAGTATGCGCTGGGAACGATATTCCAGAGCATACGCATTACTTATTACTTCCCCAGTTTGAAGGTGAGGATACAGGATTTCTGTTGTGCGCGCTTCATAGCTTTCGAATATGAAACAGGTTGTGTTCACTGTCGTGAAGGAAGCCATGAGATTAAGGACCTCATGGTAGGCGAATAGTCCAGATCTTATAGCCGAAGTAGATCGAAGCAGGTGTGGAATAGTCTCGTTAAGGACCTGGTCAATTGGCCTTTGGTAGTCTATTGTAACACTCTCCATGTCTAGCTGATCGCTTGACAGACCAAGGAGGGCGTAAATTTTGTCGCGTTCATCGGTCGCTTTACTTGCTTGAAACCTGCGCAGAAGAGTGCGTAAATCCGGCTTCTGGGCCCACCAAGACCCTGAGCGTGTAGAATTCGCCATAATTTCTAACACCGGTTTGCAATGCAGTGGAATTTCTCCCTCCAACTGAACGAGAGATGGTGCGAGGACAAATGTTTCCGCCGGGATGGACCAAGCACCAGAGCAGACATCGGCTGTTTGTGCATTGGCTACCTCTTGTAGGATCCAGACCCTTGCGAACCACTCTCTGTTTAGCATCTGCTGCAGACCGTTCCGATGCTTTTCCCAGCGGTGGTCTTTGGGCATCTCTTTCCCGGTATGATGGTGGATGAGCGCTTCCGCCAAAGACATCATGTCTGAAGTTGGCTTGCCCAGCCAAAAGAGGACTTTCTCAGCATGTCTGTAGATTTCACCCATTTGCTGAACCTGATGACCCTGCTCTTCTTTGTCGGCTTGATTTATACAGACCGCATCAATCCATAGAAAGCGATCTCTATCGCTCCGTCGCAAGCACTGTAGGGCCGCGTACAGGTTGTCCGTGATCCAGAATTGTTTCCCATTGACTGTGATACGTTCGACAAGCTCGCTACTACCCCATGTGTAGGAAAGAGCCTCATAGGGAATGTGCCCGTCATCTCGTGACTGCAAGGAGAGCTCGCATTCAAGCATCATCCCTTCAGATTTCAGTAGCTTCAGTAGTCGGTAACTCGATGCTTTAGACCCCAGAGGCTGATACTGGTACGTGCTTGAAGCTTGTAGCATCAGAGGCACCTGCGTAGCAACTGGGACAGGTGCAGTCGTGGCCATGTTCCCTCTCGTTTGTTGCTGCTTGTGTCTTTGGGCAACGCTCGTGCAAGGCTATCGGTGAAAGGTGATGCCTAGGATGGAAGCACAGAAAGCGCAAGGCTACATCCAATTTTCATCGGCGTGCATCGGTGCGAAGGAAAAAATATTGATTGAAGGACTTTTCCCAAAAGAGCGCAGCGTAAGGATGTAGTGGGGTGGAGGGCGTTCAAAAGCGAGGGAAGGTTCGAAACGTCGAGGGGGGATGTTGTGAGGGGTGCTGCGTGGCTCAGCTCAAGCGCCACCATGCAAGAAGCAAGGCAGCAATGACAGATATTGTTATTGTGTAACCTCGGATACGAGCTTAGTATGATCGAGCCGAGCGTGAGCGTACAGCGAAAGGTCCAGCGCCATGCGCAAAGCGGAACTGCAGGTGCAGGCCACTCTAGCTGCGGTGTACTTCATCCAAAGGAACTTGAGCAGACGAGGATCCAATAACAGCCTTGTTCTTCTCCTGAATGGCGGAGTCATGCTCAGTGTTGGGCGCGAGCCTTGCCATAATCGGTTCTGCATTTGCTTTCGCAGGCTGATGCAGCTCAGCAACCGTCTCGGCTTTCTCAAACAACACAGAAGCTGTGCTTGTAGCATCGCTAGGTGGAAGCTGCGGTGCGGTCGCGGAGCTACTACGCGCGAGTTGCGCCTCATCTGCGAGCTCGATACGCAGAAAGATGTGCTAGTCGAATTTGTAGGGCATGTAATGGGAGATGAGGACTGAGTACATGGTAGGCGAGAAGAACGAGGCTGTTGCGCCGTACAGGGCAGGGACGCCCCATGTCGGTAGTCTCCATGTTGATTCGCCGCACAAGGCTTTCGATGTACCGAGCCAGATAGCCAGACCGGTGAAGAAGACCAGGATAGGCGATAACATGGCTGCGAGACGCGTCTGACCGGACCATAGCAGCGTCAGCGCAAGCGGGACGATACCAGGACACGGCAGGACTATCCCAGTCATGTTTGTGCCACCGTAGTCGAGCGCGAGCGCGATGCCCGTGATGAAGCACCCCCTGGATGCAACCGTCAGATGGCTTACTTTTACGAGCTTCTTACCTGAGGCTTTGGGATTGATGTTGGTCTTGAACACATAAAAGGCAAGGCGACACCTAGTTACCATAGCGATAGCACATCGCCGTCGCAGAATTCATTGATCCACAGCCACAACGAGATCCACGACGAGATCACCGCCGACGCTGTTAACCATGTCCCTACGCTTCGATTCGCCATGAAGAGCATCTGATGTGTCGGAGTCCTCGGAAAGGTTGGATTCTGAATCTTGAGAGCTATAGGAATGATACCGCAGAAAGCGACTTCCAGCCGATAAGCAAGGCGTAGCCGGTGGATTGAGGCACGAGCTCGATGCCGCCAACACCCAGCTGGAGCGACGACATATTGGTTTTACCTTTGAAACTAGGGACGAAAGCGTCTCTTTCAGTAGCAAAGTATTAGCCAGACCAAGACGTTGCAAGCTCGTGTGCTTTAGTACCACGGGCAATGTAAGTCTTCGAGCAGTCCAAAAGTCGATACTGACGGAATTTAGGGCACGGGAAAGAAATAAATGATTCTGAAGGCCTTCGTGATGAAAATCCAAGTCTTTTGGAAGCCGGTCTCTGGCGCTACCCTCAGAGCAAGACGGAAAACTACAAAAAGCTGTCTTTCTGTACTGATGGGAGGATCATGGTGGGCCGGAAACAGTGGCTGATGAGCTTGGGCGATGGCTTGACAGCTCAGGTGTGGAAAAATCTAATCTGGCACATTTTGTCAATCTGGGCGCCTTTGAAGACAATTCAAAACATCTGATCCCAAAATTGCAGCGAGGCGGTAGGTGTAGGACATCAATCAACGAGCGCTAGGGAGGTGTCTGCTGGGGAAGAGAGGTACCGCGCAATATCAGCGATGAATTGGTTTTATCTCGATATGAGCATCTGCGTGGTCCTCTCGAGCCTGATTAGTCAAAATTGAAGTCACGTGTCTAAGTTCTTTCCAAGGTTCCAAGGTTAATCGGCCCACACGTATTGGCGTAGTTAACATGCTGTCAATACCACAGTACCATTGTTCTTGACTCGATCAAAATATCGTTGATCCTTCGCGCAGCTGCGGACTGGTTCAAGATATTCGCCAGGACGCTAGTGACGTTAGTGGCGCGGATGACGGCTAGGCTCGCTTGTTTCGAGTGGGATATGGAAAGGAAGGTGCATACGAGGAACGCACGAGCCATCGGTCCGGCAGAACTTTTTGAGGTCTTCCAGCTACACGTGCAACAACAACAAGCCACACTGCGAGATCTGCAGCCCCATGTCAACAAAAGCAGTCCCGAAGAGTCTATACAGCTTGGCAACAAGACATCCTAGTTGCATCCGAGGCTTTTACAAATCACAGAGGCCTGCGTGGCCGACCGTGAAACAGCCCGTTATGGACCTTTCGACAGCGGCTGCTGTTGAAGTCCGTATGTCAGTCATCTACTCAAGGCGAGTCGTACTAACACACACCAGAAGAAAGGATCCGTACATCATGACACCCATGCACAGCCCCCTGAGTTCATTCAAAGACAACATTGGAAATACCAAAGCATGCGAAGGGCGGATCTAGAAAACGACACCAGCATCCAGGATCTTAGTAATTGGGAGAATCTCACAGAGAAACAGCAGGATATATGGAGACCGGCGGGTGCAATTCCAGGAGACCAAGTTCGGGCCGCGTGTGAAGCATATGCTGGAGGAAAGCCACTCCAGACACCTGTTGAAGATGTTCCTTTCTTCGAACATCGAGACTTTCCAGGCCTGCAGGTTGTTCCTGGTCTTCTGCCGCCCGAGACACAGGTTTTGTTCACGTCTTGTTTAATGCATCGAGATCTCGCGGATCCGGGCCATAAGATGAATCTCCAGGCGGATTACGACGTCCCTTACCCACCCAAATCATCATCAGCAGACCCACAGCGCTTCGATAGTTCCTTCTTCGCTCGCGAACGAGCGGCTGCTGAAGATGTTCTTGTACCGAAGGTACCGGTCAAGCACAAACAGCTAAACAACGAACAATTTCTGTACACGAAACTACGCTGGCTTACACTGGGTGAACAATACGACTGGCCAACGCGCAGTTACGCAAAACATGCCACGCCTTTCCCAGCGGACCTTTCAACCCTCGTTACTGGCCTGTTTCCACACATACGCCCGGAATCCGGAGTCGTCTTGATGTACGGAGCGAAAGATTTCATGCCTGTACATCGCGATGTCAGTGAGCAGTGCCAACGCGCCCTTGCTAGTTTCAGCGTAGGTTGTGATGGTATTTTCATCATGGCTCGAGGAGAAGACGAAGGTGAGGGGGACAATGCGCCGAGAACCGTCGCGATCAGGATTCGAAGTGGAGATGTGGTCCATCTGACAGGCCAAGCACGATGGGCCTGGCATGCAATGGCTCGAACTATACCGAGTACATGTCCTTCCTATCTATCCGACTGGCCGCTTGGTACGCCGGGCGCAACCCCGGAAGAGCAGAAAATGCATAAGAAGTGGAAGGGATACATGGGCACGAAGCGTATCAATGTCAGCTGTCGCCAGGTTTGGGACTGAGTTGGGACTCTCGAACTGATATAGGCATGCATGAGGAAATTCGGACGTTGCACCCAAGCACGTTAGTCGCATCCGCTTTGGAGTATACATGAAATGCCCAGCTCATGCATTGTTTATTGGAGAAGCCAAGTAATGTCTCTCCGACAACTTATCCAAGATCGAGATCTGGTATGGAGTCTTCATCCGCACCTCTCGACGCGTGTCAATATACAAGCGTCGCAAGCGCGCGTGAGTTGCGCGCCTTGATTGTTTCTATCATCCCTCACGAGCTGTGACATCATGTTCTACACTAATGCAGAGGACGCCGTAGGAGTACCACACCTCCGCCCCATGCATGTCGGCCATCGCAATACGGGCTGTGTGTGGATCAACGGCAATGCATGTCGCGTATACCCTCCCCTCCATTGCCTGCTCGGGACATCACCGAAGTCACCATGGACATACCCCCACTTGTGAACCTAGCTTGCACTAGGCGAGTCATCGCCGTGCACGCGCGCCGCGCTTGCCAGTGCCCTGCGCAAGACTCAACGATGGTTCGCCAATTGTGGCCTTTTGTACTTTATCCGCGTGTGACGCTTTTCCATGGTCGTACAAGACCAACGTTGCAAAGATACGGCTCCCGGGTTCTTGCCGCAATCCTAGTCCGCCCCTCTTGAAACATGTTCTTGCGCCCTCTATAACTCCACACTACGCTCCACACTTACACGGTCCTACAATCGTTCGTCCTCGCCTCGCTCCGCAGGCCCTTTGTTTTCTTCAGTTCTTGCGAATGCGGTCACAATGGTGTTAACTCTCTGGGGTCGCCAGATCCGATACCACAGCCCGTGGGTACAAAGCATCATCAGTGGTGTCGGCGTCGGAGCTTCAGCCGGCATCTATGTTGCGCTTAATTTGCTGGGAGCCGGTGGCGGCAGACCAGACTCCGCGCACGTCGTTCAAGTTGTCAACGCGACGTTATGCTCAGTCTGGTTCTTCTCTTCCTCGTTCGGTGGCTCTATCCTGAACAAGCTCGGCCCAGGCATCACCATGTGTCTCGGCGTGCAGACGTACGCTGTTTACGTCGGTTCGCTCTGGTACTACGACGAGACAGGCAAAACGGGGTATCCGTACGCTGCCGGCCCGATTATTGGAATTGGGGCTGGAATGGTGTTCATCACTGCGGGCTACATCGCGACTGCGTACCCTGAAGAAAGAGATAAGGGTGCATATGCGACAATGTTGATGAATATGCAAGGTCTTGGGTCGGTCATCGGAGGCATTATCCCGGTCATCATCAACAGAAACAAAGACACTGCAGCTGGAGTGCCCCGACCAGTCTACATTTCGTTCATTGTCATCATGATTATCGGAGGGCTCATTACGCTGCTCTTGCAACGTCCACAGAAGCTTAGAAGAGACGATGGTTCAACGGTAGCTGTGCATCCAGCTCGTGGAGCCTGGGAAGAGTTGAGGTCAAATTTGTTGATTTTTAGCGATCCGATTCTGCTCATGATGTTGCCGGCATTCTTCCCAGCTGAGTGTTTCTTGGTTTACAGCGGTTCTGTCAATGGTGAGACTGTACGTGGAAAACTGTTGGTCCACTCTCTGACCTGAGTAGCCTACCTGAACGGCCTTCGCGCTCGTTCGCTGTTATCTTTTGTCGCTGTCTGCCTACAAATTCCTGCTGGCTGGGCACTGCAATGGATTCTCGACCGCCCAACCTGGGGAAGGCGCAAACGTGGTCTCATCGGGCTAACCATCGTTGCTGTTCCACTGGTCGCAGCTTGGGTCTGGGAAATGGTGCGTTTCGTGTAGTTTCTAATTGCGCCCTTCGACACTAACGATGCCACAGATCCGCGTGCGCAATTACGACCGCAATGTCGCGGTCACAAATCCCACCGATTGGGATGAGCCGAGGTTCGGTTGGATCTTCGTGCTGTTCATGTTGAATTGGGTGTTTTCAGTGAGTATACCGACGCATACATTCAGCCCTCGCAAGACTAATTTCCCCACAGCAACTATGGCACAACATCGTCTACTACTGGATCGGCGCCATCACCAACTCCCCCCAAAAGCTCACCCACTACGTCGGCGTCTTCCGCGGTGTCCTCGGCGCCGGCGAAGCCGTCTGCTTCGGTCTCGACTCCATCAAGATTCCTTTCCTCGCCGAAGCCGGTGGCGTCCTGCTATTCTACGTCCTCGGCATTTGCAGTTTCTACTACCTTGGTATCTACCATATCAAGGACACGAATTACGACCATCGCGAAGAGGGCGCTGTCATCCCGAACCATATCTTGGAGGGCAAGGGGTTGACGGAGGGGCAAGATGTTGCGCAGATAAGGAGGAATTCTACTCTGGAGGAAAGCTCGGAGAAAGAGGAAGTCAAGGTTGGTGGGGATGCCTGATGTAGATGATTTATTATAGGGAGAGGTATCTGTTAGGCGCAAATTAAAGAGGTATTGGGAAACTATACGGCTGCGCGAAACTCAAGCGAACTCTAGATATGGAAAAACTAACAGTGGGCTAATGGCTCACAGAATCAGTACGAGAAACATTCCCAGACCAACAATAAAGCTCATCGAAGGAAGTACCAGAGCCGTGGCTATTCCAGGGCGCGAAGTTGCGGCAGCTGGAGTGCCCGAGCTACCACCCGTACCGCCGGTCCCGACAGCGCTCAGGCCCGACTCAAGCCCATCAGATGCGGATGGATCCGGTGTCGCCGAAAGACCCGACTCAAGCGACCCAGTAGCCTCCGATTCAGAAGGATCCGGTGTCTCCGTCGCCGACGACACATCCCCCTCTCCAGACGTACACCCCAGCCCACCAAAATTAATACACCCCGGCTTCACAGCACCGCACACAGACCCAGGCGGACAATACCAATCATCGTCCACAGACACACACTGCACCGATGGCTTCGGAAGCCCGGCAGCCGTACACGCAGGCTGGCTCTATCACATCACTCAGCATCAGCTCTCCTCCGTGTCGTCACCGCGGCGACAGAAGGGATCTTACATATGAAGCGACGCTAGCACCGCAGTAGGAGCTGTCGCTCACCGGACAGCATCCTTCGTCGGAAGTCCCTTGGTTCACGCACCAGTCGGTTAGGGGACAGCAGCCGCCCGCGCAACAGGCTGCGCCGCCGGTACAGCAGCCGGGTTGGTTGGGGCAGGTTGCGTAGCCGAGGGTGATGCCTTGGGAGCAGTCGGAGACGGGGTAGGGGTCTACGAAGACGGCGGTTGTGAGGGCAGAAAGGGAGAGGGCGATGGAGAGTAGGGAGTGGATGAAGTGCATTTCTTTCTTTGGGTAGATTGAAGTGGGTCTTGAGGAAATTGCACCAGTCTATAGGTCTAAGGCTACATCTTTATCAGGCGTTTAACTAATGGTTTTGCAGGAGTAGAGTTTCGCGGCAGTTTGCTTCAGCTGAAGCTCCTCCGCGTACTCGCTACGGCCTGTGGAGGCGTAGGCGTGGAGCCATACATCAACCTTAATCTCAGCCTTATGGCGCTGGTTAATGTCGAGGTGTAAGCGAAAACGAACGTATAGCTCTTTTGGGCCTTGAGGTGGTGCCTATCATCATGGGCGGTCGACGGTCCGTTCATACCACCCCTTGCTGCTCTGAACTTGGTGATCGCTGCTCTTGACCGGTCTGATATCCTACGACGATGCCTCCTCCCCCTTGCCAAAGTCATGCGTAAAGTAAATGCACGCGCGACGTGAGCTCTAATAGCGAGGTTACGATACGTGGACATTTCTTTTAGAAGAGCTGATTTGTCGAATTTGGTGAAGTTGGTCTCCTCAAGGCTCTTCTATAACAGCCGCTCTCGTAAGGAAGTCTTCACCCCGAGCGTGCTGTTCCGGCCACTCATTTTGGCTCGCTTCCACTCCCGACGTCCCCCTGCTTCCTCGCATAGTCCCCCGACTCGTAGTCCAACTCCAGCCCAACGACAACTTCCCCAGGAAATTCTGCTCCTCCCTCTTCTTCTCGTAGTTTTGCCAGAAAATGAACTGCGGCGGTCGCAGCACCCTGTGTCGCCGGACGATACGCGGGATGTAAGGACAACACCCCACGATGATAACAATGCCCAATTCCGCCATGCTGTCTGCGGTTAGTGGGTATTTGTCTTAGGGGGAGGACTCTGCATACCATATAATCGCCGTCTGCGTAAGCAACCACGTCTTATCCTCGCGCTGCAAAATCAACACACGGAAATAGAGCCCAAGACACCCGATCGCAACAGCTCTGTTCACGTCAGCCTCTCTCCGAATCTCCTTCATTTACGGAGGTTCACGCAGCACTTACAGCCCCCCCACCGCAAAAACCGCTAATATCGACACCTTCTTCCTCACATCAAACCTCAGCTTCCAAACCGCCCACATCGGCACCAAAAACGCCTCAACATCGCTCAAAGTATTCAGGCCCCCAATCGCCATATTCAACCTGTTGCTATCCATACACCGCCCCGGCACAGTGGGCGTCCAAATCTTCTCCCTCGGCCAGCACGTAAAGACGTAAAGGAAGAGGAACGTCGTGTACGCCACCGCGTTGAGCGCCAGGCTCACAGTAATAACCCAGTACACGGCATCCCTAATCCGCGGCGACGTGAAAATGCGCTTCAGCTGCATGAAGATAGTGGCTTTGGCGAAGCCGCCCGAGATGGTGTAGCAGATGAAGATGTAGCTGTAGCGGCGGGAGCCTGCGATGAGGGTAGGCACAGGCACGTCGCCTATGTGACGTGCGATGCCATGTGTGGTGTTGATGCATATTAAAGTGGCCTGGGCGATGAAGGCGAGCCAGGCGGTGTAGGAGAAGATGTCTTCTGGGCGGAGGAGGCGGGCGTAGATGTTTTCGTAGAGGCGGATGAGGATGAAGAGGAGGGTTATGGCTTGGACGGAGACGGTCGCTGCGATGACTTGGTTAAGGAGGTTGGGCGGGTTTACGAAGTTGGGTTGAGGTCCTGGGGGCGGTGGGCTCGCAACGCTCGAGTTCATGGTCGTGAGAGTCGCACGGGTGTGCTCCTGCAAGCAGCGGCCTGCACATTGATAAGAAAGGTACATGTGGAGCTTCCTCGTTCTGTGGCAATGCAAATCCCACGTTTCGGGCTTGCGGCAGCCGAAATGGGAGCATTCGTGGGATTTGTCCTCACATGCGGTAAGTTTGCGGGGTCGAACAAAGAATTGTCCATGGTGGTGATAAGATTGCGGCGCTTCTACCACGCGGTAAACAAAGAATCTCTGCTCGGCACCTCTAGTCTCTGATAATCTCGTAGTGTTTCAGAATGCCGGAATCGTCGAAGAAAGAAAGGTACTTCCAAATGTAACTTCGACCGCCACATGGCGATCGCGTTAAAGCGTACGCAGAGTGTGATGAATCATAAAATTGCACTACCATGCCATGGTATGCAGTCTCAACGATGATTGCCTCAGCCCTCTAGTGTACAAGAAAATCATTATTAGTCGATGTAGATCCGGTTGACACATTCAGACAATTACCAAATTGCGGTGACATTGCCCCTAGCCGGTTTGCTAGTTTGGTAAAGTGAATGCTACACAATAGTGTTTGTAGAAACCCAACAGCCAGCGCAACCCTTTCCATCATCTACAATGGGATCCGTCCCAATTTCGAAATACACAAATAGACACCGCCAACGTCCTACAAAACCCAACCACCCATCTCCACCCCTCACTCCTCCCTCTCCCCAAAACCCTCACCCTCACCCCACTCTCCGTCCCCAAACTCGTCATCCCAACAAAGCAGTCATAGTTCGTCTGCACATCCCTCTCCTCGCTCGTCCCCATATCTCCAGCTCCATCCACCGCCACACATACGCAGTGCCAAAGTACAACTCACTCGTCGCCAGATTCATGCCCAGGCAGCTTCTGCTTCCGCGGCCAAACGCAAACCAGTTTTTCTTCAGGTCGGGGTTGTCGAGCCAGCGTTGCGGGCGGAAGGCCATGGGGAGGGGTAAATCTTTGGGTCGGTGTGGAGGAGGTAGGCGGACTGCATGACGGGGTGCCGCGGGGAGGGTGTAGGGGCCGTAGTGGAGGTCTTCGGTGGTGGGGATGCGCGGTTGGCGGGAGGAGACGCCGTGGGATACGCGGAGGCCTTCTGTTATTATAGCGGACTGTAGACGTTAGACAGAGTGAGCGACGCAGTGTAATTACAATGTGCTTACGAGGTATGGTAGGGCTTCAAGCTGAGGCAGCGAGACTTTTGAATCTTTCGTGGGGAGGACCGTCTTCAACTCTTGCAGTAACTGACTTCCAATGTCTTTCTCTTTTAAGAGATAGTATATTGTGACAGCTAGTGCCCGCGCCGTTGTTTCCGTCCCCGCGCCCATGAAGACACTGCTCTCCGCCATCAAGCGGAAGGGCTCTTTCTCCTCTGGCGGCAGCTTCACTTCAGGGTCATCCCTAAAAACGTGGAATATCGACCTGTGGCCCGCCTTCTCACCACTTCCATCTTCATAATTCATGATCTTTGTAATCCTAGCCAAGAGCCCGGCATTGAACTCATTCATGACCACAATCTCAGGCGAGAGGTAAGCGACGCGCTCAGGCGGCAGATCGAACATCCAGTTAATCAACGTCGGAAATTGCCGCGCAATCGGCCGCATCTGAAGGCCCATATGCAATATATCCAGCATCTGCTTGCCGTACCTGGGCCGTTCCATGCTGTTCATGCCCTCGCCGAAGCAATACTCGCTGATGATGTCCATAGTCATGGCTGCAAAAGCGCAGTTCAGATTCACGATGCCTTGCCCGCCTTCGCCAATGTCACGAGTCATATCCTGCTTCAGCCTCGCGAGAAGCCTATTCGTTGTATTAATGATCAGAGGCTCAAGCGCTTGCACGTTTCGCTTGCTGAAGAAGCCGCTTGTGGCGTTGCGCCGCATTTTGTGCAGGTCGTGGTCCATTGCCTCGAGCATCGCACCGCTGAAGGTCTTTGCGCCGGAGTGATGCGACCAAGAGCAGCGATCGCGTTTGTGTGCATTTCCGGTAGCGTAGATAGTGTCGAGGTAGGAGTGGTCGTGGATGTGCACGTGAAAGGGGTTGATGCGGATGATGGGGCCGTATTTGTCGTGTAGCTCTCTGAGCTTGAAGCCGTATTGATATTTGTGTGGGTAGACATCGTAGTAGAATTCATACCAGAATGTCAGGGCCGCGAGCTTGTCAGGTTAGTGCCGAGTGGTCGGTGATGGTAGGGTATACACGTACTCTAGGCCCGGGAATGTGCGCTATTGGATGGAAGTAGACGCGATATACGCCTATAGTTATCCAATACGAGAGCCAGATTGCGAAGAAGGTCCCGAACAGTTTTCCAGCACTGATTGTCTGGGCCTGCTCGAGATAGGATGTGAGGACGTGGGCATCCATTTCCAAAGAAAGATGGACCAGCAGACGTCTGCGTATCTGCCCCCTTCATATTGTCGCTTCGGAGACAAATACAGTATCTGCGATAGTAAGCGGAGACTTTCCGATATACTCGTGGACCAAAGTGGCTAAAGATGAGAAATTACGCTGAGGCGCTCTACACTAGGACGCTATTGTCTCATAGCGTGCCCTGCATACTCAGCAATCGCCCGGCTCATAATAAGCGCTACAAGGAAATAGGACAAGGTCCGTACATATGTAGCACCCAGGTATCGGCCAGGGAAGACGGTTCGTACTCTCCATATGTCCAAATCACTTAGTATGGGGGCCGAAAACATAGTGGACTGCGTCACACGTTCGAGACCTCGTTTCGTATAGAAATGTCTATGTATGCAACTCACGTTTCCCCGCAGCAGTGCTTGACTTGTTTACTAGTAGCTACCAGCTTCCCTAGAGCAACCACATACTTCTTCCTCAAACGCACAGCAGGCCTGCGCTATAGGTCTTGAAATTCGAGCTTGACCAACAGGGTGCATGTCGTTTCGTGACCTCTGAGATCCAACTGAAGTAAAGATACAAAGTTAGCTTGCGCCAGTAAAGGAATGCAAGGGGAACATTAGCTGCATCTTGAGGGGTCACACGTACCATACGTATGAAATTCCAGCCTGGCGTGGCGTACATCAGCCGCACTGCAGCCACTGCGAATAATGGATTGCGCGCGAAAGAATCATCGCTCTTGATGAGGAGACGTAAGAATACCAACTCATTATCATCGTACTCCCACTCCAGAACCTCCTTCCACAATGGATTGGTCGGCGCTGGGTTCTCTTTATGGAGGAATCCGGTAAGTTTGTGTGGCTTGTATGGTTGCGTCTTGCGCTTCTGTGGTACATTCTGAAGGTCATCCGGATGAACAAGCGTGCAGGTAAGGTATGGTTTGATCTCATCGTCGCGGCCTGATGGCAGAGGTACATCCGTTGCACCAGCCACATGCAACCTGAGTCGCTTTCGCCTACCAGTGTTGAGATGGCCATCCCCACCCAAACGTAAAGGGGCAGGTTTCAAAACGTAGCCACCGGAACCTGAGAAGAGGGCTTCGTTCAATTGCGAACTGGCTCCAAACGTTTGCCAGTTCAATGCGCAGATCTGGGCACCGATTCCCTACTTAGGTTAACACACAAGGAATGTGCTCATTAGGAGTAAAACTTACCCAAAATGGGACAGGCGCAAGGTTCCTAGACGAAATACGTGTACCTTTAGGGAAGACACGCATCAGATGTTGCGAATTATGCACAGCAATCTTGGGACTGTTTGCTGGCATGTGGGATACCAGGCCGGTTTCCGAGACGTTGATCAGTTGGTGATGGGGTGCATTCTCAAGTACACTTTCGTACCAGGAGTTGTTCACTGGCTTCACCGACTGTGCATAGACGCCCAGCCCGGCTAGCTCGGGGATGATGCCTCCAACGTTGACTGCCTTCTTTTGCTCTCGATACTGTTGGTGCGCTTTTCGCTGCTCTTCGTCTTCGGATGAATCACTGCTGTCGTCACTGTCTTTCTCGTCTGGAAGATGGTATTCAACCTTTGTAACGGGATTATAGTCAGCATAGGTTATGAGGGAGGGATGCCTTACGCACAATCACAACGACCTTGTTGCCAAGTTCGGCAAGAGTCACATGCTCACCACCTCCTTCCTGTTCGCGAGTGCCCTTTTCGCGTATAGATCTACTCAGAAGGCGATCTTCAAACACTTCTCTCATAATCTGCACCAACCGAAGCTGGCCTTGGCTGCTGCAGTGGTTTTCAAGTGATATGATGATGGGGGCGGCATGGCGCTCCTCCCGGGCTTCTTTGTCCACGACGTCGCGAATCACTTCGCATACCTTGCGGAAGGGGATATGGGACACGAGTGTGTAGCCATGAGTGACTTTAGGCTCATTCTTGTCGTCATCGTTGTCCCAGGCATCGATCTCGACGCAACGAGAACCGGTGTAGAGGGCTATCTCATACGCTGACGCATGGCTCTCTCCGAAGAGTTGATGAGCCATCAAGTAGGTGTTGTGGCTTGAGCTGATGAAGTAGTCCGGCAGCGGATGTCCTCGGTCGAGGACCTCCGGAGGGACATGAATGTGCGGGCGATCGAGCATCTCTCTCAAAGCTGAAGTAGACTCATCGTGGTCCACGCCGGCTTCATCTTCAGAGAGCACGCCTTCTTTCGCTAGAAACGTTCTCAAAGCGCGGCTTACTTTGAGCTGATTCTTAGTGATGGCAGACTGTCGGGAGGCATGGCCACCACCAGCCACAGTCTGTTCGTCAATGGCCTCACCCTTGTCTTCATCGTCGACCTCCGATCGCTTGGAGAAGGGGTTGAGCTTAGCGATACCGGAGACGAGTTCGGACATGATTGACAGCTGGTTGCAGGATAATAGGGAGCAGTAGGATGTGTTGTGTTCACACGGACGCGAACGATGACGTTCCGCTGCGGCTGGTGGGGCTGGGCTCAGCTGTGGAATCGCGCTAACCAAAAAAGAAAGCCACGATCGGCCACGTCTTCAGCGCAATCCTTCACTCGCTTCCTTTGCTCTCCAATTGTCTAATGGTCTCAGCATGCAAGTTATCAAAGCAGACGACAGCTAATGCACATCGTCATTTCTTAATCACACACAAAAGCTGGTCAGCCAATAGTCACTCTGTCCGCAGACGCACAGTTTCATCGAAGCCTCCTTTGAATTGAGCCCCAACGCGTGCAAAGACTGTTTCCCCTGCGTCAAAACTAATGTACAGCGAGCACTACACTCTTAGCTCGTGGAACGGGCCATACCATGTGGCGATCGCGGAACCTCTAATGCTCGAAAGGTGGGCCGTCTTGCGTAAAAGCTCGCCTACGCTTGTTTATCCGCAAAACTTTCACGATGTGCCAGCCATATGGTGGAGCTGTTATCTACAGTGTCAAAACAGGGCGTACAAACGATGCGTCTTCGCCGACTGATCTCACCGCCTTGATGATCTGACGTCACGTGAAGAATGCGAGATCCTGTAAGGAGTAAGTGTACCTACAGACACGTACTCTCGAGTGAATTGTCCCCCGTTTGAGATTGACACCTGGGCAAATACTGCTTTGTTCGTAGATATCATTCCGTACTTCTTATGCTGCCACCCTACTTTCACCCTGCCTAAGACGCAGAAAAGCTTGAGTAGCCTCAAAACCCATAAATCCTATCCTGACGAACAAGAATCTATGCAACATGAGCACCACCCATGCTCAGCATGTCTTCTCACAATGGGAGGCCGCGAAGCAGCGCAAATCACCAGTCGTTATCGATGGTGAAACCCTGAATCTAGGTCGAACGGTCACTCTTGGTAGATATGGAGGGTCTGCTACTCTGACAGAAGACCGCGATGTCCTAGACAAGCTTGATGCGTGCGTCGCGGTGCTGAACAAGCAACTACAGCGGGGTGACACAGTATACGGTGAGTTCACGGAGCTGTAGCAATTTGCTTGACCAGTACTGATACAAGCGCAGGGGTCAACACAGGGTATGGAGGAAGCGCAGACGTTCGTTGTAGCTATGACGAGATGCACAAGCTACAACAAGCATTCATCCAACACTTGAATTGCGGAGTGACCCCGGTACTGCCTGTACCTAGCAGCGATCAGGTCGCGCACTCAGCCTTCTTGAAGCAAGAATGGGTCCGAGCCGCGATGCTCATCCGTGCCAATACGGTCGCAAGAGGTCATTCTGCAGTACGGATATCGACTATCAAGACGCTTCTGAATTTATTAAGTCATGACATTCTTCCGGTGATCCCTACTCGTGGAAGTATATCGGCATCTGGAGACCTGTCACCGCTTTCCTACGTCGCTGGCATGCTGGAAGGCAACCCGGACATCTACTGCTGGATAGGCCCAGTGGAAGACCGAAAGATCGTGCCTGCGTCTGCAGCCCTCGCATCCGTGCACATCAAGCCAACAGTGTTCGACCCAAAAGAAGCGCTGGGCCTCGTCAACGGGACCGCCATATCTGCAGCTACCGGAAGCATGACCTTGGCTTCCATGAATAACATCCTGGCTCTCAGTCAGCTTCTGACTGCTATGAACGTTGAAGTTGTGCTTGGAACAGCCACGTCTTTCGCGCCGTTCATCTCAGACATCCGCCCGCATCCTGGTCAAGCGCAAGTCGCATCTACTATATTCGGTGCATTGCAGGGCTCCAAGCTTGCTACAGGACTTTTAGAAAGCCATGGTCATACTCTCTTCCAGGATCGGTACTCCTTACGCACCGTTCCCCAGTGGCTAGGCCCTTTCGTTGAAGACATTCTCCTCGCCAACGAGCAACTCCGGGTAGAACTCAACAGCACAACGGATAACCCGCTCATTGACGCTAGCACTGGCGACATCTACCATGGCGGTAACTTCCAGGCTGTGTCAGTCACGTCTGCAATGGAAAAGTGTCGACTAGCCGCGCAAGCTATCGGACGCATGCTCTTCTACCAGTTCACTGAGATGACAGACCCGGCCAAAAATCGCGGATTGCCTCCAAACTTGTGCGTTGATGAGCCTAGCACGAGCTTCACTTTCAAGGGAGTCGACACAAACATGGCCGGATACATGTCGGAGCTTTCCTTCCTCGCCAACCCGGTGCATAACCACGTCGTCAGTGCCGAGATGGGAAACCAAGCCCTGAACTCGTTGGCGTTGATCAGCGCACGGTATACCGATACGGCGATGGACATCCTATCGCTCATGTGCGCTTGTGCACTCTACGGCACATGCCAAGCGTTAGACCTACGTGCCATGAACAACATCTTCGAGTCAAAACTGCAGTCCGCATTAGCCGAAAGCACGCAGCACTTTCTAAATGCCATTGGCGTAGGCGAAGACTGGCAAGCAAAGGCCCAAGTACAAGTCTGGAATTACATCTCCGACCAGTTAATCAAGACAACCACACTAGACTCCACGCCCCGCTTCGAAAAGATGATGCAAGGCGCAAAAGCGCCTCTGCTGTCTGTGCTGGAAGAAGCGAACGCAAGTTCATCCGACCTCTTGCAACACCTGGGTACCTGGACTGCGAAGAACATCAACACCAGCCTACGACTGTTCAATCAGACGAGGCAGGATTACATCAAATCGGGCGACGCAAGCGATCTTCTCGGAAGGGCTTCGAAGCGGCTGTACCACTTCGTCAGGAAGGACTTGAAGGTTCCGATGCACAAGGGAGTCGTCGACCATCCCATGTATCGCGGGTCTGGGGATCCAAACAACGTTTTCGAAAAGGTGGAGGATGCGTCTACAAAGCGAACGATCGGCCATTGGATCAGCGTCATTAATGACGCGATACGGGATAACAGTGTAATGGATGTCGTGGTAGAATGTTTTAAAGATGGTCTGGACGCTGAACCTGAGCTCATGCCTCAGCGCTCCAATGGAGCGGTCAACGGAGTGCATTAGATCATAAAGCTTGGGGACAGAGGGGGTATGCCGGCTGGATCGTTCGCAAGTGGAGGTGCATGATGAATACTGAGTAACAAAATCCTGGGGGGAAGAGGGTTAGGCCAGCTCATTCATTGGTTAGCAGAAGGGTCTGGAGGTGCGCTGATTTTCTAGTGGGAACAAGGTCTTTGTAGCATAGGCTACACGTGCGAAATATGTGGAGCAGGTATTTTCAGTATTGCCCTTGAGGATTACTCTCTCGTGTTCCTACCTTGAGGTAGCAAGTCTTTCAACATAACATATCCTCAGGCCGAGCGATTGATGGATTTGCTGCAGAGGCGACAGCGCTTGGCAGTGGATCTCGCCGTGTAACGGCTGCACTCCAAGAAGGGAAGTGTGAAGCTTCGCGTCGTGATGAGACGGCGAAGGGCTTGGACGAAGCTGGTCCGATGCTTGTGTTGGTTCGATGGCACAGGGCTTTGGGCGGGAAGAGTGGAGGTCGTAGTCGCGCACGGACTTCGGTCTGGCCACTTGACGACGCGCTTCTTTCATCACACCTCGTCTCTACACCGTCACATAACTCGAAGTATCGCCATCTCCCGGAAACACGCCGCGAAACAATCCAAAAGCATACACGGCTCTTACTATGCTCTGCAAAGGCAAACGCGAGTTCCATACGCGTCTTCCTGAGGCAGTCCAACCCCCGCCAAGTGCCTTGGCCGTGCGATGAAACACCTCCGAGTTGCTTTGTTGAAACCCACCTTGGCCACACGCAAACCCCGGTGCTGAAGATCATCCGTGACCGCCGCGTCCAGCTACGGATTTTTGGTTCTTAGCAACGGGTTTCAAGCACTTTGGCCAACGTTGCCGAGCTTAGCTTAAGCATTTACCATTGCACTTGACACGCCAAGCAGCTCTCTCACCACCCTTGAAACTCCTCTATATTGCCCCGCATTTGTAGCAATGGAGAGCAAAATGGAGAACCTCCCCAAGTATAAATCTGCGAATGGAGATTCAGGAATTTCCGTTTCCCGATTTCTTGCTAAAGATGCCGTTTATGAACCCTAAAGGCATGTCGACACTCGGCCACACCTTCAGGTGCGTATTTCTCCAGGAACTCGTCGACAGCACTAACGATGGGCAGAAACTTTGATCAGACCATTCTGACCATTAAGGTCGGAAAGGGCGAGTATCCAGAATCTTTTAGCTGCCATCGTGAGCTTCTAAGAAGATGTTCGACATACTTCGATCGGGTACTAGAGCAGCAGAGCTCTTCACCATACAAGGGTGGTGAAGCTGCGCTGGAGCTTGACGATACGAATCCAGATGTCTTCGATGCGTTCATGATGTGGCTGTATACTGGATATATTCCACACCATCTCATCGAAGGCGGAAAGGAGGTGCATGCACCATCACATTCTATCGATTTGAACGGTAGCATGAACGGCAGCACCAACGGCACATCCGAAACCGACGCCAAGGACGGAGCCGACGATGTTGACACAGCATCGTGGGGCATTTCACTCGACAACGACGACAACGACGCGACTCCTCCGGCAGAAGGATCACAAAATGGGGATGCGCCGCCTACGTCGGAGAACGGCGCTGAAAAGGTTCCCGGCGACGCCGATAGCGAAAAGAGCGCTCCAGCGCCCCCGATCCGCTTAACTGCAGCCGAGAAGCCAGAGATCCCCAAAGAGACTTTATGTCCCTGCTGCTCCAGGCCATACAAATGGCGCGGCCTGGAAGGCTTTCTCGAACGCCGCTTCATTTCCCTTTACATCTTCGCACACAAATACGAGATTCCGAAACTCCGTCATGCCGTCATCCTCGCGTGGCAGAAGAACGACGAAATACTACAGTCGATGCCCGATCACAGCAACGTCATCGAGGCTTATGAACGCCTTCCTACAGACTCACCGTTGTGCAAGTACTTCCTGGACATGTACTGCGTCTACTGGGACCCAAAGAAAGACAACGAGCGGATGGTCTCTCTACGGTCTCAGCTCCCGCAAGCTTTCCTGTTCGAGCTTGCCACGACTCTAGCCCAAGGCGAGAGGCCAAAAACAGAGAAGGACTGGTGCGAGTGGCACGAGCACGAGGATGAGGCAGCTAAGAAGGCATGCACAGAGGAAATGATGAAGGATGCCGCCTGCGCGAAAGCACTCAAGCGAATTCGCGATGTCAAGGGCTGGAAGGGCTTGGTAATGAAGAAGGGCAAGAGGTGATTGCGACTTCTCGAAGCCCAATGATGTGTTATTGCATAAGCAAGGCGTTTGGGACGGGGCAACGGCCGCCCTGGTTGGCGCAGGTCAAGTCCAAAATTAGATGAATGGTATACCCCTTGTTGAGCACTTGCAGTTCCTTGTCAGGTTTACCATATCTTTCAAGTTCTTTCCATAAGCTCACTTGCTTTAGCATCAGGGACATACAAATTTAGCGCCTATTGCGACAGCGCCCTAACCTCCCTAACCTCCCTACATCCTGTGCTGGGGTTGATAGGCTAGCCACGACCGTTTTGGACAAGCGTCGCTGCCATATGATCACGTGCTCGTAGTGCGGGGTCTCTACGTGGAAAGGGTTGGGGACGTAATTGCGGGATGCAGTTGACGAGGTGCTCAGGGAGCTGCTCAGTGGTGTTCCCAACAACCATGACTTGCAGGTGCGGTCGAAGTGGAAGCACGAGAATGACGTGGCGATTTGGGATTAGGAGTAAGATTAACACTGCTACGTACGATTATGATCGGGTTGCAGGGCTGGGCATCGCGCTGCGGGGATTGGGGAGAAGTAAGTTTGTCTTCTTACTTCTTTGGATGGATGCTGAATGAAGAATTGCTGACTGTGAGATAGACTTTCAAATTTTTACCCGTGTATATTCTTCTATCCCTCCTCCGCTTTAACCGCACAGCGCAATACATGCCCTTAAAACAAACGCGCCTATCCAAGTCGCAAATGAAACAACAAAATGTGTATATGAAGCCCATATCTACAAGAATGCAACACTCCCACACCAACCAACGTCTGCACTACTTCTGCACCGTCCTCGTTACAGTTTGCGTGAAGTAAGTCGGTCTAAGACTGACAATCGTTTGCGTAAAATAAGTAGGTCTAAGGCTGACTATCACTTGTGTGAAGTAGGTCGGTCGAAGGCTAATTAACGTGACGGATGTCGGTCTTATACTTATGAAGGTAGCCGTGCTCAACATCGTTGTCACTCTGGTCGCGGTCACTGTTGACGTAGCCACAATCTGGTTCCCGGCTGCTGCAGTCACCGTAGATAGTAGGGTCTGAGTAAGCGTTTGCGTGGTCGGTTGCACGAAGGTTGTTATGACTGTGGAGCGCTGGGTGGTCGTAACAGATACCGTTGATGTTGTCTGAACGAGGAGCGCTGACATGGATTGAGTGACCGTCCCCATCGCGGTGCTCGTAGTCGTTCTAGTAGTCGTAGCGGTATTCGTTCTCGTAGTCGTAGCGGTCGTCGTTATTGTAGTGGGTATAGTGATCGTCGACAGCGCGGTACTCGTTCTCGTAGTCGCAATCGTAGCCGTAGTTATAATCGAAGTCGTACTCAAACTCACACTCACACTCGTACTCGTTATCGTGCTGAGTTGAGTGATGGTAGTCAGCCCTGTGGCCGTGGCCGTGGCCGTTGTCGTCAAGGTTACGATCGACCCATCCGAATCGAGGGTAGTTGTGGAGGTGACTGTCTCAGTGACCGAGACAGCGTAGGTCGGGAACGCGCAGTCGACATCGTAGTAGTAGTATGGCTGTGTGTCGTCCGCGATGAAGAAATTCTCACTTCTATGCATGAGCACTCGTCCCTCTCGGATGTGGACACGGCAAACTCACAGATAATCCGGGAAGAACTCGCAGTACTGCGAATTTGTGTCCGAGTAGTAGCTGTATCGAAAGCTCTTACACGTCGGGTAATCGTTCTTACAGAAGTCGGCACACAGGGCGAATGTCGATGGGGCCTTGAAGAAGAAATTGCCCATGTAAAAGGTCGTTCCTGTATAGTTGTTCGTGCCGACCTGACCGCATATCTGATCCGCCTTACAGCGTTGTACGAGCAGTCCGAGTACCCATACTAACGACAAGAGCAAGCGACGTGAAGTAATCATGACTCTGAGTGACGACTGTTGATTTGCGGAGGGAAGAATGATGGTCGATTTAAAGTGCATTGGCGCGCGCTTGTGATGGCTCGCTTGCGTGGTACATATTCCGATGTTTACGTAGGGGAAGACTGTGGAATCTGGAAGGAATGTAGCCAATTTCCGGCAACCGTAGTACAGCGATGTCATCTCGTCCTTCTAAAGGGCAGTATAAAGTCTATTACTCACCGAAGTTTATTAATCACGTATAGTGGGATGGTATTTTGATCATGGGTTTCTGCATTGGAGCCCATAGTTAGAGTTGGCGATCTTTCGAGGGCAGTGAGACGATTGAGAGCGTTATGTTCTCGTCTGGACATCGACCCAGTGATTCGGTCTTTCGATCTTCGGCATAAGCCCGGTAGATGATAATTGGAAGGGAATACCCCGCCATACTGGTAGTAGAGAATGTCTTCCCATTTTCAAGCGGTCGTCGGCTAAAAGGAGCAAGCGGGTGCGAAACGCGGGATCATTTTTCTTCAGCGACAAACTCTTATGATACAGAAAAGTGAACCCATAAAAAAAACTTTGAGGTGTTGTTGAATGGACAGGCCAGTTGTAGCCCTTAAGTTAATGCTAAGGATGTTGGAGTAAGTGGTTAGCGATGGCTGCATATATGAGGCTCGGGTGCACCTGCCATGCAAGGAAGTACCTTCTTAAACACTAGCTGCTGATATAGTCCTCATAGTGTTCCTCCCTATAAACCTCTTTCACCCATTCAAAACCCCATTTCCGCCCCATCCCAATCCCACTGCAAACTGCTCCCACTAGCATACAGCGCAAACATCGCCCCATCAAATCCACTCGGCAGCACGTCCGGCTTGAACTCCTTCATCCAATTCACTGTCACATTTCTATCGAGTACCCCAGCTTGAAAGCTTCTATTCAGATTTGATATGCAATTGAAATTCTGCTGGGACGGTAGGAGAGTTGAGGGGGCTTTCGGTTGTATTAGCTCGCACTCCAGGCCCCAGACCATTAATAGTTCTCGCAGCAAGAAAGCATAGAATATTACTGTTTGCACCGCCACGGATTACGATATCTTGGTGGTTGGATTCGCTCTGGTACGCGGATATGCCAGTAGATTCCCACGCATTCAACGACTTTTGTGTAGGCAGGAGCGTCGCAGTGAATGTCATGTTTATACTTTTCTGCTTGCGAAGAATGGCTGCGGCACCTGATCAAACCGATTGATAGCATGCGGCACTAGCTCCCAGTTCGTAAGGTTCTTCGACTTGTAGATTGGAACACCAGGATAAACATTGAAGGACAACACTGCAATGCATTAGGTATCATTGACTCTCAAAACATGTGGATCAGGATTCCATTCAAGATCATAAGTAAGCTAGGATAAATTGGCACTTAGATACGTACCCTCGAATGATTGGATTCTTCAGCGCAGCGACTCCAACACCGAAAGCTGCGCATGCAACTGTCACCAGGGTCGACCAAACCATCGTGCCCTGTCTCGTGTTTTAGAACTTCATTGGATCGAAAGGGGTTCCCAAGAGTTGCTTTCTTGATATTTCTTGCGTAGTGTAGTGCATGGATGATGGAAGCCCGATGTAGGCCGTTCATTTTAGCGGGATACATGGCACCGGTTGATGTATACCGCTGATCAGGGATACATTCCTTCCTGGATATAATCTCGAAGAGCAAGTAGAGGTAATAGGGACGAACCGCAACCATTTTGGCTATGCGCTACCTGTCGTTAATCCACCAGTGGCCCAGGACCTTGCATCCCGGACGCCGCATTATGTTGCGACTCTTTCTATCTTCGCGAGCACCTTCGATTATTTTGCATATTGACGGCTGTAGACTGAAGCGAGGTTGCAGCGGGAGTGCATCACTAAGACGTAAAGCCCGTGGCGTGCGGTTACGGACGTAACTCATCGGCGGGGTACCGGAGGTCACACCTGCGGATCGCCAAGCTGAAGTATCCCGACAGGGTTGAGTCGTGAGATTAAAGTAATATGAATGGGTATACTAAGCCGTGGGGTATCTAGTGAAGAGAAATCGCTGCTCAAATGTCACTTCCAAGCTCGTCAAAAGCATTTTCAGGCACAGAAACTGCCTCGAGGGATTCTTCCAAAAGGCGTGCTACCTGTTGCATGTTATCCTGCTGAGCCTTCCACTTCAGGACTCGTGCCTCTCTCCTGTGCCTCTCTGCTTCAGTCCACCTGAAGGGATTCTTCGAACGTGCAAAGCGAATCGGACTTGGCACAACAGTTGTCGTCAGTAAAGTGTTCTTCCACCCCGTGTATTGCTTCTCGATATTCTCCAGCGCGTCAATCATATCGACATAATCCTTAGCTAGCTGCCAGAGACGGTCGCGCTCAGTACGGCTCATTGCTAGTTCCCTACGGAGGGGCATGAGAAATCTCATTGCACTGTCCTCGGCACGCCTCAAGTCGCGAAATTCCTCGGCCGGCTCATGTTTTTTTCGCTTTCCGAAAAGTGGTGGCAGCGTGCTGAGTCCCCAGCGCAGGAGAGAATGGCCCGGGATGTTCTCATTCAAGCTAGCACGAATCCGCCGCCGCCGAGTCTCCCTTAAACAATCTTCTTCGTGGCCAAATGAGAACTTGGAGTCCCGTTTCTGAGTGAAGCAGGTCAGTAAGGTTCAAGACACCGCTGACTGCCGATTGTAGCACGTTGGGGAATAGCAAGGAGGAAACTGAACCAGGTCTCCTGGTAGTTGAACTTACCTGCTCCATGATTGTTCTGAGTTGCGTTTCGCCTTGAATGAACCGGAGAAGGAGACCCTTCCACTCGAACATAATCTTTTTGCTTGGCAAGTCGAGGATGAGGTTTTCTCGCAATGCTTGGATGGAGAAGTCGAGATCTAGAACTGCGTTGTCCAACCGCATGCACCATCTCATCTTCCCGAAGCTATCTGCTTTACGGGGTGAGGCGACGAAGTCATGAAGATGCAGTCTCAGGAGTACGTAAAGCCAGTTTTTTTCTTTGTTTGCATCGTTGAATAGTGTTTCGATTCGGAGAAGTTGTTCGTGCCAGCCATCATCAATGCGAAATACAGCATGGAGCCCTCTCCACTTCGCGTTCGTTTTTCTGGGATTCGGTGCTTCGATGGAGTCTTCTAGACGTTCGAATCTACAACGGAAGTGAGAGAGGATTTCTTGGAGATCTGAGGGTATTCCGGCCCAGTCGAGTGTTGAAGGGGAGGCCACAATCCCAAAAACCTCGGCTCGTTTTATGCAATTGTACATGACCGGGCCGTCAATGCAGTCGCGGAAGCCGCGACACACCAGCCGCCATTGTAGAACATGATCGATGGGTACGCATTCGACGATGTGAAAGAGGATTTCGGCAGGCAACTGCGGCAGGGTTGAGGTAGACCCATGGTCCTGGCTTGCGTCGATGGAGGAGATCAAGGCGGACACATCGTCGGCGTCAAAGCCAAAGTTGAAATGGCGAGCAATATACGATGGCAGTGGCGCGTCATCACTAGGTATAGGAATTGGGTTGGTCCTGTTGCCCAAGCTGAAGGCCATACTGTCGCGCATGGCCTGTCGACAATGAATGTACGTATCTGGAGGCGGATGCGGGGAAAGCGCGGGCGCTTGGTCCCATCCTTGGCAGAACGCGAAGTCACGTGCTTTAGTCTTCCCCAGGGCCGGCCTCTGTCCATCTCTCGACTTTCGTATACCTGTTAGTATCTCTGGAAACGACGTCGAACTCGTTATTGGGAACGAGCTTCGAAACTTGATTTGGTGTATTCTTAAGGTCATCCACGGTCACATGCGTTCTTGGACACCACCATCGCTGCATGCCGGCGTCGTCCTTGATATCTCACGCCAAAGAATGCCAAGGTGCAGGGCCTGACAAGGCTACGAAATTGACCGCGTCCCACGTGCTAAATGATGTAGCTTCTTGCCGCTTGTATACTTCCTAGGACACCTCGAACCCCGCGCATAGGGTTCTGCGTGGAGTAATGACAGCTGCTCTGCGTGAGAACAATGACTCGTCTTCCACGCTGCGAGTCGGTCGCCTCAGGCATGGTTCCCACCAACACCAACACAGGACAATGCGGAGTTAAGAGTCCGTCGTGAGTGACTCCGAGCTGCCTCTACCGAGACACCGCGACACCTGCACCTGCATCAAAGCACACACGTGAGTCCGCACGTGATGGCTACCCCTCCCGCTCACCGGGGATGCTCGGCAAAACTTAAGCAGCTCCCCCGATGTATCCTTCACACCATCTTGACAAGGCTAGCGTCTTATCTTCCCGCCTGTGGGGTGCAGTAGTCTCCACACCCCAGCGCGCTCATTCTCCGATGAACTACGGAAATGGACAGCCGCCAGCTCTTCTACACGCGTTCCTACATCAAAGAGTCGGAAATAGTGCCGACCATGGAAACTTATAACCTGGGTCAGCACCTCCTCCTCTCCAGGGTCTTTGATCCAGTAAGCTGCTCCCACTTGTCGTGATTCTTCCTTCCTTTCGTGTTCAGGGATACCCAGCTTCGTCATGGCACCTGCTACCCGTCGTCCTGTTCGCGTTGCCGGCGCCTCTGGAGGCTTCTCGGACCGCGTCCGCGCTATCTCTTCCCTCGCAAAGAATGACGAGTGCGATGTCATTGTCGGGGACTGGCTGTCCGAGCTCACTATGACTATTCACGGTACTGGGAAGATAAGAAACACGGAGCAAATGATGCAGGCGCGTACTTTCGAAGAGAAGCTCAACTACGCCATGTTCGCTGAGAACTTCCTCGATTGTTTTATGCCTGCCGTGAAGGATGTGGCTGAGAAGGGCATTAAGATTGCTGTCAACGCTGGGGCATCGGATACGGAGCTTCTTGCTCAGCTCGTGGACAAGAAGGTGAAGGAACAAGGATTTAACCTGAAGGTTGCCTGGATTGAGGGCGATGATGTTACCGGCACTGTCAAGGGCATGTTAAACAAGGGCGAGGGTTTCCGCAGTCTCATGCACGGCCGGTCGGTTGAGGAATGGGGACTGGAGCCTGTGTGCGCGCAGTGCTACCTCGGTGGTATGGGTATCGCACAGGCTCTTACCGAGGGTGCAGACATCGTCATTGCCGGCCGTGTATCCGACGCTTCTCCAATCATCGGTGCTGCAGCGTGAGCTTTCCTGTATTCAATCTCCCCGTGTTTGCTAACATCAATAGTTGGTGGCACGGGTGGACAAACGACATGTTCGACGAGCTCGCCGGATCCCTCATCATCGGCCACCTTCTCGAATGTGCCTCCTACGTCTCTGGTGGCTATTGTTCTAACTTCCGAACTCTTCTTGCACAGGGCAAGCACATCAACATGGGTTTCCCAATCTGCGCGATTGACCACAAGGGAGAGGGTATCATGTCCAAGGAGAAAAACACTGGCGGTGAAATGACGGTCGCTACTTGCACCTCGCAGCTCCTCTACGAGATCCAGGGTCCGCAGTACTACAACTGCGACGTAACCGCCCAAATCGAAAACGTCAAGATGGAGCAAGTCGGCGAAAACCAAGTCAAGATCTCGGGCATCAAAGGCCTCCCACCCCCACCCACCACCAAAGTCGGTCTCACAGGCTTCGCCGGCTGGCAAGCCGAATACCACGTCTACCTCTGCGGCCTCCACATCGAAGAAAAGTGCAAATGGACCGAATCCCAAATCCGCTACGAGCTCGGCGAAGAAACCCTCAAGAAATTCACCACCCTCAAATTCATGCAAAATGGGACCTCCCCCCTCGACGCACGCAACCAGGATGTCGCCACCGTCGACTTCCGCGTCTTCGCGCAGACAAAAGACCGCGAACTGCTCAACATGCGAAACCCAGACGGCTTCTTCCGCACCTCCATGGTCACCTTCTTGCAGTCCTGTCCCGGCGCTTCGCTAGGCAACGACATGCGCCAGGCAGAAGGAAAACCATACTACGAGTACCACCCGTCGCTTCTCCCGCAGTCTGCGCTCCAGCAGCGCGTGCACTGCCTCTGGGACGGCGACCAAGCGCAGGGCTTCAAAGACGGGAAGAAAGTAATAGACATACCGCTCGCTCCCGAGTTCCGCGAGTACGACCGCCAACAACCCTCCTACGAAGCTACTAATCCCGTTCCTCTCGACGCCTTTGGCCCAACAGTTCGTCTGCCGCTCGGCTCCATTGTTCTTGGACGCTCAGGCGACAAGTGCTCTGATTGCAATGTGGGCTTCTTCGTGCGCCACGACGACGAGTGGGAGTGGCTGCGCAGTCTGCTCACTGTCAACAAGATCAAAGAGTTGTTGGGCCCGGAGGAGTACAAGGGGAAGCTGATTGACCGGTTTGAGATGCAGAATATTCGCGCCGTGCACTTCTTGCTGCATGATCATTTGGATAGAGGATACGACGCCTGCTCGACGTATGATACGCTGGGGAAGAACTGCTGTGAGTATTTGAGGGCTAAGACGGTGGACATCCCGATTCAGTTTGTGAAAAGGGGTGTGCTGTAGGGGTGTGGATGGGGTTTTCTTGTGTAGCGTTTCTGTTGATGAAAGTTTAGTGTCAACATTGTAGTTGTGATTGCAGTGTGATGATCAAGTACATTCATTCCAACTACGTCCAGATGTTTTGCATCTCGTTAACTGCTTTACAGAAAGCAACGATGTGGGCGTGCACGCCTTTTACCCGCGTATTTCCTCCGAGTTACCTAAAGCAACGCCAAACGCACCAGATCCTTGCCTAAGCCCTGAATGAAGTTCAAGACCCGAAAGTCTCAATACTTTTGGTCATTACGATGATCAAGCTGGGCAACATGTGCAGCGAAATGCTCGACCATATGCTGCTGTGCCTCGGTACTTCTCACTGCCTCTCCCTTACCAAGGTCTGCGCAACTCACACGCTGCAGTTGGGAGAAGTTGAAGTACTGCAGAACCACTTTAATTCTTGCCACCCTTGCCCTTTTTCTTCTCCTTCTTTGCCACGAAGCGGAACGGGAGGTTTTCACCAAGAGGTGTGGGAGCCGGCGGAGGTTTGAGCGATGGGAAGGCTGTCGGTACCTGTGTGAGAAAGTAAAAAGGGTTCAGGCCAGAGTCGTCCGAACAGTTATCATATTGCGTATTTTCACGTTGGGAGTGCATAGCGGAGATGGAGGATTGGGAGAAGTTTACCTTATTGACGGACGCTGGCGGCGCCTGCTTCCAAGCTACGTTCCTCATGCCGGTTTGATAGGTGCGCTGAATGTCGTCTTCAAGATCCACTGCGACAGGCATGGGGCCTTTCTGGAGCGATTGTGAAGCGAAGAGCTTGGATGTGTCGGGGTGCTCCGGCTCAATTTTCTCGGTAGAAGCACCAGCTAGGCAGTCGTTAACGGGCCCAACGTTCTCATTGACACTTACGTGCAGGGCCCGCTTAGCTTGCTTATCTTTGGCTTCATCCTCCAACTGTTTGCGCAATCCAACATTCTCGGCTCGAACACGGATCATGTCGGCGTTCTCTTTTCGGAGAATACGAATCTCTGCAAGTGCATTTCGAAGTTCAACATCTTTCTCATGTGCCGTATCTTGAGGAGCCTGGCCTTCCGATTGATTGTTCTTTGACGTGGAGCTAAGTTCTTCAAGGGCGGCGGCTCTGATGTCTTGAAGCTCAGTTTCTGCATCGATCAGCTTGATGCGAGTTTCATCATGCTCGTGAGCCTCGCGGTTACGCTCAATCGTCATCTGACGCACTAGGAAGCGAGAGTGTCAGCAGGGCTGAACTGTGGTAATATATAGCACGAGGGAACTTGCATGCTTCGTTAAACATATCTCGCTCGTCTGCCTCTTTCTTGTACCTCGCTATGTCCATGTCTTTGACTTTCTTCTCTGTCATGAGATTCTGCAACTCGCTACGAAGCTTATAAATCTCAGAAGACGCTCGGCTCAGCAGTAGGTTCTGATTCTTTCCTTTGTCAATGGCGCTTGATAGGCTCGACTGAATCTTAGATATTTTGGCGTTCTGAGTTTCGATTTTCTTCCGCGCCTTTGCTAATTCGGCCTCGTACAATTCGGCGTCACGGAGCGCATCCCTCATCTTCTGCCGCGTCTGTGCTGCTTCAGATTTGTGCAACTCTTCATCAGCGACGGCCTTCTCCAGCATGGCGTCAATATTGTCCATTTTTTGATTCGCGATCCAAACTTTATCCTGAAGGTCTTGATGTTTTCGCTTGAGTTTTGCATGTTGTCTTGAAGTTTCATCAAACAGTTCTATAAGTCGGGACTTCTCTTTACCAAGATTGCGAATGCGCACCATGGCATCTTGAAGGTTCCCGGGCGCTGATCTAGCCTCACCACTCGCAGCCAGCTTCTCGTGCAGCTCGGCTGAAGATGAGACACTGTCGTAGCCAGATTCGGAAGCTTCGTCTTTGTCCGTTTGCTGAAGCATGGCATTCATTTGTTCTCTAGAGTCGATCTGGTCTTTGGTAAGCGAGTAAGTTAAATCCGCAGAGTCCTGGTAGGACAACGACCCGATTAGCAGGCACAGTCCCTGAAGCATTATCGCAAATATGAGAATAAGCACAAACCGACATACATTCGCGAGTTTAGCCGCTGCAGAATTAACCTTTTCAAGAACCTGAGCGATGGAGCGGCCGCCTTTGTGGTGCTGGTGTTGCTGGCCAAGCTTGTCGTCAGGCCGGCCCGGTTCGGTCCACGATGTGCTTCCAACAAGTTTCGAAAGAACCTCATACAGAATCTCACTATCCGACTTCTGCGGAAAGCTGTTGTTGAGAGCTCCACGTAAAGATGGGATGCTCTTTCGCACAAATTCATCCATTGTGAGGCTAGACTCCAGACGCTCTTCGATGAGATCGCCAAATAACTCCGTTATTTGTAAGAAGAGATCGCAAAATGACTCCGTCATCTGTGAAAGGAGATCACCTGGAGGCTCCGGTCCTTTGAATGAGTTTTGGTCCGTCAACAAGTCCAATTTGGCAGCCAGAAGGTCGAAAGAGGAAAGCCAAGCACTCAGTCTATCTTGTGACCAAGCGCGCACCTCTAGATCACCATGCGCTTTCAAGCGTTTCATGATCGGGAATATCCTGTAATAGACCAGTCCTTCCAGTGCTGCGACTTTTTGAGCGTTTTCTGCCTTGAACTGTCCCATAATTTGGCCTATTTGAGCAACTGCATCTCGGTCAAAAATTTGTTGATACTTCCAAACCATTACATAGCGATGGTACTCGTTCGATAAAGCATGCATCTGTATAGAAGTCATATCCGACTTCAACAGCTCCTTCGTAAGTTCGCTGAGCTTCTGTGTGATTTGCTCGAGGCGCATCAAAGTGTGACCTATGCAGTGATTGCCCTCCGTGATGGCAGATTCGAAGGACGTGTTGATGAACGCGAAAGTATAGCCGCCTGTACCAATTTTATCCAGGTATAAGTGAGCCCAAGCCATCTCTTCGATCTCAATGGCCCATGTAGTCCAACAACCTGCAGCCAAAGCAAACATTGGCTTATCTACGGAGGGGTACATCTTCCGCGTGTGTGGCAGAATTTCGCTGAGCAAGACCCTCTTCAAATCCTTCATGCCTGCCAAGTTGGCGAAGCACAATAGGTGAATCAATGTGTAGATCTGGAGACCGGAGATAGTGTCAAGTATATCCTCGTACTCCAGGATCTCCTTGGACAAGAACATCTGAGCATTCTGAGTAGACGAACCATCTGGAAGGGCCAAGATTGCTGAGAAGTGCGCCCTGGATGACTGCGAATTCGCAACGAAATGACCGTAAGGCCACATGTCTTCCTTTTCGACGGGTGTCCTGGTCTCTAACATTTTCTCCAGAGCTTTGGCGAGAATCTCAGCCTCGACAACAACTCGAACCATCTTGCCTTCTAGTTCCTCCAATCTTCCGGTGTTAAAAACGAGATCGATGTTTGTGCTAGCCAGTTCCGCGACATGAGCACCCCATTGAGCCCAGTGTTCTTGTGACCGGGCGCGTGTCTTGTCGTTCCCAAACTTTATCAGACGCTCCATGTTGGGAAAAAGTCTTGTGACAATGCAGTGCTGCACCTTTCTTGTCCTCTCGAGCCCTTTGATCGCAGTACAGAATAAGACCTTCTTGAGGGACTCGCGGCTGGGCACGGGATTTGGCGCAAACACATCTTTGTATCTTTGGAGTAAGGCATCGAGAAGAACGTCATACTCGGGGTCCATGGCGGCTCTGCTGCACATTTAGCCATTAGAAGCGATACACGATACACTAGCGAGATGCGGTGCGGACAAGCAGATAACCAGAAGGGGCGACGCACCGTTGAATGTAGCCGCACGAGCAGCTGGTGTGACTGCAGCTGTGACAGGCAGGTGGCAGATTGCCTAAGATGCAGACCGTCGTTTGTTATTCTGAAGGCCGCAATTTCGGGAGGCTGCAGGTAAGACTCACGGTTTAGGAAAGCGCCAAGAAGCTCTAGCTATGACTAAGCGGGAGTGAAACCGCGAGGCGTGACTTCCCTAAGAGACTGAAAACAAACGCTGGGGTAACGATATTGAACCCTGAAGTCCACTCTATCTTCTGTTCCGGAAAAACAAATTACTCTCTTCAATAGCTCATACGCGCGACTGCAGAATGCGCCTTCGAAGCTTCGACTGCTCGAATATATAGGATCTAGTCGATGTTGAAATATGAAGGCATCTTGAACCATTCATATCGGCGAGGAGCAGGTGTTTGCCTATGAACGACGATGTCTAGTGATCAAGCAATCCAACAGCCCGCCCATAAAATTGATACTTTGCGTATATATGAATGCATATGGGTGTGATGTGCATGTATCGTATATGGCTAACTATCGTGGTGTGTGTATCGTACATCTCTGACTGTGCATGCCTGAGCATGGCTGTCTGACTACCTGTTGTAGAGTAAGTGTATTGTCATACGCCGCAATGATCAGCACCATCAGCCACTCGTCTCACTTAATTGCGCGACCAGACAATTTGCTGGGTCACGTGCTAGGTTGGGAACCTTGGAGGAGCTCTAGGGTTTACGAATGCAGCAACCTGTTCGCCAAAATTCTAGTAGAAGGCAATAGCAAAGGTAGAGCCAGGATACATGCGCTTGTATTGAATTACGTTACAAAATATCAGCAATATGCCATTGCACAGGCGCGCGAGCGTCTCGGTGCCTTTGCGGCCGACGCGCTATCATCTCGACGGTGAAGCCAGGGGTCGAGGCTAGGATACCGCAGACAGATTAAATGGCGAGTTTGCACCATGTGATCATAATAGACGTTTGATCTCTCAGCATGCAGCTCGACCATTGTATTCGCGGGTGTCAGACCCGGTCACGTGCACGGACATTCACGGCCCTCACCCGTTAAGGATCACAATCTGCATCTGTAGTGCCCGACTTTAGACTGATAACACAATTTTAGAGACGCACACTACGTACTTATTATAGCGTACACAGGCGTATCACTGCCTCCGCCTTTCGTTCTCGCTGCGAAGCCAAGCGGTGTACCCTTATGCTGAGGAAAATCCGCGGGCAACGAGGCGAGGAAAGGACAAGACCGCGATCCTTCATCTTGAGAGTGAAGTCTTTTTTGCAGCATAACACTTATAATGTTGTGACTGGCTTAAAGGAAATGAATCATTACCATTCTACATCGTACTTTCACCTAGGTATAAGGGATATTGTGTCCTAACCCGTCTTGACCTTCACACGCCACTGGAAACATGCTCTCAAGGAAGGCCAGGGAGGACGAGATTGTCCAAAGCTCAGATCTACGAATGATATACACTGAAAGCTTGTCAAGTGCACGCTCGAGCATACCGCATCTCTTTCCGCTAGCTTCACACTGTTCACCATTCGCAATCAGCCAACCTTGCTTCCCATTAGGAATCGGGTCTTACCATCAAACGCATATACCCATAACGTCCGAGAACTGGTCAACTTCGTCATGTGTAGCCGCAATTTTAGCAGCACCATCTGCGACTTCGTTCCAATCCCTCGGGATGCGCCAGAACTTGATGTCCAAGCCCTCTTCTTTCCACCTCTCGACCTCACCCAAGAGCAACTCCCACAAGTCCTTGTTCTTCACGGCCTGGCCCGCGCTAGTCCTCCAACCCTTCTTGATCCAAGACTTAGCCCACTTAGTAGAGCCTTCGACCACATACTCCGAGTCAGTAGCGAAAACTAAGGACGTGAACCCCTCGCCAACCCAGTGACGAAAACGCAGGGCAGCTATGACGGCGCGCAGCTCTGCGCGGTTGCTGCTTTGGATGGTGTCCTCGCCAAAAGGACCTTCGCGCTCAAGGCGACCCGACGTCACAAGGGGACCCGACGCCATCAGGGGAGCCAACCCCATAAGGGGATCCGGTTGACCCTGGAGTCCTGGCCCATGGACAAAAGCCCAGCCAGCGGCGGGATTCGGCATGCCGTTATTTAGGCAGGCACCGTCGGTGTAGATGAGGATCTGAGAAGTGTCGTTGCGGCGGATGTATCTAGTGGTAAGAAATCAGAATTCATTCTCAATATCGCTCAGCCGTTCAACAACTCACCTCGACAGCCTGGCGTAAGTGGCACGACCAACGAAAAGATCCATAGGGCGAGTCGAAGGTGTGCGCGGAGCATCGAACTTGCTTGGGAAAACAATACCAGTTCCTCGGCGCTTTGGGATACCAAGAAATTCTTCAGGGATACGAGGGCGGCTGTCGTTGCTGTCGGTGCTTGCTTGCGCATCAGGGCGGGGGCCTGGTGGACCCCATCTAGCATCGATAGCTGCCCTAGACTCAGCATTGAGACCCCAATACATCTTATCAGTCTTTACGTCCTCATCTTCATCCTCCATAAAGCTGTAACCGGAACAACACCTCCCGCATGTAACAAGTCCATGTGGACCGCAGACTAGTTCTGGCAACTCATCTTCACTCTCATCAGACTTCTCGTCCTCCTCTTCATCCTCGCCCAAGACATCGTCCATGAAGCTGTAATCGGAGCAGCACTTCCCACATCGAACAAGCCCATGTGGGCCGCAGACTAGGCGCCCGTCTGGCAACTCGCAAGGTCCTTCTTCATCGTCGCTGCTAGATTCGCCAAGCGGAATCATGCCTTGCGCAAGGTACCAACCAAGAGGCATCTTGTTGGTGATTTCCGTTATCTTGTGACAAAGACCGAAAGCGATCCAGTATCCTGGTCAACGCCTCGATACGAACCGCTTGGTGTTGGGAAGCTGGTCGCAGAGAAAGTGGAGACGACAGATGTAGAGAGTTGGGCTAAAAAGGAGGTGTAAGAGTTGTTGATTGTCTCGGGCGGCAGAGGCTGTCTATGTAGACCTAGCGTAGCTCCTCTCAATTGATGCGGAGCACCTTCCGCCAACAAGTTGACGATACGAGCGGCGACTTGCGGACTGCAGCGGGAGTGGGCAAGAAGCTTGACCAAACTAGCCAGTGCTGCGATAACGAACGCTCTATCCTCTGAAAATGATGATCTTTGTATGGAAGGTGTGGTAGTCAAACGATGGTGATCAACCAGGGGCGACCAATCAAACCTATGCATGGTCCAGGGTGCGCCAAGCCTGTTTCATCTGAAACGGAAATAACCTCGGCAAATTTGTGTGCCTTTCCCAAGTGGGAAGATTGTACACATCGCCATGGAAGTTCATATAGAATTAATCTGGATGCTTCATACGACTTCCGTCGCCATCTCACAAAACACAGGTTGGCTGATGCTTAGGAAACTAGTGCCTAGTACCGTCAACGGTGGAAGGTAGGATTAGATCTTTTGCAAAGCACCGTCACAAGTGCAAGGAGTGTTTGTGGTGTACCAATCCAACCTTTACAACTGTAATTCCACAACAGGTAGCAGTAACTAAGCCAGTCTCGAGCTACCATCGTGAGAGCAAGCTTCCATCATCTCAACCTTAGCCTCTATACAATCCCTTCCGCCTTTACCCTTCTTCTTCTTCTTCTTCTTCTTGGACTTCCCACCTCCTTCTCCCATATATAGTATTCACACTCACGATTTCTTCTCCCCCTCACGCAAATCCTTGCCCTTCTTCCCCGACTTCGACTTAGCCGGCTTGACACGGAAAGGCAAAGGAGGCTCGCTGTCAACCTTGCTCTCCGAGTGCTGGGGCAGCGCTGGGAACTCGTCGCTTGGCTTCTGCTTTCCCTTTCCCTTAGACACAGAGTGCTGCAGAGCCAAGTTCATCTTTCCCTCATTGGCCGTCCTGTCGATGTCATCTTCGATAGAGCAACGATCCGCTCATCGGGTTGGAGTGACCGTGAAGGTTCTGCGGATGATTGGTGTCGAAGTGCTCAGGTCCGAGGTGAGGTCCTGCTGTCGGCACTGGGTCGCATTGTCCCTGGGGCTCATCAAGGTCCACTCCTGCTCCCGGAGCCTCGGCATGATCATCGAGGGAGCAGGTCTTCTGAGTGCGAAGATCCTCGATAACAGCCTCAAGGTTTTTGATCTTGTCCTGAGCGCGCTTGCTATTGGATCGAAGCCCGCTGATTTCGGCGCGAGCGTCACCGAGCTGCTGCTTGACTTTGTCGTAGTCTTTTGTCCTCGCACACTCCGCTTCCAGAAGACGAACGTTATCTTTGGAGCTTTCGAGGTCGGCCTGGAGGTCGTTAACTTCGATTTGTTTATCCTCAAGCTTTATAGTCGCGTGTTCTAGTTCGGCCACCACTTGAGAATCTGCGTAGATAGTGATCAGTAGAGTAACAATGCGAGGCTAAACATAACTTACGGGCTTCCTGCCAGGTATCTCGACTTTGTGCAGCCTCTTCGAAGCTCTGCCGATACGTGTCGGACAGTTTGAGCTTCTCGTTGGCTTTCTCCAACTGCCGTCGAAGGCTATCGGTCTCGTCCGACAACTTCTTCTTCTCCGACTGCCATGCTCTTTGAGCGGCCATGGCGTTGGTGATGCTGGACTGCTGCTCGAGAATCTTGATCCCTTGGGCCTCACTCTGTTTGGTGAGCTTGTTGCTCTGCTCGGTGAGTTGCTTGACCGTTTCGTCTATCCCTGCGTGTTTTTTTCACGGCGAATCTGAACTCTGCAGGAACCGAGCTTGGGTTATAGTGGACCTCTTTATCACCATCAGCAAGAAGCATCAAGAATAACGGATATGAGAACTTACTCCAGAAGAACTCGTCCACATACGAAAGCTTCATGACTGCGTCATACGTGGAGCCCGGCTCCATGGAGCGCCCGAATCGATAGGAGATAAGATTAGTATATATGTCGACTTCTTTCAAGGCGGAAAGTAGCTTGGTGTTGTTGAGGATGTGTCCACCCTCAACTCCGCTTTGCCAGACTTGGTAGGCCTTATGGATTCTTGTGCCCCAGTCCTTCCAATCATCCTCGGCTTGCTCGCGTACTCGTGCATCTGAATGGTCGCGAAGCCTTGGAAGATTAGGGAGAATGTTTTTAGAAGTGCAATACTCAATACCGAAGTTGCATTCGAGAAACGTCCGGTTCTTCGTCAGGTTCAATATAGCCCTGACTTCACCGAAGTTAGTGTTGGGGTTGCTGTTAAGAAGTGCGCTGTATGGCGCAAGCGCGGCTGCCGAGTCCATGCTGCTCTGACTGACTGACTGCATGGTAAACTAAGTGGGTGACTCGAAAAGCAGGAAGCGGCGGCGGCCACTTTATAGGAACAGGAAACCATCAACAGACCCATGCGACCGGTACGCTAAAAAACGCTTTGGTCGAGGTTGAAAAACGTACCTGCTATGATGCATGGCGTGGAGGTTGAGTTTTACCTGCGCAGAGACCAGTTTCATCCGAGCACTTCAGAACCATGACCAGAAGACCATCGCCGCGCATTGCGAGTGCCTGTAAGATGGTAGCTAGAGCTGCTTGTTGTTAAGTATAAGCTGAGTGTAAAAGAATCGTATATAACAAGAGACAGAGTTCTTGTCGGATATCTCGTGAATAATTTATGTATGAAAAACCTTTTTAAGCTCCACATGATGCAGAAGATCCGTGGAGAAATGGGGGCATTATATAGTCGATATAGTATGCTTTGCCAACGAGCCACATGCCACTGGCAAATGGAAGTCAGCAACTGGCAATCTGTTCTTGGATTGCCAACCATAGCAATCCAATCGGATCGCTGTATCAACCTATTTGCAGAACGACTATTGGATTCATATATCAACGAGCAATGTGACAGAGATGCATGAAAGAGACTCTAGGTACCTACGTGCGCAAAGACGACTAAGAGAGGTGTCAGTCCAAGGTAGCCTCCTCCAGAAGAATCTCTGTAATCCAAAGGAGAGCTGCATGTTTGCTCTCAATGGTTTTCTTGAGTCCGCAAAAGGCCATGTATCCGTTCAGGCAGAGGGATGTTTGGTCGTTTCGAAAGTCACCTGCTTTGTAATCGCTATCTAGTAAGGAAAACATCCTTAGTAGCTCTTACAACGACAGAAAGATTTCCAAGCGTAACGAAAGGAAGCTATTATGGATACCGCTGCCGTCGGAAGTCGGTACAACCCCTAAGTCATGACGTCACCCTAAGCCTCTCCTCAAGCTGCCCAAGTCCTACATAACCCCCTAAAATGCATCCCTGATCCCATTACCATACCCGAAGATTAAAAAAAAAAAACCAAACAACCATGCCACCCCTCACCACCCTCCTCTCCTTCTACACCTCCCTAACCAAATCCCTCCTCACCCTTCTCTTCGCCCGCCTCTACAAACCCCAAGAACTCCCCCCCAGAAATCTCACCAACCAAACCGCAATAGTAACAGGGTCAAACAGCGGCATCGGCCTTTCTATAGCCATCGCGCTCGCAAAGCAGGGCGCAACCGTCTGTCTCGCCTGCCGAAACGCTGACCGCGGCGCCGCGGCAGTCGACCACGTGGTCTCTAGGTGCGGAGAAAAGAGTAGAAAAAGGGTTTACTGCAAGCTTCTGGATGTAGGGGATTTATCTAGCGTGCGTGCGTTTTGTGAGGAGTGGGATGGACAGGTGGATATGCTGGTGCATAATGCGGGTATTGCTGCGGTGCCTAAAGGAAGGGCGAAAACGAAAGAGGGACTGGATGTTATGTATACGACGAATTTTTTGGGGAGTTTTCTCATGACGCATCTCCTGGAGCCACAGTTCAGTCCAACAGCACGAGTCGTTTTCACGAGCTCGACAGGCAGCTACTCTGCTACCTCGCACTTCCTCCAAGACCCAGACAGAAAGAAAACTCCAACAACAGGCTTACTCGCAGGGACGATAGCCAGGGCGAAGAAGTTCGTGGGTATAGAGGAGAGCTCGGCTGCGGCATATGGGCTAAGCAAGGGACAACAAGTCCTCTTCGCTTCTATGCTGCAGCAACGCTTTGGTTCTTCGTCCCACCCGAAACGCACAGCGCACGCGTTCACCCCCGGCTTCACCTCTACCCCCATCTTCGGCAAGTTCGACTACTCTTGGCGGACATGGTTTTCGAATCCGCTGTTCGCAGCGCTGAAGACGACGGAGAAATGGATTGCGGTGGATACGGATGAGGGCGCGAAGACGGGGGCGTGGCTCGCAACCTGGGGCGATGAATTGGGCAGGAGATGTGAGGCGGGTGCGTACTGGGAGAGGATGGCTCGGCGGACGAGTTTCGTGGCGTTGATGAAGGAAAAGCGGAAGAGTCGGGAGTGGGCGATGTGGGAGAGGGATGCTGGGGTTGTATGGGAGGATTGAGAAATAGTATCAGCGCAAGACCGTATTTCGAGCAGAGCGTGGGTGACATTGAGTTCCTTAGCAAGGTTGAAGACACCCCGTTACTTATTTCATGTATTCTACTTTAGATTTCTTCATCACCCCTTGCGTTCCTTCCCCCACCCCTAGCACACAAAGTACCTCTCCCCAACCCATCCCACACCCCACACCCCACACCCCAAACCACCCCTAAACTCCACCCACTCCCCTCAGGCATAACACACCTCAGCATATTAAGCCACCCCCCAACAATCAAACCCGCATAACACGGCCTCCCCGCATCGCCTCTTTAAAGTGCGCAAAAGAGCAGCGCGCGCCTCCCCCGTGACGCAAACATCCTCCCAAGACTTCAAATGCGCCCGCCTCCACACAACACTCTTCACACTCTCCTTGTCCCGGGGTGAAAAGGGGAGAAACTGCCCGCACAAAAGCATGTGCGCCTAGAACCTCGCATCGACACTTCTATGAAACCGTGCGCCCCCCGCGTGCTTCTTCTGCGTTTGTGGAAAAAGGCGCATGAAAAGGCGTGTTTTTAGCTGGGGATGAATACTCCCTCCACTTCCACCTCCACTTCTTCCCTTTGGAACTTGCGCCTGCTAAATCAGAGGATGCATCCGACAGAGAAGGAGGAGTGAATTGGGAGCAAGCGAACAGCGTCCCCGCCCCGCCCCGCCATCAGGCTCCCTCTCCTCTCCTCAAGCCAAACCGCAATATCAAACGTATCCCCATACACCGCGCCTGAACTACCATCCTGAAGCATAGGCAACGTGGAAATCACTCCCGTCATCCAGCTTGCGCGTAGCAGCACAATCAAGCCCGCGGCGCACGTTTTCGATATCCAGCATGTCAACCCATTCCGTGCGTGTGCAGAAGGGGACGTTTTGAAGCCTCACGCGAGGCGGGCTTTTGAGTGGGTGGGCGCGTAGGAGCGGGGTTGCAAGGGGAGGAGATGTCGTAGAGGGTGGGTGAGGGCTATCATGTGTGCATTCGTGGGGGGATATCAATGCTTTGAATTCATTGGGGAGGTTCTGCTGGCGTAGAGGCGGTGGGACACGAGCGGTCGTATGAAGTGGAGTAGCTATGTGCACGCTAAGCTAAGGGTTCCGCTTCGTGGCATCGATCGTCGCGCAGAGGAGGGGTGCACGTTGCAATGAATAGTACGTAGCTGCGGTACTCTGGAGGGTCGCTTGTGGCTGGTGCAGTCACGGAAAGGGAGTGGCGCTCGGTCCAGGTTGTACAGAGGCTGGTCCATAGAAGAAGCTGCAGCACCAGCGCGGCATTAAAATAATATTATACAAGCTAAGGTAGGTACGCTTCTCTCTTTTGGCTCAGCCAGCTATCTTCCAATGTTCGAAGTCGCTCAAGAATGGAATGCAACCCGCTGTACACACTGAAAGCTGATGCCGCCAAAGCCATATCAAACACAACACCAATCACAATCTCTTGCTCTTTTCCCTCCCCTTGCGTGGTAACTCTGAACCACGCTATGCAACCACCAAGCCAACAAATGAGATTCTGTGCTGTGAAGCAACGAAGACAGTCGTACAGTTCATGACAAAAGAGATGAGACGCAAAGTCTCGGGTATGAGTTGGTGCATAATTACTAAAGATGGAGCAGCCGTCTGTAAGCATCGAATAAATGGTGTGGTAGGGTGCCGTAGGTTTACAGCCCTTGGTTGTAATCAGCCCAGGCGGTGTGGGCTTCTGAAAGAACTACCCATTTGATTAGCAACGTTTTCTTGTTTAGGACGAGGTAATGACTTGCCCGCAAGCACTTGCGCCTGCCCAGAATAGGTTTGACAAGCTAATTGCAGCGTCCTCCCATCAAGAAAGTCAAACACGACACTATTAGGAAGCTCCTGTCGATCTAGATCGGGCGCATACGGGGCGCGAAACTCGCTCAAGTTGAAGCGCCTCATGAGGCCGCCTTTTGATTGCTGCTGAATGTAAGGAAGGGTATCAAGTGTATGGTATTGCTAGGATACGGACCTCGTTGGCTTTCGACAGGCTCAAGACGAGGTTGCCTGATGCATCAACTTCCACCCATCTACGTTTCCACAGCTGACATTTCGTTAGCCCTGAGCGTTGGTCTGCGGATGAGGAAGTACATACCAGAGTGTCCGGGAATTGTATGTTAAGATCCCCGAGCTGTACGGCTGAGGGAGGCTCTCGTAAAGACGGCAGAGGAATGGAGGGAATATCTTCTAGGATGTTGGGGGCTGAGTTCTTCCGTGTGATTGAGGAGATAGAAGACATTCGCTTAAAAAGCTTGCTGGCCCTTGAATCCTTCTTTTCTTTCTTGGCGGGCTTCTCGTCACTGCTTGATACATCAAAGCTGTGAGCAGACATGCTGCGAGGTGGGCCGCCATTCTTAGACTCGCTGAGTCGTCGACCAAAGGAACGCCAGCTGCTCTCGGACGACGACCGAGGAAGGTTAGGAATGGGCTCGTTTGATTGAGAAGAAGAAGGTGGTCTCGGCGAGGTAGGCTCTGTCTTGACGGGACTGTGCCTGGAGCTCGATGTTGGCGGTCGAGCGGACTTCTGATGGTCGATAGTAATCGGGCTTCGGTGAAGCTCCAAAGGACTGCTCTCCGTGGGCATTGTAAGAGCTGGCTTCTGTGGCTTGGTATCCCGGACAATACGAGCAGTGACCTGAACAGATTCGGGTTTCTCCAAGTCTGGCTGCATGTTGTAAACTGTCTGGTGTTTTGTTGGAGTGGTCGCGCGCGGTGTATGTACAGCAGGTCTCGGTTCTGGAGTGGTAGACCTGGAAACATTGATGAAAGAGGCGCGCGATACGCGGTTGGCAGACTTCCCATTTGGTGAGTTGCCGTCTGGAGGCGTTGAGAAGAACGACGACTTGCGCTGAGCAACACTCGAAGAACCACCCTCAGGAGTGATGGCAGGACTCAACGTTGCATTTGAATCCCTCTTAGACTTCTCTGCTAGTGCTTTGATTCTTTGCGAAATGCCCGATCCAACATTGATTTTCTTAGTAGTGACTACCGTGTCTGTGTTGGCATGGGTCAACCACGGTCCTGAAAGCTTTCGGGGCTGCTCCGGTGAATTACCGCCCAACCGCGCGTTTCGTTGCGATGCCGACCTCTTGGGCACAGATACGTCGGGACTAGAGGGTTTCCGTGGAAAGAAAGGCATAATAGGTGACTTGGAGACAGACACAGACATTGGCATAGCTTCTTCGACCGTTGCACTTTGCAATTCCTCCATAAAAGAATCGTCGGACAAATAATCTGCTTCCGAGTTCTCGGCACTGAGGTGTGTTGGGTCAATTGGAGGGCGACGAGTTTCCATGTCCTCCGCAGCGGGTTGCTCCTCATTCGACAATGCCTTGCTATGCATGTCATACAGGCTTTCTGATGACAGCGGAAGCATCATTGACGCTCTCTTAGATTTCCTGCGTGCACGAGCTTCATCTATTTCACCAGGCGACATGAGGATCATAGTTTCTCGCTTCTTCTTTCTGTCTCCTGGATTATCGAGGTTTGTCTCTTCAGAGGCAGGCACCGTGGCATCGATGCTCGGTCTGGACACTTCGAAATGCGGAATAGGTGTTGTGGTTTCCGGGACCACGGTAGGAGTGCTTTCAGCTGACGTCTGCTCGTTCTCGAGGAGCGTCTCGTCGGTTCGTATCGGTGCCACAGTGACTGTCTCTAATTTGGTTTCTTCAGCTGGGGAGACATCGTCTTCGGAGATTGAGGATGGCCTCGTCGAAGGCGCGACCGACGATCCTTGGGTCTGTGCGGATGTCGGCGACGAAGCGGAAGCTGCAGAATGGATGTCGTCTGTTTCTGGCCGAGTTGGTGTCATTTCAACCTTCGATTCCTCCCGTGGGACAGCTTCGTCAATTCCGTCAGTACCGGAAGCCGGCTGTTCAACTGTGTCTGCTTCATCGCGCGGTTGAGGTAGCACATCTGCGTACGTGGATGGGACTGTAGAGCTAGTTTCTGCTCTAACCGCAGTTGTGGCTAAAGCACCAGCATCAACTGCATCACCATCTTTAGCCTTCTCTTCTGCACCGGCCTGCGTGTCTTCCGTCGCTGCTTCAGCTTCCTTCTCTTGTCGTGCTTTCCTGGCCTCCATCTGTTTCTTCCTCAGTTGCATAGCTTTCATCAACCGCTGCTTCTCAGGAGTTGCACCCGCAGACTTGTGGTGCAAGCTGCTGTAGGTATTCATGGGTAAGGATCGGATACTGGTAGGGCTTTTTGGATGATACATGGGGGACAGAGGGATTTCAGGAGCTGTAGGAATAGGCGGTGGCGGAGGCACGGCGATGCTCGGCACTGTACTGGCATCTCTTGACTTTGGCCGTCTAGGCTCGACAATCTTCCGCTTCGAGGAGCGCAGACCTGGCGGTAGAGACGAGACTGGTCTCGCAACGCTCTGCACATTACTTCCCGAAGTGTTTGGTCTCTGAAGATCCAGCGATGCTTTCGGTCGAGGACCTAGCTTCACTTTGGGCTTGTTATATTGTGCATATATTTCGGCATATAGATCGGCCAGATCGGGTCGCGCGGTTTGTGACGAGAGACGAGGGTCTAGTCCATGTTCAAAGAGCGCATCGTATCTTTTGAAGCTTTCTGGACCAGGTGCTGTCTGTGTTCTGATAAGCTCGAGCCTGTCGGTGATATCGTCGGCAGTAGTGCGTGCTGTTTCAGCAACTGTGCCGGTGTCCTCAAGGGGTTTCTTTTGGTCTACTGCAATGGATTTCTCCTCAGTCTCCTTGTTTGTATTGGTTCTGACTATGGGGCTTGGCGCAGTGCCTGTGACGGTGTTGGCTGTAGAAGGGCGTGCTGTAGAAGGAGACTCGCTGGCGCCCGCGGTACTCTGCCCATCCTCCACGTCCTCTGTAATCTCGTCGAGCTTCTGCTTGCGGGAGGACAAGCTCGAAGAACTACTCGACGGCGCGGCGGTGTGCAGGGAGCATGCAGAGGTGAGAGCGGCATCGCTGAGCTCGTCGGCAGTGGTAATGGAGAAGGTGGTATCGTGGGGTGTAAATTTGTCCGTGATGGCTGTAAAGTGGACAGCGACGCGGGCTTTTGCATATGTTAGAGGCGGGTAGATGCGCCATTGGAGTTCACGACATACCTTGTAGCAGGCGCGACGTGCTTTCTGGTACATATTTGATCAGGACTTTGCGTCGACGGTACAGCAGGAAGCCGTATAGAGGTGACTTTTCTTCGTACGCAGCTATGGCGGTGCGGGCTTCTGCAGCGCCGCCTGTGCCACGGGTGAGGATCTCGACCGAGTCGCGCGAAGCATACTTGAGCAGAAACCTGTAGCTGGGTCAGCGTTGCCGTTTTCACATATTGCAGTGGGCCTTATGGTCGTACCAGCCGCCAGCTTCCCCTAGGGCGCCGGTGTAGGCCTCTGTAACTTTCGCGTCGTCGAGCCCGTTCAGAGACATTACGGGCGCACAACGGGCTGACGGGAGCTCGCAGCGGGCTCCTTGTGAAGGCCTGGGGCCGACTGACGAGAAATGGCCGTCTGCGGAGAAAGGTCAAGGCTTCGGGATCAGGCCGTGCACTCTACCCCTGGATGGTCGGGTGCGCTACTGCGATTGGGCGGAGCATTTGCGAAAGTCGGACAAGTCAGGCACTGGGCGCGGGTGCATGCAGAAGGGTTGACGTGAGGGCGCGGTGCATGAAGGGCGGGCATGGGAGAGCAGCAGAGTCTACGTGCCGTGATGAGTATGGACGATGGTGAATGGGCTTGCGTCGACGTGTTTCAGCAGCGCCAAGCGGACGGGAAGGCGCGCAACAGCGCGAACAGCCACAATAAGGAAAGGTGGGAAGAAGCAGAGTATGCTGAGAATATTCCGAACGGGCTCTCTCGATGATGCTTTGCAGTTGTTGGCATGGTCCAATTCGTTGCTGGCGACGCGCTGCTCCGTCTTGTGAAGGCTATTGGTGAATTCCCTAGGCCAGGCACCTGCAACCACAGATGGCTACCCGACACGCCAGAAGAGGTTCCATTAGCGCAGACATGTGGCCAAAGAGCTGCAGCTGCAGGGTCGCGGGCCGCCTGGCGATAGCGATGGCTACGGGTCATCGGATGGTCGTGATGCTTCTATCTCACGTGCAGCAGCTCGAACCTTGGAGTTGTCGTTCGTTACCCCGCCGCCCCGCTACCATAGTTCATTAGGTGCTCATTCCCTGCACATTCCCTTGCACTCTGACAGGGCTCCAAACAGCACGCAGCTCCTCATCGGTCCCCTTGTGCGACCATCAACGCCGAGCTACCGATGAGTCTAAGGAGAGTGGATTCCTCGGGCAAGCCAAACTGTCCTCTGCCGGCTTCTCCCAGCAATTGATGCATTCTGCCACAGGGACTGTGCCACGACTAAAGATAAGAGATAGATTCATTACACGCTCAAGTACAAAATGACCCCTCAGATAGTAGACGTCTTATCTACACAACTGCCTTACAGTATGTTGCGTTCACTGAAGAGCAGTTCTTCCTCATAGAACAAATCTTCCTGGGGGCTTCTACGACGCTCAATGCCCAGGTACAGATGAGGAGCTCCCGCAGAGCTATCAAAGAGTTATCACCTCGCCCCTCCACACCAACTTCCATCTCTGCCCCTTGGATTTTCTCTGTATCCGCCACCGTTGCGCCAGCATCATCGTCGAGCCGATATTCGAGCGCTACCAGTTAGGTTCCGCCACTCTTCCCACCCGGCCGGTCGCGACCGTAGCTGCAGGCCCCCACATCGCTCTTTCTCTCGGAAACTCTACCACACTGCCCATACGTGTAATCTAGCTCGCGTATTTCTCGCCAACTTTGTTAGACTTTCTAGCGTTTAACATCTACATTAGAATCCGCTTCGTTAAGTGCAACACCAACACTGAAATTTCGAAATGACATCACTGCCTCCCGTCAACACGCTGTCGCACCTGCCTGAGGACGAGCTTGCCAAGGTGCTCGACCTGCTCTTCGAGCCGTCTCCGCCTCTCCACGCCCTCTCACTCCCAGTCCTTAGATCTACAGTCTTCCCTACCTACGACATCCTTATCGTCGCCGTCAACGCGCAGCTATCAGCTCTCGCGCAATCGGACGACCCGAAAGATATCGAGAAGCTGTCCGAGATACTATGCTCGCATCCACGACTAGGCGAGAAGAAGGTCGAAAGCGAGCAGAGCCGCGCTGAGCAGGCGCAACTGCAAAAAGGTGCCGAGGAGGAGAAGGAGCAGTTGGCGGCGCTGAACAGGGAGTATGAAGAAAAGTTTCCGGGGCTGAGATACGTGTAAGGTGTGTTCCTTTCGAAGCAACGTACATGACTGATCAATTGCAGCGTCTTCGTCAACGGCCGTGCGAGACCGGTCATTATGGAGAACATGCGGGCACGCATCGGCCGAGGTGATATCAAAGCTGAGCGTCAGGAAGCTATACAGGTGCGTCGCTCCTGTCCTCAGCGACAATGCAAGCTGATCATTCTTCAACAGGCTATGTGTGACATTGCCAACGACCGGGCATCGAAAATGCAGAAATAACAGTCTCCAATTCCGGCACGTGTGGCTACTCATTCATTATTGCATCACGCTGCCCGCAATTTGTCGAGAAGATTTGGTCCGTTTGACATATCAGATCGACGAGGGGATCGATTCGAGGGGTATATACAAGTAGCGACCGGAAGGAAACGCAAATGTCAAAAGAAACGCCATTTTTTACCAGCCCAAGGAAGCTTTTACACCCACCCATGCCTTTTTCTATGAGACGACCTTCAAAACAAGGTCCGTTCGAGTCTGCCCGCCTACCGATGAAGATGCACGCATTTTGAGGCTACCCGCGCTGATTATCTAGAGCGCCGAAGTTCCGCAGCCGCTTGAAATGAATATACAAAGCGTTTTACGACCCAAAGCTCATGAACATGAGGCGTCTTTGCCTCTCTTTTTCCTTTTCCATCTCGATCGCATGATTCGCATTCACTTTGCGCTCTTCTACATCGCTTGTCACATACAAGCCAGCGAAGTTTGGGGAAGAGGAAGTAGGACCGAGCAAAGAGCTGGTGTTTGGCGACTGCGGAATAGCATCCGAGAATGCATTTGCCGATGGCGCCTGGAAGTCGGGCGAAGACGATGAGGGTGGTTCCGTGTCTGCGCTTCGGTCATGGTTCTGCCGGCTGGTAGGCCAGAGAACATCGGAACCCTCCTCGACCTGGTCGTAACCGGCCACGGCTGGCTCCTCCGGTTCTAGGATGCTGGCATTGCCATGGCTTTGTTGGCTTGCTCTCCTTGTATCAACGTCATCACATGGGAAGGGAAAACAAGGGGCGAATGGGTTTTCGAGCCCAGCCTCTTCTTGTTCTTCCGCCTCGTACTCCTCATCGAGATGAGAATACGGATCGGGGATCTCGTCTTCAAGATCGAGAGCATCATAGTTTGACAGCCCGAGCGGCGAAGGCGGCAAAGGCAAATGTACCGGCCGTGGCAATTTCGAAAGAGCATTGTAGTCGGCATATGCATCGTTAGGCGACCGGTATTCCCTCGCACCATCTTCATCGCAAGCCCTCAGTGGTGGAGATGGCGACCCCGTGGAATTTGCTGGCGAAGATTCCGCCGACCGGATCTGCTCACCGTTTCTTGTCTCTACCACTTCTGGCAAGCCAATGCTGTCTTTCCCGATGGGCTGCGTTGCAGAATCGTGGCTACCGTACATCAACGTCAGCTTCGCTAAATGCAGCTGTTCCTGCTCCTTTTCTTGCTCAACAAGAACCCGACCCATGCCCCCGGCCGTCTCTAACGCAGAAATGCTTTGCCGCCGGATGCGGTTCAGTATCGCGGCCTTACGCAGTATATTGCGACCCAAAGCCCTCTGCTTGGCCCATACGGCAATCTTGGAGCTCCCCCGGTCTACGATGTTGGTGGCGGGATAGGAGTACTGCGGGGATAGTCGTGATGTAATCAAGAAGAGGCGCAGTCTTCTCTTCTTCTTGTGCAAACACGAATGTTCGCCGTCGACATCGGCAATGGCTCGACGGCGCTTCCATAACGGCGATGGTGACGATCCTGGCAAAAATGAAAGAGGCGCCTCGGGTCGAGGCAATGATCTGAAAGTGAACTCCGTGTTGGAAATGCTTTCAAGTGTCGGAAAGGTAAAATTCGGCCGTGTCGATGATGAGGATAGAGACGGGGAAGGTGGCATTACCCCCCGTCGAGTGACGTCGCTTGTCGTTTGGGGATAATAACCGTAGGGGCCGGGCTCGACATGCTCGCTCCGCGTCTTAGTCGGATGATACGGGTCTTCCGGCGTTCGAGGAGGGGACAGTACACCGATCGGGTGCTGCGATGGCGACGAAGCGTGCGTCGGTCGACCTCGCGGCGGATGTGGCGGGAAACAATACTCGTGCGGAGCACTGCTGGAGCGTGTATGGCAGCCTTGGAGTTGCCGAGAGCGCATCTAAAGACTCGGGCTACGCTACCATCACGCGACCACGTCTAGAGCCCTCCACCACACTGGCTTCGTCAGATGTGGAAATGACAGATACCGCGGAAAAGCCAGGATGGCTAGGAAATCTGGAATCGTGAATGGGTACCTGACAGCACTGCAGGGCGTGAAAAGAGGCGGTGGGATTTCAGGATGAGATTGAATGTCTGGAGGCGTCGGTCTAGTCTAATAATACAGTATTGGGCGAAGGGTCGGATGACCCGACAGAGGGGACAATGCGGAGAAGACCCTGGAAGCCTGCTGCAGGCCTGAGTGCTATACGCCCTGTGCGTGTGCATCTCTCTTCTGGGCCTTTCGTCGGCCTTGCTCAATTGGCGGGAACCGTAGGAGACGACGACCACACCGCACGTTCCTTCACGTTCCCCGCGGTGCGTTGAAGCGTTGGCAAACGCTCTACTGCAGTCCGCTGATTCTGACATCTTTTCGCCGCCGTGACGTGAGGCTGGCACTCCTTCAAAAAACAACGAGAGCTCCTAGCATCGACCGCTGACGTCGGATTGAAACGTGCACGCGAGCATTTTACTCGAAATGAAGAGAAAAAAGGCGCATGGAAAATGTCGCCCGGGGCCGGGGGAAGAAGATCTCCAGACGAAATGAGGCTGGCCGGGACATGCCTGCACTTTCACACCTGGAGACATCCCTCTCTGTAGCCGGGAGGCGGTGACTCCACAAAACGCGCAACATCGCACGTTCAACGGCCAACGAGAAGGTCGGAAATCCTTTCGCCTTTGTGTGACAGCGGCCACTCAGCCCTAGGGATCGCGGTAATGCAATGCGGCGCCTCTGATCTTTCCTCAGCTGCGTAGCGCAAAGTGCAGGTGTAATTGCTTTTTGGCGTGGCAGATCCTGAAGCCAACCGCGCCAACAACGTCGTTGCGCTGCGTCTTGGAAGGGCCCCTTGCCCCGTCGCGGTCTGGCCTGCGAGGCACCCGGAAAATCCAGTCTGGCACCGCACCGTACGCATACTGCGATCGTCGGTGCGTGTGCCGCGTTGGGAAACTCGTTGCACGCGAGCCAGGGCAGCATCCTAACCTGCTCGAAACAAAAAGCCTCACCGTTCCCCTTGAATCCTTTTCTTCGAGAAAAGAGTTTTCACAGCAAGGTATGGAACATTTTGAAAGTTACAGCGTAGCTTCACTCTGTCCCGTCACCGACATTTGCCACGCATCGTACCGATCGCGAAGACAGACTTTCGGTTCTTGTAGTCCCCGGCAGGATCGGTGCACGTGGTCTCTCACACTCACCACTACAACGCTTAGTCTACAGCGGAGACCGACACCACGCTAGCTCAAACATGTTGTGTATAAGGCTAGGAGGCTTGCTCTCCTGCTGCACATGCACGACAACTGGACAACGCGCCGATTAACTTAAGGTTTGCAAATTCTCTTCATCTAACGCGCCCGAGCGCGTAGGCATGCCCAGAGACGCGAAATTCTGCGTTGGCAGGCATCGCGGCCCAAGCAAGCCAAGTGCAAGTGCAAGCGCATGCAGCTTTCTCCCCGCACCGGAAAAGTAGAGTCCCCGTAGAATGTAGTTCCTCGGCGCCCGTCCGACTCGTGCTGGAATGGTAGGCATGGTGGTACGGCAGCCATGCCATCGGGCACCATCGCAGCACATGAGCTCTGCTCACTCTACTATGTTAGTTTCACACGAGACACAAACCCCAGAGTGTACAACCGTACAACCGTGCAACCGTGCAACCTTTTACGTGATGCGTACTTCCCATGTCCAATGAACTTTGCAACCTGGAAGCAAGCATTCACGAGACCGGCACCCGGGTGGCATGGCACTTCATTGGTCGCTGGCTGCCGTCGTTGCGTGCGTGCCTGCTTTTCGGCAGGTTTCGTTTCGTTTCGTTCGTTTCGTGAGTGAATTCTCGCCTTGCCGTTAAGACGCCACCCGGGTATTGCGTACTCGGCTCCCTCCAGGGCGTGAGCGTTCGGCCCCTAACTTTCTGCGAGGCGAGTGCTGCCGTGTTGGGCGGGCGGCGTGGGTGAGCGTGAGGCCAAGCGTGCTTGAAAGAACCCGTGCACTGCAAGTATTTTAAGACTTGCTTTGTAAATGCCTCAGTCGTATGATGTTTGTTTCGTAACGGAAGACTCCAGTCGTGTTGGGGGTTGGGAGAAAAGAAAGTTGTGACTGGGAGGGCAGGTGGGACTAAGGGTTTCATGTGTTTCGTGCGCGGAGGAGATGGTGCAGGGGATGGGATGGGGTGTTTGTATCGGGTGGGAAACTTCTTGGACGTGCGAAAGCTCGAGGGGTTTGGATTGGATGCTGGGGACGGAGCGTTTCTGCTGCAGTCCTTGTTAGTATAGGCCTGCGGTAAATCGGTCTCGTCCAGTATCAGATCAATTGCCCAGGAATGTAATACTGCTTTAGTCCAGTAACCCTTGGACCTGCGCGCCTCTCGAAGCATGAGTTGGCTGAAGGGAGCGTTGTCTGCTGCAGTCAACGTTAGTATAAGCCCTGCAGTAAGTTGTATTCGTCCAGTATCAGATCAATTGCCCAGTCGCAAGCCTATCGCTCATTTTCCACCCAATATACTCCAGTAAATGCTAGCACCCAGTACGCCATCCCATGCAACCCCATCTGAATCCTAATGCTCGCTCCACCGTCTTCGCATCTCTAGCGCACTACCCCCCTTCCCTCGCCAATATCTCCTCCCTCTCCAAAACCTCCTTCTTGAACTTAATCAGAAACACGGTCTTCCCGGGCCACATCTCCTTCCCTCGGCCTTGCCCACCTCCTGCCCCCACACTATGCGCCGTCACACCCTCGGTCGCAAACCCCGCGCCATCGCACACCCCTCTATGATCCCGCTACAAACGCCGCACAGTTGAGGTTGCTCATTTCCCGCGGCAAGCTTATGTAGGTGTTGACCATGGGCTCGTTGTCGAACAGCATGTACTGCGAGGGGTCTTCGCCTGAGCGCTCGAGCGCGTCGGCCGGCCGCCCGAAGAGGTGTCTGTATAGCGTCTGTGCGATGAATTGCAGGAGGGGGAGGATGCGCGTAGGGCGGATGGAGGCGAGGGGTTGGCGGAGCGGGTGAGGAGGAGGTCGAGGAGGCGGATGCCGATGGGGTAGCCTTGGTTGTTTAATCTGTGCACAGGTTAATCCTGCACGCTATACCTCGTACAACCTTTGCTTCGGGGGTTGGAGACGCCGGCGGTGGGGCTGGGGAAGTAGTACCGTTTCTCCAGGTCCCCCACGTCTTTTGCGTTCTTCTGCGCGAGGTTTATCATTTCGATGAAGAGGTAGGCGAAGGCGGCGCGGGAGAGCTCGGCGTTTTTGCTGCGGTTGAGGTTGCGGTCGTAGATTGTTTTTTTGTTGGAGGGGTAGCGGAGGCCGGAGCCGGTGGGTTGGGAGCTACTCATTGCGATAGATGAGTGAGTAGAGAAGAGTGAGGGTGTTGTAGTGGGTTTTGGTGACCTGTTGTAATGAGTGGTGGGTGAGCTTCGATGTTGGGGATTAAGGTGTGGTACGTGCGCGTGCTTGTCGGATTGGGAATGGTGGAGAGGGTCGGGGTCTGGTGGGGATGCGGAAGCACGAAGTTCCACGTCTGTACACTCCACCAGTAGTTTAAAGCTTCGAGCAATGCTTTGTACATGCAAGGCCATGATTCTCTTGGTGTGATTCAATTTGTTTGTCATATGATCAAGACGCGGTGCACTTGGTGCGAACAGCTACCACTTGGGCAAGAGCTCTAGCACCTCATAACTTACGGAGTGTTCAAACGTTGCTTCTTTCTTATATCTTTATTATTGATCCTTTCCTATTGTTTTTCTCGGTTGCTTGGATCGTCTTCGATGGAAACATCATCGCATATGGATAATCCAAGCCCATGATGGTGAAGGCGATCGACCCTGCACCTGGGTGTATTTGGGGGTCGTGGCTTCTCAGTCGTGATGAATTCTGTTCCGCTAGGCTTTGTCAACTCTCACCGGAATGCCATCCCCCCTCTCAGCTCACAGGAACCCTCGACGCTACATGCCTCTCGCTTACTGGTTGGCCAACCAATTGCAGGAGACATGCACTCAGCCTCGTGATTGACACGAATCCATGCATATGCCTCGCCTCATAGGGCGGTCCTGATAGGCAATGCAGGCAGAACTCACCCGATCGCTTCCTAAGCTCAGAAGCTTCATCCACAGAACGACCACACGCTATTGCTTGTGCCCGTTGTCTCAACAATCATGGATCCGTTCAGTATCACTGCTGGCGTTGCGGGGCTTCTCAGCCTTACGATTCAATTGCAACAAGCTTTGACTGGATACATCGGCTCGGTCAAGCATGCGGCTGCCGAATCTCATGAGCTTGTAGTAGAGCTGACTACATTAGTCATGGTCTTGGAACAGCTCGAACGTTTCCTTGAGCGGCAAGCCCATCGAGGCCACAGCTTTGAAGATAGCTCGATCCTATACAGCACTACGAAATCATGTCACGCGAAGCTGAAAGGTCTGGAAGCTACCTTTCATGAACACATCACATCCACAAAATCGGAGTCGCGATCGAAGAAGTGGCTGCACACTGCGAGATGGCCTTTACGAAAAGAAGACCAACGAGCAATCATCAAAACCATACATGATTGTATCAACGTTTTTCAGTTGTCGTTATCTATTGACGGATGGTAGGTGATCTTCAAGTAATGCCGTTGCCCTACTGATGTTGGCAGGCAACTACTAACAAACACGGCTGCTGAGTCTCAAACCCACGCTATAGCTCAATCCACAACAGTCTCTCACCTATCTGCCATCCTATCAAAAGTCGATGGTGCCCTTGGTTTGGGAAGCCTAGACGCTAAAACCCTTGCGAGAGCCGCCGTACTTCATTGGACCTCGTCAGATGTGGAACCGTCCATCAAGCATAATCATACCATCAAGTGTAAACATCAGAATTCGGGGCTCTGGCTCACAGATTCGGATGCATTCAAAACATGGGCAAATGTGCCCTCCCTTATGTGGCTCACTGGCATCCGTAAGTGCAAGGTCTATTTTTGAGATCATGATCGACACAATTAATTCAATGGAGAGATTCTTCCCCTGACTGATTTTCATCAGCTGGTAGTGGAAAAACGGTCCTTTTCTCTGCAATTGTCGAAACTTTGAAAGCACAGTGCGCTCGCCCACCCGGAGGAAGACTGGCCTATTTCTACGTTGATTTCCAAGACCACCGAACCCACGGCACCGAGACGATACTACGATCGATCATTAGGCAACTGTCAGCCGCCGAAGCTGAGATACCGGCTTCTCTACAGTTACTATACAACGCCCATCGAGACAAAGGCCATTCTCCTTCGTTGAACGAACTTACGGAAACATTGAAGTGCATCATCCGAAACTCATCTGAACGAATATTTGTTGTCCTAGACGCACTCGATGAGCTCCCAGATTCGCCAGGTATGTCCCCAAGGCTGGACCGCTTTCTTGTCAGACGCTAGCTATCTGCTAACGGACGCTAGGGAACGTGAAGAGAACGGAGGTACTTGACACGTTGGTAGATCTAATCCGGGAACATCTGCCGCACCTTCACATCTTATGCACAAGTCGCGACGAACTCGACATTCGTGAGGCGCTCTATTCAATTACCAACAAGACTGTCAGACTAGAACAGGCAAAAATCGATGCTGATATCCAATCTTACGTTGAGAACTGTTTGGAACATCCCCGATTATCAAGTCTTCCTTCGTCTCTGAAGATGCGCATCAAATCCAAAGTCACTAACGGAGCGCAAGGAATGTACGTAAAGTTACACACCACATGAATTTGCAACTAATCTTCAAAGGTTTCGTTGGGCTGTATGTCAGATGGATGCCTTGAAGACGTACCGTCGAGCGCGTGATATTGAGAAGGCTCTCCAAGAGTTACCACCTACGCTGGATGCCACATATGAGCGTATTTTACAGTCGATCGACCAGTACGATCGTGCCGATGCCTTGTCAATTCTTCACTGGCTCGCATTCGCGAAAGAGCCGATGACACTCGAAGAACTTGCAGAAGCAGCTGTCGCTAGGCCTACTCAATCTTTCCAAGCCGAGGACCGATTACTTCAGATCAGCGATGTCCTCAGGATGTGCCACAGTCTAGTCGACATCCAGGATGGCCCTACTCGGCCGGAGAAAAATGACTTTGTGCGATTGACACATTATTCGGTCAAAGAGTACCTGACCTCAACTCGTTCCGCAGAATTTTACATCTCGGAGACCGCTGCTCACCGTTACATTGGGGCCTCGTGTATATCCTACATCGTTTTTGCAGGCGAGTTCGGTGAAGAAAGCGCAAGGTATCCATTATTCCCATATGCTGCAACCTATTGGTACGAGCATCTCCAGGTCGCTTCCGCTCTCGACCCGGACAATCCCAACTTGCAGTGTGACAGGCTTAAGCCAAATAATCTCGCAAGGAACTCGGAAATCAGGGCGCCGGCGCATGACTCGCCACTAAAGCAATCCGGTGTGCATATGAAAGATCCATTCCTAGGTCAGCTTTCCGTAACAGCACACCTTGGTCTGAGACTAGAGACATGGATTTCAAAGCCCAGATCCGATCGCCATATTGAGATACGAGGACGAGGACGAGGAACAGCTTTGCCAATTCAATGGATTCCTTTCTGTACAGCTCTCGAAGCAGCGGCTTGCGCAAGCCATCTTCACCTGGTCAATTCGTTCCTCAACTGCAGTGCAGATTGCGACTCACCGAATGGCAACGACAACATGTTGCAACACACAGCACAAAGACATGGAGTGAATGCCTGTAGTGAGCAGTCGGAAATAACTCCGTTGCAGCTCGAACACGGCACGCACACGATGCCAACTAATCTATCAATCATCGCCGCTCAAGCTAGTTACCTGGAGATCATGAAAGATCTGCGGCAACATGCCTGGCGTATTGATTTCGACGATGCGCTGAAGTTTGCAATTGAGCATGGTCATGAACTTGTTGTCTTATTTTTGCTCCAGGTTGGTCCGTGCTACTGGAACTCAGCAGACGCACATCTCCCCATAGAACCAGGCGACATAGGTACACGAATTCTCGACGAATGCATGTCTATTGCAGCAGGACACAACCGCCAAAGCATCGTGCAGCTTTTGAGAAGTTGCTATGGCGATTGGACACAACTGAAAGGCTTAGGCTATGCATTGATGGCCGCGTCAGCGAGTGGACACACTGAGCTTGTCCGCTGGCTTCTATCTCAGGCCCAAGAAGGGCCTTATACTATCTCCATACCAGCCGAAGTTATGAACCGGTCCTTGTACAATGCTGTTGAAGGACAACATGCGGATATTGAGGCCCTTCTCATCCAAGCAGGGGCCGATGTGAACCACATCATCTCGAGCCCAGATCCAGGATCCGTTCCAGATCACGACACGCTATTGAAAGCTTGCCTCGAAGCACCTTGGATGGATTCTGCAATTGTGGCGCTACTTCTGGACGCAGGGGCCCAGCTTCACATCGATGATCCAGATTATCAAGAGGCTTTCATTCGACAATGTAGATGGGGACATGCAAACGTCGTGAACATCCTGCGCGAGCACGGTATGGACATTGATAGGCAGATTGAGGTGTCCAACGTCCCACTAGCAGACACAGCGGTGTCTAAGAATCCGGATCACAGAAGGCCTGCAAGATTGAAGGCCATTGAAGTTCGTCTTCCGAGGAATGCGGGCTCCACTTATCTCCCAGCGTATTTTAGACACGCATGGTAATTTGATCACAATCACCGCAGTACCAGCACCGAAAACCAGCTGAGCTTGGTTTACAGCGTGGGCCTGTTCATGAATAAACGCATACCATCACCACCGACGATGATCCTTCCAGGCATCAGTCGTCCTCCCACCATCTGGGTGGAATCCAGCCGATATAGTTCAATGGCTACACTAGGTTCTGAGCCGCATAACGGCCTGCATTTTCCGTCGGGATAGGCACTGTCAGCCTTCACTAGAGCGAACATCCCTTCCAAAAGTATCCGAACTCAGAAAGTGATCACCGACGCTGCATGTCTTTCACTTGCCGGTTGGAGCGGGATGTGAAGTACTTATATGATTGATAAAGCAGGCTGTGCAGTGAGCTTGATGCACTATGAACATTGTTTTACATGCAATATGTTCCCTTACACAACTTGTACATGATGTGGGAAGAAACCGCAAAAGTACGCACTCCGCCCAGAACAGCTAGAAATATGCGAAGACCCATCATTTAACTATCCGGAAAGGCGCCGATATCTCATGTTTTGGGATGCCACCAGTGATAATATGGCGATAGTCTTATAGTAGGAAGATATACTTCGACCGGACCATAACCTCTGTCCAGACACACAGAGCGTATCTATCTGCAATACCGTTGATAGGCCGCAAGGCCAAGCCTTAGACCATGACGTAGGGCTGAAGACAGTCCTATGGCTAACAAAGGGCCAATGACGTATATTGATGGGATTGGCCTGAGAAATTCCATTGGAAAATTATGGAACCAGAACCGCAATTGGCTCTTAAAGTGAACTCCTATAGGGATTGGGTAGTGCATTGGTCGCTGAGGTGGCTTATGCTCCTGCAAAGCGTTCATGGACAACGGAACTGACATGTACGAGAAGGTAGTAGCTAGTCCTTCTATGATATGCTGCGCCGCCAGCTCGCGATGATCATTTGCTGCCATAGCGCAAGCGACGCGGGTCACATTTTTGATTTGTCTTCCATTGAGTTCGTAAGAAGCAACCTTGTCGAGGAATTCATTGTCAAGCCATGCAGGAGCTGCGGAAGTCGAGATGCTTGAGATAAATGTGGCCCATACAGTGCGACGGGCTTTTTTGCTTAGCCGGGGATAGGCTAGTATTAGATGGACGCGCGATGCAAACGCGGGGTCGATACTTTCAAGTCGATTTGTCGTCATGAACATGACTCCTTCAAAGTACTCCATGATTCTGAGGAGGACTATGAAGATTAGATGGGTCCTCGTATAAAGGACGAGCTTCTCACCTGCTACCAAATCGTTACGACTGTTGTGGGACGATCTTTGCACCATGAAAACATCTGCTTCGTCGAGAAGCACCAAGGCATTCCATCTGGTCGCCAGCTTGAGGGTCCGCTTCAACTCGCGTTCAATGGTGGCACTATACTGGCCCAGCTCTTCGGCACCGATGGTGTATAGAGGTCGTTGAGTGAGCTCTGAAATGCTTTCTGTAATCGCAGAATCAGTAGCTGATACCGTAACATCCACGGTTGCGTTCGTACCTGCAGTCAGCGTTTTACCAACGCCGGGATCTCCGTGCAGTAGGAAGAGAAGGCCTTTCCCTTTACCTTTGACCAAATCGTCAAAGTTCGATAACTTCTTTTGATGCGCGTTCACAAGGGATTTAAGCAGTTCCTTGTACTGCTCTGGCAGAACAAGTGCATCAAACGCCGCTTGGTTGAAAGAAATAGTCCCTAAACCGCTCACTTTGAAGAGCCCCCAGCGCCGATGCTGAAGCGAGAAGCCAGCGATCTCGGGAGAACAAATGAGGATGTCATCATCGCAAAGCTTCTCATAGTCCTTCTCTTCGCCACTGATGAGCTTGGAGCCTGGTAAGAATTCACTAATGCTTCCATCAATGTTGCTAGCATACTCCTCACAGTCCACGATGACTCTTCCGTCTGCCTAACTTAATCAATGGAGAGTGTTCTATATAGGTTGGGACAACTCACCTCAAAAGTCTCATACTTCTCATTGACCTTGTAGTCATCATCGATATGATTGTTGTTATCATCCTTGAAGAACCTTGCGGTTCCACGATAACTCCGGTGATGCACACCCAGCAAAGAGAGGAATGTTTTTCCTCGGACCAGTAGTGATTCGCGTATACTCATTTGATCCTTGTGGAACTGTAATGGTATAATGTTCAAGTTGGAAAGGGGCCGGTAACCGTCATACGTGAAGATTCTGGTGTCGTCCCACGAATAGATAAAATCCTCACCATCGCAGTTGATGATTTCGCATCTCAGATACCAATATTTGGCATATCGAAGTGGTCTCAGGTTATCTGTTTCCATTCGCATGGATTTCAGTCGACATATCTGACCATCACCGTTTCTGCTATGGTACAAAAGGTCGCCTGGTCGGAAAGTCATCCACAAACTATCGAAGTCCAAGCCAGGGCTTTCCGTGTTGGCCATCATGTGGGTTTCGTAGGTCGCGATTTCTTTTCGAAGAGCTTGTTCCATGTATTTTAGCAGGTACGTGACGTGTTCCTTGACATCTTCATCGTCGCTTGCTTGCGCGTAAGCATAAAGCTCTTTGCGGTAGTGAAAGACGCAATGTGGTTTGCCACTTATCTTGAGAATGCCCGCCGTTTGGGTGTCAACGCCGGGGTAGTCTCTAATTATTTCCGCCATCGCCTTTCTCATGTATGGCGACCTGATTTCGAGTGTGGTGCCCTTCAAAGCCTTGGTAGCATCATAATTCCGCATCAATACCAAGGCCGCATCTGGACTGCGAATCTCTTCGATATCCAATCCTTCTGTGGCACCAATCTGAAGAACAACCTCTTCGCCCTTACTGTTGAACCGTGTCTCGTACACATGAAGCTCGCAGATTTCACCCAAGTTTTCTTCGCGTTCAGTGGTCCTGTCGAGATCGCCCAAGGGTCCGATACTTCCAAAACTCTCAAGTATGGATCCTTGTCTCACGTTTGCGATCGGCTGGTCGACGCTACTCTCCTGGTGGATATGGCTCAATGGTTCAGGCGCAATGCTGGGAGTGACTGAGCGCTCCTCGATGTCCAGTGCATGCTCCTCATTGTCGTCCGGTAATTGATCCAGATCTGAAGCTGCGGCCATGGCTACGTGGTCTCTGATTGGGCAACCTACGGTTGAGACCAGAGAAGTGAAGTGCGAACAGAACGCTGAGTATCTTAGAAAATCTCGCAAGCACAGGCACGGTATATGTATTTATAAGGGACACTTGGTGAGTTTCAGTACGAGAAGGCAAATTTAAGGCTACTGAGTGCAGCGGTCAAGGTATTGTGGCGCTTGATACGGGACATGCCTGGTTATGCAGCATGATGACAAGCCCCGCTCCGCCTCACTAGGCTCCCTTCCGTTCGCTTGTTCCCACCCCAACCTTGCCAATGTTGTTGTACGGCTGCTCCGCAATGCTCTCACCCAACCAGCGCTGCATCATGGGCGGATACGATCCATTGGATGTGGCCGCTCCCGCGGAGTGGAAGTGGGTGTTCAACCGGTTTGTCTGATTCCTGTCCAATTGCGTATATCCAGAGGGCGAGCTCGCATGGCCAACAGGTACGGTGCCACCTTTCTTGTCCTATAGCAGATCCAAATTAGCATCGAGGCCTTTTCGCGATACAATTACACGTGCTACTCACATGGCTAGATGGCGTCGTTGTGTTTTTGTTCTGCTGCATCTTGGCCTGACTTCACGGAAATGTCCCAGATACGATTGTATCGATCTTTGAGAAGTATTTGATATCGAGAAACGATTCTGAACCGATCGTTAAGCACACTATGAGACCCATAGTCGAGATTATATGTGATGACAATGAAGTTCAAGACCATTTTGTTCGCTGAAGAACTTTTGAGAATTTTGAGTATCGCCGCATGTGTTGTCCATGCCCGGTATACCAGTGTCAATGCGCCCAAGGACCTATGAGAACTATTGTCATGGGCGGGGACATTCAAGAAGACAATAGCCAATGTGCTCTCGAGCGACGAGTATCTTTGCGAAACATCTCCAATGCTCCGGTGCGTCTAATCATGCAGTGCATGAGGACTTTGGAGTACTTTCGCAGAGTTCGCTGTGGGATGCGGCGCTCGACCCATGGCGACTAAGATATCCGCAGACCTTTTGCGAACTTTTGCACTAATGTGTGTCGCAAAGTCACGAGCGACTTGTGGCTAAACGCCCTGTCCCTCTTATTGGTGCTGGTGCTACCACGACAGGGATCCTGATTGCTTCGGCGGCACGCAGTGTTGAATGAGGCTATGGGGGCGTACCACAGCTAAAGGTTGCCTGACTGCGGGGATGTCGGAAGGCTGAGCACCTTTTGCAAACTTCTGCGAACTTTGTTTCGCGCAGGCCCAGCAAGCTCATCAATGCTTAAAAATTACTGCTCATAGTAGAAGACAGTCGCGTTTATTTCTAGAGTTTCTCCTCAGAGCTCTCCCTTGTTATTCTTGTTATTTGACATAAGCGAACTCACGTGCCTCTCTTGGATAACAGACATGGACCACAATCAGTCGCAATCGCCGACAGGCTTCAATTGGAGTCCAATTCTTTCAGGAAGCATGCCAACACCTATCGATTATAATACTGGTGGGGTTGACACCTCCCATGACCCCCAGTGGGCACAGCCTAGTTCTTCAGCGTACCGTGCCCACGACGAAGGCCAGCGAAACGCAACATCAGACATTTCCAACGTCCAGTCGTCCACCATTAACATCAGAGGCGATGTTGCCATGGAAGATGTTGCAGAACTTCCTCAAGCATCTGATCATCTGGTTTCTTCACAAATCAAGCCTCCGTCGTCTCGAAGGTCGAAACATGCAGATCTCGATTGGGAAGGACATCGGGCTAAACTTTTTGAGCTCTACATACAAGAAGGCAGGAAACTGACCGAGACTATGGAGATCATGAAACAGCGTTATGGCTTTATTGCACCGTAAGTATTGCTATCCTTCGCTGACGGACAAGTGTTGATTTCTCTAGAGCCAAAGCCTTCAAAGACAAATTCAGATACTGGAGGTTCCGAAGGAACCTACCTGGAGAGGTCGCACAGTGGATGGTTCAAAGAGCATCGCTGAGGGAAGAAATAGGAAAGGAGACACATTTCGAGTTCGGAGGTCAAAAGTGGACGCTTGAACAAGCCTACAATGGCGCGAAACGTACCAAAAAGGCAACGGAAGACTGTGAGTGAGGTCTCCCACCAGAAACTCCGCTTACTGGAGCTCAGTGGTAAACACGCCGGAAGGAATGAAAGTCAGCACTCCAGAAAATGCCAATATCGGCAACTCACTAGATGCTCACCGCGATGCTGATGAGCTACCGGGAAGTCCTAGTGTTGTTGCTGTAGGCCTGGAGACACTACCAACTACGCGTAGTCTGCCACTCAGCTACAATGGCAAGACTAGGCAAGACCTAGCCGTAACACTCAATGTCGCGCGGAGTTTTTCACAACAAGGTGAAGAAACCAGGGCAGAAAGTGCTTATCTTGACGTTTTTCACGGTCTTGAGCACCTGCTCTCTCCGACCGCTGCGGATACCGTCAGGATAGGATACGAGATCGCATCGTTCTATTGGGAGCGAGGGCGTAAGACTGATGCAGATGCTATTTTAGAGGCTATGTCAGCAACTCATATCAATCAGTTAGGCATGGAGGACCGTAGCACCCAACAGCACATCCTACACGTTGTCGAGCTTCTGAACTGCTGGAAGCGGGGCGAGGACGCTTTGGTGTTGTTGCAACACGCGAAGCAAACCGCGACTTCAGAAAGGCATGCCCGTGCTCGGAAGAAGGACAGAGTGCAGGAAAGAGAATCTGCTAGCGCAACAGTGGATGAACGACTCCAATCACTCAACGCCGAAGTTGACAGCGCTCCCAATCCTACGATACTTGACCATGGGCTTGCGTCCGCTCGCATTCATATGGCGACGAACAAACCCGCCCTCGAAACATTGCTAAAAGCCATCGAGAGGCAATGTCTCAGGGATCCAGCAGTGCTAACGGTCCAAGGACTCCGAGCAAGAGCTGAGCTACTCAGACATCACATCAGCAAGGGTGGCCGTATGTCAGTTGCAGATCGAAGCGCTTTCGAGACTGCAGCAGATCTAATGAAAGTATTCTGGGGTCGAGCTCTCTGGGACCGTGAAGAGTTCAAAAGCCATGAAATCATAGAGGTTTCACTGGAGCTTGCAGTGGGAGTGTTGCGGGGCGAATTGGTCAAGCACGCCCAATGGATGTTTCGAGAGATTCAGAAGAAAGCGACCAATTTCTTCGGAGAGGACGACGAGCGCACCATCTGGGCCCTAATCAATATTGGAATCATATACCAGACATATCGAACCTGGCCCGAAGCCAAGCCCTGGTTTCAGTCCGCGTATGCAGCTGCAGACGCGGCGTGGGGAATGAAGGATGGCGTGTACAGGTCTCTGGAGAAGGCCCTCGAGAAACATCATTTCGCTTATCTCAATGACGAGGGACGGCCTTTCAAGACAATCTTCGGTGTGTGTGGTGTAACGATCCATCCAACAAGGCTGCACTTGGACTAGCAGTTAATATGTCATTGAAGTTTACTGAATTTAACATTATGTTCACGAATCAAAATCGTATGACAATTACCATGGTTCCATCCTAGGCATCACCACTCAACACTCAACAGAACACCAACAAGTCAACACCAAAGCCACGAACGTTGCCTAACAGCACATGATCAAAATGCCGAAAGAAGACATCGTATGACAAAATACTCATTCATTGACATTTTGTGTGGGACGATCAGGCCCAAGGCCAAGTATCTTCTTTCGTAACTTGAAACCTTTTCAAAAAAAAACAAACACAAGCTACCATAGGTACCATATACTCGATACTTTATGCGCGATTACACTAACTAAATGAGCGCATCATGTGATCGTTTATTGCACGCCTAAACCAAGTAAAACTAACGCCTTAACCTCTACGACAAGCCGTAGTCCGGACATCAGGCAGGCACCTCTTGCGATACACCAACGGGCCTATCCTTTATGAAGAGAAAGACCAGTCTATACTCCACAATTACTGCTCCCACAGCTTTCCACCTTGCCACTCCACCCACATCGAACCCCAGGCGAAAGCTCGGGACCTCCATGTACTCGAGCACCAATACTTCAGAGTACGCCCAGGCGCCTCGACCACGTACCCATACATCCTATTCGCAACAAACCGAACCCACAGGCCCAAAGTCAGTGCATACCTTCTCACTGAAAAGCATAGGATGAGACCCTGTGTTCATCACAAGCAGCACCGCAAGCACCAGGTCCAAATGTTACAGCTTTCTCGAGCACTACATGCATGCATGAATACAATATACACCTTGGGCGTCTATGTCGCCCACATGTTCAACACCGCTGCGCCGTGCCACAACGTCCCTTCTTTTCTTTTCCCAACAAGGCCTTTCCTTCGCCATGACCATGCCGTACCTACACCAGAGTAACGTCCTCCTTACCATCGATTACCCCAAATTACACACCACCCACCCACTTCACGCTACAGCCCTCAGCATTCCCTTCTCCTTCCTCGCCCTCCAGCAGAGCTTCGCCCATGATTTACGAGCGCATACCTACCTCCAGTGCGCCAGGAACAAACTCCCCTCGACCATCGATGCGGAATGAATTGTCACTTTAACGCTACCACCCAGCATGCCCTTCCCCTTCCTCGCCCTCCAGCAGAGTTCCACCCATAGTTTACGAGCGCGCGCATCCCCACCTACATAGCGCCACACATTCATTCAAGCTCCCCAGCCATCGATGCGAAAACGAAGAATCCTCATGCCACAGCTAGCTAGCCCTCAGCACGCACCACCCCCACAGTTGTAACATTAACGTGCAAAGAGATCTAGCAGGAGGGAGACTACGTCATTCATCCACCGTCACCATGTCCTACACCCTCCTCCACTCATCTTAATCTACACCAGAAGAAGCAAGTCAAGTCCTTTATCTCAGCACGCGATGGATTCCTCGCCGTCTACTTCCATCTGCACAGACACTGTCGATGCTCAAGTGCGGTGTGGTATCGCCTTAGCATAGCATCCTACAGATACAGATACAAGTAACGTAACCAAGATACCTCGCGCATACACGCTGAAACCAGCCAGCCAGTCTAACCGCGTATGTCATGCAATACGTGATAGATATGAGCTCTGTCGTATTAGGAGGTACGTTTCTCAGGGACCTGAGGTCTACCAGCGTTTTTTTGACGTAGTCGCTTAATGGGCTGGTACTTCTACGGACACGGACGTCCAAGACGCTGTGCTGGCGTGGCGCAAGTATTTCATATCGGTCCATGCCGGCGGGAAGCTTCGAACGTGAGCCAGGAAAATGTCCACAGTATTCCTTTGCGAAGCAGCGTCTATGGCGCTTTGCAGGGTCTCGGCCGAATCGAGAGTTAGGATCCGACGGAGGACCTTGTCGCGCGGCTCACGCGATGAGTAGCTACGGGCTCGATGGTGTAAAATACACTGTATAGTCTGGTGATTAGAGCGAGAGTTCCATTTCCATCCGCTCAAGTAGATACCCATGAAGATTCACCGGTCGGGCACATTCGAAAAAGCAAGTAGTTGCTTTACGCATAAGAACTCTAGTGTATACGCCGCGAGCAGACGGACAGCGAGCGCAATCATAGAGAAATCATGCCTCAGTGTATATATAACGATTGACGAGCGCGATATCTAGACACTTATCAATATGGGGGTATGCACCAGACATACCGAGCATAGAATGGAACCCATGGCTTGCCTGGACGTTTCCCCGACAGGCAACGTCGTGGTTAAGATACCGGCACAGATGGAATGCCACAAACGACGTATAGACGAGAGCACACTTCAGTGCATGACCGGCAGCACCGATACCTGCATCCGGTTCTCGAGCGGTGACTGGGATTTTTAGCCTGCATTCTCACTCCGTCTGACATGCAGTGCAAATTCTCGAGCCAAACACCGCTTCCGTAACATTTCTAGAACAGGCAGGACACATGGCATATGTACGCCGTATATGGTGGGAGCCTGGGGTGGTGCACGTGGGATTTGAGGCTGGAAAGCAGCAGGTCCGGAGTCCGAAAGCATGCAGCTTTGGGTATGCAGGGCGTGCTTTCTGTGCGCTACACTGCTCGGTGCAGAATTCGTTTACAAGAAGGGTATCTACGCTGATGTCTCAGGTCATCTCGTGTCTCAACGACGAGGGTGGTCATGCGTTCGGAGTGAGGACTGTGGTCGCGGAATTGAGGTCAGTATGTCAGTCCACGTATGGTCGCACAAAACCGTATGGCCTCTCCATGTACGTTAATGCTTTACGCCAACACTGACATTAGTAGCTTTCCCTTTGAGCTGCTCCGAGCGAAGCGCCAAGGTTCGTGTCTAAGTGGTCGGAATGCTTTGTTGGGAAAGACCGTTTGTGCTACACAGTCTAGCTTCGTTCCTAGGCGAAGATAGCGGGCTGACCCCAGATGCAATTGGCTGTATGAGGCATCGTATGAGGTGCGAATTTTCGGGCTGATCAACAGTACGGGAAGCCGCCGAAGGATTGCGGAATAATATGAACTTATGAGGGACCGAACTCGGGCCAGCATGCTCCAGAAGGTAAAGATAAACACGCATGGTAGCGTAGAGATCACCAACCCGGGCTGACGTAGTAGTTGCGAGGATCCTGCATTACGACGAAGGAAAGATTCGCGAGCTGACTGAAGTAGCGGGTAAATGCGGTAGACACAGCGGGCTAATCGAAGTCACAAAGATTGCTTCGCAATTACTGACTTACGCATTGGCTGATTTGCGGAGTCTTTTCACATGCGGCTAGGTATGTGGGTGTTTGGCAGGCTTGCCGGTATGTTTTCGATGCGGCCAGGTGCTACACGTGCAATGTCAGCCACTGGATCAAGACTGAGATTTGAGCAACATTTCGAGTCGCACGAATCCATGCGATGAGCTGAGATGCCGTAACCCGGATGCGCACCGAACATTGACAGTGACATGCCGAAGGAAGGTGTAGCTTGACGACGGTTCGACCCATCCTGTCTGACCTTCTCCGCTTTTGCTGCGAGCGTAGGTCTAATGTTAGTCGGTGAGGAGCGGTTGCAGTAGTAGCGAAGCTCCAAACGCGATCCGGTTACGGGTTGGGCATGAAAAGAAGTCCGTAGACATGGAACGGGACACCGTCTTGAATCAGACCGATGGCCCGAAACGGAAATGCGTCTGGTGCATTCGCAGCAACAATGTGGCGTAGCGACCGCTGCTACTACTTCAAATTGATGTGCGTTGGCTTGCGTTTGAGAACCTTGGAAGCCCACAAGAATTGAGAGTGGCCGTGGTATGTGATATAGCTCAAGGGTGATGGGCCGATATGATGGGTGGGGTTGACTGCAGCAAATCAATGCTCGCGGTAAACCGCTCTTCTGCGACCGGACTAAGCCCTCAGCGAGAGTGTGACACATCGTACATAACGGATCGTATCGCTGAGTTGAACACGAGAGAGCAGGGTATTGTCTGATGCTGATGTACCTCGCTTCGACTCCTTAGGCGGTACTCGTAGGCGAGAGAACTTGAAGAAGTCAGCTCGTCAGCCAATCCAACGACACTTAGGGGTCTCTGGTCCGATACCGAATGCAGGTCAGGTGTGAGCGCCGGGCAAATAAGATGACGGCCGGAGATGCAGCCTCAGGTATGTTTTTACCTCATTAGAGGCGTTTCGCTACTCCCATGGTTCCGTCAGTTGTGGTTGCAGAACCCTGGGATTCCTGGCCCCCTTGCCTTGCTTGGCTCCTTCGTTGGTTGGACGCACTGAGTGCGAGTCTGGGACGAGGCGCCTAGTCTGGCATCGCTTCGGGTGTGTGAAATGCTACGCCGCATCTTTTCGCCGGAGCACGCATGACTGGCCAGGTATCGATAGCCTGCAGACGCCGTGTCCCCAGTTACCGGATCGAGCGCCATGCGCAGAAATAGGATACAGACCTCCTTATTAGTGGAAAGCTGAGTCAATCGTCTGTGTGTGAGGATGGATGATGCCGAGGGAACTACCCAGTTGAGAAAAGTCATGGGTTTCAGAGCCGGCAGTCCGCAAATGGGCATTAGCGTTCAAACTGTCTGCTCGAGTCTAGAACACGTATAGCATCCGGTTGTGATCGTCCACACCATCAAAGGTAATGCACGCCTTCGCTTGGTGTGAATTTACCGACGCAACTCGCTTCTGCCTGGGTGCTGCACGCGGAGGTAGGCGGCTGTGAGCCATCGACTTTACTTTTTTGACAACGTCAACTGGACACGACAATCTGCCCCCACAGTTTCTCGTGCTTGCGGGCCTGGCATTGCACGCGTTCCAAACTCTATCGCGCGACGAGTGTCCACAGTCGTAGGATTGGATCACCGCTGGTACAGTAGCTGGTTGCACGACAGACCTGTTGTCTCTCTGCGCAAGGATTTGCAACACATTCGGACCGCTTGGCCCTGTCGTGCCGAAGCCGCACATGCCGCAGCACTTTTTCGAGATTTCCCACAGAACGCTAACGAAACGTCACGCTTGGGCCCACTCATCTCGTGGAAAGCCGAGTATGCGTCATCAAACGACTACTTCCCGTGATGCGGATTGCCGAGCTGAGGCTGTCAGCCTGCTCAGCCTGGTTGGAGGCAATACCAGAATCCTGGCCCCGCGTGCGCTTTGATAGGCTGGTGACCAGAAGAAGCTGGAAGGGGCACTGCTGAAACCACGGCTGATTAGTGGCCTTCCTAACTTCGATGGACCCCGCTAGCACGCGGACATGTACTGTACTCAAGGTCAGGACGGCAGCTCCTTCACTACTAAAACCTTATGCTACCTTAGGTAGGAGAAGACGCCAACGCCGGTCAGCACAACTCCATCGTTGCGATCCGATGCCGACTGCAGGCAGATGCATAAGTAGGCGCTATGAAAAACGCGCGCCCCTGCCCAACGCTTACTGTGCCCCGTCTCGTGATGCGACGAGGTGCAACGCCCGCTTGACCGTACCAAGGAAGATTAATCCGAGCTGGCCGTGCTGCAACATGGAATCCTCGACCGAAACGTGATGCGGATGCGTGGGATGCGCTTGTTAAGGAGTGGATACGGACTCGCATGCCGCTCGTTTTGGGAGAGGAGCCATGCTATGCTATATTAGACGTCACCCTGGGGATCGGCGGCGCAACGCCGTGGTGGTTGCATTGGGTTGCCTCTGAGAGTGTCGGAGTCATGGCGATGGTGCATACATATTGCAAGCGCTGGATGGAGGGCGGCGCAGATTAGGCGCAAGAATTGCATTGCGTCAGCACAAGGCGTTGATGAAAGGTCACACAGACAGGCCAACGGGACGGTCTTTTTCTGGCGCGGCATCTGGCAGAGGGGTCGGGCTCGATCATGGCCGGTTTGGTGTCGATCCGTTGGCCGGGGCATCCCAGGCCAGGGTTCGTGTCGGCGCTCGGCTGAACAGCCACCATGCCGGCGACATCTTCGTTGTCGACTTTTCCAAACGGTCTTGCCGATTCAGGCTTGGACACCGTGGGGAAATTAGCGCTAGGGCTTGGGCGGCTCGAGCAGCAGCCTCAAGTGTGGCTGTCATTGTTGCTTCATGCAACCAGGCCTGGCGTTGGCCTGGTGAGTCGTTGGACTGGAATGTGACCGGCCTGTCGCACTGAAAATACAGCGGGCAGGCTGCCACTTGTGTTGTGATCTTCGATGACCGACTGACGTGTGCAGCATGGGCGAGGGCGGCGTCTCTCTCGGCGCACTGGCTGCGATGCGTGCACGATGTACACTGCGACACAGGACGACGCGGTCATCGGGGTGTCTGAGCTGGCTCGGCGGCGGGGTGAAGGGATCGGTGGCGGGTGGCCAGCGAGATGAGCGCTGGTGTCAGGCCTCGCCAGGATTCCGAAGGAGGTGTTGGGTCAGACGGTCGAGCGTGCGTGTCCCGAGCCGCGCTGGTGTTCGTTCGGTGGCTTGTGGGTCTGGCAGGAGCGCGCTGCTGGCCAGGGAAGGCGCGACAGGCAGGCTGCACGGTTTCAGCAAGCACGACGGGCAGGCGAGTTTGGGTGGGGAAGGCGCGGCGGCCCTTGTCCATCGTCCATCGCATCGCTGCTGGGCGCGCCATCCCTGCCTGACGATCCATGAAACCGGTCCCGCCTGTGCTCGCCGCCAAAGCACTCAGGGCTGCGGGCCACGTCGTGCGCTTTCTGGAAGCCGTTCGCTACTGCCGCCCAATTATGCCGCGCCTTCCTGCCCCGGCTGCCGGCTGCATGCGGCCACCGCCTTGCACTCGCGGTCGCACCCCAGCCCCTGGGACCACTCCAACGACGCACCTCCGTCTGCATCTGCATCTGCATCTGCGCTGCGTCCCCTCAAACACATCCTGGCCTCGAACTTGGCCCACTCCGTCCTTCGCCCGAGGGGCCAAGTCTGCCTCCTCCAGGCGGCTAAACGCTGGCTGCTGGCCCTTGACCGCCTCGCCGGCCTTCTCACCACACTCGCCTCCCTGCTGTCCTGGTCCTGGCCCTAGCAACCCGCTACGAGTCGCACATTTAGCAGCGCCGACCCCAGTCGCACCACCCAGCCATGTGGAGGTTCCTCGCGCATGCACCGCTGCCGTCGTTGCAACGGACGCCACGGCCCTGTGATTCGCCCGCACCATGGCGTTTCTTTCTTTTCGTCGCCTGCATCCGCCATGATGAATTGGTCCATCAGCTCCCGCCCTCGCGAGCCGCCTGGCCGTCACAGTAGTGCCGTTCCTTCACATCCCTTGGTGGCCGTACAGCATGCCACCGCTTCCTTGCCTGCACTTAATGCCCCTCTTGGTACGCTTGTCCTCTTGCTCGCCTAGGCTGTCCTGGCAAGTGCGTTGCATCTTAGCCGTCCTTCTAAAATCTCCCACCCATCCTTCCCAAATCGTCTGCATTCCTTGGCACCCCATATACCTATGCACATGCCCCATGCCTACCAACACGTCTGGTCTCTGTGACTCCGGACCACCTGACACACCAAGCACTCTTGACTTATCTACTGCTCTCGCCCATCATGACCAACTCGACATCGCCATACGACATGGCTGCCAACATGACCTCATATGCTCCCAACCCATACCGCACATCACGAACCTCCAACAGCCAATCAGGTCACTCGTACCGTGTTGAGAAGCCCAGGAGCAACCACAACAGCCCGAGGACTGTCGAAAGGAGAAAGACCACCACGGGTGCAAAACTCTACGCCACCCTCGACGACCATTACAACATGATGATGGGCATAACCGGAGACGAGGACGCTGTCGAACCCATGGGTGAACCTGCCCACACTCGACCAATGAGCTGGCACCCCTCGTCAAATCAGTTCCATGCACGACCCCAGTCCACAATGTTCGAGCAACCACAACACTGGCCTCAGAACTACACAAGCTCGTCTCGGACTTCTGGCTATGGATCGGACTTCTATTCGCTTTCTTCAAGAAATTCCACGGGTGCGGAACCAACCCAACAGTATTCGAACCATACGACTGGCCACGAAGCACACCGAGGCTCACAAGACTCGGATTCTAGCTGGCAGACCCATCAGTCGTATTTCCACTCCTCCTACTCTACGCCGGCCACGGAACCCATGCCATGGTATCTCCAAGAGTGGGCTCGCAAGAACCATGACCAGGCTGTTGCTTCGCAGAATGGCTCGATGGAATTCCTTCCCATTCAGCATCCAACCGAAGCCGAAGAACAGCACGCAGATGTCGACATGGAAGACGAGGGGAAAGAGCTTATTGGCATGGGTCTTTACGACGTTTCCGACTCTTCTCTCGATTGGTCATCCTCATTGGGTGAGGCAACAGGAAAAGGTCTAAAGCTGGAAGAGACGTGGCAACCTCCCGAAGAAGAAGACGACGAAGACGACGAGCAAGACGACGATGCCAGCTCTGACGACGGAGAGGAAGAATTGCCACCGCCTCCCGCGCCAATGGCTCCGGTCGCTTCTGCCAAGGGCCAGCCCACGGGCAACATGGAGGGACAGAGCTTCTTCTTTGAAGAAGATGACAACATCACCAAAGAGTGGTGGTATCACCACCTCAAGCAGCCTTCCCTACCAGTGCGGGACGCTGGCTACGGCTACGGTTGGCTTTGAGCAAGATTTTCTCCTTTTAGCATAGCGTTGGCGTTGGTTTCCTTTTGGGTTGGAACTTGTGTTGCAAACGGACAGGATACAGATACCCCAAGCCTTCAGAGGCGTGTACACGCGTTCGCGCTGGGCGTGCGGCACCAGCCGGTGCGTACCAGAGATTTTGTCTGAGACACGACGCATGTACGTAGAAGAACGTTAGTAATCATAGCATAGCATGCAGCAAAAGCAAAAGCAGTCAACATCTACATGGCACTACCCTCCCAACAAGTTCCTGTTAGGATCCTCTCCTGAATCAACTGCCGTGCCTGGCATCTCATCGGACCTTTAGCCCTCTCTCTCTCTCTCCACATCTTACAATCTTAACAAAGCACAGCCAGGCTGGGCTGGCTGGCTTAGACATCCTTTTACAACTCTCAGCCCAGCCCGCCGTGCTCGCGGCTTACACAGACTAGCGACCCTATCTTGGCACTCGCTAGTCCTTCGCATAGCTCTCGCATGGCTTTCGCTAGGGTGAGCCCGCGCCGCGAAATCGCCCGGCGCCGGCAGTGCGCGCTGTTGGACCTGACCTTGTGTCTGGGACTGGGACTGGGACTGGTAACTACCGCTTTTGATTACCCAATGGCACTGCGTAAGCGGGTGCGCAGGGTGGGCGAGGAGAAGCGGGTTCGCCGCGTGCGGAGGTCGTCATTTCGGGGAGGTGGATGGGGTTTAGTTGAGGTGGTGATGGGGTGTTGTGGTGGGGCTTGCGAGTGAGGTTGCTTGCTGGTGCGCCCGCATCTCGTCTCCTCTTCTCTCGTGTTGCTTCTGCGCCGGAAATGAACGGCATCTAGGTATCAAAGGAGGAGAGGAGAGAAAAACTACTGCTAGCGCTGGGCCAGACGACTCCGTCTACGATGGTCTGGTCTGGAGGTACCGGAGGCTCGTATTGCTATACGCTATTGTTGTAGCTCTGAAGGCCCAGCACAGGCGGGCAGGGCAGGCGAGGAGGCGCGTGGTGCGATGCTATGAGAACATCCCAATCCTGCCTGCAACACGATGACCGGTGGGGCGCGAAACCTGTGTTTGTTTAGCTGCAAGCAAGCAAGCAAGCAAATCTTGCTCGTCGCCATCGCCATCGCCGCAGTCACTCCGTCCACCCCAGCCAGCTCGCTTGCCACGCTTCCTTTCAGCGCGGCTGCCCGCCCGCGCCGTCGCAATTCGCCGCGTGCAGTGCAGGCATTTTCCGCATGCACGCACGTCAAGTATGGTTTGGCTACTGCACGCGCGGGCGGGAGAAGCGCTTTGGAAGCGATCGGCTGCGTATGAGGTCAGAAGCTGCAGCTGTGAGAAGGGGGCGGATGGGCGCGGTTAGCTGGCTTGTCACCCTGTGTGGGGCGCCAATAGATGTATCGATAGGGGGGCGTATCGATTGATTGATAGCTGGGATCTAAAAGTTTTTATTTGTTGGTGGGGAGATGGGACGCGAGGGGCGCGAGGGCGCGAGGTCACGTTTCAAGTGGAGGCCGGGGGGCAGATTGCTGGATTGTTAGGCCCCGGTTATGTCATGCCTGGAGCTAAGCTGATGTCAACAAGACGCCTAGCTTCTGGCTGAAGTGTGTGCTCGCTGCGAGTCGCGTAAGAAGAGAGGACCTGGAGAGCAGTGAATGCTCAGACGGAGATATTGACGTGACCGCGATTTTGACGAGGTGTGTTCGAAGACGCAAGAGAATGAGACCCAAGGTCCACTCTCGACGCGGGGTACGGCTCAAGCTTCAATGGAAGTTAATGGGATGAGCGTTATATCACAATCCTCGTACTCCTCATCAAACCATAGCTCTCCTATCATCACGCCGTGCACATACTCCAGTGCTACGAACCGAAGCTCTCCCTCACCAGCTCTCAGGGCGCAAGGCACTCCTAGGCCAATCAGCAGATAGATCTGGTTGCGCCGACAAGGCCCTAGATGATAAAGTAGACCGTAACGCGAAAGACGGCGCTGGCGATCAGGTTGTGCTTGACAGGCAGCCGGTCAGGTGTCGACGCAGAATCGACCCTGATGTTCTGGAGCTTGCGGCTAGCTTTTTAGCTGGATATGCAAGGTTGAAAGCCTCAGAGGAAAAGGATGCATTTGAGACTACCTGATTCAAGGATACAAGGGAAACAAAGGCGAAAAAAACGGGAAGAAGCAAAGACAGGGCCGTGGGAGAAGTCGGTGACGATATGGGTATGGCCTGGCCTTGGTGAAATACGAAGATTCGATAGAGACGAGGCGGGCGAGAAGGTGAACATGGGTGACCATAATACACCATGCATTTCTGGTAAGATCCTCCAGCTGCCACATACCTCCGTCATGTGGTCCCATCTCGCACTTTTCTGTGGCTTCCACCCAAGCACCCACTAACAAAACACGAACATGCCTACCTCCACACTGCAGCTCGAAAGCTCAGAGGCTCGCTATACCACAAATCAAGTCACCCCAGGCTCCACGATGCATTTGGTGAGAACGTCGTTTATACTCAAAACCTAGCAACGTACGATTTTAGGGAAATGTTTTCACCCATGTAGTGAATTATGGATTATGGATGGATAGTGTTGAAGGCAAGATGTTCAAAGGAGAGATTTTCTCGATTTCTAAATAGGGGGCTAACGGATGGCCTGGCTATCTGCATTATATACACTAACGGACTACCTTCCTACCTACCTACATTACATACATGCCAGAGAAGAAGCGAGAAGCACCTCACACCCCCAAAAGAGAGACAGGCTTGAGAAGAAGTGGGTGGTTGCCGGCGTACATATGAGCGGCGAGTTGAAGGAGGAATGATGTTGTTCAGAGACGGTGTCGTGGGATGATCGCATGTCCTTCGTGAGGCGAAAGCAAATCCCAAGCCAGTTGCCGCTGTACCGAATGTAGCGCTCATCGAGCAGGTGAGATCAGTGCTTGGTGTGCGCGGCGTGAAGGTGTTCGACGAGCGTGAGGTGTTCGACGAGCGTGAGGTGTTCGACGAGCGTGAGGTGTTCGACGAGCGTGACGGCTGTTGCACACTTGAGATTGTTTGTTCCACAAATGCTCAGAGTGTTGCTCGGCGAGGCGAGCGATACTGTTCGAAGCGATGGTATTATTTTCGACCGCCAGAAATGATCCTTTTCGAAGCGAAGGTTGAGGTTGCTGATCGAAAACGAATGATGCTGTTAAAAGCTTGACTTGTACCCCGTCTGCATCACACCTTAAGAGGTGTGATCCCAGGCCACACCGCGAGGAGGTGGGGTAATGAGGCCCATAAGAATAATGAAGGGAAAGTATACCACCGGAAAAAACACCCACGACATTACCGCCCCACAGCCTTTTGGGCCTCAGTGATCTGGCCCTGCAGATCCTTCATCAACTCCTTCATCTTCTCCGCCCTAGCCCTCCCCTCTCCTCCTTCACCCCCGCCCTCTTCCCTTCCAAGAACCACTTCTCCCTCCCCCAAGCGCCGCATCCATCGCCGTCTCCACCGCCATCTTCACCATCTCCTCCATCTCCTTCTTCTTCTTCTCCATCTCTTTGTTCTTCTTCTCCTCCTCCTCCCTCACACCAAGGTCCCAATGCGCCAACTTGCGCGCGACGTACTTCTTCAATTTGTTGCCCCAAACGAACAAGCCAAGGACGAAGATTATTAAATTGAATGCCGGAAAAGGCAAAGCTAGAAAACCAGCGATGACGCTGTCCAAGATTGAGGACCAATTCAGGCCCATGTTTGCCTACACAATACTAATTAGCACATTGTACCGTTTTATCATCAATATCCAAGAAAACGATAGGAATAATATTCCGGCACGACAATATTGAACGGGCAATGTTGATGGTATTGTGGACTGTTATTCTAGATGCATTCTGGACGGAGCGGTGATAATGAACGGTAGGTGGTAACGTGGATCTGGACCCCAAGATGCGTAAACGATGACAATATGCCGAAGGATGCTGATTCGCGACGTGTGGACGGAAAAGTAGTGTATACGTACAGTTGTTGTGAGTGTGACGTGCCAAAGGAAAAGAAAGGAAGGGGACTCGCGGAGAACATGTATACAGGGCTTCAATTCGGTCGGCAGGTGCATGATTGAAGCAACTGCCATAGTACGGGTGGCTTCCTGCCCTGTGGAAACATACGAGATGTTGGCGAGCTTAGAGCGGAAAGTAAGATGCACTTTCCTCTCATGATGGATCAGAGAGGCCTATTCGTATGCACCTTCCAGAGACGGCCCAAACCGCAGTCATTCAACACTACATAGTCTCATCTTTGCTTGTGCTTTGCTGATGAACATGCATACAGATGCGGACTTTGCCGCAATACACAAGCATACTCAGCGGAAGCACGTTGAGTCCAATCTTACGTATCCCGTGTCATTGGAATGGCGGTGCACGCACACTTGGTAGACAAGCCGTGCACTTATCGTGTGTGTGAGGTAGCTTCATTGATAACGTGCATTTGATCTTTGCCTCGAATGGCCCGAAATCTATTCAAAGGGCTGGCGTGACTTTATGCCTTGCGATACACGCAACTGGCTCGCCGCGAAAGCAGAACACTACGAACTTATCCGAGAAGGTATCGTAAGTCGAGTATAATCAGGGTTCATAATGTATGAGTAGATCCGGCCTCTAACATTATCCTACGCCTAAGGGCGCGCTCACACTAGCAAGCTGCCAGTGACAGCTCAGTCATCCATCAATAACTTGTGCCAGAGGTTACACCACTTGCGCTCAGTGCCCCACAAAGAAATATCCAACCACCAGTCCGTTCCAGTCGATCGCTTAATCCCCAACTCTTTCTCCTGATAATTTTGCATAGCACGTCCCATTTCCATGCGCACGCAATCTTCTGAAGTCACCTTAGTAATGACGTGCGCGTGTGCGCTGATATCCCCGCCAAAAAGAAGCATAGGTATGTTGAACGGACCCAGCCATGTCAATCGCCGAAAAAATCTGTAGAAATAGGGTTTTTGCTGCAAGAGAAAGGAATCCGCGCGCTTGCGTGGTGAGCACTGGTGTACTGTGTACGTACTAATCAGTGCGAGAAGCCAATCCATCTGGTGTATGAGATCAAGTCGTGTTGCCGGTCTGGTAACTGCTTCGTTGAGTGCAACAAGCTTGCTATCAGGGATCATCATCCACTTCGAGGGCGATTCTTTACCGCATAAGGTATTGATGAAGGTCGCCAGCCGGAGAAGCTCATCCCGTTCGGTCTTCAGAGGGTTATGTTAGACGGACCACAAGGAAAGATAGTGTATGACATGCCTTTGTGAGAATGGAGCTCTCGTTGTCCAAAGGTGCTGTCTGGCCAAGCGCTTCATTCAGCGCAGAATAGTCGGCGTCGAACGTGAAGGCCATGATTTCGATAATGTAGCGACGGAGCTGTGTGTCAGGCTCATGCTTGGGCGGACTGCGTGGTGCGCACGCAGTGGAATAAGGAGGTGGTGGATCGGACATTTGTTTGTTGCTTTACGGGCTGTCAATACGGCTGGCTTGTATGACTTGTGTGGAGGTGGGAATAAGGAGGACTATCAAAGGGATCATATATGCCCGTAGAATGGGGCAGGTCCATGGTTTCGTGCCCCACATTGAAACTGGTTGGGACGGGGAAGCATGTGCGTCCGTGATTCAAGCGCGCAGGTGTGGTCGGAACGCCACTGTTACCGCAATCTGAACCTTGGATAAGCTGAGGAAGGTGCATATGGTCTCATCAGGGCTCAATCATTCTATATTGTATATTATCGCTTGAAAAGAATGCTCCCACCCTACCATGGTACAGGTCTCCCATTTTGTTAAGTAGATGAGGAATTCACCATCACTGATTCGCTATGTAGTTTTGGACAACCAGATATACATTAAGGTAGAGGTAATTGAGGGTACCAAGCTTAAATCAGAATACCAACGTATCTTAATCTATTGCTTACTACATTGCCTAGGGTAGTCTGTGATCTACTTTGCATCTACATTTAGAGTCGGTAGTGTCCGAATCCGCTATGTATTATGCATCAAGGCCCGGCTTCTATTATTCAGAGGAGCTTCTTCCATACCATATCCACTTTATCAATAAACCACTCGGTACATCTCGCATCCCCTATATATTTCAAGGACATGGTCGTGGTGAAGATGCGCTTCTTGTGGGTGGTGTTCGAAGTTCGGAGCACTAGACTACAATGAGCTCGTTTCTCATGAGGATTTGCCCCGACGCGACGCCACAACACCACGACCACGACCACAATATTCGATTTCAATACTTTCTGTTAGTTGGAGCTGAAGGTAGAGCTATTATGGTATCATATCGTATCTTGAGAAATACCTACTATTCTAGTACACGGTTATTATCACGTTGCGCTAGGATAAATTGTTGGGGTGCATTTATTACGAAAAACGAGCTCCTTGTAGTGTGCAACAACTTTCCCAGCCTAAAGGTCATATCGATTTGTCTCCTCGGCTATGGCTGCCTTGGAGGTAGAGTAGACATATCTACGAGTCCGAAGAGGAATTGTAGGGTCCGTTTTCGTGGCTTTCATGTTCCGATATATGTAAGTTTTAGATTCTGAAATTATGATCAGATGTCCGTATGGTATACATACATACGGTGTGTTAAAGCAGTAGAAGATGGAGGAGCCGCCATGCCCTGCACAAGGCTGGGTTGGGGGTTGGACTGGACGCTGAATCCGTGTCAATCACACAAGATGAGTCCAAGTTCTAGTGACGTGACTATAGAAGCACGAATTGGGTCGTCAATGTGATAGGAGAGTGACCAGCAAATGAGTGTCAGAGAAGAAGTGTTGAGGACGGGAGTGCCGCTCATGGTCCGAGATCCCGTAGTGACTCTATACCCACGAGCCACTCAATGCTACTTGTGTGACCATAGCTGACTGTGATAACTCGCTTTTAAATTAACCGCTCCGCGTACTCGTAGAATTTGCCCTAGACTTGGGCGTGAATGGGCGTGAATCAATACAGAAGTGTAACGAGCGCACAGGTGCTGGAGCCCAGCGTCGAGTCATCAAGTCTTTCGGTAAGAGTATTGATCATGTTTACTCTAGATCTGTGCTACCGTAGGGGATTTAAAAGCCAGGTACAGAGTATCTTTCTTCTTGATTTAGAACGCTGCACAAGATTTACTTTCAACCCAAACTCAAGACAGCACACGAGAACTCCGGAACAGCTATTCGGCGAACCCTTGAACGACTGCGATACGTATCCAGACGAGGAACGCTACCTTGAACCATCCAATTATTTCAGAGAAGGCCAACCGTTACGATGTCATCTTCGAAAGCAAATTTGAACAGCTACCTCAACGATATCAAGCACATGGTCGAAACAGCCCCTACAAAGGACATTTACAAAGCTTACGACTTTTCTAAAACATACCCGGGACTCGAGCGCGCTGAACTACGAGCATGGAAGCTCATTTTGGTCAAATGGGGGCATCCCGAAGTGGTTTTCGGCCTTGGAGAACCGCAACCTGATAAGGAATTAGTAGCGGCCTGCGAGGCAAAAGGCTGGGACCAGCAAGGCATCATGTGCTCGTTTTACGGTCTGTGTCAGAGGTGGAATGATGATGTCAACAATTCGAATGAGGTAAAGGCATTTTATCAAGGGCAGTATGGGGCCGTCAGAGCACGAGAGAGGTTCGCTCAGCACTTGGGGGTTATCAGTTTCCAGATTGCTTACAGGCGTGGTCAGAAGATACCCCATTTGCTTGCTGGATGCGGGGATCGGGAAAAGAAGGCACCGGATGAATATGCACCGTCTTAATCAATGAGTCATTGGCGGCAGGTAGTAATTCTAGGTCGATGCATTGTATTTCCTTCTTCTAGCGTTGGATGTCTTGGTCCCTTTGGCGTTGGCTGTCTTGGTCCTTCTGCGTGTTTCCTTGGTACAAAGTATAATCAGTCGTGTTGTTAGGGTCTAGTATTTCTTATCGAATTTGAGACTATTATTCGTCCCTGCTACCAGCGATGCGTCTTTGCCGGAACCCATGGTCAGTAGCTCAGTGTGTGCTATAGAGACATCCAGATACGACTTACCATCCTCTGCCTGTCTACGAACTCCTGGTATAGAGCTCCTGGTACAGCTTGTTCGCTCGGACCAGCTGACTCCTCGATGTCTTTGCCGAGCACGTCCTGCCGCCTGTCCTGCATATGTTCGCTGCACAGGATTCGCTCGAACACCAGCCCTTGACGGTCAGTGATGGTCAGCGCTGGACCCTAAGGGTTTCAGCCTTGATCACGACGTGCATGTCCATCAGAGCGTGTGTGCCGTCGGGGTACTGCCGCAGGACTAGCACATCAGCTTGTACGGGTCGTCGTCAGACTCGCGGAAGATACAGACAATCTATAACATCGCGACGGACACGCGGACCACGTCACCACGCGAAAGGTTATGTTGAAGGGAATCGCGGTCAAATTGTCGAATCGCTGATAGAAGTGGGGCAAGGCGACGAGGGTGTATGCGCAGCAATCATCACAACGAAACTTGACAACAGGCTAGAGGTTCTCCGTTGGCTGGAGTCACCGTACCGGGACTCCAGACGGGCAACAAGGCCTACCTCCTGTTTGATCTTGCACCTTGTGTGGGGTTCTGCCGGCTCGGAGCCTGATCCGCCGCACCCTCTGATTCACGGAGGTTGTATTGTTGGAGGTGGTTTCAATTCAACGGCGTAGATCGGCGCGTGTCATTTCCACGTTGCGAGATGCAAGATGTGAAAGAATTCAGGACCGATAGCCTGGCGCGAAAAGGATGGCATTCGAGCGGTTGAATGCTGGTGTAGGCAGCAATGAAGGCGCTCAGCAAGAAACAGGGAGGCATCAACAAATCCAGCTGCGCGACAGCGCGAGAGCCTCTCATGAGGTCAAAACGGACGCATGATGGAGGATGAGGGGCGGCGCCGTGATGGTGAGAATAGAGAGACGACGTTTTGGTTTACCGAAGCAAGGAGCGCAAAATGATGGTAGCGTCGGGCCGCTGATCGCACAGACAGTGACGAGTGGTCCACCGCGGCCTCAAGCACGACGTGGGGAGGCTATTGGGCTCATGGCGTTGCATAGTGAGTGATGTACCTTTCGTACTTGGTCCACATACGCTATTGGAAAGGTAGACAGTACTGAGGTATTTCAATCCAAGCAACGAGATTGTGCAAACGACGGATGCTGCGAGTCAGTACGGCGACATCATCGCCATGGCCGAAGTTATCCGGCGTACTAGATGGGGGGCTTGCAACGTGGACATGCAGAGTAAGTATACACGGCGAGTGTGAATGTCGTGGTGATGGGCCGGAGTTAAGCTAACGTTATGTCCTAGCGCGGTGCATCATGCTTCTCACCCACAAAAATGTCTTGTCGCGAGCGGCTTGGTCATGGCACCTCAATTCATCGTCACACCGTGGCGAGACGCCAACGAGCTACTTACAGTACGCCGGGAGCTCTACAGCGATACTCTTGATAAACGAGAGAGGGCTGTGAATAAGGTATGTTGCCGCTATGTATTATCAGTATCGACGCTAAGTACACGGCCCCAGGTTCACGCATGGCGGGCGCGAAAGTTTGAGCTGCCATTGTTGCTAGAGAGCACGGCGGACATCGCTGAAGCCACACTACGCGATGAGGATCAAGCATTGGCGTCCCACACGCTGAGGCTGGTATATGCGACTGCGGTTTCGAGGTAAGTCTACAACCATTATGCCGTCTTCCCTCCCCCCTTCTAACGGCATAGAAAAGATTTGTAACCGGCCTCCTTGACACACAAACCGACCTCGCCCGGCTTTCTACCTTGTCGCAAGCCCCTCCTCAAATCTCCGTCTCCCTCCGCGAAACCCGTCACCGTATCGTCCACCGGCACCTACCCTCACTTGCTGAGCTCCAGCGCGCTGCCAAGGAAAGCCTGGCGTGGCTCTGGGAACACTACTGGTCGCATCTCGATGCATTACTCGCACCTACTGCAAGTGCGCCCCAGCTTGATGAGCGAGAAGTCAAGGAAAGACTGCAGGGCGTGCTAAAGAGCTATGTCAAGGAGCGCAAGGTGGAGATCAAGAACAAGAGCAAGGAAACTCGGGCAGCGGACAATGCCGTGAGGTCTTGGTTTGGAATTGAGGCTCCGCGAGACATGAAAACAAGGTCGTTGGTGGATCTATTGGTTGCGGAAAAGAACATATTACCCGTGGGAAAGAAGCTGGGAAGTAGTATGGAGGGCGCATATCTCATTTGGACTCCTTTCATCACGGCTCTCGGTATCCTCGACTCGTCGTTCTCGGAAGCGCTGACCGAGCGTATGGTCGATGTCTTATCAGCGCCTGCACGCGGCGTGGATAGTGTAGAGGATGATCCTGCAAGAGAGGGTATGTGTGCGTGGGTTGCGAAGATGGTAGACCAGACGAAAGACCATGCGAGAACGAGGCATTTGTTCGACAACGCCTTAAGTCTGTGTCTTACAACCCCCACTTTCTGGACGCTGAAGCTCGCGGACTCCATCCTGAAGGACCCAGCTGTACCCGGACGGACGTCATGGCTTGCTATTCTCGAGGCCGCAAAACTCGACGGAGAAGACGAGGCGCAGGAGCTCCAGGTCAAAGGGGCGGATCAGATGGACGTAGATGCGATAGAGGCGGGATTGCCGGTTGAGCAGACAGTAGGCGAAGGGGAGAAGATTCGCGGGCCGCAAAAGTATCCTGGTCTGTGGAGGCCAAGGCCCATTGGGTGGATACCGCCTGGGTGGTTAGAGGATGAATGAAAGCCGAAACTGTCATTCTACTTGTCCGCTTTGTTGTAATGCACAGATTCATGTCAATCGAGCAGAAAGAGTTGATCGTCAATTGGATTGATGCCCCTGAGGTGTACTTAGAACAAGCCTGTGGTATCACATACTGCTAGCGTATGCGACATGCGGCTCAGCTGTGCCATACATGGGACGAAGCGACGCCCAACAAAAGAGCACGTGAACATCAGACCTGTGCATATTAGTCGGGCCAGTAAACGATGGCTTTCTGCCTGAGGTAATGACCATCGAAACCTCATCTTTGAGACCAAGCCTGATCATGCCATTCGTGCGCCATGTGACAGCTGTCATCCGCTAGTGTGCATGAAGCCAGATGGTGCTGTTCAGCCTGGTGAGCTGCCTCTTGCCTCATTTTTGCTTGGCGTAAGGCTGAGGAGCGGAAGAGATCTATAAAGCGCGGCTGTCTGCCCAGTCTCAGCCATCGACTTCATTTCGACAAGAACCGTTCAGCAAAGCATATCTTCCGTTCCAGGCGTTACCCGATTCCGGTCCTAGTTGTGTTTGGACCGAAACAACCCACAGGACCTAAGCCAATCCTCTGGAATCAAGGCAACCCGTCGATATCCAGCTATTTAAAACAGCGCATGGTCAAAGCGATGCCTTGAATTGTTTCGATACTCTGGATAGATTACGCCCCGGAAACGCCGCTGGACAAAGGCTGCCCCCGGATTTCAAGGACTTCACCACAGGATATAGACCTGAACAAGCACTGCTTGTGGAAATCAAGTGTATTCAAGTTTGTGATTATGGATATTTTCTCTTTGGAGCCTCTCATGGCTACCGAGAACTATCCAGTCACTAGCAATGAGCCACTCGATTTCCCCAAGGCAGACTTGAGCAGACCTACATCTTATGGCTGTCGTCCTGGAGATCTGGTGGGCTCTTTGCCAGCTGGCATAGCTAGCATAGCAGAGGCTACTCGCAATGCGGGTAGGCAAGATGCCCACCAGACTCCTACGACGGGGCTTGATAATCATGTTCCAAAACATGATCAGCCAAGGAGCCTGGTGGGTATCACGTCCGCCCGCTGCTGATACAAAATTTATGGTGAATGCTCATGAATGTGTAGGAAAATGCTTTCCTTGATCATCTGTTTGGCTTGAAGCCTGTGTGCTCATGCCTGTTGTGCCATCATCTACACCAAGTGGCGAAGCTACTGTTGAACCCCCAAGCAGAGCCGCAGCGCACTACCCCCAGGTCCTCCACCACCGCACCATTCAACATTGCTCAGCCCATGCACACTCATTTGGTAGGACCTTATCCGCCCGTTTTGTATGCAAAACCAGCTAACCAATCAGACTCACTTAGCTCATTCTACTCTCGCAAGTCAGAATATCCCCGATGCTTGCCTCCGTTCTCACACTTTCTCACAAGGCCCATCTGTCCCAGTACCTCCTTTAGCACCAAGCTCTAGAACACCTGCCATGGGAGCTGGGAACCCTTTTTCAGATCAGGCCGTGACACAACTCGCCACAACACAACCTAACAGCGTTCAGTATGAGCTCCCTGAATTCGACCTTGATTCGCTCTTCGACTTACCTCAGGTCTCATCTCAAGAAATCAAATTCCAGAACGGCGAGATCTTGAACACTACAAGAATACCGGACGCTCTCGAAACAGGCTTCAATGCGAATGCTTTCGAGACTCGGACAACCGGGTCAGTCAACCCTCCGTTTGCCTCAAGATATGGTTCTCCAAGCACCAGCTAACGAGATGAAATCCAGGCCTCCACAAAACAACACAATTTCAGCATCCCGCAAGCGCCGCTTCCCCTGCCCTCACGACTCCTGTCCCCGCAACTTCGGTTCGCGAAATGATCTCGAGCGACACCTCGCAACACGCCGACATCGCGATAGTGCATTGGAGCCTCTTACACAATACCGGTGCCGGGTTTCGTGGTGCAAGCGAAGACAGGACGGCTTCGCCAGGAAGGATCATCTAGCAAGGCATATGGAGAAGATGCATCCGGGAGTGAGCGAAGAAGTTTCACAACCCAATGAGCTCTGTTCCCACAACGTTACCTAACAGCACGTGATGAAGTGCCGCAAGAAAACTCAATGAGCTTGTTACGATACCGGTCCGGTCATTCTTATGAAACAAGTATACAGGCTCGCTTTCGCAGAACCGTTTATGCATCTCACATGTATTTTCTCAATATACTTAGCTTATCCATCCCAGTCGATAAAGCCCGTACTCAAGCTTATTCCTACCTAAATCCCTATCTTCTTACCCCCTTCCCTCGTTCTCACAACGCTTCGACACTACCTTCCAGAAAGGCAATGTCTTCCCATCCCTTTTACCAACCCGACCCCCTATTCTCCTTCCTGCTAAACAGAACAAGCAGCCAAGTTCCATCAACCTACAGAGTTTGAGACCCCCCGCCTGGATAGGCTGCACATAAGGATGGTAGTAACAGATTATATAAAACGAGCTTATTAGAGGTGCTTGGCGCGTCCTTTTGCACCCAGGGAGGCGGTGTAGCTAGGAGGAAGGGTACTGGAGCTTAAGATAGCGGATGGAGATATATTACCTAGCTATCTACCTCAGTAGTGGGAGAAATGGATACGCTTTTCTGCCGCGTTTGCTGTGACTGCACGATAAGGAAGGTACCTTGTGCGACTCTAGGAAAGGGAGGGAGGCTTGAAGGGAGTTTTGCACATGGATGTGATTATGTGGGTGATCTTGTTGAGAGCGGGCGTCTGCAGGAGAAATGCAAAGAAGTGAGGAGAGTTCAGGCATAGAGGCTAAGGATTGGGCTGGGGTTCAACACGACACTAAACACAATCCACCGACGCGGTAGTGAGCCAGTCTCTAGGCTGGGCGATGGATATCAAGATTGATTCTGGAATCAGAGGCTATTTTAGTGTAATTACACCCCGAAGCGCAGAAGCGCTATCAGACCTTCTCGGTCGCCCCCTTTTGACAGACTCGTAGACCCTTTTCCGCGGTCATAGTGCACGTCGTTCAAAGTATGTGCAAGGAGTGTCTCCTTGAGCTCTTTCCCCTCCATTGGATTCTGCTCGTGGCCCCTGAGAACCTGTCGATTGAATTCTTCTTCTGCAGCGTTACTCCAACTTGTTGCGATGCGGAATATCCAATCCGTGTGCCTTTGCCAAATCTCTATCTGCTCTAAATCTTGGCGTTAGCAATTTGCCCTTCTACAGCGACAAATGCGACGAAACCAACGGCAATCAATAATAATATACTCTTGACACAAACGCATCCTCTTACATCATGATATCCGGATCTGGCTGCCACAGTATCAGATCCTTGTCCGCCGTAGCGAGCATATTGAACTTGGGGTTGTATCCGACAATGGCCGCTTTGCCGGGGCCAGTAAGATGCTCCGCATTGGTGTACTTGTCTGATGACGGGTCCCTCGAGATGTCCCAGACCAGGAGGCCATCTTCAGCACTGCCGCCAATAAGGTACTGTCCATCTGGCGTCACAGCCGTGTCGCCTTGTCCAAGGGCTTCAGCAACTCCATTCGCACCATTCGTGCCCCGCGTCGGCACACCCGCGCTCGGGCCTAGACGTCCCGTGTGCCCCCTCTTACGGTAGGCAAAGTGCTTCAGACCGCCGTCGAACGCGTCGAGTACGAAGTGCCCATTTCCCGTGGTGCTGACAATCAGGTGCTTGCCATCATTTGTGAATTCTAACTTGGACCATTCTCCACCATTAGGTCCAAGGTATTGCTGCTCCAGCCCAGCAAGGTCAAAGGTCGCAAACGGGATCTTATCATAGTTGCGGACATCATAGAGGAGGACGGCGTGACCGAGCTGCGAGGCGACGGCGATGACAGTTGCGGACGGATCGTAGCAGGCGAGGTATGCGCCGTGCAGATTCAGCATACCTGAGAAATTGGGCGACTGCAGGTCCCACAGCCGGACTGTGTTGTCCTTGGCGCACGAGATGAAAGTATCGGACGACGGACATAGGGCAATCGAGGTCACGGTGTCGGTGTGGCCCTTGAAGTAGCGCGTGAACGAGTTGTCGTGTGTTGAGAAGAACCGTATCGTATCATCGACTTTTGTGCTCGCGTAGATGATGTTTTGCGCATGGTGCGAGAAGCGGGCAAGGTGGACGCCATACTTTTGGCTGTTGAATTCTTTGGCGTGCTTTCCAAGGGTGGTGTTGTAGATCTGAAGCGTGTCGTCGTCGCGTGCCACAACGGCGAGGTCGCCCGTGTCGTCGAAGTCCAGGGAAGTGACCGAGGTGCGCGCATTCGGAGGTTTGAATTTCTGGAGCTGTTAGCTGAAGGCACAGGCGTCGGAGTACAACCAAAGCGTACCTTGGCCGGTCGGAAAGCAGTTATGACGTCGCTAACTTTCTGTGTCGCCTGTCCTGGCGGCGGCGGAGGAGGCCCTGGCGTGCCCGAGCCTGTCGCCATGGTGTAGTTGCTTCAGGCTACCTGCAGGGCTGCAGCATGTCTTCTTGTCGCGGCCTGCAGGCGTTAGCAGCCTCGAAGTGATCCACCTGTGCTGTTTTCGCGCGTGTAGGTGAATGCGACACGCGAATAATTGCTGGAGCTAGGACCCTTGTTCTTGGCGGCCTTGCAGCTTTAGCCTGCCGCCAGCGCTCCGGAATCGGTCTCGGTCCATGGTCCGGGGTTTTCCATCTCACAAAGATTATTTGGACCAAGCTTTCACTGGTAATCACTCATCGTTCACTCGTCTCGCGTCAGCAGCAGCTCTTGACTGCCAAACCTCACAGCACGTTGCAATCGCTTGCGCCTTGCAAGACAGGTATCCCGTAGTCACAAGTTATTCAGAGAGTGCCGGTCGCGCTTTCCTGTTGTTCCGAGGGAAGGAGCGCATACGCAATAGCTGAGAAAGCTCGGAACAGCACATCATGTCCACGACATTAGGGTATGCATCTGCACATGCAATGGCATTTCTTGGAAGCTCACAATCCCCAGATCCTTCATTGCTGGCGGCATTGCAGCGTGCGGCGCGGTAACGGTTACACACGGGTTCGAGACGGTCAAGATTCGGTATGCGACACCGGCTACAACCTTCGCAGCTTTCAGCTCACCAACTTCAGATTACAACTACAAGGAGAGCTGCAGGCGAAGAAGGATGCTCCGCGGTTATACAGAGGCGTTTTCCACGGCGTTGGCGTCATTCTGAAGAACGAAGGGCCCAAAGGCTTGTTGCGAGGGTTGTCATGCGCTGTATGAGAGCTTACATTAGGCTTGCATGCGCAATGGCTGACGCGAATGCAGTATGTCTACCAAATGACCCTCAATGGCTGCCGGTTAGGCTTCTACGAGCCCACGCGCAAGTTCCTCACCAACGCCATCTATAAGGACGACAAGGTCCAATCATTCGGAATCAACCTCTTCTCCGGCGCCTCTTCAGGTATTCTCGGCGCGGCCGCCGGTTCGCCCTTCTTCCTCGTCAAGACGCGGTTGCAGTCTTACTCGCCCTTTCTTCCTGTCGGAACCCAGCATCACTACAAGAATGCTGTCGACGGCATGAGCCAGATCTACCGCAGCGAGGGTATCAAGGGTCTATACCGCGGAGTAGGGCCTGCGATGATCAGGACAGGCTTCGGTAGCTCGGTGCAGCTTCCTACATACTTTTTCGCAAAGAGGCGGTTGGTCAAGCATTTCGGAATGGAGGAGGGCATGCCGCTGCACATTGCCAGCAGCACGGCGAGCGGCTTCGTTGTCTGCTGCGTTATGCACCCTCCGGATACCGTCATGTCGCGCATGTACAATCAGACGGGCAACCTCTATAACTCTGCGTTCGATTGTCTGTACCGAACCGTCAAGACGGAGGGTCTTCTCGCGGTTTACAAGGGCTACTTCGCACATCTGGCGCGCATTCTTCCGCACACCGTACGTTTATCCAAATTTGAGCTGTACCTGGGCATTGTAACTGACATCAGTAGATCTTGACTCTCACACTTGCGGAGCAAACGAACAAGATGATGCGCAGAGTCGAAGACAGGGTGCTCTCGCCCGAGTTGAAAGCGAAGTTATAGTACAATTTCCTTGCCATCATTCGATCAAGCATTTCTCTTATCCCTTGTAAATATACCTGGTACGATAACCTCTTTATGGTGCATAGCGAGGGCGACTTGAGCGGTTCAGTCCCTATGGTTTGCGGTTAGAGTGCGGGATCGTAGAAATGGAGCAAATGCAACATGTTCAGCAAAAGTTCGCTCGGCTCTCGGCTCAAATGCCAGCGCATCGTCTTCCCCTGTTTCATCCCAGAGCCTGAGGGTTCAACTCTGGTCCGTCCCTTAGAAGCACGGATCAAGGTATCAACACATTCTTCAGTGTAGCTGCAAAGACCGATACAGACACATTCACTGAGTCTATCCATGGAAAGATACTACGTTGAAGTTACAAGCCAAACCCTCCGTCGACAATTGCGGCTTTCGATATTCTGCGACATAGAAGTACGACCGAACAACGACCGCCATCCTAGGGCAGATCACCCAAACACCTCAACTACCCACCAATAGCATGACAAGCGTTTGTCCTCCCATACCATTCCGGCAAGCCAAGGCCGAAAGTCGATACTTATCGATAATTCACCTGCTGCTAACTCTTACCGAGGTGGGCATTGTACAGACCTTGCGCACACCAGTGCATACTTCCACCACTATGCGTTCTATTCTTGCCAGCGCTAATAGCCCTAAAGCTTGCTGCCGTTTTATGTCGTATCGGCAAAGGTACATGCCCCGCCGAGGGACAAATTGACGACCTTTGAGATAAATACATGTCGTCTCGCTATGCTTTTGGCTACATCCCTACTCACCGTCGCTTCAACGTCGTCTTGTTTTCGTTCTATAGTAATACAAGCAACTTCTCAGTTGCGTCCACTCGCTCAAGATGAGATACCTCGCCCTCGCCGCCCTCACATCAGTAGCCACTGCCGACTATGTCTGGCCCGGACCCAATGACCACATGGAAGACCTCCTCTACCTCCAATCCGGCTTCAACCGCTTCGGCTTCGTCGATGGCATCTTAAGCTGCGCCTTCGGACAGAATGTACGCGGACGTCAGAATTCCGCAGAATGGATACGCACCGCATACCACGACATGTCAACGGCCGACGTTGACGCTGGAACCGGAGGCCTCGACGCATCTATTATGTTCGAAACCATGCGGGATGAGAACAAAGGCAGTGCTTTCAACAACACATTCGGCCATCTGCACAGCTTCCATACTACACGCTCGACCGGTGCGGATCTGCTTGCGCTGGCGGTCGTCGGGAGCATGAGCGTCTGCGGCGGACACGACGTACCTCTACGCGTGGGACGGATTGATGCTACCGAGGCCGGAAGAACCGGTGTCCCCGAGCCGCAGCAAGATCTCGAAACACACACAAAGATGTTTGCCATGCAAGGATTCAATCAGACGGAGATGATTGAGCTTGTGGCATGCGGACACACACTTGGCGGTGTACATCACGAAGACTTCCCGGAGATCACCGGCGACGATACCGAGGGGAACGTCACTGCCTTCGAGTACGACGACTCACAATTCACCTTCGACAACAAGGTCGTCACAGAGTATCTCGCGAACAAGACCTCCAACCCCCTCGTGTCCGGCGCAAATGACACCATGAACAGCGACAAGAGGATCTTCGCGGCAGATGGCGGCGCCACAATGCGTGCTCTATCCGACGCAACGCACTTCCAGTCCCGCTGCGCTACCCTCATGGCTCGCATGATCGACACCGTACCCTCCACTGTCACCCTCTCTGAGCCCCTCACTCCCATAGACGTAAAGCCGTACGTTAACACACTCGCCCTGAACGCGAACGGTACCGTCGACTTCTCAGGCTACGTCCGCGTCCATTACGGCGGAGACACCGGACGCTCCGCCGACGACCTCAGCGCATCTATCACGTATGTTAATCGTGCGGGGAAAACGGTGAGCAAGCCTGTGCAGGCGGTAAGGCCGACTTGGAGAGACGGGACGGCTACCGGCTTTGGAGGCATCAGCTTTGTGTTCTTCGAGTGGGACACGCAAGTTGATGCTGAGGAGGGTATCAGTGCGTTTAACATCTTTGTTACGACTAAGAGTACGAATGAGACGGTGGAGTACGATAATGGGGGTAAGGGGTTCCCTGTGAAGGACACGGTGCTCTTTCAGCAGAAGCAGTCGTGCCAGACTTTTACGCAGAACGAGAGCGGAGGGTATGACGGGTCGTTGACGATTGCGGCTGCTGTGCGGGATGATGCTATCGACAATACCTCGGCCTCGGAGCTGGCGTTGCATTACGCGATGCACGTCCCTCAGGGAGCGGTGCTGGAGCGCTTGGAAACGCAGGTGGAGCCGTTTGTGCAGACGGAGCAGAAGATCGCTGGGTACACGCTTTTTGAGGTCAAGAACATGGCCATCAACGACAAGAGCGACAGCACGACATTCGACATCAGCCTTGGTGGCGAGACGGCAGTGGAATTCCAGAAGACGGGCGCGCTGAGCCAAGAAAGCTGCGTACCGCTCGTGCAGTAATCTTCCTACAATCTTACAGACGGATAGTATAGTATAGAAAAGACGGCCATATAGACAGATACAACACGTATTGTATATAGCATAGCACCTAACGAATCTCCTAATCAACACGCCGCCTCCTCCTCAACCCTGCATTCACCCTCCCTCCTCCACTCTTCGCGCCCCGGCCCCTCCTCCCAATTCACACCCTCCCACCTCTCAAATATTGTCCGCGCAGCAACCTCCTTCCCACTCTTTCCCTCCATCTTCACAATCCTGTACGCCCCCTCCATCGCATCCACCAGCACGCGATCCCCGTCCGCATAACCACGTTATTAACACTCTGCAGCACCCTCGCGATGATCTCGTTCGCAAACCATTTATTACTTTGCGGGAGGAGGGTCAGCAGCGCGAAATACCAGCCTACGAGGACGAGGGCGCGCGGCTCGTGGGCGCGGACGAGGGAGAGGAAGTCTGGGGTAAGAAGGTGGGGAGGACGAAGATGCGGACGTGGATGTCGGGGAGAGGCGGTGGTAGTAGAGGGAGAGGAAGATGGGGAGAGGGCGTGCAGGACGGGGATGAGGATTGGGCGGTGGAAGTCGAGGGGCCGGAGTGGGTGGGGTCTAAGACGGAAAACAAAGTCAGTGTATACTCTTCAGGAGGTGGGGTATAAGTAGGAGTGGTTTTCTTGACTGTTGGCTGAGGGATGGAAGCTTCAGGAAGAGATGAGGATAGAAGGACTGAGTTAGGGAGCGGCAGTACGTACCGACGAGGCGCTGGAGGAGGGCCATGAGGGGTGGTGGGAGGAAGGCCGGGGCAGGAATTTCCCACGTGTCCGACTTTGCTTTCCACGACTTGGGCGCATGTGGGGAGGTGCCGGCATTCATGAGCTGCTGCGGGCGGTGGGCGAGTTTCGAGGTGTCGATGTGGACGCCTGCGCTTTTTGGCGAACCCGAGGCTGAAGCGGATGACGAGCGTGAGGACGAAGGTGTAGGCTCGGAATAAGTATCGTTTGGGGAGTTTGGGTGGTGCCATTCCGCATCTTGCCGTTTGCCGCTGTAAAAGAACCAATCTGGCAGGGGCGTCAGCATTGGGGGCGGAGGTAGCTTCTTTAGCTCCCTGCGGAAGAGCGGGTAGATAGTTAGGTTTTCTATGCCGGAGGCCCATCTCAGTGATGCAAGGATACGCAGCCCTTGCATCATGGTAAACATCGAAGACGCCCATGATAGACATGTTTCGTCGGTGCAGGGAAGGGTTGGAGGAGACACCATGATCATCATCCACATTGAGGTGATGAGGAGGGATTCGTAGTTTTCCGTGGTGATATTAGCGAGTTGTTTGTTGTATGAGGAGAAGGCGCGTTGGCGGTATGCTAGTGACAGAGTCTGATCTTCTGGGTTCTTCTGAGATGAGTGCCCGTGCAGGTGCATGGCTGAGATGCTAAGGATGGAATAGAGCATGTGCTCTGAGGCGATGCAGGATCGGGGAACCCAGTCGCGGTTGATAATGGCGACTTGGTCGCTTTTCTGAAGGCTCATCGATGACCAGACGTTAGTCATGTAGTGGTGCAGATACTTTAGTTCGCTGGTGTTGAGTTGGCCAGAAGATGTATTGACAGCTGGCATGAGCCACATTGGCGTCTCTATGGGCTCGTTGAAGTCGAAAAGCTCGTCGAACAGCTCATCTTCGAAGTTTGGGGAAGTGTCTGACGATGGTGTGGTTTCGCTCTGAACATCTAGTGGGTATACGCATTCCAGCTTTCTCAGGGTGCAGTACGCGCAGGAGGGTTGTCCTTCGTCGCACTATCAAGTGATGAGCGCTATTCCCCCGAAGCAGAGGCCTATGGAGTTACCTTCACTTTCTTCTTCTTACAGGTAAAGCAGCCTACTCTTGACTTCTTGTGTGGTCGCTTCGCTACGAAGCCAGCACTACGTCGCGGCATAGTGGGGTCTCAACACTGACAATGTGGGTCATTTAATAACCGGGCCTGTGTAATGTCTACCCATGGAAGTGGTTCTGCATTGCGTAAAGAGCAGACAAACAACGGGAGAGCGTTGAGACACAAGGCTTAGGGCTTAGCGATCCCTAAGCAGCTTAGCTTCAGCCTTCATGACGCGATGACATTGGCGCCTATCTATGAACCTCTACTCAAGAACCACCGCCGCGGTACAGAAACTTGACTTACAGTAAAAAGGGTATAACAAAAATGCTCGACTCAGGCCATGATGCCCAAGCCAGTACAATATAAAGAAAGGTCGGCCCCCATTCCGTGCTTTTCCAAAAAGGGTAATGCTTGCGATCAATGTTCACCGTCACCCTATTTGGCCTCCCCATTCTCAAGCTGCGACTCATCCCCCAAATCACCCCCAGACCCTTTCCTATACTCCTTCGCTACATACTTCGTTGGCTGCAACACCAGCAATATCACCACCGTTAAGAACATCGGCACAGTATCGAACACGTACAGTGTCCACTCATGCGCAATCAAATATGCCGCATTACCCATCGCATACTCAATCAGTCTGAATATGCAACGGAAGAGCACCAGCGAGCTGACGCTGTATAATATCCACAGAATCTTCCTCCAGTCGGTGCTCGCAGCCGTGCCGTGGGAGGATGGGACGGCAGCTTTGCGCTCCATGCGGATTTGGAAGTCGATAGCTGCAATGAGAAAGAAGACGAAGGTCGCAACTTGGAGAGCAAGGCCGGCGATAACGATTTTCTCGCCCGCAAGCGCGAGATTGAGCTTCATAGTACCCATGATGGAAGCACCTTCAAACATCTTTAGCATCGATACGCGTTCAGTGTTCTGGAGCACGTACCGAATCCTTGAAGCACCAGTGTGAAGATATCTGCTCCGACGAAGACGCGTGTGTACCATCTCGGCTTGATGAGCGACACGTCTTCGCCGCCGGCCAGGACTATTGTGCGTCCGAGCATCATGTAGATGGTAGCTGCGAAGAAGAGGGGCCCGACGAGGAGGAGAGTGCCTTGTGCGATGAAGGGGCCCCATGCTTCGTTGTCGAAGTGCGAACCCGTTCGTGCTGCGTACCCGCCTACTTCGCCTGAGGCTGTCAGAGATTTGTGTTTAGGAGTAGCAGGACTCTGGCTTACATGTTGCACCAACGATGACGAAGAGGAGTAAGTGGTTTCGCGTTCGCAACCATTGCCACAGGAGCAGAAGTGTGAGCGTGAAGAATATGATCATGCCGATTATGGCGCCGGCGAGGGAGGGGATGTAGCGGTACATCTGCCAGTCGAACCCGGCTGACTTGGGAGGGTTTTTGCGAGCCAGAAGATCAGTTAGATGGTCCATTATGTCTTGAGGTCTTCGGTGGTGTTTGAAAGGATTTGTAAAGGAAGGTGCGACTGTGAAGTAGAACTGTAGTGGTAGTAATTTTATTTGTTTATCAGGATGCTTCACGGTGGGTAGATGATAGCTAGATATACATGTTCACAGCCCTCTAAACCCATCGTTACGGCCTTACGCCCTCGTCATGTACATTCGCATTCTCATCTCTGGCCTCGCAATCGCTTAGTTACCCAATTACAGACAGGCTTGCGACTATGCAAGGAAGCTAAAATGCGAAATTGGTGTCAATCGTCAAGTGTAACTTGCATGGCGTTCCTTTCGCATTGGTAGTCCCTGAGCCCTGCGGATCGGCGCTAAGTTCGCATTCGCGGGGAGAGCCAATCAGCGGTCGACAGATCTCCAAACACCATGAGGTATCATCGAGGGGAGAGAGTGTCTATGCCCAGACATGTGCGCGACGTATACGATGACGCCTCATTGGCCTGGAAATAGGTGGGGTCTATATGACGAACATTTTGGTAGATTGCGACGCGAAGAGTGCAGGCATCAAGGTCTAAGGCAAACTGCAGCGCTAGGGCAGAGTTCAAAGCCTGGGGTAAGTCATATATAACCTTTGCTCTTCAAGAGCGTACAGCGCCTATCGTCGATGGTGTACACTTGTGCTCATCAAGCGCATACATTTCTCATCCGGAGGGTATATGGTTGCACACTTAGGAACGTCCACCGATGCGACTCCAGCGCATACAGTTGAGCAAATCCACGGTGCATATGTGTACTTATCAAGTATGGATGACTGTGGGAACCTTCTCGATGATTCGCAATTCGGAGGCCAGCGTGTCCTCGGTCGTGTGAGAGATGAGAGTCCGCTCAGGAGCTCTTGCCGTGACTAAGCCTGGAAGCTTGGCGTCCGAATTTCCACAACCGTGGCCTTGTGAGAGAGAGCTCCCGCGGCCCCTCCCATCCCCAACCCCATTAAACCCGCACCCCTTCTCTTCTGGATCTCGAATTGTCTCTTTTGTCTCTTCTCGGGCTCAGCAAACCGCAATCATGAGCGGCCGTACGTGCTACCCCCTCTCACTCAATTGCAGCGCGGTCGCGCGCCCCCTCCATAATATTCAAGGGTCCTAGCTAACAATTGATGCCATGTAGTACGGTTCCTCGATCTTGTCAAGCCTTTTGTGCCTCTCGTCCCTGAGATTCAGCTGCCGGAAAGCAAGGTCCCCTTCAACAACCGCATAGTATGGACGGGTCTGACGCTCCTCGTCTTCCTGGTCATGAGCCAGATGCCGCTCTACGGAATTGTGTCGTCAGACAACTCGGATCCGCTATACTGGCTGCGTATGATGATGGCCAGTAACAGAGGAACGCTGATGGAGTTGGGTATCACGCCGATCATCTCGTCGGGCATGGTCTTCCAGCTCCTCGCCGGAACCCACCTCATTGATGTCAACCTCGATCTCAAGTCGGACCGCGAGCTCTACCAAACCGCCCAGAAGCTCCTCGCTATCCTCCTCTCTTTCGGCCAGTCTGTCGTCTTCGTCATCTCTGGTCTTTACGGACAGCCCTCCGACCTCGGTGCCGGTATCTGCGTGCTCCTTGTTGTGCAGCTAATGATCGCCGGTCTTATCGTCATTCTCCTTGATGAACTCCTCCAGAAGGGTTATGGTCTCGGCAGCGGTATCTCGCTCTTCATTGCCACCAACATCTGCGAGTCCATCATGTGGAAAGCTTTCTCTCCCACCACCATCAACACCGGTCGTGGCCCCGAGTTCGAGGGTGCCATTATTGCGCTCGTCCACCTTCTCTTCACCTGGCCCAATAAGACCGTCGCTCTTCGCGAGGCTTTCTACCGCCAGAACCTGCCAAACGTCATGAACTTGATTGCCACCGTCGTAGTCTTCGGCGCCGTCATCTACCTCCAGGGTTTCCGCGTTGAGATCCCCGTCAAGTCTGCCCGCCAGCGTGGTGTCCGTGGCTCATACCCTGTCCGCCTGTTCTACACCTCCAACATGCCCATCATGCTGCAGTCCGCTCTGTCCTCCAACGTCTTCTTGATCAGCCAGATGCTGTACTCTCGCTTCTCCGACAACCTCCTTGTCCGTCTTCTCGGTGTCTGGGAGCCTCGTGAGGGCTCAGCTCAGCTTTTCGCTACCTCCGGTGTTGCCTACTACATGTAAGTCTTGCGCGCAATTGCAATTTATGGTATCTAACAAACCCAGGTCTCCCCCTCTCAGCATCTCCGAGGCTCTGTCCGACCCGCTCAAGACCGCCGTCTTCATCGTCTACATGCTCGTCGCCTGCGCCGTCTTCTCCAAGACCTGGATCGAGGTCTCCGGATCTTCACCCCGCGATGTTGCCAAGCAGCTCAAGGAACAAGGTCTTGTGATGGCTGGTCACCGTGAGGAGTCTATGTACAAGGAGCTCAAGCGCGTCATCCCCACTGCCGCCGCCTTCGGTGGTGCTTGCATCGGTGCTCTCTCCGTCGGCAGCGATCTCCTCGGTGCTTTGGGCAGCGGAACTGGTATTCTCTTGGCTGTCACCATCATTTACGGATACTTTGAAATTGCCGCCAAGGAGGGCGACATGGCTGGCCTCAAGGGTATGGTTATGGGCTAGATAATCTCTAATTCAGAGAAAGAGGAAGATAAGGGTGGTTTGTTTCTTAAGCATGGATCTGGGGTCGGGACTGAAAGGGTTGTTGATACGGAGATGCCAGAGAAGCATCGCCGTTGTAAAATATGAATGAAGTGGGAAATCGAGCATCGCGTGCTTGAAACGGTTCTATCTGGTTTGTCTGAGTAGGTCAAAAGTTAGATACCTCAATGGGAATTTGCATACACTTCAATTGTCTGATCGCGTCACAACATATTTTGGTACTACACTACAACTGTTGGGCATTCGCTCTGTGCGTGAAGGACAGCCACACTATGTTATTGCGATATCAACAGCTAGATGTTGCTTAGCAACCCTTGCTCCATCCCAAGAACATGTTTATGGTATTGCTTTCACATCACCAGCTTTCAAGCCTTCTGCTCTATTCACTTTCCCTCCATCCACTCCAATCGCTTTCCCACCCTCCTCCGGCTTCGGGTCCCTCACCATACAATAAAGCATGACTCTTCCGTCCTCCCCTGGTGTTTCCGGATCCTGACACGGCATCTCCCTCACCAAGCGAAACCCAAATCTCTCATATATCGCCGCATTCGGCACCTTCCTACTACTCTCCAAATAGCACGGCACACCCTCTCTATCCGCCATCCCCAGCACCTCCTCCATCAACGCCCTCCCCACACCCCGTCCCTGCGCCTCAGGCAGCACAGTAACAATATTACAAAAATAATACCCCTTCTCGCTCGTCCACAGCTCCTTCTGCGCCTCCGCCTGCCGCTCCTTCCAGATCCAGTAGCGCCGCGTGGAAAGGCCGCCGCGGCCGTAGTACAGGTTCATTTTTATCTGGTCGAACCAGAGGGTCCAGAAGGAGAGGTAGAGGGACCAGGATTGCGGGGCGGAAGGGGGTGCGGCGGGAGCCACATTGCGCAGCCGAGGATTTTGGAGGGGGCGGAGGAGGAGCGCGCGACGTGGAAGAGGCCGTGGCGGATGCCCCAGCGGCAGCGGAGGGTGAGGAGGCGCGGTTGCGGGTTAGGTCGATCTGGGGTTTGTTAGTTCTTGGACGGGTGGCGGGGAGGGAGGGGAAACGTACTTTCGAGCGGTCGGGGTAGATCCAGTTGTTGTATGGGTCGTCGGCGAAGGCTTGTTGGATTGTGTCTATTGCGCCGTCGATGTCTTCTTCTGTCATGCGGGTGACTTGGATTGACATCTTGAGGTTGTTGGGATGCTCGTGTGGTGGGGGTCGCCGTAGAATGATTGAATTTGCACGTTAGATATTCAAGGTGGCGGAGGAAGGAGGCTTGGGAAGACGCAGCGTGAACAGCGTCTGGAAGATATGCGAGCCATGGCTGTGGGGACGGGTGGCTTTGTGAGTTCAATGGCGGCGGTCCGCAATGCAGATAGGACGATAGGCGGGCTGGGGAAGGCGCACGCGGCAGACACGTGAATGACTAATCGAATGTGGAAGGTCCACGCGGAGAGATGCAGCTACCCGGCTTTCATCCCAACACCTGTGGTATTCGAGATCTTTTCTCTATCACTTAGATGGTATTCGCCGCAGCACTAACGACACTGACAGCCACGTAATAGCCTACGGCAGTACGATGACTGCATGTCCAGGTTTCGACATCGATTTCGACAGGGGCGCATGCGCACTTGAACAGCTCGTTTTCCTGATCCTACAAGATGTTTCAAGCTGTGTTACAATGTCTGGTCAAGCTTGATCAATGGAGGAAATTGGAGATGGACAACAGCCACCCATGTGTCCGAACATGAAGACAGAAAAAAGACGTCGAAACCCAATCTGGCCCGGCGTGTCATAATCATCTGAATATACAGACAAGTTTTCCTAGAGAAAGTCTGACTTCTTTAGAAGAAGAGAGAAGGCCTGAGTTTATTTTTGTTCGTTGACCTCCGACAAGCTAAAAGCTTCCCAAATTTGGAATGGCAATGATGCAATCCAATAAGGGAAGGTTCTCATGGTCTCTTCGAAAATACCGAGCCATCAGTTGAAGCGATGTGTGTACGAGTAGAGACCGCAAGACCGAAGCATTGCAAGCTCAAACGGTCTTCTTTGCCGCGCTTAAAACTAAGCTTTACAAACAGTCAGCTGTCAGCGCTGTAATGGGCACCCAGTCAGTACAACGCCAGTAGGGCCATGGCTTACTTCCGTTCATCCGAACATTCACGACTTTTAAGGGGTTATGGCGGTTCTACCCTGCACGGCCGGTTGTCGACATAATGTTCAGCTGAAGACTCGGCGTGTTAACAGACAGAGAGGCGATGGCACTTCTGCGAATAGATTGTAGTAACTGTCTCTCTTGATTTCTGTTACCGCAGACACGCCCATGGATCACGTTCAGTTTATTCTCTGACGATTGCTCCACACTGCGCAAACAAATGGTGTCACTCAACAACAATGAGGCCCGTACGAAGGAGACCAAGGGTTCCACTTGATGACGCGCGTACAGAGCTGAGAATCCTCGAAACTGAGTGCACCTCTGCGTGGCAGCTGGACGACATTTGAACCACATTGACTCTCTGTTCCTGCGCCACTTAGCTGCGGTATGCGACCTCATCGGCCTACTCGCCCGTTCTGGGGCGAGTCCAAGCTTCCAGTATTCATTTAAAACGACGGGCGCTTTGTTCTCTCGTCTTCTGCATTCGAGTTCTCTCGACAATAGTCGTCAGAATCAGGGACCAGATGCGCGGCGCTATAACGGCGTAATTGTGGATTTGGCAACATTTGGCGACAGGGCTGGAGTAACAACCTTGAGAGTCAGTAAACAGCCACACGCTTGGGCCCGCGGCGCCCCCCGTTGAAACGACGATCTGAGGCTTAAGTTCAAGTTCACACGTGTAGTTTCTGCCCATTGACTCATGGGTAAGGTGGCTGGAATCGGGTGATCTGCGAGTAGATGGGGAGAGCCATGGAGGATGAGAGGAAGAAGGTCTGCGCACGATTATCCGAACGTCTCCGGCGATGAGTCCGTTTGGCTTGACTGCGCTTGCCAAGACCGATATTGTCGTCTGCAATTTCTCTGCGTTTGGAGAGGAAGATAACGCTCATGGTTCCCTCGGCATGTGAACCTCTATGAGCCCGAGGTCGAAATGCTGACTTTCGTAAACAGCTTGTGTTGCATAGTGCGTAGGACCACACGAAAGAAATGCCGGCCAGTGACTGCTAACTCAAGCACCACCTTTAGCGATGCAAAGAACCTGAAAGAGTGGTGAGGTGTGGTCGAAGAGGTTCTGCGACGCTGGTATCTGTTCAAACATACTTCAATAGTCGCTATGGTGATGAACGGTTGTTTCAGGGTACTCTCCCAAGGAGTCCGCCTTCCAGCACAAGCCTACATCACGCCCGGCCATTGACGTCGAAGGTCCACAGCTCGCTCGCTGTCAACGCGAATTCTGATCGCCTTCGAGAGAAGTTATCGAATTCTATCAGGCTTCCAGCTTACGTTTCAGCGCTCCGAGGAAGTCTTCCATCTTGGCATCTTCGACTGTGGATAGACGACCTTGAGTCAGTCCTAGGCACGGCCGCTCCCATACGTCACAAACAACTCTCAGGTGGGAAGTTCCGGTCAAGATAATCGCAAAGAGATTATGATCGAGATCCAACACGTTTGAAAGAGTGTACACCGCTGAAGATCAGCTTCTCCTTTTCTTGGGCGCATCTCAATGAACGGATTCATCAGGGGAAAAAGCAGATAATATGACGAAGAGCCGCTGCGCCGCAGAGCCGCAGTAAGCACATTAAATCGCGCGTAAGTCAGCGCATTCTTTGTCTGACAGGTACCGTGCCGCAAGTATGTAACCGCCTGTCAACGTTGTGTTTAAACCCTGAGCCATAGTGTGGGGTTATGAAAATGAGGATCGACTATTTTCGTGGATTTCGCCGAATTGGTGCAGGTGTCAGCTGTGGGGCGCCGATCTACAGCTTCAAACCGCAAGGTGTGCCATTATTTCCGAGCCATCCGCACCTCAATTGGTCTTGTGATCGGCGAGAGATGGTTCTCCTTTACCGATTTTTGAGGTCTCTTTTGGAAAGCTTCATGTGCACGGCCCTCAATAGCCACATGCACGACAAGCGTAGCGTGAGCTCGACGGTTGTGATAGACGCTAAGTTTGATGAAGGGTCCTAATGTGGTTGAACGTTGTCTATCATCGTTGATGATGGTGAGCATATGATGGAGGAGGTATTTAAGACACGCCTGTACCGCAGTGTTGCCATCATCATCAGCATCCTCACTCAGTCAATCGTTCAGACAACTCACACTCTTTCATCCCACTTACTACACTCTTTACTTAATCTTCTAATCTAATACCCAACTATCAAGATGCGTTTCATCAACTTCGGCCTTGTCGCCCTTTCTTCCCTCTTCGCGGTCTCTTCCGCCGCTCCTACTGCCGCCGTCCCGGAGCTCCCTGCCGTCCCGGAGCTCCCTGCCGTCAAGGACATCAACGTCAAGCAGCCCCTCGTTGAGGTCGAGGCTCTTGGCCGCCGTACCGACGATGTTGTCTGCTCGAAGATCCAGTCCACCCTCGTCGAGGTCAAGAAGCACACTACCATCATCAACTCCACCATGTCGAGCGTGCACGGTGTGACCGAGAAGGCCGAGAAGCTTAAGATCATCACCCTTGTCAAGTCGGAGGTCACCATCATCGTCCAGCTCCTCACCACCCTTGTTGGCGACATCACCGTCCTCCTCACCGATATCACCACCATCACCGGCTCCGTCAAGGATGAGATCGTCAGCGTCGTTGTCGAGCTCCTCATGGAGATCCTCCTCACCCTCAACAGTGTGCTCTCCACCTTGAAGATCAGTAAGTCCACATCCACCTGTACCCATGTCTAGTCACTGACCATCTGTAGCCATCTTCGAGCTCCTCGGCCCTATTGTCTTTGCCCTTCTCGCCGTTATCATCAACCTGCTCGCCATCCTCAACGTCGTCATCGTTGACCTGCTCAAGATTGTCTTCGGTCTTCTTGGCGGTGTTGCTGGCATCCTTACCAACGTCCTTGCCGGCGTTGGCTCCCTCGTCTCTGGTCTCCTCACCGGTCTCGTCGGTGGTGCTCTCGGCCTCGTCGGTGGCATTGTCGGCTGCATCTTGTAAATACCTGCACCGTAGCAAGCCATACGAATCTAGAAGGTGCCGGACGGTGTTGTAAATAGAAGGAGTCAGTCATATGTATCAGGCTTTAGCGTTTGGTGCAGGAGAAAGGTAAATCACTACGGTGGTTATGGAAGTTGCTAGGCAAGCTAGCTCCTTCCCCCTTGCGTAACGCTTGTGTGTATAGATACGTCTAATAAGAAACATTGTTACCGACATTGGTCTCGCTGATTCTTTTTCTGACTTCTCTTGTGCATTCTTTTAACATGGGCTCATGTTTCTCCAACGCGGGCATCAATGTCTGCACCTAATCATCGTTTTGAGGGCACCAGTCTTACCACTCGTACACACAGCAGGAGCATCCACGAGGGTTGCCTAAAGTTACGTGCTAATTGCTGCCTGGAGGGACACCTGTAGGTAAGTGCTACCCAGATCCCAGCACGCTTTTGAGTAAACCCGCACGCTCTCTTGCCGCAACAGGCGCTGACGGCGACAGATACCTACGATATAGATGGATCCTATGGGAGGAAGACGACTTCACCTTAAGTTTTTTGTTTAAAGAGAATATTGAATCTTTTTTCAACCCTACCATTCCCAAGTGAAGGCTCTCCACCTTTACCTTCACCTCAACAAGTCGCGTCGCGTCGCGACCGCGTCTCTCATTATGGCAATGTCGTCATGTAAACAAAGGCTCCCTCTGGTAGCTCACAGTCGCGACAACAATAAGTTGAACAAAGGCTTTCGCGGTCGGCAGTTCACGACCCCAGCAACAACGCGCTCAACAAAGGCTTTCACCTGGGGCTTGCGACCACCATAACAACAACAACACGTCTCGCGTTGAAAAACCCCTAGTCGGAACTTTTACAGCCATAAGTTGAGCGCAACCGAACCCTGGTATAGCAATGCATACAGCAATGGCCACGAACTTTCGACCTTCGTCTAGAATGGCATTCAATCCCGCGGCGGCTCCAATGCACGCACCTTACGGCTTCCCTACGAATGAAACTCAACTAAACGTACCTTGCCATACGCTCCGGATGAATATCAGAGGATTCCACGAATTCCTCGTCGGACGTCTCGAGTAAGTGAACATACACAGACCCTCACCTTGCGATATTTAGAGCTGACAACTGATCAGATATCTCTCGCAAGAGATGCGATGGAGTCTGAGGACCACTCTTGACCAGAACGGCTGGCCACTCCACCTACGAGCGATGGAAAGCGCGAGCTTCCAGCTAGAACCTGGTGCATCGTGGGCTCCTGAAGATCAAGACGCGCTTATAGTGTTGTCAAAACACGAAGTGAAGACCGAGGACATTGCTCAACTCTTCTTCGAGGGTCGCACCGTCGAGGAGTGCCAGCTTATGATCGACATACTTCAAATAGGCTTACCAGTTGAGTCGGTCGAGGGCCAGACCGAAGGGCATTCGGACTTTAACGCTGAGCCTGCATCGTCGAAAGCCATATCATCCGTTCCATCTGGCACACGGTCAGCTCCGACGCCTTTCACGAAACGGCTAATCGAGGTCACATCAAGCGCGTCACGAGCGGGCTCTACTCCGCCTTGCACAGATAGTCGCAAGGATTGGGACCAAGCAGACCGCGATATAGTCTGGAACGCGATGCACGAAGGCCTCACACCTACGCAGATCCAGGCCCAGCGTCTCCCTTTCCGATCAGCGTCAGCGATACGAACACGCATGTCGAAGGAGCGGAAGCTTCGATCGAGTGCGGAACTCAAACATATCGAGAATGAGGAAGACGAAGAGATGACGGAGCAACGCATGCAGATAGACCTCGACGACGACGGCTCAGAATACGCAGAAGACACAGAGCCAGCCGCTCAGATCCCTCGCAACCTCCCAACTGCGAGGAAGACCGTCCCATCCAACAGCACGCCGAAGGCGTCCCCAAAGAAGCCACAGCCACAACCATCCCTGACTCCGATCCGCACCAAACTCATGAATTCTCTCGGTCTCTCCTCAGAGGATAAGAAGGAGTTGAGGAAGGCGCTTAACAAGACAAGTTGGCCTACACGGTTCATGTCTGTGGAGGAGTACAACTCTCCATTACCGCGGAATGGAGCTAGGTGGACGGAACAAGACACTCAGGCGCTAGGATGTATACGGGAAACGACCCCTTCGCTGCCTTACAAGCTCATCGCCAACTTCTTTCCCGGAAGGTCCGAGACGGCCATCAGACATCAGTACAATACGAGAGTCCACCCGGGTCCGAAATAAAGCTCCTGTGAGGTTGCAGAAGCAGAAGTCTGGGCAAGTGGTAGGCGTTTGAGGCTAGTGCGCGAGGATAAGGGTTGCATTTGGGCGTGGAAAAGACGGTTCGAATGTTTTCTCAGATCCGACTGAACGAGCTTGGACTTGAGCCGTTTTGGCGACCGAGCATTGCATTGATGGTGGCTTGGATACAGAGCTTGTGTAGGTCTTCTTTTGGCATCATTGAACACACCTCAGCCGGATATAGCCGCTGCGAAAGCAGGTCCATACTGCGGGCCACCAGTTTGGTCTCACGGGTTTTTGCGGAAACGATAATGAAGTCTAGAATAGATTGATTCATAATTCTAACGGTTGAGAACTCACAAAGGTGTACATATATATTGTGACCTCATTCATTCCCAGTAACATTTGACGGCACGTACAGAGTAACTTGCCCAGCAAAGAACAACACTATTGAAAGGCCACCTACAACAGAGAAGGCGACCGCAACCTATTCTTATTAGCGAAAATGTCGGCATGGGTGATAATGGGGACATACCTTTCCATCGTCGCTCCACCAATGCTCGTGATCGAGCCGCCGTATCGCAGACCACACGTGCAAGAACAGCCCCACAATCATACATATAGCTGCAGTGGTCAAAAACATCACCGGCATCTGCCATGTATACAATTGCGCCATGCTTGGTCTTAGACGCCCGTTACGCGGCTTTCCCTTGGACTTGGATAAGAGCTCTCGAATCTGTATGCGGCCGTCGCGGTGTGACGACAGGCGGTAAAGGCGGACGGTCTGGTCTGCTGCGCTCAGGATGGCGAATACGGAGAGGACGATGCCGCAGTACCTGTGAGAAGCCAGTCAGTATGTAGGTGCGGGCTTTGCGGACGGTAAAGAGGTGTACGTCGAAACCGTCGCGAGCCCAGATACAGACACTGTTGCTGTAGGAATCGAGTCACAATTGCTGGGCAGCGGTGACCTAGGAGTGTTCTTACCAGGTCGTTCGCACAGGCCAGGGGGATATCTTGCCATTGGGGAGAATGGCGGGCCATGATCCGGTCGAGGTTAGTACGCCGGCTAGCAGGGCTGCCTGCAGTGATGAGTTAGCTTTTTATATGGAAGAGCTAGAATTACGGGGACGAATAAGTACAACGAGCTCAAGACACAGACGAGCCGCGGAAAGGTCTAAGGCTGGAAGCAACGTACGACAACGCCGACGAAGCTCAGCTCGTTCAATCTGTTATCTCTCCAGAGCTCCGTCAGTCTATCTCTTTCTTCTTCGTCCTCCGTGTTGAGGAGGATCTCAATTGGGTCATGTGTCGAAGCGCCAGGGGCATATACGCCGCCCCAGAAGAAATCCAGCCAGCCTGGTAACCCAGAGTAGGTGTTGCGTTTGCGCTCGTGTTCCTGCTCTTCGGGCGTCGAATCTGAGTGTTGGATCGTGGAACTGTCTGTGTTTGTGTTTGTGCTGGTGAGAATGGGCGTAGTGCTTTGGGCCTCTGGATCGTGGTTTCTAGATCCACGGGTATTTCTTTGTGAGGAATTCTTGGGGACGGTTGAGTTCACCATGGGACCCATGATGGGAATATGAAAAGGGTGGAGAGATGGCTAATGAGTAGCCTCTGACAGGATAAGCTTGAGTACAGAAGCCCAGTACTCTGTAAAGCATCAGGGAGAGAAAAGTGTACTTCTGTACGTGTAAGATGATTTCTTTTGGGCTGTTCACGTGTAGTTGTGACTAGCGTGACCAATGACGTATCAAGCGTGCAGCAGCGTCGACCAATGACCAACCTTTATAGGGCGCCATCTCGCCCTTCGTCGTTGTATGGAACAAACTACAAGATGGACTAATCTGGATCGCAGGAGCGAAGACTTAACATGTTCCAGGCCTCCATGGTGTGGGCCTTAGGTAGTCTTTATACATGCAGCAGCATGGGTGACAAATTATTGCAGTATCCCAATCTGAAAAGTGTTTGCTGTATATCCCAATACTCTATACACCAATCATCACGATTATGGTAGTTACGCAAAAGATTCAGCTGATACTGTGGGAACCGTCGTGGTTGATGTACTAGTTCGAAAGAGGAAGCGACCGTGATGACGCGCACCAACCAAAGATTAGCCTCGGAACTCATCTAGCCCCTCTTCCATCTCCATCATTCTACACTTCCCGACCAGATATATGCAGGCCTTTGCTCATCGTGCATTTTGACATGTTCTGCTGCGAGAGCGAATCCGGTACCATCCTATTCCCAACTTCCAATTTGTATGGTAAATGAAAGATCCTCATTATTGCCTAACGCGGCGCGCCGACCGAAAGAGATCGAGTATGAAACTAGCAGCGAAACGTATTGTAAGATGGGAAGAATGAACTCGCAATTTGATCAACGTATGAGTAATGAAAGCTAATAATGGCGGTATTGAGAATTTGAATAATTTTGGCTTTGGTGCGGTTGAGCCGGGTAAGACTGAGTCTGATAAGGTTGCGCTGAATAAGCCTGAGTCTGGTAAGATGGCGACTGCTGATTCTGAGCTGGATAAGATGTCGAGTGCCGTGGATGAGTTTGGTAAGTTGAGTGCTGAGGCTGAGCTCCAGAAGACAACGTGTAGGCAGGCGTCTGGCCTTGAGACTCGATCATATTCTCCTCTCTGTAGTATTGAAGAAGGAGGCTGAGATATCCAGGGTCGACGTCCCCTATGTCTTTAACTTTCACGTTCATCTCGACTAGGTACGCTTTCCCGTAGTGCAATCGCGACGCTGGGTCCATTCGAACGCTATAATCATTTGGGTTTGGATTGACGCAGATGGATTCTTTCACAAGACCACGCTCTTGTTCGCCTGTGAAGAAGGTCGGAGTCGTCCCGGCTAAATAGACTATGGAGTGCTGAGATGGTATGCAGCCGTTTTTGAGGGTGCCTCTCTTGGTATACGTGGATATAGGGCTGAATTTGCGCCTCAGCATGTGGGAGGCAATTGGAGGTAATTTACTTTAGGAAATATCTCACCATGCATAGACGAAACCCTTTCGAACTTCGACAATTACAAATCTTCGAATTTGAGAGAAGGCTCTCTCTCCGTACTTCACGAGCGAAATGTTATCGCTGATTGGCAACAGCTCATTTGCACTGGCTGCTTGGACATGAAGCATGGAGAACACCTGCAGCGACACCACCAACGTTAGCAACGGCACACTTGGATAGGCCCCAGACTAAAGAGTCTAACCTTGCCGAGCTTGAAAAAGCTATACGCTTCAGGGCCGGTTCTCATCCGATAACCTAAGTAAGTAAGCACCTCCATTCGAACCCGGTTCGTGACGACTTACTGGGGTCTAGCCTTTCATGCTCTCCTTGTTCAGGTGTTCCTTGGATGAAGTCTGGATTCGTCCTTACACTCCGGGGTTCTGTGAGCCCATTTGTCAGTTACTATCGGGTCTGATATATATTACACATACCTGGTTCTGGCACTGTCAAGGAGTTCACGGAATCAAAGCGATGGTGTCTTGGAACCATTAATCATGTGACTTGCGCATCTTGGGACATTCATACGAGTCAACGGCTTGAACCTGGTCCTTTGCATAATGGTAGGTATAATTGCCTGTGGAATGTTAGTTCACTCGAGAAGAATCAGCGTCGTTACAAGGTTTGAACTAACCGGAAGAGTCTGCTGTAACATAGTAATGATCCTGGCGGTTGGGATCCCAACTCCAGATCGATGGAGTGTTTTCCGCCATGTTGTCGACGGTCTGTATTCACTCTGGTTGCAAGTGGTATCTATAAGTAAAGGCTACCGCGATTTCCGCTAAGCGATGAGGCTCTGCAAATATTGCCATATTGATGGAGCAGTCTGAGGGTGTGTGGATGGTCATGGTAGTGGTGGCATGGCTCGACATCTTGCCCACATTAGTGCGTGGAGCATGCAGAGGTCTGCAGAGGTCTGCATGAAACTGTGGAGCGTGACCTCGGTTGCTTGCGCATGTGGCTGACCATCCCTTGCGCCAAGCTTCGGGGCTGCATGGGACGGAATGCGGGCTGCCTAGGGTAAGTACGCTTCGTGCCGCAACCAACCCCCTGGAAATAGGCCACGCCATCATCCCACGGAGAATGAGCACAAACAGGCCACCGATAAGCCTAATCCCCGGATGCCACATACCCCTAAGGCTTTTTATACTTGAGGCGTGTCTAGCTCGCTTCAGCCTCTCAACCATCTTCGGATGCATCGGTCCCTGTCGTCCGAATCATCTATTCTCGAGGCGTATGCAGCCCTGATAGTGGCACCTGTTGTATTTACCCACGTATACGAGACGTTGGCATCCTTGCAGCCAGTGCGGATCCCGAGCTGTACACCAACATCCGAGCTCTTCAACATTTTCGCAAGGCGCAGCCAGACAGTTACCCATCAGTTTCCCAGCAAGAAAACGATGACCACTCCTGTTTCTGCGCTCGTACTCATGCGTCACGACCTGTGCTATGCAAGCACAGGGCTCTCCGACCGACTCGTCTTACAGCTCTACCGACGACATCGAAGCGCTCGAATATGGCCTAGATGTTGAGCTTTCGAGAAGTACTGCGGAGAATGTCGTCAAATCACCTCTGACAACATTACACGATATTACGCTTGCTCAAGAGGATGTGTCACGATCAAGACAGGATCTGCTTGTCGAGCGGTCGAAGACAAGATCAGCCGCAGAAGCCGTGCGGTTGCAACGAATAGTGACTGGAAATGTTGAGGGACAGTTGTTGAACGCGTTGCGCGATGTCTACAACTCCAACGCAGGAGCGTTTCCACCGTCTGTTCCGGAAGCATATGGAAGAGTCGAATATGAGAGAGACCGACTAGGTTCAATTGAGGATCAGTATTTCGAAGCCGAACGAACTCTCGGAGGATCGGAATGGAGGTTCATGCAGAAAGAAGGGATGCTGTATCAGTATCAGCTCCCGGAGTTACTTGCCCTCATGGCACCAAGTTTATCGACTCATGATGCCAGAATGGCTTCGCATCCACCCCCGCCACCCGATCCAGTCCTTCTAGGAGAAAACACTGTCCTGGTACATAACGCTCCTCCTCCGCCACCTCCGCTGCAGATGCTGCCACTGAGATCACGTGAGCCAGAAAATGTAACTGCGCCTTTAAATATGACTGCTATTGAACCGAAATTGAATTTACAGACTGAAGATCAATACAAGTTGGCGGTGGCAGAGCTAGACAGGCTTAGGAAAGAGTTTGACTCATTGCGCCCGAAACAGTCGAAACTATTAGAACAGGAATTTGGGAAACGTATGAATCATGTTGAAGCATCTGTACATCGTGTTCTCTCTCAAGAGCTATTTGAGCAATATAGCGCACTCTTGACAAAACTTGCGGAGCAAGAAGTCGAAGTCCAGCGCCTACGTCAAACAAGCTTGGGACCCCCTGATATAGGATCTGATATGAGTCGACGAATGTCTGATGAATGGATGCTGAGCTATGCAAAAAACAATCCCATGGAGCGGAACATGTATCGGAACGTCCTCGCAGAAGAAGGGATACCGAATTTGGATAACGACACGTTAGACGAATGGTCCGAGCGATTGTGGTTCTCCCAAGATAACACTTCATTGTCAACTGGCGTTCAAGGTTCCATGCAAGCGACTCACAACCCATCTCAATCATCTGCTTCTGAAAGCAATCACATCATCGAGACTACACAGATCAATGCAACATCGGATCTCTATAACACACGAAAGATACAACGCTCCCCCAGAAGTCATCCATTCTCGCCATTAGATAGAGATTTTGCCAAGTCTCGGGACTATCATGAACACTCAGGTTGCTGCTCTCGTGGTGCTGCCAGGAACGACAGAGCATACCCTTTTCCAGCCTCTGCAACACCGCTTCTCTCTATGGGGGATCTATCGACAGCTGGACGTCCGACAGACTTCCCGGATCAACCTTTGCCTCATCGTCGGAGCCAGAGTACTTCGGCTATATTCGAGCGACGTAATACTACAAATGTTTGCGGAAACCCTTGTGTACATCCTCAATCTCTTTCCAGAGAGATCTCATGTTGATTCAAGCTCTTTTTTTCAACATCTTATGCGAAAGTTCCTTGGTCTTACACAATGATAAACATACATTACTTAACACTCTACATTGATAGCAGCTATGGAGCTAGGACAAGCTAGCGAACTTATTCATAGCCATGATATTGATACGAATCGTTCTCGATCACTTTTGCAAATGCGGATTCAATTAGGTGCCAAAGTACTAAGGTTGGCATCGTAGCTCAAGCATGAGTAACACTTTCCAAATCTACACTACTTCGATAGTAGACACCCATCGTTGAGCCTCCTGGGCTCTGGTATCCTTCCATCTGTAAGACACTCTCATCGAGTTCCAACCCGCTTTGCTATGCTCCGAACTAGTGAGACAGTCCTCCTGTACCTCTCCCAGCCCCTGCTTTCTGACCGCTTGTTAGGCAATTGATGGCAACCACGGTAACCATACCGTAACACCATGGCTCATCATCATCGCCCTGCATGCATGCTGCCGACTCATGCTGTCGACGCGCCGGAATGGGGTGCCTGCATGTCATTATTCGATTGGCTCTCGAGTTCCATTTTGTGATTGACGATCGTTGCTCATTGGGCTGAAGCCTCGTATTTTAGACCGTCGTCATTCGTTGGGGACGACCCCTGTTACCCGCGAATCGAATGGTTCAGCCTCGTACGGCACGGAAATCGTATACAACGAGACTCCTATCAACCAAGCACATGGCTCTCGGGTCTGCAAATTATGCAACTGCCGCTCACACCTTCTATTGGCGGAAGCGATTAGGCAAGAAGGCAATCTCCAATGACCGGCGATACGGTTCCATCTTGCGACACGCTGCAAACAGGCTCAGCTCTTGTCTCTCAGCCTGTCAGATCCCGACGCGTGCCGTCAGATGATTTGCTTTTGATGTAGCAGCTCTTATCATGTACGAAAAGGCAAAACATGCGACATCCAAGCAGAAAAGCCGGAGCTGAGCGCAGTGTAATCATACATCGAGGAAAAGCCGAGCAGGCAGGTCTGACCAAACAGTAGGTCAGACGCCCTGTGCCGCATGTGTGATTGTCAGCTTCCCGTTCGACATTGGTGGGTTGCTGCTGTTGGTTCGGTTGCATAGGCTGCCTTTTTGATGCATCAACGCGTCCGGATTTTCCGAATGTTTACGAGCGTTTAAAGTTTACATTCTCATGTCGGAATGTTGAGCATGTCACTGTATGCCTTTGTCATCGTCCTTCAGTTCCAGCGGCCGGTACCTGGCACCGTGCCCTTCCCGCACCCCGCCTTTCATCCCGGTCGATCAGAAACGGCGACCCACTTCGATGCACAAACGAATATCGTGCAGCTCGGCTTCCGTAGCTCCCATGGTAAGGTTACACATTGCGCTTCTGCACCACATCCACGGTATCATCGTGTTTCGGGACAGAAGTTGAGTAACACCTCCTATCTGCATCATGACTCACGTACATTTGTGCGCTACAGGATATCTTCTGCATGCGGGCTAGCTGCGGGGCTACATTCCTGTGATAGGCAGTTCACATGCAACAACAGGGGTGACGGTTGAAGGCAGTATTTGAGACAGGCGTACAAGGAACATCCCCTTACTTTCGTCCACCTCGTACATCGGCCCGGGCCCGATACACTCTCGGGCCGCTCAGAAGACAAACTTGTCGCCGGCCTGGTGTTCCAGTAATGTTTGGTCGATCACTGTCGAACCCACACCTGAGCCTGAATCCCGCCCGGGACTCTACACACGTGCGGAATGCACCGCTCCGTGGGCAATCTATCTGAACCAATCAGGACGAGGCAACGAATCACGCGCGGTATTGCAGTGTAGGACTTTCGATACGTGGGCTTGAATCGGCGATCATCACCAACCCGAGGATTCGGGATTCGTATAACACGCTGACTCTATTGGGCGAATTCCGCGTATTGCGTATAAGTGCGTGGCCGTCCATCTTCTGCACAATTCCAAGCCTCGCAGACGGCTGGCACCGATGGTTCAGCCGACTGTAGTATAGGATGCGAGTACGCACTCACTTCAGGTACTGATCAATATTCTGTAGGAGTCTGGTCCTTGATCTAAGTAGGAGGATGATACTGTCCCCGAATCCTTCGGATGTTGGACGCCTAACTATAATACACAACATGCACTCATCATCTCCATGATTATAAGCCTGACATCTCGGTTTGCCTTTTCAAGGCCAACTCTGTGCCACCCCACGCCTTGACCGATAATAACCTTCCATGATGACAAAAGAGCATGAATCCCCATCATCGATTGTTAGCTCGGGTATTTCCACATTCCGTTTCCGTAGCAGAGCCTCACGTTCCTTCCAGCCGGACCGTACTCGGCAATTCTCAGCCCTGGTTTGTTGCCCTAAAGAAGGCAAAATGCGCTAAGCCAGCCACAGAGAGCGATCGGTCTGCCTGTACATGGGTGTGCATGGAAACCTGCGCTTTGAGACAGAAATGGCAATGTGGAACGCAAATGCATGTGGATGCACAGAGTAATTGTACAGGTGTACAGGATCAACTCTTGGGTGTGCAAGATCACTGCCTGAATTGACAATGACTCGCAAGGACATGTCACGACATGTGTAGCTCGCTCGTAAACCCGCTGCAACTGTCTTCAGCTGGGTGCAGCACTGGTGCTACCAAGATCTGTTCGTGGAGTCTGCAGCCGCTGGAGTGTACACCTGTAGGAAAGTGTTATCAATATGTTTTGTCACCCGCGCACAATCACGAACCTCAACCTCACCAACATCATGCACGGGACGGCGACTTGAGCATTCCTGTAGACTTCGGGAAGTCAGGCTTCGAAATCGACATATCATCTGAATGCTGGGGGCCACGTAGTATCTTCGAGCTACAGGAGCTTTGACATCCAATGATGCATGTGTAGATCATGATTATCTCCCGTAGCTTTGCCTTGCTCAAATGCTAATCACATAGTATTTTCGATGTTGAAGAACTGCCTTATCTGTACTGCTGTCCACATGCCAAATCTTAAGTAACATTGCCCGGGCGAGCCGAGAAACAAGAGCTCTTGTTTGGAAGCTAAGAGTCTGGTTGATGTAACAGCACAGGAAGCTATGAATGACAGTTTTCTCTCGGCACTTTGTTCACGTGCTCTTCGGCAACGTTCGTGGGAATCGCTTTGATGTGACTTGTTGTTGTTAGAGTGGTGATTGATACACAAGTAGAGTAGAGTACAATGTATGTCCCGTAGCTTTGCGTTGCCCAAATGCAAGTCATGCTGTTTCGACTGCAAAGAACTGCCTTCTCCGTACTGTTCTCCACATGCCAAAATCTTGAGTAACATTGCCTGGGCGAGCCGAAAAAGACGAGCAGCTGTTTGAAGGCTACGAGTTTGGTTCATGTAAAGGCACAGGAATCCATGATTTATTGTGTTGGTAGGCTGCTCTGAGGCAGTTTCGGAGAGGATATCTCATATTAAGTGGAGTATTGCCTGTCTAAATCTCTATCGTACAAATTCCGCTGTGTGGTGTCTCCTAATTCGCCTCATCTCTTCCTAGCATAGCTATCAGCTAATCCTTACACCACAGAATCACCGACCCTCCAGCTCATCATAACCCATCCAAGAATCGTACAACATTCTCCGCCACAGCCCCCGGTACATCCAAAGGCGAAAGATGCCCCGAGCCAGCCAGAATCCGTAGCTCCGCCCCTTCAATCCGACGACACACCTCCTCCCGAACTCTCTCAATCGGCTCAACCAAATCCCTCTCAGCAGCCAACACCAGCACCGGAACTGCGATCCTACCAATCTCTCCCGACACATCCTCCCCCATCGCATACGCAGGCCACGCTTCACGAGCCCACTTAATTCCCCTAATCATATCATCGACTACAAATTCCGGTAGGTCTCTCTCCTGAAACGACGCCGTCAACACGTTCTTCGCTACGAAAGTGGCCGACTCCCGATTTTCATACGCATGTATCTGCTGTTCACGCATCTGAGGGGGTAATTGGAGTGGTGTCGGTGGCGCAGGGCTTATGAGTACCAGACCGAGTAACGCCGTTGCTTGAGAGCCTGCCTCATCCGAATGCCATCGTGATGCTACGAGCTGGGCGACTTTGGCACCCATTGATAAGCCGACGAGGACGACTTTGCTGAGATGCAGTGCCCTAATTATGGCTTCGACATCTGAGGCTAGGGCAGTGACGGAGTAGGCTGAGGCGGAATCGGGACCGGTTGAGGTGCCCCAGCCACGGAAGTCGAGAGCGATGGTCTGGTATTTTGCTGAGATGTAAGGGGTGACGAGGGACCAGGTGCGGGCGGAGCCACCCCAGTAATGGAGGAAGATGACTGTGGGTCGACTTTGCGGTTCGTCGAGGCCGGCTGGTTGGCAGATTACTGCGTTGATGTCGACGTCGGGATGTAGGTTGATGAGTTGTTTTCTTGAAAATGCCATTTCTGGATCGGGATGACCAAGTCCGTGGGCGATTGTGGGAAAGCGAAGGATAAGATTTCCTCGGCGTGAGTTGAGATTCTTTTATTCTTGATGCACACTTCTATTTGTCAGACCTCTTGTATCTTGCAAGCGTATCGGTAGTGAGCCGGATCGGCACGGAAAAGTCATTCAACCCGATATCCGATGTCCATCTTGCCACCTTCCAGGTAAACATAGTGCCTTCTCTTTCTCAGAATTGAAACAACTTCTCGAAGTGTTTGGAACACTCAGAAAAGCCACGCATTTTGCGCCTCTGTCTGATCGAAGGCCCAATTCATCATGTCGTAACCATACGGATCGGTCATCCCAGCCGGCATCTGCTACACAAATTAGGACAACGAAATCATTCTGCGCGAACCGCACAACTCACTATAGATTGCCAATCCGCAAGCATCTCCGGCGTAAGATCATCCAGAGACAAGTCCCCCAGCCCGCCTGCATTCTGCTCCGGCACTTCGTTCTCGATCATTCTTTCCAGCAACTCCATTCCACGCTGGAGAGCGCCATCTGCAGCTACAACAAGCGACTTCGCAATCTCATCTTTACTCAAGCCCTTTGCAAGACCTTGTGTGTAAGCTCCCATAAGGCAGACGAAGACGTGTCCCTTGACGTTCGTCTCGCCGGCCTCCATGCACCATATCGACCACGCTTTGGCTTCTTCCAAGATAGCGAATAGGTCTCGCCGCAGGGGTGTAGGGCTCAGACCGTCGTCCTCTTGGAGCTGCGTTCGCATTTCGACGGCAATCATCAAGATGGATTGCATCGTTGCGGAGCGCAGGAAGCCGTGACCGCAGGTGACCATTCGCTGGAAATCGTCTCTCGCGGGGGGTGTTGGGCTATTCGATAGCGGAATTCCGATGCTGTCCGTGATAGGGTATGTTGCGTACCACATCTTCAAGGCTGTGTCAAAGACGGCTTTCCTAGAGTATGCGTACTTCGCGTCGCTCAATGCGGGCATGAAAAAGGGCGCGTGGACAGCGCACAGGTAGCGATTCATAGTAACATCTACCAATCGTATCTGGAAATCTGAAGGCAAGTTGCCGTGGATGGGATTGAACGCTCGTAGGGTGTCTCGTAGTGTCTTGTAAGCTGTTCGCAAGTCCGAGTCAAGTTGGAGAGTCTCTTCGTAAGTGCCACTAGACGTGAAGTTATTCAGAAACCTGGCGGTTGCAAGCCGAGCTGGGAAGGTTTTCTGTAGTATGATGGACACCGATGATTGCGTGAAATGATTTTCAGGTCGAGCAATCGCCTCGTCGTTTTCAAGCTGGTCGTCGTCAAAGTTTCCAGCTGGCTGGGTGTCATAGTCATCTTGACTCATGAGAGGTGGGCAACCTGCGTAGATGCTGGCTTGCAGACAAAGCTCGGTGATGGTAGTCCACAGCCGTCGATGCATTTCATTGGCGAAAAGTGTCCTTGCTGGCATATGGGCCGGATCTCTGTGCAGCCCCAAAAACATGGCTGACCGTAATAGATTCCCTGTGATGATGAACACCATATCTTCGCCCACAGCGGCGGTCTGTCTCGCAAGTAGCTGGAGACAATATATTTGTATATATTGGATGGTAAGTCGATGTTTGAGATGAGGATTGGCAAGGTAGGTCTCCGCTTCGTGGACCCAACGCATGGCGGAGGGACGAAGTGTGAAGTTGTTGTTGTAAGCCGTAGCGCCGATCGCCAGCACCAGCTTCAATTGGATCAAGAAGACGGAGTCGGGCTCGGAATCAGTTGCCCAAATGGCTTCATAGGTTCTCTTGAAAGAAGGAACATGAAGTATTCGATACACGCTCTCGTAGGTTCGGAGGTAACAGTCGACAAGGTCATCCGCGATATTCTTTGGAGGCAGCTCCGGCGTTGGTGGACACGGCCATGGCGGTTCTCGCTGCCTTTTGACCAGTCTAGCTGTTCGCTTGCACTTTTGCATTCCTGTGAAGACTTTCTCGGAGAACGCCTGCTTGGTAGGGTCTTTTGTTTGCATGTCAATCATCTTGGCAATATCTTTGACCAACACTACGCTCAAGTTCATCCAGTGGCTCTGGCCATACATTCGTTTCTTATGCGTAAGGCTGCGATGCATATTAGGCGATTGGCCGAGCGCAGGGTTGCCATGATGAATGTAGAAGGTGCCTCCGATACGGCTCTCTGCTGTCTCAATGCTAGATACTGGTGTCTCTGCCACAGAGGGACCCAGTGGAGTAGATCGAATGGATTTTTTGAGTGAATTCTCGAGCTGATTTTCGAGAAGTGTGATACGACTTCTCATAGTATCCAAGTCAAGACCTGGAGCCGTAGCTGATGTGGTGGTGCTGGATGTCTCATCGCGATCGCTTTCTCGAGAGCGATGAGGTAACACCGGCAAAGTCTCATACTCGCATGCATTATTTCGAGACCGAATACAATTACTGCAAGGCGTCTCTCGATTGCAGCGAATCTTGCGCTGTCTACAGAGAGTACAAGACCTGTGTGACCGATTAGGGTTAGCGCAATGGTAACCCCGACGAGAGTTACACCTACTTACACAGCAGGCCGTCTTCTCCGACGCTGAGGTGGGGTTTCGGACATCCTGGGCCAGTCTCTTATTGACTGTAAATGCGCGGCACAGTATCAAAAAGCTTAACCGCGATCATTTGGACCGGGGCATCTCCGCTTATACCATCGATGACAGAAATACCCGAATTTGCCGATTATGTCCGCCCCGCGGCCGCGCGGATTCTCCGAAAGGCCGACTCCGATAAAGAGTCATGATGTCAACCAAGCGAAGCGACATGGAAATTCCTCAACGCTGGCCTTTCATCCTATACGGTCAATGTAGTATTGCATACATTATCGCGGCGCTTTTCTATTTTGCTAGCTCACGGAACATGCTGCGTGTTATCACAAGTGGTTACTCCTCACGGAAGTAGATGAGATACATCGTCCGAACCCAAATCGTACGCACAAGCAGACAACATTGGCGTTCATCTCAAGCTTTGTGAGTTGAAGAGATAATACACAATTAGTAAAACGGGGCTCATTCCACTCAGTATTGGTGCATACACAGTGACATACAACGCGATCCGACCACCAAACAACATGCCCCACCATCAACTCAATCCATAAGCCTCCAGATCTCTCGTCAAGCCCTTACTAAACACCATTCCCGTTATAACATGATCGTCAGAATAAAGCCCCTTAATGTCCTTTACGCCCCTCTCTTCAAACCCCATCCGTCTAAGCACCCCCTTCGAGCCCTCATTATCCGGATCACAAAACCCAAAGAACTCGCGCTGTCCCTTCTCCTCTTCGAAATACTTCACCATAGCAGCTGCTGCCTCCGTCGCATACCCCTTCCCCTGGAAAGCGGGGAACAAGCCATACCCCACATCCGGCGCCAACGGTGCGTTTTCAAATCTGCGGAACTTCAATGATACGACACCGATCTTTTCATAGTTCTTTGCTCTCTCTGCAAACGGGACGGTTTCGGCGTCTGCTTCTGTGGCTGTGGAGGAAGTTGGGGGCTTTAGACTGACTAGGTATCGCCCGTAGCCATCGGTCCAGATGTGGTCGTTGCTCAGGATAGTCTTGCGCGCGGCTTCACGATCGTGCATGGGATGTGCGACTTTGTTGCGGGCGCGTTGTTCCTCGGTGTCGTAGAGGGATACGAGGAAGTCGCAGTGGGAGTCAGATTCGGAGTCGAGATGGGAGATTACTAGGCGCGGGGTTGAGATGTGGAAGTTCAGGTCGGGGCGGGGCATTTTGAATGTCGACGGGGCTTGGGAAGGTTCGGGTATGTTTCGAATATCGAGAAAATAAAATGTGGAAGGTTTACAGTCTGTATGTTGTTATTCCGAACGGTGAGGATGTTGTGAGTCATTAGCTGACAATCCTGGCCTAGGTAGCATCGCGCGTACAATTCCGACCTACGCGAGGAGTCATAAGTCCTGCGCGAGATAACAACAAAGATTGCGACATACTCGAAGCATTCTATTCGTCGTCAGCCATCTAGTAGAACGCTCCTTCGTGTTCCTCATTAGGCGTTCCTCTGCCGGTGATTGTAATGGTGATAGAAGCACACATGTAGAAGTCGCTAATGCATACTTGTGAGTGAAGATGATTGATTATAACGATAACGTGGACTCGTGTTGGCGGTGAATCTATCAAAAGCGCCCACCACCGTTAAAACCCATGTTGAAGTATGTTTCGTCACCCCAAATACCTGCATCGAAGAATCTAAGAAGGGTTAGTGGTTAGGGATTTGAAGATTAAAGAGAAGAAAGGGCTTTTACTTGTCCATGTCAAAGTCTGCGTCTCGCATAAAACCCAGGGGATCATTTGCGATGTCACCGTTCATACTTGTATCCTGATCCAGCGCTGCATAAGGGCAACCTCCAGTCTCAGGCATCGCATGCGTCGAAGAACCACCAGAGCCATCGGCCATTAGCCCATGAGTGAGACTCTGCATAGTATCTGGTGTCGGTATCCCATTGGAGGGCGTCTTTTTACCACTGATCTTGTTTACGAACCAGCTCTTAGTCAAATCCATGATCATTTCCAGCGCCCAGTAGAAATCGTGGTGGAAGGATTGCGTTCGCTTGTAAGTGCTCAGTCCTTTCATCCGATAGCAGAGAGATTCAAGGTAAAGGTCCAGACGCCCTCGTTCGTGGGCCGCTTTCACGTCCCATAGCGCTGCGGTGTGCGTGTCGCTAGGGATGCAGAGGCGCGCCAGTGTCATCACAACGACTGGGATGCGAAACCACTCTGAGAAAGCCAGGATATGATAGTTTGACGGGGGGCAAGCCAGCAACGTGTCGAAAAAGCGCTTGCAAGCTTCAAGTGTAGCGAGTAGAGCGTTCAGGCGCGTCGAGTCAGGCATGTACCCTTGATGCGAAGTTTGTGGAGCCCGAAGAGCTATGCTATGTAGCTGCATATCAGTATATGCAGAGGCAAGATCAAAAACTGTTGAAAGCATTAGAGCGCCTACCACACCATGGTCCCCATGACTTACGGATCTGATACTCGTCACTGTAGCGCTCGCGCTTCCATTGATCCAGCTGGCTTTCCAAAAACCGGAAGTTCATCGAGATGCGAGGATCTGTGATATCGAGCGCAACAGTTTCCTCGGTGAAGAAGCATTCATGTATCTGGTCGTCCAGACGTCTTATTGCAAGAAGATGCCCGATGATTGCATCCGATGGGTATTGGCGGTGATCTTGAAGATCTTTGCTACATTGACCCATGTATTCTGTATATTTGAGGAGGTTGGGTCTTTGCATCCCTGTAGCGACCCTGCGAGAGTCAGCTCATAGGATCCAGATGATAGAGCGAATGTATCAGACTTACTGAGACGACAAATAATAACAACCGAGAAATGTTCGTTGTCGCTCTAGTTGCTCCGTTACAGACAACGGCGAAGGTGACGGTCGTCCGGGGAAGTCCATAAGTGGTCGAGTTGACTTCTGGTGCAGCTCAAGGTCAAGCGCAAGTCCATTGGCTGTTGTTTGCATAAAGTATATCTGCTGAGTCTTGTGGCTGAAGACGAAGTGGTATCTGATCCGTCAGTATCCCGAACGTGGTACTAGAACACATGTTCAATACCTCGATAGATACACAAGAACACTTTGCAACAGTTGCATTGTCCTCCGCGGGCGGATGTATGTATGATCCGCCAATTCTTTTCGGTACACCCTGTCTAGATGACGCTGCAACTTGTGATTGTCCCAAGCGGCAACTGTGATGATGGCGAGGAACAACATGGGCTTGGTAGCATGTAAGTGAGCAGCAGAGAGCACATCGTCTATAGGCACAAACGGAAAAGTTATGCACATCGACCGGTAGACGCTCAATAGATTCTCTGCCTCGCCGTTGCTCAGCAGACTCTGTACCTGCTCGTCATTTATGGGAGGTTCTGACTTTCGTTGAGGACGGACTAGAAGAGTAGGTCTGGAGTCGATAGCGTCTTTGTCACCGAAGTCATGTATGTTACGCAATTGCTCGACAAAATCTCGATCATGAGCAGACTCTTCTACATCGGCTTCCGTTTCAAGGCCTGGACGAGGTGCCTCGACTGGCTCATGAATATCAGGCAGCGATGTTTGTTCCTCGAACGACTCCGGGAACATCAACCAACTTCCAGGAGCTGTGGGACGATCTCTTCCGGCAAGCTTATGGGTTCCAATCGTTGTGCGAGGTGGCCTCTCAGGTGGGGAAGTCGAGGTTCGGCCTGTATCAGTTGTGCTTGTTTTGACAAGACTGGCGACAATCCCATCAATCTTCTGCTCTACCTGGGATATACGACTCTGAAGTTTCAGAAATGGTAAGTCATCGTGAAGGACCGAGCTTACGATGGCCCGCGCACGCGACGAGGGCGACGCGGGACGTCAGCCCATATACATTCACGCTTGGCGGTGAAACATCTTATAGACCGTCAGTAAAGCATAAACCTAGACGACGAGAGCTATCGGATGAGAAGACTGCGAAATCATACCTTTGGCACGTGCCGGACTGCTCGCTTGGTAGGCATCGCGTCTTAAGCGAACGGCAACGCTGGCATGCCTGCGACACACGTGCATTCGATGGCCTCGCGGATCCGGAATCTTCAGTACTCTCCATACCGACTCCAACGGAAAGATGAGTGTGGAATGAGGATGCGAAGGACGAAGCAGCCGGCGTAGAGACAGCGGAACGGATGTAGCAGTTGCACCGATCCGATCCGACCCCACGCTAGTGACTAAATAGGGAAAGCACATGTTTCTTCTGACCTATTTCTGTGCTACAAGACCAACTTTTCGTCAACAGCAAAGCGCGCAACAATGGTACAAATTTCCTAATGATTTTCACCCTGTACTTCTGACGGCCATTTTCTCGACATGCATCGAGTTGCTTGCGCACGGTCAACTCCTAATCTAGATTGTCCCAAAATCCAGCTTCGAAGCCAACCTCCATCCGTACCACAAAGTCGCTCCAATCGTAACGAGATTTAAATGAATGCTCATCGCATGGCTCCGAGAGAACGCTCGGTTAACCCCATCCATTTCTTTGACGCCAACATGCGAATCCGCTGCGTCCTGTCGAGTCGCTAGATCGCTGAAGTCAGCACATACACAAGACGGGGGAAACTTCTCCAATAAGGATACCACATAACATACCCAGAGTCCGTCTGATCATCATCAACCTACTAGTTCTCGGACCATATACCACCGTATTTAAAACCGCCGTAGCCATAGCGACAGCAAAGGGTATCCAGTCTCCTTTGCTCTTGATTAAAGCAAGCGGGCCGTGTGGGAACGTGATTGCAGTAACACCGACCAGAGCCGATTGACAGAAGAAGTAGAGCGGGAAAACGCGCTTCTGTAACGTGGTGAATGCTTCGGGTGGTAGTGCTTGATATGCGACTTTCACCATGACGAAGCTTTGGTAGAGCTGCGTGCCGAGGAGGGTTGAATACGCGAACAGGTGGGCTGGCGCGAGAATGGCGTCAAGAATGACTGGTAAAGTGGGTAGTGAGGGCATGATGGAGAGTCGGGGCGCTTTGCAGACGTCTGAGTCGGTTTGACAGTTGATTCAACTTCTGCTCAAATGCTCCTTCTCGTGAGCAGTCGGTGTTTGATTTGACTTTGGTTGCAGCCTAGCGAGGAGGCACTGAGGCCGGAGTCGGTACGAAATGTGCATCCGATCCGTGACTTACTGAAGCATTCGGCAGCCATAACGGAGAATGGATATGAAGGGTCGTTCGACGTGATGCGACAAGTTCGATTATCAAATCCCGCATCTTACTCTGTTTCGCCTAGCATGACTACAGATTATCGGGCGTGCCTACTCTCAAAAGCCTAAGCTAAACCACAAGCGCACCAGTGCCCGTCTTATGCATCGACGGCCTCCAAACCAATAACACGAGACCTTCATGTCCCACGCCCACTCAAATGAATAATCACATATCCTACAAATTCGGGTTCGAAATATCAGCACCTCTTCGCGCCCACACCCCATCAATTCCCATATCCAGTGATCTATCTCAGGTTAGTACGAAGTCCGAAAGTACGGATGAATTCTTACCCATCGTCTTTGCGCATGACCACAGGCTTATTGTCAGAAGCCGGCGATGGGTTACGGAAAATAACGCTCTTTTCAATGCCCAATGTAAGATGAATAGCCGCTGGATCAGTGACCTGGTATTTGTCGAGGGGCTCTTGGTTGAGGAGATGAACGACGTTATTAGCGACGACTTCTGCTTGCTTCATGGCACTGCATGGTGTTAGTAACGGGTAACTGTGCAAGCGGACTATTAGGTTGAGATACTTACGGCCTTGCAGCTTTGTGTGCTGCCGTTGCGGCGATGTCTCCGAGCGAGAAAACGTTGGGGAAACGGTCATCGTTGACCTGCAAAGTGTCTTTTACGGCGATGTAGCCTTGCTCGTCGATGACGTCTGGTGACAGCGAGCGAATGATTTCAGACTGGGGAGTCATGCCGTTGCAGGTAATCTACGCTGTAGCTCAGCATTGTTACCTCTACTCGATTTGTACAGTGCTTCACTCACAGCAAGGTCAGCAGGGATCTTCGTCCCGTCCACTAATTCCACGTCAAATCTGCCTTTGTTCACGGGATAGCCGTCCTTTGGCAGTTTGACTCTTTTCCCCAGCACCAGCTTCACGCCTAGCTCGTCTGCTCTTTCTTTGACCACCTCATGCAGGCCGGGATGGAATTTATTCATCACATTATCCCGGGAGTGAACTAATGTGATGCTCTTCTCGGGATGCAGCTCCTTTGCATCAAGGGCCATTTGAACACCAACGGCGCCCGCACCGATGATGACGATCTGCTCACTACGCTCCACCTGCTCGGCATGTTTGCGCAGATAAGTCGTCCGGGAAAGTTTGTCCTCGCCTGGGACATTCGAAGGTGGGGAGAGCTTTGTGCCTGTAGCAATAGCCAAAGCAAAGTACGGAATGCTATCGACTTGCTCGCCGTCTAGCGACACTTTGCGGTCGAGCTGTATTGCAGATTTTGTGAGGCCAATTGCGGATGCTTGGACGAATGCGCCAGTTTCTCCGAGACGGCTCGGTTGGTACGGAATAAAGGCCTTGCTGGTAGGGACTTTGGTCGTTACCGCATATCGTGGAAAGGCGAAAAGATGTTGGAAGTGGCTGTTCTTTTCGACGAGCAGTACGCGGAAGCGTCCTTGAGCTGCTTTCGCAAGCTGTTCCGCGACGTTCATACCTTGGAATAATAGTTAGTGTATGGTTTTTATGCCATAGCGTTACGTATCGTGTGGATTTTGAAGAATTGAAATTACCGATAACGCTCATCTGCCTTCTCGTAATGAGTTGCTGATGAAGTCCGCATCACTTACCGACATAGCTGCCACCAATCACCACAACGTTCCTGGCCGTCATATTGTCCTTTGAATGCACGATAGATCGAGTGATGTGTCCCGAATTCTGAAATTTCAGATATACTCCAATGAGAATTACAAGAAAGCTAAAATATACAAGCAATTGCGTTCGCATGGAGTAGAACCTGTAATGCTGTCGGGAAGGTGAGATCTTATCAGATCCTCTTCCATCTGCCGATGTCGGGTCCGTCCGCTAGTTTGTCGGATTTGTGAGCGACGTGCGGAATAACTCCGAGACTGCGTTTATCCGGAGATATCGCTATAGCCACGCGGTACTTCCTCTGGGGTCTGAAGGAGTGCGAAGCTCGGTATTGAGGTTTCCTTAAGCACTCTATGCACACAGTCTTAAATATACTTGTTTGTCGTTGTCCGAAGGCAGGACTGATCTGAAAGCTTGACCTAACCTAAAGTGGTTTACCGCAGATTACTCCACATCCCGAAAACCCCTTCGTACAACACCTGGAAGTCATCGAAGTTGACATCGAAAGTCCACCCCTTTCAATGTTACATTCTGGGGGCAAACACAGGATCATAATAAGATATCGGAAGGTGTAGACGCCAATAGACGGAAGTGGGGAGGTGTCGGTACTCCGGACAGCTCAATCGTATAATAACCCGCAAATCTCTGGGGACTCCGGTATGGATAGATCAAAGGTCTCGTCGAAATATCTAGGATTTAAATTTCACTTTACTAAGTCCATGATCCCGACGTCACCATTAGGATAATCTATAAAGATGACTGGAAAGCCGCGCTTGAACGCAACACCGCACCTCTAGCTACGACCAAATAGCCAAACAGTAGAGCATATACTCATCACGAAATCCGCTAATACATTTGCAAGTCTACCCACGCTCTTGACCATGTCCCCATCCTAGCATAAGTGCAACAGCACAATACTCATACATTCATCAGTATCTCATCACAGATTGATGCCTTCATTCATGCTTACCGCTTCCGCGTCCCTCAAGAATACGCGATTTGGCTACCCATGCAAGCCTTCTCTTTTAAGATATCCAACCCGGGTTTCGAAACTACCAGCCTCACCTTGCGTGCAGCCTACCATTTCTACAGCCGGACAAGTGCGCTTCTTGGGTTGAAGTTTCACTTCAATCCGCTCGGAGATTCGATTTACGTGCGAACCTTGGTATTGGGAATGATATGTGGATTTGAGCTGCTTGAAACATTGCGGTCTAATACAAGGCGTGAGGCTTATTCTAGAATGTTAATATCCCTTTTGATATCTGATAGCTTGGCCAGACTCGGTCCGACTTACTCTCCTAGCACTCAATGTCCGGAAAAAACGGCATGCCGGAATAATCTGCAGGCGTTACAAGACGTGAAAATAGGTAGGTGAAGTTTGTCTTGGCCACGACAAGCGTTTTAGCGCTGTAATCAACGGAGACATGCAAGCTTCCCACTTAGGCAAGCCAAGTGAGCGAGTGAGTATTCTTGACGTCCAGCCTCGTTGACAATTCCCACAAGTCAGCGCCAATCACCTTACTGCACCAGACATAATAGCTCACTCAGACTGCTTCAAGTCCCACCCATCGAAGAAGGACAACAATCTCGCCACCCACCCTGCGTCCGATCCCCCACGCGGCTTTCGCCCTGCTGCACGACACCAGCGCAAGGCTGCAAGAAGGCCTCCCACTGTCATCTTTCATATAGATTGTCCGTTTCACAATCTGCGAACGACCCACGCAAGACGATCCTCGACCGAATGCTCGGAGATCGACGTGATCTCCCAGCCCCACTAACCCACTGTTGCCACCGCGTCTAAAACATCCCGCTCAGCCTTCAACGGCAGGCTAAAACGCCCGCGTCCTTACACAGAGTACCTTAGGGTAGACGACGCGCAATGAAGAGATGAAGGCGGGAGGGAATTCTAAGCGGAAGCGGAAGGTGCTGCGGCCGATACGCGTGGACTACGGAGGTAGAAGGTGACTGACGGGAAGGGCCTTCGGCGACAGATGAGGGCCGACCCGGGAGTCCCGCACGCTGAGGTGTTTACGGTAGATACGAGGGAATTGTTGGGAAAGGGAGAGAGATGGACGGACGCGCGGTGAGCTGAGAGCTAAGTCTCACATGTTGAAGGAATGACTGTAGATATGCCCAGGTGGGTAACTTGTGTAAGGCATTGTACCTGGATAAGGCGCACCGCGGACCAGTAAGGCTACGAGGTACATGGCCCGGGGACAGGTTGACAAGTCATCGAGGCGCAACCGAATACGGGACCGAAATAGGACCATGTTGAGAGCGAATCGCGCATGGCGGTGAAGCTCCGAGTATGCCAGCGGATGGTGAGTTCTTCTCGGCGCCGTGTTTTGGCCGTCGTCGTGCGCTGGATTCCAACGGTTCGTGTAATCGCTCACCCATCAGTAAGCGAACCATGCAGCACAACGTAATCTCAACGGCTGGAGCTGTGAAACTACACGTGATGACCAATGTCCTCGGACGGGTACCTCTACTGCGCAGACAAAGACACGGTTCGACAGGTGTTACAGGCAACGTTATTTCCGCGTCAGCATGCGCCGAACTGGTCTCCGCGGCACCCCTTTCGTCACGACACGACATTGCATCGTGGAGGGGAGGCGAAATAGAAGCTGCTGCAGATTGGGTTCGGCACAATGTGCCTTGTGGTATCGATTTCGGTGTACCTGTGCATGCGTCAGAGACCTCAGCCTCCACCGCGCGCAATTTCCAGTGCCGAAAAATCAGGTTATCAGGGTCTCTTGCGCCGGGCTATTCGACGGCAGGCAGAGAGTGCGAAAGACCAGGAAGCCCAGGCGAGCCGGGCGGGGTGCATGCGTGCACGAGACCCTGGTGTGCTGGTGAGCAAGAATAAGAGCGCGGACCAAGCCGGGGGCCTGTGAATGATCCACCCCATCCGGCTGGACCGCTTCACACCTGGCGCACTGGCAATCCGGTCCACCGTCTGGGCTGCTTGGGCTCGGCCGCAGCCCGGTCAAGGCTCGTTTGATGAGGATTTAAAGAGAGACCGTTTCCAGTGTTTTCGTGTCACCATTCAGTCAGTCCCGTTCGCATCCTCCCACAGCCCAAGATCGACATTTGTGACCCAAGCCAACGCTGCTCGACGCCCATTGGCCATCACATTATACACGCATACGTCGACAGGCCGTCTGCACTACTGCCGCCGCCCAACCTTGGACGGATTAGGCGGGTTTAACAACGGGCGAGACCCAACTAGCCCAACCGAAGCCCTGCATCCCTAGTATCTCAGAACGACATCATCGGGCATCACGCATTATATATATCATATCAGTCTCCCTCCGACGCGGCACGCTTCGCCCTCAGATCTCCCGACGCCCGCTGGACCACGCTGCAACTCTACAACGCTCCACAATTGCCTAGTCTACAACTGTCTACAACTGTCTACAACTCTTCACAACACTTCACAACACTTGACGCCCTTCAGCACAACCTCAACTACCACACACACACACACACACACACACACACACAAACACACAATGTTCTCCTGCGTCAACTACGAGCGCGGCTGCCGAGGCCGCTGCAACGCTCTAAACGGCCGCTGCGACTCCTGCATCACCCTCAACCTCCAATCCATCCGCACCAACAGCTCGTCATCCATATCGTCGGTCAACAGCCAGCCCGCAGCCGCCTACTCGGCCATGACATCGTCCTTCGCCTCGCTCGCCGCTGCATCGCTCAACCGCGGCCGGTAGCCTGCCGAAAGCCAATTTTACTCGGCTGCAAAAGTACAGGATAGGCTTAACGACTTGATATGACGATACCACTTAGCGACATTGTTCACATCGTGGACGGTACCCACTCGAAGCATTTCCGGAGGATTAGCGAAGCATTTACACGGATTTTTCACTTTTATTTTATTTGGCTTCGAATCGTTGATTGGGATTGATTGATTGAATTAGCGTTTTTCGTTACCTTCGGATGGATACCAGGTGACTCTACTTTACTTTGCGGGAGTTTTCACAGGAAGCGACGGCGTCGATGGGCCGGCTCGCGAGGCCGCAGCCTTGTTTACTCCACGGATTTACTTCCGGGAGGACGGGACGGGATGGGATGGGATGGGATTGGATTGAATTGTCTTGGATTGTTCTTTACACGGCGCCGCTCGCTGCAGGCACAGTCTCGGACGCATTGTTTAGTTCGCTTTTTGACTTCCACAATACCACACGCTATTGGACTTCACATGCTCAAACATCTACTCCTTTGAGCTTCACATGTTTGTTTCAACATCTGCATCTTACAGCCCTGTGTGACTCTAGGAGAGGGAACTGGAAACCCGACCCCAAAGCGTGCGTTACATGCGCGTTGCACAAACACCAGCTTCACATGACTGCACGCGCGTCCGTCTGCATCCTGACACGAAGCGCGGAGCTCGCTGCACAGCACCGTCGCACAAGAAACACCCCGGCCGTGGGATTTCGATGCGGATCTCAGAATTCGCTGCGCATCTTGCATCGTTGAACCCCACCACCCCACCCCAACTCAGAAACCTCCTCACAAGGCCATCCATCTATCTTCCAGCGCATTCCACGACCCATACCCCAGGCCTCACTCTCCAGCCCAATACCACTCTTACCAAAACAAAACAAAAAAACACCCCATTTCACTCACACAAGCTAATCCTCCGTCCTCTTCGCCCGCCCCACCTCCTTCACACAGGACACAGGCCCCCATAGCCATAACAGTAGCGCCCGCCTACCAGCCCGCAAGACGGCTGCCGATCCCACAATCCAGACCCCGAAAATCCCCTCCCACCGAGATTCTCACGCCCTGACTGCCCTCGCGCAACTGGCCAGAGCGATCGAAGCTCACAGCGGGGATCGGAAACCGGGCAAGCACGCGCGCGCAAGCCAGGGGTGCAACGGGCGGGCGCATCTGCGCGCGGGCTGCACGGTGACGCATGTGGCGCTGGGCCCTTGGCGGGCCGCTAACACAGTGCTCTGGAAGGTACCAGAGGTGAAGGGCATGGTAGATGGTGGGGCAGAGGGGAGGTCTGGAAAGGGCTGTGGAGAACGGCGTCCAGGGCGGGCTTGCCGGGAGTTTTGTTTTGGCCGGGTTGCTTCGAGCGAGTGCTAAGGTGGGAAGATGAAGCGTGTGATGAAGGGATTTGGCGAGGTGGGGGTTGTGCGACGGTGGTGGAATGGGCTGGAATGTGTTTCGGATCGTTAGATCAGATCAGGCCACTGGGTTGGAGAAAATAGCAGGCGGAAACGGAAAATCCGGTGGTGTTTGGAGGTCCGATCTAGAATGGCAGGTACTATGGACGCTGCTTCCGCGGGTGGCTTCCGCGGGTTGCTTCCATGCTGCACCGTACCTACAGCTCAGCCTCCACGTCCATCTCAGAACGCAGTACTGTTCATGCAGTATAATACTATGAGATGTATATATTTATCATCTACAAGCTTCCGTGGCGCAATCACAGTCTGCAAAACGACCAAAAAGAGGTTCAAGAGTGCCGTTTGAGGAAGCTGACGTGCAGAAACAGGAAATTAGCCTGCTTCTTCTACATGGGGCAACACAGCATCGCCTACTAATCCAATGTCCATTGCAGTATTATAGATTGCCGACGTCCAGTACAGGTTATTCCGATGATGATCTTCTGTAGTAGACAATGTCACTCTGACCTGTGCCATGCAGTAGACAACATCGCATTGTGAATGTGCGCCGATCCGGCATGTTGCGGTCAAACATAGCACACCTTGACCATGTAATAGGTGGGTATAGCATGACCGATTTGAACCTCTGACCGAGGGTTTCCAGTCCCACTGTGCGCCAACGCTGCACGCTATTTGCGCCATGCAGGTTCGTAACCTTCTCAGGGTCGAGTCGTGGACCCCACCTCAAGTTGTAAAGCCAACGACGTCACCTTGCATTGTGGCATATACCGGCGCAATATTGGAATGAAGCAATTCGGATTGTGCCGGAGGTATCGTGAAGTCGGAGCCAACGCCGAATGCCTGGGCCCCGGCGATGCGTCCCATGCATGTATTTGAACCGGATCGAGAAAGCTTGGTTGCTAAGCACGCGTTGATATGTCAGGCTAGGCCATTTTCCTGCAGATACCGCTGTGAAAACGCTGTATCCGGGCTCTCTGCCGTATGTCTCCTCATGCGCGTGCGGCAGAGGCCTGGCGACTTCAGACCGCTTTGCGGAGAATAGATGACTTTAAAGCGATCGCCGCACATCGCGTGATCTCCCCGAAAAGGCGCCGCATCGTGATATCGCGGTCGAGACCGCAGTCACAGAACCTCCTCTCACCAGCTACACCCACATCGACCCAGCACGCCGACACAAAGCTGGCTCTGAAGCACCTAATCGGACCGTCTCCCCTGTATCAGACAGACTTGGAAATCACATGAAGCTATCTTCGAAGCCAGCTGGCCAGGTAGAATGTCGCCAACGCAGCGCCTAGAACAACGGCTATCGCGGCGTTGCCCTTCTTCGTCAATGCCAGATAGGATAGTACGCCCACGATGATCTCATATCGTCTTCCAGCATCTCTCCTGGCCTTCCATTCAGGGTTTATGGGAAAAGGAGGGTTCGAGCGGATGTCCCGTGCATCTGTAGGCAGAGCTTTGTCGTCGACGCGTACAGATAATGCCACTGGACGGTGGTCGGATGTAGGTTGAACTGGCAAAGCGGTATATATTTGCGGTTCGAGCTGCGATGCAGATGCAGGGCTTGGTAGGTATAGTATCCGGTCGCACCATGACGGGTAGCGGTGAATCGCCCATTCCCAGCTGGCTTCAGAGCCTGATGCAGATCGTGCCTTGTCCTTGCGTAACGAATACTTGTAGGTTGGGGGAAAATCGATCGGTAGTTCTTCGAGTCCGTGCAGTGTGTGGTGTGCTTTTCTTTCTCTGTTTAGTTGGTCTGTCTTGAGCAAATGCGAAAAGTGTTCTGGTAACTCATCAGAGGCTGAGGGCTGAGGATAAGTCTGGTGTGCGTCCGGACCAGGTGAAGAGTCGTGCGTCCTGTAGTTGAGGTCTCCAGCAACAAAAAGATGACTGCCAGGATGGAACAGGCCGGTCCTTCCTGCAGGAGCTTCTCCAGATGCCCATAGGGGAGCTTCCTCGCTATAGCTGTACACAGAGTCACTATCGGTTGCGAAGACCATGTTGCGCACAAGATCCTCCCAGTTCTGGTTTCTTAAGGCGACCTCCTTCTCATGAGGTGCTAGATGAGCTGCAACGAAGCTTATATTCAGCATCACGTCGGAACCCGGTCGTGACACGCCGATGCGCATTGCAACGGCACCTTTATTGCCCATGTTCCACACTCCAACACCAGCACCTGCCGCTTGAATATACTGTATTCTCTCGAGGAACCTGGGTTTTGCAAAGATCATCAGCGCCGTCATGCCCAGGCTACGGGTAGCCACGTGTTCGAGCCGTTCACTGCCATGGCTGTGGAGGTCTGCGGCGAGGTGGACAGTCGTCGATATGCGATCGAAATAGGGTTTCAGGTATGAGCCTCCGAGGAAGCTGTATGCGATTGGCGCGACCTCCTGCAGACTGAGTGCGAGAACATCTGGCACGGCGGCAGCCTTTGGCAGCGCATCAAATAACGCTGGTGCGAGGGTCTCAGGGTTTACGAGGTGCCTCGCACAATTGAATGTCAATAGATAGGCGTCTATCATCGTCAAGCACAGTGTGGAGTGCTGACAGGCCTGAGTCAGCGGATGGGGAAATTGTTGAGAGCGATCGTCATGTCCGCTGCCGCCACATGGAGGATTGGCAGTGACAAGACGCGTGATCCGATGATACTTACCTCTTCGCTCTAGTCCTACGTACGACAATGCTGATCAAACTTGGAGACGAGCGAGTAGTCACACAGCGCGGAGCTGTCACAATAACAAACGGTGTGCGTGATCGAATGGTGGGGCACGCGCAGCAATGTTTCCCAGGGACCAACTGGTGTCCAGGTGTATAGCGACGTGTATTGTATCGTGCAACGAGTTATTGCAAGGTCGTCCGAAAAGGAAGAAAGCTCTGGTTGCGAATTGTAAGGCGAAGGAAGACTGTTGGGTTGCTTGTGAAGAGAGAAGTGCGGTCAAAGCTCCTTCTCCACGGGGAAGCTACAAGCTCCCTGATACGTCATCGCGTACCACCGCCATTCGGAGCACGATGCATACCAAAGCTTTGAAAGGAATAATAAATCCGGGGCATTGTGAGGCCCACGTCTTGTTTTCTGTCAACCCATACGTTTCTCTGCGTCAATTCAGCTCCCGCGCCTCCATTGTACGACATCACTGGAGTTGTGCATTGATTCCAAGCCGCCTAGCTCCGAACGGCAGACTTATGCACAGGTGAGCTCACGATAGCTGAATCCTTTGTTTTTCTTGGAGCCCCCCACGTTTCACGTTTCATCAGAAACTTCATCCGCACTCATCCTACGCTCTGGCATCCTCGCTGCAATGTTCAAATCACAGATTCTTCGCCAATTCGCACGCTCTGCCCTTGTGCAAGCTCCGCGAGCAGCAACTCGAGCTCCGCACAATGCTGTAGGCTCGGCCAGACCGTTTTCATCCGCACCAATCCGCCTCGACAAGGACTCGAGACCGGAAGACGACATTGAAAATGCGACAACATCCAGTGAACCTGGTGCGAGTGGTGATCATGAGGGGACGTATGCGCGTACACAAGATGATATTCGTGTCGAGTACCCCGAAGAGAAAGACCTACCTCGTTCTCTGCCAGTACAAGGCCGCGGAGGATACCACTTCAAGCGGACGCTGGCTTCCTTCTCTTTGGATGGACGTGTGGGCGTTGTGACCGGTGGTGCCAGAGGTTTGGGGTTGGTGATGGCCCAGGCCCTGGTCGCTAGCGGAGCCGATGTCGCTCTTGTGGACATGAACAGGGACGAAGCTCAGAAGTCTGCTCAGCAACTTGTTGACACATTCAAGGAAGAGAACCCAGGAGCTGATAAGTATGACTGTCCCTCCGACTTACGCGTTCTCGCTAATGCCATTGTCAGATTGCCTAAGGTCACGGCACATTTCTGCGATGTCTCGAGCCCAACGTCCGTGAATCAATCCCTGGCAGACATCTTGAAGGCGCACGGCAAGGTAGATAACCTCGTCACCTCTGCCGGCTTCACGGAAAACTACAATGCCATTGACTACCCCCACGACCGGATGCAGAAGCTCTGGGGAGTCAACGTTGACGGCACCTACTTATACGCTGTAGCGGTCGCGAAACACTTGATGGAGAGGCAGGCACAGGGAAGCATCGTCATGATTGGTAGCATGTCTGGTTCTATCGTCAATGTTCCCCAGCCGCAAGCGCCATACAACGCTGCGAAGGCCGCTGTACGACATCTGGCATCGAGCTTGGCTGTTGAGTGGGCGCATGCGGGCATCCGTGTGAACTGCATCTCTCCTGGATACATGCTCACAGCTCTGTTAGTATGCGCCGAAATTTCGAGGGGAAGCATGTTAATACTTTGACAGGACCAAGAAGATCCTCGATGACAACCCGGAGCTTCAGAAGAAGTGGACGTCTTTGATCCCAGTAGGCAAGATGGGCCGACCGGAAGATCTCATGGGCGCTGTTACATTCCTTTCTAGCGACGCAAGTCTCTACGTTACTGTTAGTACTCTTGAATCTGCTCAAATGCGCATCACTAACAATGTTTTAGGGCGCTGATCTGAGGGTGGATGGAGCTTACACTTGCACGTAAGCATCGCGAGTTCATCAAGTCGATAGCTACAGTAAAAGTATCCGCAAACATGTCGGGGACCCTTGTCGGGCTTCAGGTCTCCCCGCTTGATTTGCATTTGTCTGTTTGGAGTTAGGTCTAGAGCGTGCATCACTTTAAATTGAGAAGCGTAGAAATGCAGCAATATCGCACATTCCTCGTCACAGCTGAAAAGTGCCAGACGAATTCACAAAGTGACACATACTCCTGTGGCCAGATGCACACAAGTGACTGCTGGAACATCAGAAGATAGTGGCCCATCGAATTACTGAACATGTTCTGTATTCTTTAATAAGCGCAAACAAGCTTTTGCGGCCCGTGCCCGCCTGGACGCCGCAGGTGCGACACCTCCAGATCAGCCCTACCAAGCCACTGCGACATCCGACCCCTACGCTGAGCGCTGAAGCTTCACAATGAAGCTGAAGCCTGACTCATAACTCGCATAGATACACGTTACTTTCGCATCCGCGTTTGTGTCCCACGAAAATGTTCAATATCTCGAACCTGGTGCAGAAAGCGCAGCAGTTCATCGAACCGACCCTGAACATAGCCACCGGGCCCGCAACCACTGCCGACCGGCGTCCCTCCAAAGCAAACCTCTTCCGCCACCAATTTCGCCTGCCAGACTCGCAGAATCCGCTTCAAGAGATTACAGCAGAGCTTACGCTATCGCCCCACCACTCGACGAGGGGCTCTGGTGATACACCCCCGGAGAAGGACCGCAGCCAGGGCAATCACTATGTGGGCAAGCTGCACCTCAGCGAGCAGTACCTCTGCTTCTCGACGCAGGGGTCTTCTTTCCTTAACACCGCCAGCCTGAGCTCTTCGAGCAGTTACACTGGGCAGACACACGGTGCGGGGCCTGCGGGGAATGGCTTCACGTTGCCGCTATGCGCTATTCGCAGGGTGGAGCGGCTGCATAGCCAGAGCTACATGTTCGCCCTGGCCATAACGACTTGGAATGGAAGTCCTGATCCGAAAGGGAAGGCCCCTAGCGGACAGAAGCTCACCATCCAGCTTGCGGGCAGCCGGCAAGCCTGTGAGCGCTTCTGCGATGGCCTCAAGAAAGGACTCAGGGAAGGTGTGAAGGAAGTCGAGAACCTGCGAACAGTCGTCCGCGAATCTTATTCCGAATACCTGCTTCTTACGGATGGCGAAGACAAGAAGACTGTTGGAGAAGACAAGAAGGCGGAGAGGGAGCATCCTGACACAGGGCTGGGGTTGATCTTCAGATATCCTGGCAATGCAAGGAAGCTAAGGGATGCGACAAAAATCAGACTCTGGAAAGAGTATCTTCGAGGTACCAAATGCCTCCCGAAACGCAGAGTGCAGGCTAACAGACATTGCAGAAAACGGACGGAGCGCTACGCTCATTCGACAGCCCACCTTCCATAAACTCATACGAGTCGGCCTTCCGAACAGATTAAGAGGCGAGATGTGGGGACTGGCGTCAGGCTCATTTTTTCTGCAACTACAAAACCCACGGCTGTATACTGAGACGCTCGCCAAATACTCAGGGCGGGAATCTCTGGCTATAGATGAGATTGAAAAAGATCTAAACAGAAGTTTACCCGAATACCCGGGTTTCCAAAGCGAAGAAGGCATTGGTCGACTGCGACGGGTCTTGACCGCTTACAGCTGGACCAACGAAGAGGTCGGCTATTGCCAGGCGATGAACATCGTCGTGGCAGCATTGCTGATGTATGTATCTATCCCCATCCTGAGATCACATCTGCTGACCCTAGAAGATACTTGTCAGAGCCGCAAGCCTTCTTCCTTCTCTCCATACTGTGTGACCGCCTTTTACCTGGTTACTACTCCCAGACCATGTATGGCACCTTGCTTGATCAGCGCGTTTTTGAGTCGCTTGTGGAGAAGACAATGCCTATTTTGTGGGATCACCTGGTCAAGTCTGACGTGCAGCTATCTGTTGTATCTTTGCCGTGGTTCCTTTCTCTTTACATCAACTCTATGCCGCTTATCTTTGCTTTCCGCGTACTAGACGTTTTCTTCCTTGAAGGCCCGAAGGTCTTATTCCAAATCGGTCTGGCCATCCTACGTATTAACGGCGAAGAGCTCTTGGATGCAGCGGACGATGGAGCCTTCATCTCAGTACTCAAGTCATATTTCGCGCGACTGGATGAGTCTGCGCACCCTAAGTCTGAGAACCCAAAGCTACGGGCGGTCACTAGGTTTCAAGAGTTGATGGTCGTGGCATTCAAGGAATTTGCTGGCATTACACAAAATACCATTTCTGAGCAACGATCGAAGCATAAGGATGCCGTGCTCGAGAACATTGAGAGCTTTACCAAACGGACATCGATACGAAATCTTGGGCCGGAAAGTAAAAAGTTGAGCGTTAATGACCTAGGCTTTTTGTACGATAAGTTTTACGCTGTACTGTACGACCGGCAACAACGAGCAGAAATCATGCAGCAAGATGCCGAGAGAAAGGCCAGGAAGGGTGGAATTAAAGCGGCTGAGATAGTGACTGGATTCTCATCCTCGAGCATTGAGAAGGGTAGAGTTGCTCTTGGTCCCAGTCCCACTCAGATGGACTACGATGCGTTTAGAGAATTCCTAGCTGGTACGTTTGCATCGGCGCTCCGTTGATCTCTTCAGACGTATGCTGACGTACTTGTAGGACTCACAAAATGGGCAATAACAGACTCTCCCAGCTCGCCACCCGAGAAGAATGGTACCCAGTCTCCGCACTCGTACTTCGGCGGCAGCATGAGGAGCAAGCCGCCAATGTCGCCGTGGGGTTCTGGCCCTGAACCCACAGATCACGACTTTATGCGACGGCTTTTCAGACGCTGGGATGTAGACATGTCCGACTCATTGTCTCTCCAGAACGTTGTCGCAGGATTCGCTGCTGTCAAAGGCTCTACGGATATCATGTCAAACATCAGCTACTTCTTCGAGCTTTATGATGATGATGGAGATGGCAGGGTCGACCGTGAAGGCATCCTCAGGATCTCAGAAGCCCTCCTGTTCCTCTCCAGAAGAGGCTTTGATGGATCTGTCAGTCCAACACCGTCTATGAGCGACGCTCGCTCTATTCACAGCCAACACGATCGAGGCACTCGCGACGAGCAGTTCCTGAGTAGCGTGTCCGCTTTCATACGAAGATGTTTCGAATACGCAGATCCGGATCATCCTTCGAATCAGGACAACAGAGCAGTTGACGAAGTCAAGGATGACCTTGACAGTTTCGCGATTGGCGGCGACGATGAAGACGACCTCATTGACCTTGGGACCGAGCCTAACACGCCGACTGCCACAAACCCAGAAGGCCCGACAGCCTCAGAGACGGAACCAATGACTTCTTCAGAGGGAGAGGGAAAGGCGAGCAGCGAGTCAGATCCGTCAGGAAAACCCGACAAGGCAACAGCTGCAAACGCCGCTCTTGATCCTAACAAACCTCTTTACATCACGTTGCCCACATTCCGCATGGTGATACTGGCCGACGAGAATCTCGAACAATTCTTCGAAGTTGGTTTCTCTGCGTCCTTCCACCTCGCTGACGCGCCATCCCCCTCTCAGTTCTCTGCGTCAAACTTGACCACGTTCTCCAACGCAAGCCAACAAGTCGCGGCCAATTCATCTGGCATGAGCGGCGTTGTCGGTGGAGCAGGCGCCGGAGTCGTGCCTCCCGGGAAAGGTCTGCGAGGCATGTTGGACAACATTGTCAGTGATGGCATGCGTGTTGCTGCAGAAGTCAGAAGGAGGATGGACGAAGCCTCACAGGAGATGGACAAGGAGGCAAGGCATGGACGCGACGACGAAGAGGAAGAGGATGAAGCCGAGGCCGGGCAAGGCAAGGATATAGATTTACTGGAAGGCGCAGAAACGGCGGATGTGGATACGACGAAGGGTACAGCGCCGGATCTGCTGACACCTGTCGGTGGGCCAAGTTCGGGAGAACTTAAGCCAACGATGGATCGCAGAGCCAGTGATGCCAGTCAACAGACGATGTTTAAACAATAGACTTGCGTTTTACTTGGTCTGGCATAGGAGTTCAATGGGGTCTGTGGCTTGATATCATGTGGATGAGGTTTGTTTATGTCTGTAGCAGCTTGGCCTTGATTACGCACTAGCATTTACGTATCAAGATTTGCCCTCTCCCTCTTGCAATCGTTATCGGTACGTATGCCACAAACTTTTCGAGTCGAGGAATGCCCAAGAAGTCCGTACTTTGTGAAAACACCGAGCTTGCCAGCCGCACTGTCATCCTGTATGAGATGGAGCAACTCATACTGGATTTGCTAGCGATAACAGGTTGTCTTGAAACAAGTCAATGCAGGGAAAACCACGAGGCACAACGTGGTGTTGATTGTTTACATGGTGTACCTGCGTTACCCCGCAGACCCCTTGAACCCTTGCTAGCTGCCGCGGGTACATGCGGGGTAGCTCGGCTCATTGCTCGCGGGCGGCATCAATAATCTCACTGGCTTTTGAATCCTACTTACACCGACATAGACACTTACAAGTAAGTGGGCACTGAAACAGAATACGTCATTTTCAACAGAAAGGGTGCTTGTCAGCGTAGTCTGGGATTTGTGCTTGGATGGATGATCTTGTATGAAGAGGAAGAGTGCTACTCAATGCGAGGTTTCTGGTGACCAGCTATGTTTCTGAGGTCTTTGCGTGTTCATCGGAGGTGGGAGAGAGTATTGGGCGGGAGGAGGGGACTTCTTACGAGGGCGTATGCTGAGGGGCCGAAAGAGGTATCTTCCCAGAGTATTGACTTGATCGAGAGAGGACATCGCTGATGAATGACAGCCTCCGCTGTTGACGCAGACGGTGCCGCAGCATTTTCGGGAGATTGTGAGGAGTTTTGGGGATAGGGATGCGTGCGTTCTCCCCTTCCCATCAGTCCTTCCTGGAAGGTTAGGATAAGTGCTGAGCTACGACAGGGTTATATCGCACCATCAGCGCACCATCCTGACATATGCCCAGCTAGACCGTGACTCGGATGCTTTGGCACGAGGACTGGCGAAGCAGGGAGTTAAGAAAGGAGACAGAGTTGCGGTGAGCTTAGGGAATAATGTTGAAAATGCGACGGCGACGTATGCGCTATTCAAGTTGGGTGCCATATTGGTAAGACGAACTGACCAGAATAACAGAGAGATGAGTTTGCAGAGCTGATGGATGTTAGGTCCCGTTAAATCCAGCGTTCAACGCTCCTCAGGTTCTTTCGGGGCTGAATCATCTGGCTGCCTCGCACGTTCTCATCGGCGCGGAGACAAATCTACCGTATAAGGCTCCGAGGTCGAATATACCACTACTAGAAGCTCTGGTGCCGAATCTGAAAGCGTCAAAGTTGGAGTCCGAAGTTGTGCCTTCACTACAATCTATAACGCTCGTAAACAACTCTTCCGGACGCATAGACACATCACCCTACAAAAGCACAATCTCCTACGAGAGCGTCATAGAGGACGGTCAGAATGGTCTCACCCTGCAAGACGACTCCCTACACCCGGATGAAATCATCAATATTCAATTCACAAGCGGCACAACCAGCATGCCCAAAGCAGCCTGCCTCTCCCACCGCTCCATTCTCAACAACGGAAAGTCCATCGGCGACCGCATGCTCCTCACCGAGAAAGATGTGGTAGTCTGTCCGCCTCCGTTGTTTCACTGCTTCGGCTGTATCCTGGGCTACATGGCGACCGCAACACATGGCTCGGCCATCGTGTTTCCCGCCGAAGCATTCCACCCGTTACACACCCTGCACGCAGTCCAGGAATACCAAGGCACCGCCCTGTACGGTGTCCCCACAATGTTCATCTCCGAGCTCGAGCTACTAGCAAACGGCACCGTCCCCTACCAAGGCTTCGAGCATCTACGTACCGGCATCGCAGCAGGATCAAGCATACCCGCCGAACTCATGCGCAAGCTGCACAAAACGCTGAACCTCACCGAACTCACCATCTGCTACGGCATGACGGAAACCTCGCCCGTAAGCGCGATGACCACTACCGACGACCCCATCGACAAACGCATCGACTCAGTGGGACGCCTCATGCCGCACGTCACCGCCAAAGTCGTCGACCCCGCAGACCGCACGCGCATCCTTGCGCCTAATGAACGGGGCGAACTCGTCGTCTCGGGATATCTCACTATGCGCGGGTACTGGGGCGACGCTGCGAAGACGGCTGAAGTTCTTATTCCGGACGAGGAGGGTAGGATGTGGATGCACACCGGGGACGAAGCTAGTATGGATGAGGAAGGGTATGTTAAGATTACGGGGAGGATCAAAGATCTTATTATCAGGGGTGGAGAAAACATCCATCCGCTTGAAGTGGAAAACTGTCTCTTCGCTAATGACAAGGTTAAGGAGGTTAGTGTTGTGGGGTTGCCGGATGAGAAGTTGGGGGAGTGTGTTGCGGCTTTTGTTGTGAGGCAGAAGGGTGTTGAGATGGGGGCGGAGGAGGTGAGGGGTGGGTTAAGGAGAGGTTGAGTCATCATCTTGGTGAGTTGAATTTGTAGGAATGGCACAAGTTGGGGGAAGCTAACAGTGGGTAGTGCCGAAGTATGTGTTTTGGGTGGACGGGTACCCGAAGACGCCGAGTGGGAAGATTAGGAAGGTGGAGCTGAAGGAGTCAGGTATTGCGCTGTTGAGGGAGGGAAAGGGCTGGATTGAGGGAGTAACGAGGGGTTGGAGTCGTGTATATGTGAGAAGAATCTTAACGATATCATCATGTCTGTTCTGATGCGAGGAGTCTACACATTTCGAAGATCTAGAAGTATGGTGAGGATGATTGGAAGCGCGTGCTGGACGCCAGTGAACTGGTTGCTTCTTTAAACTTCTCTCCGCCTGCTGGATAGTTACTATGTTGTTGTAAGCAGTCCTGTGAGCTCTTATAAGGATTATGCTGAGTGAGTGAAGTGAATAAGCGGATATCATCCGGGGCACCACGTTTCTGGAGTGGATGAACAGACCGAATTGGAAATCAACCTGGGGCTCGTGCCTATGCCACTAAATTACCTCCCCGACTATAAAACCCCACGCCCCCGCCCGAACTGCTTACCTACTCCCTCCAAACTACCCAACACTCAGACTCAAGCACCACACCCACACGATACCTACGTATTAAACAACTACCACCATGCGCTTCTTCTCCATGCTCCTGGCCCTTCTCTCGATCTTCATCTTCTCGTCCGCCGCGCCGACCCACAAGGATGACAACGGCCGTGTGCTCGTCCGCACCGACGCCGCCAATAACACCCAGGGCTTGAACACCACCGACGTCACCCTCTACAAGATCTTCAAGTCCGAAGAGACCTCCGCCATCCAATTCAAACCCTCCGTCGATACCACTCCTGGCCCTGGTAAAACGGCGTTGTGCAGCTGGACCAACTTTCGAGGAGATTGCCTGTGGGTCGACGCCAACGTTGGATGCGTCGCCCTCTACATGTACGGGGGCTTGACCGGCTTACCTACAGTCCGGTCAATTCGCCCGGACGTGGGATATACTTGCGCGATCTACTCGGACTTCGGATGTCGTAGAACAAACTTGCTCGCATTCGCGAATCATCAGGGTATTGTGGATCTGAAGACCATTACGGGCCGACCCGAATCGGCTAGGTGTTTCTGGGCATGAGGGGCTAAGGCGAGAGTGAGGATTGTCTCATGCTACGAGCGTGTGTAGCACGGTTTATGCATCATGGGATTGGATGGAGTCGGAATTTGGGCTAGAAGGCGACTGACTTGGCCATTCGATTAGAATACCATACCTCACATTGGTAGATGGACTTATTTAGAAATACCATACCATGACGAACGTGTGTACAACCTCGATGCTTGAGAACCAACTCAATTTGCTGGCACTGTCCGGGCCGTCCGTAGACTTTCAGCATAAAGAGGGTACAGAACATTGGATTTCACTGAAAAGCCAGCTTAATAGAAGACAGCCTAAACATGAATGTTTGTCCATACAGACTGCTCCCGTCTCCAGTCATCACTACGTTGAGGTTTCCTCGCGTAGTAGAAAAGGTCCAGGATAGGAAAAGGCTCGTGTAACATCGTATTCGTAGAGCCGAGGGGCTGAGTCTCAACTTGCTTTTTCCCTCACATCCTGTCATGCCCCGCTACCGTTTCCCATCTCATTGTCCACGAAACCACCACCTTCTCGGATGCTCGTTGTGCGGTGAATTTAACCTGCTATCATCTCTCGACTTAGGAATAGTCTGGCTATGCTTGCAACTCAACAGAAACAAGCGCTCGTCTAGCCAGCCTTGTGCGGATCAGGCTGAAGCAATCGACAATCCTAAAGAAGCGCCTCTTGGAACCGGAATTTGTTGCAACAAGTTTGAAGCAATAGCGGCTCGTTGAAGCTACAATGCGGCGATTCAAAAACCCGTTCAAGGACAAAGCCAGGTCTTCCAGAACGACCATGCCAGTGCAGAGTGCAACTACGCCCGTACAAAGTACCACTACGCCCATAATACCGTTGATCACTCCAGAGCAGAGCGCTGCAATCACCCAGGATAACGGCTCGACAGAAACATCGGTACCTATGGTAGCTGGTCCGTCGGCTGACCGCAATGTTGAGTCCAGCAAGTATTACTGGCCTGACCTGTTAAAGGAAGACATACCTAATGCGCGTATCTTCACATTTGGATATGATGTAAGTGGCTTTCACACGGTAGCTCTTCAGAGGCGGACTGTTGTGTGTAGGTGGAAGTATATATTCCAATACCTTATAGAATCACGAAAAGCTTCCGTTCGGCCTATACTGACTATAAACCCCAAATTCTAGGCAGACGTTATTAGCATCACGGGTGGCGTCTCCATGGATCGCCTTGCAGTACATGCAAGCAATCTAGTAGGAGAACTGCACAGAGTGAGGAAAACTGAGATCCAAAAAGCCCGCAAGATCATCTTCATTGCACATAGTCTGGGCGGATTAGTCGTCAAGCGCGCTATACAGGATTCAGCTGATAGTTCCGTTGCGAAGCTGCGACGGGTTGAAGAAGCGACAGCTGGCATCGTGTTTTTGGGCACACCCCATAGCGGCAGCGACCTCGCACCTTTTGCCACGGCAATTGGGAGTCTTCTCAAATTCTTTCGGAAGCGCGTGAATGACGACCTTCTCAGCGTTCTGCAACGAGACTCCCCGGTTCTTCTCGACCTAGAGAAGTGGTTTGGACAGTAAGTCAGCATCTTCAATCGAGTATCAATAGTGTCCAGACTAGAAGCATACCTTATGTAGGATTCAGGATGCATTGTTGGAAGCCCGTACTAATCAACTCGTTGTAATTATAGTTGGCTTCGGAAGCGCACATTTAGTCTTAGTGCTGCAGAAAGACGACCTGTCGAAGTAGCTTGCTTTATGGAAGCTTTACAATTTCCTGGTGGGAAGAAGGTGGTGGAGGATTCCCAAGCGACAGTATCCGGGTACTCTTCCTACTCGATACCTACTAACCACATGGTGAGAAATCAATTCTATACGCTGCTCTAGTACTGATCTCCATAGGATATGACCAAAGTGGATGAGGAAGGAAAAGAAGATGTCGGCTATACAAGGGTGCTCTCCGAGCTTGAGGACTGGCTTCAAGATTGGGCAACAGAACATGCTGCAATTCCAGGTATGCATGATCCATCTACATAGGCAAATGTTTTGTACTCAGGATCCCCTCTCGAGAGGATTCTGTGAGGACATTGAGCTGGTTTTTCAACAAAGATCCTTCGTAAACATGCTTGCATTCGGGCCACTGATTGTGCTCGCAGCAGTTACATCGGTCTTCATGGATCCTACAAGAATCAATCAGCTCCTGAGGAGTCTTGCTGAGCACACCTGTCCTTACGAAGATAGGAAAAACATCATAGAGACACCACTGAAAGGTACCTGTGAGTGGTTCACATGCCACCAGAATTTCCATCACTGGATCGAGTGTCATACACCTGGCATACTGTGGGTGTCCGCTGACCCCGGATGCGGAAAGTCCGTGTTAGCGAGACATCTTGTGGATGAAGTTCTACCTCGCCCAGGGAGAACAGTTTGCTATTTCTTCTTCAAAGATGGTTACCACGACCAGATGTCAATTGCTTCTGCTCTTTGTGCTTTGATTCGGCAGCTATTACAACAAAATCACACACTTATTACCAAGAAGCTTTTGGATCAGTTTGACCAGGGTATTTATGTCCCGAGATTGCCCGTCCACTTCTCGTAGGGTCACCTTTTGTTGTGGTCTTATAAGTATATCAGCCTGGAGTTGCGATTGGCTAACACCACCATGACCAGATACGGACCAATTCTACGCATCAATACAAAGTCTCTGGAAAATTCTTTTGGACCTTTCCACCGCAGGCACCACCGGCGATGTCATATGTGTTTTAGACGCTCTGGATGAAAGTTCCCAACCCGAATTGCGCCAATGGACTGCGAGCTTGCACGACTCTGTCAAAAGCGACAACGAATCTAAGCTCAAGTTCTTGCTTACAAGCCGTCCATACCAACGTATACAATGGCAGTTCTAAGAACTCGAAGATCACTTCCCACACATCCACCTTCGAGGGGAGAATGAGGAAGAGAATAGCCAAATCATGGTAGAAGTCGATCGCGTTATTGACGACAAAGTAGAGCTGCTGCGTCGACGCAGAAGACTTCTAGAAGATGAATGCCAGCACCTGAAAACGCTTCTGCGAGCAAATCTGAACAGGACGTATCTTTGGGTCATTCTAGTCTTGGATGTGGTCGAACATACCCCAGGCCTCTCCCCAGGCAAACTCGAACAGAAAGTGAACCACCTACCGGCCAAAGTTGAAGATGCATACGAATCTATGCTCAGAAAAAGTGTAGATGAAACAAAGGCCCAGAAAGCATTGGAACTGGTGTTGGCTGCCAGAAGACCTCTCACGATTCAGCAAATGAGGGATGCGTTGACGATCGATGAAAGACACAAATCACTTGGAGATCTGGAAAACAATTTAGAACCTCTCGATCGATTCAAGGATACGTTGAAGGACATAAGCGGTCTGTTGTTGGTCTTCCGCATCAGGAAAGGATTCCTCAATATATTTGATTCCATCTGTACTGAACAAGTAGAAGAGGTCCATCTACTGCATCAAACTGTCCGAGATTTCCTCATCAAACCTACTCAGGGCATGAATCTGGTGCCGTCTACAGCATCGGCACCATCCTGGAAACACTCCTTTTCTGTGCCAATTGCTCATCGAACGTTCGCCGCAACTTGCCTTACATGTCTTGCGATCAACTTCGAAGTTTCTAGGTCTGAACACTCACAATGGAGCTCTAGTTTCGAGTATTATACGTTGAGGAATTGGAGAATCCATGTTAGTAAATCGGATATTACAGAAGACGAGCGTATTATCAAGAAATTTGAGCAGTTCTGTGCGCGGTTACATACCTTTGATACTACGTCGCGTCTGTATCTAGCCACTGGGACACCGTATCGGTTTGAGCTAAACCTGACTGGTGGCCGGATTCCGCCACTAATCATGGCAACGTATTTTGGTTGTGAAGAACTAGTTCTTCATTACATGTCTTTTTGCCAGGTAAACAGCCTAGGAAAATAACTCGTTGAGCTAGTCACTGATCCATAAATTGCGCAGGTCGGCATAAATGAGACCGACTATGACGGTCGTACGGCTTTACACTGGGCCGTTAAGGGGAATGCCGCACGTCTGGTGCGACTTCTTCTCAGCAACGAAACGACAGAAGTCGATCTTGGTGATATCCATGGAGACACGCCCTTGCAACTGGCGTTTAAAGCCGGGTACACTAATTTTGTGGCTCTGCTCTGCGCGACGGGCAAGGCGGATGCCAACAGGCAGTATTCTCGGCTCTCCAAGTCGTTCCTAAGGCAATCTCTGGACGATCTATACTGGGCAGACGTCAAGGATAAAAAGGAACCAGTAACCATGATCGAGTCACTCCTACGAGCTGAAGGACTTGACACCAATGCACCACTTGAAGATGGACAGACGGTCTTGATGCACACAGCAAGCAGGGGGCTATTAGAAGGTGCGTCCCTGCTCTTATCTCATGGAAACACCAACATCAATGCAACCGATAATGCCGGGAGAACTGCTTTGACATGGGCCATCAAAACCGATTCCATATATCACCTTAACAACGATATGGCCAGGTTACTCCTCACGCACAGCAAAGCGGACACCATGTACGAACAAGAGCTCTTTCTAGAGTCGCTCAAAATGGCCATTGAACTGGGTCGCGTCGAAATCACAAGAACCATGCTGGCATCCGATATGTTTCGCGCAGTCAACGCTGTTCGTTCATTATCATTTGCCCTGACGTCAAAACGCAAACTAGAGCAGGAACCAAATCCAGCACAGAGAAAACCTTATGGAAAGTATCGATTTAGTTGGGAGCACCCTGATTGGCAGCGACGTGAACGGAAGCGACGCGAAGAAGCTATTGCCCTGGTATTTACTTTCCTCAAGGATGCATCTGTTTGGGACCGGACCCCCCCTCGAAACACACACTGGGGAACTGACGCTTTCGTTGGGTCAGCCGCTCGTACTCGGCCCGCCAAACGAAGGAAATCGTTCTGAACTCAACCATACTTTCTCCTTCACTTACGTAGCGAGGTACACCGGTCCGAAGAAGAAGAAATACTTGGACAGTTGTTTGGTTAACGGAAAAAAATTCTCTGGTGTTTTGATGTATAGATGACGATGTCTTTAGCAGAGTGTGCTGTTGTTTGTATATGACCAAGTCATGCCAAGCATTGTTTTGCGACTAGGAAGCATGTATTCATTTCATCCTACACTCACCAATGACAGCGTCCTTCTCCAGGCTATAGTACTGTCGCTTGTTCACCTGAGGATGTTCACTCACTCACTAGACTACTGATGGCACGCAGCGACTGAGGCTGTTCAGGCAACCTAGGGGGGTGTATGTACCATACTTATTGTTTCTTTAAGTACAGCATATCGGCCCAATTACTAGCTTCTTACCATGAATTGCGAAGAGCTGCAATAAGCACGTCATATCAAGGCTTCAAACTTTAATTTGAGAAGAGATGCACTAGCCCAAGTGGAGTATCTTACTCTATACAAAAAAGGCTCAACCACCTATCGAATCCTCCATCTACCCCTCCCAGCGCACCCTCTCACTCCTCAGCACATCCACCAACCCCACAGGCAACAAATCCCTCTCTCCAAGCTGCAACCCCCCAAACCTCCTATTCATATCTCCAACATACAGATTATATATCCACAACCAATACGGCGACTCCTCAAGCGACCGCTCCTGCAGCATTTCGCGTATCGCAGGCAGCGTCTCCACCGACTCCTCCGGCGGACACTCCTGCAGATTGGCATACGCGTCGCGCAGATACGAAGACGTTTCCTCCCTGTACCTGGTATACTCTTCGAAGCTCATGAAAGGCTCGTCGGCATCGGTGTCCGTGCCAGCCTCGTCTTGAGGTAGAGGAGAGTACTTCGTGCGCTTGGGGCGGTGATCGCCTGAGTCCCAGCGCTCCTTGAGGTCGTCGTACTCGGCCTTTTCCAGCTCGAACGCGCGGTCGATGCGCTCTGCTGAGTCGCGGAAGGACCGCCTGTATGTCGCGAAGGCGTTGATGAGCGGGTTGCGTAGACCCAGGCCGCCGAGCTCATACGGGAAGTAGAAGAAGCCGTCGGGGACGGAGTCGTCTGTTCCGAAGCGCTCCTTAAGCATGCCGCGTAGGTATTCTGTGACGTTGGCTGTGCCTGCATCTTTGAAGAGGCTGCGCTGGATATGCTCGTACGTCTCGATGATCATGTCGTTGTGCTGGCGTCCGAAGCAGTTCGCTGGCTGCCCGAAGTGCGTTGAGAAAAAGCGGCTGACGTAGCTGTTCCAGGCCTGTACCCACGCCATGACGCTCTGGCATGCTCCTAGCTGGCGGCGCAGCTCTTCAATGTGCTCGTCGACCTGCGTGCGGTCGATGACCCATCGGCCTGACGAAGCATCTAGGTTCAGAAAGCCCCACTTGATGGGGCCTTTCGGAAGAGCATCTGGGAGAGATCGAGATGTAGCTTTGTCTGTGACAACCAGAGCTGCTCCAGTCTTATCTTCGTTGAGCTGCAGACCCATAACCTTCGAGAACTCTAGTATTGCATTCCAGGCTTGAATGCACGTAGACTCCTGGCCCCAGAACCAGAGGTCGTCATGGAACCGGTGGATGTTGGCACCTCGTGTGCGTTTGTTGACGGCAAAGTCCAAGCAGAAGAGGACAGCTTCGCTGAGCGCATCGCTCAGTACATGCGACATGGGAATGCCACATTTCCGGTTGAGCGCCTCTGCATCGGGACCATCCTGCGCAAAGACCACAGACGCTTCAAGGAACTTTTTGAAGAAGCGAAGCCACTTTTCCGGGATACCGAAAAATTTCAGCACAGCGAAGATGGTGTCGTGAGGCAGCGAAGGACCAAACCACTTAAAATCGGACTGTAGAACCAAAAACTCGCCGTACACCTTAGTGTTGAGCAGAAGCTCAGCGGTCACAAGACGCAGCATGGACTGTTTCGTCGCTAGTGGCGAGCTGCGTAACCCAGATTGATTCTCCTCCTGGTCCTCGGCGTTGTAGTCACGTTGGTCCTCGAAATTGTTATCCGGTAATTGTGTCATGAAGTAGTCCCCTTGATACCTCTCGCGTCTGTAGTTACGGACATTATGGTTCTCCGTGCCAAGAGGGATGAAGTACTCGCGCCGTTGCCGGGCCTTCTTGCTCATTGACCGATATGGCGACTGCAACCAGGCGCCAGAGTGATAGAACATAGTAAATGCCTGCTTAAGCGCGACTGCCCATGTCTTCCCGATGAAATGAAGTAGGATAGCCTGGTGAGTTTCCTCATCCATGTATACTCTGTATTTGCCGTTTAATTGCCTGCGCATGTTCAAGGGGACCGGCGAAGGATCCCATTCCCACTTATCGAGACCTTCCAGATCCATATTCAGCACGTCGACAAGCTCCTTCAGTACTGCTGGCTGATTCGTAAGATCTGCAAGAGACTCTCGTTTAGTTCCAGCAAGCAGATCCGACCGGAGCACACCTTGGATACACGATTTGAGTGTGTCGACATCGAATCGAGACGCAGCGCCGGAACCTGTCCGGATCTCGTTGTCATAGAGAGTATTTTTCTTTTTAACAGGCTGCAAATCCGATTTGAAATCCATGACATGCTTCATGGAATCACGCAGGTTCTGAAGAGGCGTTTTGGTGACCTTCTTCGCTTGCTGCGTGGTCCCAAAGATCTCATTCAAGTACTCTACAATCCTGTCTTGATCCATCTTGCGCTCTGTAAATGCATAGCTCTCCCATTCTTTGCGTTGCTCGTGCATTTCTTTGCGACCGACCGTGTCAAAGCTTTCGCTCATCTCTGTGTCTGAATTGTTGCTTACAGCATGGCCAGCAGAAGCCGAACCAGCGGGGTTGGGATGTTTAATCCATTCAATGACCAACTTCCCAAACAGGGCCGCATATTCGTACTTGACGCTTGTCACATCAAGTTCGTGTTCGAGCTTCGATTGCCAATCCGAAAGGAGCGTTGCAGAGACAGACGGGTCATGTTTCGCTTGATGAATGAAGTGTTTCAGGTTCGCTATCGAGAGTTCGGGGTGTTTCGCTGTGATTCCATGCTGTTCGAACCCGTCTAACAAGGCTTCAACTTTGCTGCGATGATCTGGTGCGGATGCAACTTTCGCCAATATCGAGTTCTTCTCGGCTTCGAACTTTTCGCGGTGGTCCGCAAGTTTTCCTAACTTGCGCTCCGTGACATGATGCAGAGTCGAAAGCGTTGGAGTCGCCATAGTGGTACTTGCTGATTGGTGAAGACTTCGAGAGGCTCGATTCCTGGTAGATTGGGAAAAGCCACCTCGACCTCGACCTCGTCCTCTTCCACGTCCTCTCATGAATGTAGAATATGGAAGGGTTTGAATTGATGGGTTGAATGCTTGATGCTTGATGGAATTGCCATAATGCGCGATGAAAGCGCGTTTAAATGTAGTGGATCTCGCTAAGGCAGCAACTCTCACGTGCCGTAGGCAGTCGACAAAGCACATGACCGCGCCCTACATTGAATTCGCAACGCCAATTGCACGCTCGAGAGTAATTGATGCAGGGCAGAAGGGCAGAAGGGCGTTGAAGAAGGTTCGGTGATGGTCTGCGCCGTAGCTGATGCCTACGATGTTGCACTATCCTGTTTGGGTTTAATCGCTTGCCTATCTAGGTGCAACAGTGGAGACAGACTCACCCCTTCATACGATTTTTCTCATAGAATAAATATATAGTACAAGGCCCGATATGTGTATGTGCTTAACCGATACTGTAACTGGGTGACGACTTTGTGATAATGGCGAATAGTATTACATAAAGTCATATAGTAGTGCGGTCCCTTTTTATTCGTTTAAACCTCAATACCCTCGCTTCAAATCGAGTACAAAAAGTGTGCCAACTTGGAGGAGGTGGTGGTGGAGTAGGTCCACGTTCTTCGTCCGCACTAGCGCCATCGTCATCCGACGAATTCCCGTATGTATCGGAGTGTCGTTCTTCATCAGTGAACCTGTCCTCATCCTCACCGTCACCGTCCTCATCCTCGATGATTAGCGGTTCTTTAAAGTTTTTGTCGAACGCGCCCGGTTCTATATCCCAGCTGGTGTCTTGGACCCTCCCATCCCAAACTAATTCATACACGGTATTCTCGAGAGGAAACTTCCACGTCTTCGCACATTCCACAATCTGCTCCAACTGATCTTTCTTGATATCGAACGTCTCGATCACAAGCTGGAGCTCTTTCAGATCCGGGAGTCGTCCCACGATTACGCCCCACGTCTCACGTCCCTGCACAACCTCGCCTGCACTCCGCCTTGCAGCAAGCTCTTCCATGATGTGGTCAGAACCCCAAACACTCAGAGAACTTGGAACCCTGCCGACTGCGACTGCTGGGTCAAGATATAGCTTGCGTGGAATGTAAGTGGATGAGTTCGGGTGGTGACTCCAGTTCCACCAATCCTCGTGGGTCAATCGCAGGGTCAGATGTGTCAGCGGGCGAGCGATCATCGCGCGAGCCTTGAAGTGCGTCGCGAATGTTCCACTTTCGTAGAAGATATTATCATAGCAGTCTGGCTCCGTTGTGATGGGTAGCGTAAGCTCATCACCATCCTGAGGTTCCTTCCTCCCGGATATGGAAGTGCTTAGGGTGTCGAAAGGGAACGGTTGCACTTTATGCGAAGGCTTTTTGTCCCATGCACGTAAGAACCGAGGTGCTATATAAGCGCCTGCGTGCCGCTCTTTGGCATACCATTCTTTTAGCCAGTTCCTCAACTCGCCCTGCTCTAGAGCTATTTGCTGGAGGCTGATGTCCACACGCTGGATTAATGCCGCTTGCCAAGGAGCCAACGTTGCTAACCGCGGTCGGAAAGGGCCTTGGAAATCATAGACAGTGTAGTAATTCAACTTTAGCGGAAGGCGGTACGTTTCGAGATAACTGGCCTTACAGCTCCCGACTAGCCCGAAAGCAATGTCTGAAACTGGTAGTTTGGGTTTCCCATTCATCTTGTGTGAACGCCACATAAAGGTGCCACCGACTGGTATAGTAGTGGTGTCTGTGAGTGCATATTCCCAGATTATTTCACGAACTTCGATTGGTAATCCGGAGAGCAGAGTACATTGGGGTTGCGAATAGATACGATCCCTAGCAATAGAGAAAGCGAGTGGCTCGAGATTGCGCCCGTAGAACACGCATGGCTTAGGGTCTGAGAAGTTGCGCTGGCATGAGCAAAAGTTTGCGCCATCGCTATTGTCGCACTCCGTATTCTGGAAGTATTGGCGCTGGAAATTCGCTGTGTGTCGGCCCACGATAAGTGTGAGGTTGGAGTCCGCCATTTGCCGAGCAAAAAATAGTGAACACAAGAGCTCACAAGATTTGGTGATGGTGGGAATGATGTATTGCCAAGTTGCAGCCTAATCCTCCGCATTTCCTAACCCGAAATAGGAGGCCCTGTAGGCATTGGCCAATCAACGTCAAGGGGCGCCTAATATCTTGCGAAGCGTTAATTATACTCGACCTGCCGTTGAATCATATTTAACTTACTGTTGCATCATACTCGGCCTGATCGGCTGGTTATGTAGGCATATGAAATCTTGCTTGTCTCGGAACGCTATAGCGCTCGAACTCTCTGCTTCCTCAGATCACCTGATCGAACTCGTTCATCCGATCTCATCTCATTACTTCAACAATAGCTAATAGATTCTTGACCCCAGCCCTATACTGAACTTAAAACTACTAAGCCTAATCCTACTTCAGTTATCTCCTTTGTAGTAGCAATTCACACAATTCGCTCCCTGAACATAGGCTTTCGAGCTCACTTTTCCACAACAGCTATTTTATCAGGTCGAGTATGATCTAACAGCAGGTCAAGTATGATCTAACGCCTTCGAACATCTCGGACCGGTTTTCATTACTCTCTCGACGCTACTCCTACGAACCATACACGATGAGATCCAGCCGTTATTCAACTTTCCACACTACGCCCAAGGATCGATAACGACTTTCTTACCGCTTACGCCCTTATGCAGCTCCTCAATACCCTCCGACACCTTCTCCAACCCACCCAGAGAATACGGCGGCACGCCCTTGATGACCCCACTCTTGATACCTTGCTCCATGAACCCTCCGCGAGATAGGAAGTACTTCGCCCAGTCTGCGTTTTCAGGCGCGTGAGTACTAAAACGGTGCATCCCAGCCGTGACGCCTTCGGGCAGCGTTGGGTTCCCCGCCATGACCATTGGCAGGAGCATGTGAATGTACGCCTTGGTAGCGGGCTTGCCTTCAGGGGCCAGAATTTTACATATGGTCGTTACGCTCTGGTTCAGAGATATGGTATCGAGCCAGTAGTGGATCGGGAAGAGATTACGGATCTTATCCACAGTCGTGGGGTCGCTGTGGTCGAAAATGTGGTCTGCTCCAAGTGACTTTAACAGGTCGAAGTTGTGTGGTGAGCTGGTACTGATAACGGTGTACCCAGCTTGTTTAGCGTATGAAATGCAAAGCGAACCCATGGCTGATGATCCGCCCCAGATGAGGATTTTCTTGCCTTCTTCATCGGCTGCAAGGGGGTTGGCTGGAATAGACGGGTACTGCATGTTGAGGGTGTTTGAGCCGAACAGGCAGCCTGGAGGGGTGTATGAGCCCAGTGTGACAACTTTGGTGAAGTCAGTGTCGCCAACCTGAATGCCTCGACTATTAGTACGATGCAGGTACGAGCCTACTAAAAGATTACTGACCTCGATGACCTCAGACTCATCAACTAGCGTATATCGCTGCATTCCTCCATACTTTGGTTTCTTGTGTGTAAAGATCTTCGTACCGCATACGATATGATCTCCGACTGCTACTTTTGTGACGCCTTCTCCGAGAGCTTGTACAATTCCGCCAACAGGACTGCCCAGCACTGCAGGATACTCTACGGGGAGCATCGCCATCTTGGCCACCTTTTCGTCAGCTGGCTGTAGCGCTCCAGCTTGAACCTACACCCGTCGTCAGCATTTTGAGAAGAATCTCACCGATTGCAACGTATATATCAAGACACACCTTGACAAGGACCTCACCCGGTCCTGGCTGCTCTATGGGCGCATCCCGCACTTCAAAACGTCCCTTCGGCTCAAGTAGGAAAGCAGCTCTGTTTCCGGACATGCTGCGAAGTGATGAGAACGACCTCGAATCTGATACGAAGAATGACCTGGATATATATCTTGCAAGGCTGAAAGGCTACTCGTGCGTGACGTACGATATGCAACGTGGTTGTTTCGACTGGCTTGACCTCCAACTAAGCATAAGCCGCGCGACTTGGCTTTATACTTTACACTCGGCTTTTCCTATGCACCGATTCAGTGGGGGCTGACATATCAATTCGCGCTGGCTTCGTGCAGTTCTCGTGCAGTATCGGTGGAGGTTGAAGTTGTGGTGGGGTTCACGCCTGACCGGATTAGCAACGTCAAGGTGCGATTGACACCAATCAGCGCCAGTCTTACATGCGTACACTAGTGTAGCGTCACAGCCTTTCCTCTTCAAGGACTAGCCCATCCTACTTTCACAGTGTCCCCGCCCGGCGCAAACGACGTTAACAAAACCCACCAAACGAGGCATAGCCGCTTTGTTGTACGCTGTAGGTACACAATCAGCAGCTGCGACGTTTGGCATGCATGGTACATGTCATCTTGTACACTTTCCTCTGCACAACTGACGACATTTGCCGGACAATATGGACACCCGCAACGTACTGCACTCACTGTACTTTCGGAGTACAACACAGCCACTTTCAGGATCCACGCACCGGTGCGGGAACAGCGTTGAAATGAAAATGGGGCTACACACCATACCTCTTTCAGCCGCCGCCCACCGCTGATAGGCCACAATCTTCAACTATGTTTGTCGCACCGCATCTCAAACACTCCAATCTGTCATTTGCGGCGCCCAGCTTGGCCTTCGCTGCCTAACGTCCGTCCAACGTACATTTAAGCCCACGCTTCCTGGCCGCGACCAGCCCTGCACATCGAACACAACTCTCCCCTCCATCGTTGCGATAGGGAAATTGAAAATGGGCCCCCAACCTGCGACAGCTTCGTCTTTCCCGCAGGACCTCCCGCCGCGCGAGACGACATGGAAAGACCGCAACTGTCCTGGAATGCGCAATTGCTGGTCCTTCAGCCTGGCGTCTTTCAGTCTCCAGACGTCCGACAAAGCGGTGCTCGCTCGCCGCATATGCATGATTGTGATCTTGGGGCTGCGCACTGCGACGAGCATCTATAATGTTGTGCGGAACGTCATTCATCTCGACATCGGCTGGTTGATCGTTGACCTTATCCTTGGCATCCTCGGATTCTTCTTCATTGCGTGGTGTTTGGCGAGGATTGGAGAGGCGACGGGGTATCGGAGGGTTTTGGGCGCGCGGGTGGTGAGTCTTCTTTTCTCTTTTGTGGTTGTAATTGGAGCTTGCGATTCCCTGGAACTGGTGCCGTTATTCTTCGCCAGAATAACATTCACTAACATACTTCAGGGTCGGTGGCATTTCGACATCTTCCTCCTCGGCATGGCTATCATCCATATAGGCATTTTTGTCAGCGCCTTCTTTTGGAGAAGCAATGGTGGAACAGGCGGTATGTGGCTAGCCATGTGGCTGCTTATCTATGGCGCCGCCTGGGTTACGACGTGGGAGCCTGAGCCGCAGAGTGCTGTCTGATGTACAGATTAATTTCCTACCAAAGGCAGGTGCCTGTTGATGATTTCTTTTGGAGACCTTTCGCGGCTATTGCTATAATTGAGTGCGCGCCGAAGCCTACTTGATGCGCGAGTAAAAAGAATGACATACTAGCTTTTGCAGATACCGGAACAACGTGTAAGATATTTCCTGATCAGTTGACCGTTATGATATCAGCACAATACCTTTCCCCCCTTCGACCCAGCCAGCCTCGAATCCGTCCCACGCACTCACTCCCCGTCTCCATAAACCCTCTTCACTCCAAACCACCCAACCTCATCACCCTCCTTCCCATGCCTCTCCACCACACTCCTAACCCTCTCCACCGCCTCCTCTCCAACCTCCACCAACATCAGTCCTTCCTTCACTGCCCCCTCAGCCAACGCATCCCTCCTCACAAACCGCTCTAGCGTCGAAGCCCCAACAACCCTGAACACCCTGACTCTCCTCACGCCCTCGACACCCTCAAGCAACGCGGCACCGACATGGTCACCAGCCCAGGAGAGCACATACTCAGGGGTTGGCCCACCCGCCTCAGACGAAGTTGGAGAAATCTGTTCGTAGAACCTGGTATCAAACCTCGCCTGCTCGAAGACCTCACGTAAAAGCTTTACCTTCGGCGCAGATTGCCCGTCTAACCCTTTGAACGCCCTGCTATTTCTGTACTCGACGTCTGGCATCGAGTATACCGTCAGCCAGGGCGCTTCGACGGACCATGCGGTTGCGGAGGGTTGGGGGTAGACTATGGTGTGGGTTGAATTAGTCGGTGTGCTTCTTCGTTTGTAACTTGTGTAGTGGTGCTGAGGGAAGGAAGGAAGGAAGCAAGGAAGGAAGGAAGCAAGGAAGGAAGGAAGCAAGGAAGGAAGGAAGCAAGGAAGGAAGGAAGCAAGGAAGGAAGGAAACGCGCTGGAAATTATGTGCAGAATGTTCTTCGCGGAGTGGAGTGTCCAGGGTACATTTCCTTCCCCAGCACACCTTCGGGCAAACGCCCGAAATTACGAGATATACCATATCGCAAAGAGAGAAAGCTACTGCTCGCTCCCACCTTCTTATCCGCCACCCTTACCTCACTCACCACCGCATCCTACTTTTCCCAAGAAGATTCCTTATTTACCCGTCGACCCCGCTACTTAATCGGAAAATTAGCAGAATTGTATCGCACGTACCGGCTTCCCATCGCATCGCGCCTGGCACACCCGGGAGCGCCGTAACTTCCTGAATATGCGTCTCCTCGTACCAGTTGCAGAACTTCTCCGGCGTGAGGACGTCGACGCCTAGACGGAGTTGGGGAGGAGGCGAGAGGCGGGAGGAGACCCATAGGATGCCGGGAGGCATTTTGATGGTTTTGAGCTGGCTGATGCGGATAGGGGGTAGGTGGGGAGAGAAAGGGGAAGAAAAGGGAGAGGAAGAAGAGAGGGGGATAGTGTAGTCGCTGTTGTTGTGGTTGTGTGATATGAGGCACAAGCTGGGAGCTAGAGATGGTAGTCTATGGTAGTCTACGGTAGTATGGAAGTGGCGTGGGTATCGATATCCGGGGCGATGAAGCCAAAAGAACAAAAAGTGCGGGGTATGAACTATAGCTCACTCACTAGTTGCAACGCTCACAGGCACAGAGTAGACCAGTGCGCGTCCGGGTTGACATATATATGAGGGAGGGCCATGCCTACTGCTAAAGTGGTATTTGCACAGTGCAGCTATCAACATCACTGAACAGCACTCCGCACTCAACGAGATCAGCTTTCTCATTACCACCAGCACATAACCCACTATCTGCAGAGTATCACATCATCTCGTCTAATGCGTTCCAATTATCCGCGTCACATCCGACCAACGAGCACCAACTCATGCCTAGCCTAGCCAAGGAGATATAATACAAGGGCCCGCTAGATCCGTGGGTGAAATGGTGAAGAAGCCCGACTCTATGCTGCAGCTGCGTTCCGGACCATGCTGCAATGCTCCGCCCATGTCGCCGGAGTCCGGCGTTGACCGTGGGATACACAGTCAGTCAGAGAGAGGAAAATGAAGGCGACGATGCTTCGAGTCCAGCATGACATTGAGACAGGCTGAAGCCAGTCTATCGTGGTCTGCTTGGTGGCTGCCCGCGGGACTGGTCGTGACTCTAAATATCTGGTCGGTTGGGGGTATCCATCAAGAATCGGTCCCGCGCCCTCAGTTCTTCTCGAGGTAGCGGTTGTTTTCAAGGCTTTGCTTGTGCCCAGGTGCTGTTTGCCAAAAGTCCAGGCTGGTGATAACGTCGTTGCCCAACTCGTCTTCGTAAGCATATATGATCTGAATGCTGTTAGCAAAAGTGACTCGTAGAAAAATCCATGTTCGATTACGTACCTCTCTCGTTGATGTGTGCAGCCACCTAATGTTCTTCGCTGTGACAATGTGTACAAGAGCTCCGCTCTCCATGTGCCGTATCTCAATGAAACTGGGCTCGAACGCAAGGATGTAAGGATGGAAGATGGCAAACGCCTGCGGAGTACCTTCCCATGCAATTCGCCAATCTGGCCGAGCCCGCCATCCATTCCTATTAACGAAGAAAGAGTAGTCTGTGTAGCAAAGGAGGAATTCGCTCGCCAAGCGTTCGATATGAATCGGCTTGATGTTCTCCTTGCGCACGACAAAGTCCAGTGAGGTGTCGGCCTGATCCAGCAATGACTGTGTCTCCAGTGTTTCAAGACTGACAACTTCGAAGCCCTTCGCACACCCGACGCAGAGCTTGGAGCGAAGGAAGTGTATGGAAGTAGATTCTGTTGGGATGTAGAACTCCTTGTAAGGCTTGAGCTGGTCCTGTCCAGTCGAGAGCATCTTGGCGAAACCAGATTTCCTCGATTTGTTGGCCATGTTCTCCTTCGGCTCGTAGACTTTGATCGTAGTCGATAAAGTCGAAGTCTTGACCGAGGCGACCAATTGTTGGCCCAGGCAGATACCAGACTTGAAGAAATTGGCATGGCAAATCTTCCTCGGACGCTTAGCGACTGCGTTATTCTCGTTGGGATCCAACGCTTCCAGCGAATATGAGAAGAGGGTCTTATCAGACAGTACCAAAACGATCTGGTGTTGCTCGAGAACGTCGATCTGCGTGACCGCCTTGCAATCAAGCACTCGTTGCGGTCTTTGCGATGCATCTTTTGGCTTGCGATCAGTAACGAAGATACCAGCATCTGTACCAAAAGCGATTTTTCGACCACCATCTGATCAGAGTTAGTATGACCTTTCCCGATATATCGACAGGGATACTCACCAAGCGGAACAGCACAAGTAACTCGGATGGCAGCAGTGAAGAAGCCTTCGTTGATGACAGTCCGAGTGAAGATGTTGCTGCGATCTCTCAAGTTCTTTTGTTGCGAATCGATATGCTCCATCCACTTTTGCTGAGATATTTGAGTACTTGCGTACAGAGTAAGCTCGTACCCACCCTTTCCAAGATGCCGGAAAGTAATCGGATATCCCTGCTGTTTTGCTGCATCGCCTTTGGGGGCTGGCATCGCCATTGCCTTAGCACCCATCAAGTTGGCAGAAGGACGTTTTGCGATACCCATCTTAGGAATGATCTCGTCCATCTGGCCAATGACTAAGAGTTCTAATGGGATTGGCTTCTTGTAAACCTTTTGCTCTTCGCGCTTGTTGACGACTTTGGCGCGGACCAGAAGCACAGCATGGTCGAAGAGGTAGCAAGTGATGTCGCCCGTCTGTTCGGTTGGCGTTTTCTTGAGAGTGCCCTTAAACACCAATTGCCGGTTCTCGTCCGTCAACTTCAGGTCGACAAACTCGCCAGGCCTGAACTTAAGATCTCGATTGAGCTGCATCAAGTTGAAGTGGTTTTCGGCCTTTCCGGACTCAATGTTGACCTTGGACAGCGTCTCTTTGATCATCTTGATAGCCTTGGGTATATCCTGCTTGTCTGGATTGTCGTCTGCGGTGTACTTCTGAATGTTCTCTAGGAGTAATGGATATCTCGCTAAACGTGTCGTAGGTTTGGTAAGGTAACCGTTGAGTTCTAACTTCCTCGACTCTTTCATCCTTTCGACCTCGTCCACAAACTTCGTGAATTGGACATTCGTGCGCTTCTCGTGCTCAAACTCGTACTTACCGAACAGCTGGTTTGCGCCGTATTTGATGAAAGGAGCGAAGTGCGGCACATACTCCAAGAAGATGTCGCCAATAGAGTAAACCACGGGATCTTTCTGTTGTCGGCGAGTGAGAGATTCTGCGAGCCTAGAATTAACCATGTAGACGTCTTGACAATTGGAGAACACCGTCCGCACGAATTTCTCCCTCCTATGTTCTGGAATTGGTGACGTTGCCGGGTTTCGAAGGGGCTTCATCCAGAAATCTCTCAGGTACTCCAGATCCTTCACAAAGTCGCGTTCAGTGTACATCAGCTCCGAGATGACCTCTTGTCGCTTCTTCTCTTTGTCGCTCACGCTCTCAGCGACCTCCTTAGAGACAGTGTTAATCCACAACTTCTGTTCCTCCGAGTCCAGATCCTCGTGCAAGCTAGCGTGGGATGTTTCGCGCTTGAGACCGGTTGGCCTCAGGTTTAATCGAGCTTGTTGTTCTAATCGGCGAGGGCATGCTATTGAATAACAAAGCCGGTCGCGAGTACAAGTGGGCGAATAACACTCCGTCAGGAGGGTAAAAACACCATTGACCTGCTCTGTCCCCTCTTCCAGCATCGTCTCTTGGAATTGATACACCTCGTTGGTCGAATCACGCAGCCTATGAGCATACGTAACATCATGGAAAAACCTCTGTGCGTCGAGTGAACGGCCGAGGAGCAATGCAAGGTTTCGATCCGTGGTTTTGATAATGTAAGCTATGAGGTCCACAGCCTCTGCGCCTGTAAAAGCATTGTTGTATACCAATCCGTCCTTCTGCTTCTCGGTGATTGGGATGCGGTCTTTAAACACTTCCGCTACTCGTGAAAGCAGCGCGGGGTAAACAAGAGGAGAGCGCCGCTGGGCTACGATTCCAACTTGGCCCTGGTTAGATTGAGAGGAAGCTCGGTTATTGCTAGTCATAGTCTGCGTGGAGCTCGGCCTGGTCACTGACGAGCTCATTGTATCGGTGCGTTCAGAGGGCGGTACGATGGTGGATGCCATGGACATGGTCCGGATCTGAGGTATACTGCCCTGACTACCATGACTTGCATTCCTTGTCTTGCTTCCAGGCCCAGCACTCAGAGGTGGTGATTGTTGGTTTTGATCAATGTAAAGTGCAGACTCCGTATCCCCAGACTCTCTCCTCCTCGCCGGAATGACTCTTCCGCTCATTGTTTGCGCATACTCGGGGTCTCGAGAGTAGGACGTCATGGACATGGTACGTTCGTCAGGACGCTCTGGTACCACTCGACCCTGGGCAGTTGTTCGCGCCATATGGTTTATATAAGGTTGCTGCCGGAACGTGTTCGCGGGGGACTGGTACCCTGGGCCTGGAGCATTGAATTGAGGTCGAGGCACAGTGGCCATTGATTGCGACCGATATGGGTCATTGTTCATCGCTGGACCGGGACCAGGTCCAAATCGTTGCGGTACAGGCTTGTTAAAGGGTGGCTGTCCCTGTGGTGGGCCGCGTGTATCGAAGCGCTGGGGCTGCCCATATGGCTGACGCTCCGGCCGAAGTGGTCGAGGGAGATACTGCGGTTGGGGCTGGCGTTGAGCTTGAGGTGGAGGGGCCCCGTCGGGCATTCTCTGGTTTGGTGGGTAGCCGTTCGGAGGTCCGCGGTTTAAGCCGTCGTGCTGCTGCTCGTAGCCCTGCGGGCGCTGTTGCTCGTAGTTGCTAGGAGGTCGCTGGTCAAACTGCGGTGGAGGGCGTCGATCATAGCCGTTTATTGGCTGTCGCATGGGAGGTGCGCGTTGCATCATGTCAGCTGTCTGCGTGGACATGGTCGCGGCTCGATCCTGCTGCATCATGGGCCTCTGCGAAGTCATTGTCTGCGAGCGCCCAGCCATGGCCGGACTGGCACCGAAGATGTTGGCAAAGGCGGTATCTCGGGCCCCAGTGGGTTGGCCGGGGCGCGCATACTCGCGGCCCTGTTGCTGGCTGTAATCCGCCATGTAGTTTTCTTTCTTTGCGAGGCCCGTCAGCGCCTACTGCACATCCGCACGCACGCTTGGTGGCTTCTCGGATTGGTTTTGTAGGGAGCTCTCGCGGCGTGATATCCACGAGGCGGGGGCGTGGGCGGCGGGCCACTCGAGCGGAGAGGAAGCCTGCGACGTCTGTTTATGTGCAGGGAGCGTGCAGCAAGCCTGCTGGGCGGAGAATCGCGGAGGGTCAAACGGCGCTCGCGGCGGGCGATGTAGCAAACGAGGATTGCTTGTGTTCGCGGAGGCGGGACTGTCTCCTAATTACAGGCCCGGCAGAGGCCGCGGGACACGCGAACGGCGTGGACAGCAAGAATAGAGCGATGGGAGGGGAAGGATAGGGGCGCGGGGCGGGTTCGAAGAATGGCCTTTTGCTGCCCTTGGTGTCTTTGCGGGCTCATGGCACCCATGTGGTGGAGTTCGTTGCAATTGCCAAGAGCCGCCTATCACGCTTCGACCAGCTCTCGTCCGCGTCGCCTCAAGCTCCTGCATCATCACAGCTCCCACCACCCGAACGACGCCGGCCACTCCTCCAAGACAGTTGCAGCGTGCGACCCAAGATGGATAACCAACTCGCCCCGAGCTTCGCGCCGTTCGTCGGCATGGTACGTCATTGCCTGCCCCATGTCGAGTGCATAGCTAACAGTCTACAGAGCGGCATCGCCTTCGCAGTGAGTCTTAGACAAGTGTTCTAGTTACGTATATAACCGCTGACTATTCACAGATGATATTCGGATGTGTGTAGTCAAAGGAGGCTGTTACTGTGCGGAACTGACAGATTCTAGGTGTTGGTGCTGCCTATGGCACGGCAAAGTCGGGCATTGGCATCTCGGGTGTAGGCACGTACAGGCCTGACCTAATCATGAAGGTAGTCTTCTCTAGATTTGCCTTTTGGCTTCGACTGACAAGCATAGTGCCTTATCCCCGTTGTCATGTCTGGTATTCTGGCCGTATACGCCCTCGTCATATCGGTCCTTATTGCGAGCGACATCCGGCCGCCGCCCGAGAAGAACTACTCCCTGTACAACGGCATCATGCACATGGCTGCTGGATTGTCAGTCGGTCTGCCAGGTCTGGCTGCGGGCTATGCTATTGGTATCGTCGGTGACGTGGTACGTGAGGTGGTTTCGAACGGTAGTCTCTAGATTGACTCCTACAGGGTGTCCGCGCGTACATGCGCCAGTCGAGGATTTTCGTTGGTATGGTCCTCATCCTCATTTTCGCTGAAGTTCTTGGTCTCTATGGGTAGGTCGCGCCAATGATAAGTTCAATCGGGATATTGACTGATCGATGCAGGCTTATCGTCGCCCTCATTCTCAACACGCGCGCAACGGGCTAGACACAACGATACGGGCGCTGTACCACTACTTTCGTGAGGATTGTCACGCATTGCATTACGGAGTTCATGAATTGTACAAATGCTGTTGATATAGGAGGCCTGGGTGACCACGGAGCGAGGTATAACGCAGCTTGCGCGCGGCATTTGAGAGGTGGACATGGTGCAGTCATACTGATGGTACGGTAAAGGCACCTAGGATGGAAGAAGGTGGACGCACGTTAGCATTTTTGGACCCCCCGGCGTGGCTAATCTTGCTCTCTAGGGCACCTCGATCATCATGCATATATTTAGTCATTCAAATCTTAGTCCAGGGCAGAATTTTGAAAAAACGAGATGGTTTACCAGACTTGATATGCCGGGCCTTGGTAATTGACCTGTACGGGACGACGTGTGATTCGTTCGCAAGTATACTCGAGCATTAGCCGAAAGACGGATGGCAGCCGTGCGACGAAGTGCTGGGCGCCTTCCAGATTGTCTTGCTCGCAGAGAGCGCTGCAGGGTGGGGTGATAGCTATGGCAAATAACAATTGATGCCTGTGTGTTTCGCATAGCTTCAAATGTCTCAGTCCGCGTGGGGCGGCAGCTGCAAGTGCTGGCAATTGACCGTACTGTTAGAGAGTGCTGAAAAGGGAAGCCGGCGCGCTGCTTTGTTCGAGGGGACCTCCCCACGCCAATGCGTCATCGTTCTCGGACAGCCCGTCCCCTGCGCAGGCCCCGCCAAGTTACACCCAGACGCCTCGCTGACAGCTCCTTGTCCCATGGTTGAATGCGCCGAACTCCACGCTGCCTGCTGAGGCACCCTCCGATTGCCCACACCTTACAAACCGTTTGCCTTAGAAACATGCAGTAGCACCTAGACACCAGAATCGTGAACGACCTGCTCGAGCTTCACAGCTGCCTCCGATCCTTGGCCCCGCCATCGTTGCCAACTGCCCAAGATGGCAGCGGCAGTCCACAAACTGCTGCACCCGCATCGCAGCAGAGACCAGGCCAGAGAGGAGGAACATGAGCGCCAGAATTCGGCCATGGATCGCGCCCGCGTCGAGGAGAAACACACGCTTGCGCAGTGGGGTGAGAAGAAGGCGCCGCTGGAGCCAGGCCAAATTGACAAAGATCCCGACCAGAAGATGGTGGGACACTCAAGCCATGTGTTGCGGAAAAAGGACTTTGAGCTGATTAAGACCCTGGGGACTGGTGAGTGCGAGGGAAACAGGGAAGAGGGGAAAGAGAGGCTGACGGGTGATAGGTACATTTGCAAGAGTGTGGTTAGTACGGCTGAACGACGCGCAGAAAGGCGACGAGAATCAAGTCTTCGCTTTAAAGATTCTGCGCAAGGCGGACGGTATGCATGCGTCATCTCTCCCGGAATCATGTGCACAGCTGACAACGAGTCTCAGTGATCCGTCTAAAGCAGGTTGAACATGTGAGTACCAATAGATATGAAGTGAACGTGTCCTTGTCGCGGTAGGAGAGCTCATTCAGTGCTGCTGAGCCATTTCCACCGTCCCAATTCCTACCTGACCGCGTTGTACTGACTCTGTGTCAGGTTAGAAACGAGAGGAATGTCCTCGCCGCGGTTGCAGGCCACCCCTTCATAACCACAATGGTCGCCAGCTTTCAGGACCACGACTCGCTATACATGCTTGTAAGGGAGATACATACCAGCGCCAGAATGTTTTGCTGACGGATGCAGCTCGACTACTGCCCCGGCGGCGAAGTCTTTAGCTACCTCCGAAGAGCCCGACGCTTCAACGAGCCCACGTCCCAATTCTACGCCGCCGAAATAGTCCTCATATTAGAGTTTCTGCACGAACGAGAAGGCGTTGCATACCGCGATCTAAAGCCCGAGAACATTCTGATCGATGCGGAAGGACATCTTAAGCTGGTGGATTTTGGATTTGCGAAGAAAGTGGAGAATAGTGGGTGAAACTTTTGCAGACGAGAATGAGACAGTCTGCTGACAACCGCATGCAGGGGAGACGTACACGTTGTGCGGCACGCCCGAGTATCTGGCACCCGAAGTCATCAGGAACACCGGTACGTCACCTGTGATACCACTTCCCTGGATCTGCTAACCTTGCAGGCCACGGCACCGCGGTTGATTGGTGGGCCTTCGGCATCTTGGTCTACGAGTTTCTCGTTGGCCAGCCACCCTTCTGGGACCAAAACCCCATGAAGATCTACGAACAGTGCGTCTCACCCCCTCCTCACACCCCACCAGCATTGTCTAACCTATGGAACAGGATCGTCGAAGGACGCCTCCGCTTCCCTTCCGCCATGTCCTCCGAAGCCCGCGACTTGATCTCGGGCCTCTGCACCGTCGACACCTCAAAGCGCCTCGGTAACATATCAGGCGGCGCCAGCACTGTCAAGTCGCACGCCTGGTTCAAGGACATCGACTGGGACGCGTTATACCACCGCAAGATTCAGGGCCCTATAGTGCCCCATTTACGCGGGCCAGCTGATACGCGAAACTTCGACGAGTACGAGCCGGAGAGTATACATCGGGAAGGGTATACGAAAGAGATGCAGGAGAAGTACGAAGACTCGTTCAAGGATTTCTAAGTACCCAGCGGAGATCGAACGCGGTCTTGCTGCGCAGGACGAGGTCTGGGAGACGTGTACAAAGACGCCGAAATCCGCGACCGGAAGGGAGAAGTGACGAAACGACTGCCGGCCGAAGCAAAGCCTGGCGAAGGTTCACTCCCACTGTTTGTTGGTCTTTCTTATTGGCTTTGCATGCCCGTTGTAAGCGACGCACGAGGAAACGAACCGGATGATACGAGATACCTGTGCATGAAGCATGTCTATAGTAGGGAGGGTTTTGGTCCAGCTTTGGCGTCTATACCGGGCATGTACTTTAGGGAGATGAACGAGTATCTATATCCCATATCAAGTCTTCAACAGCTTGGCTTGCACTGCATGTGTACCGCTTGCCGAGCCGAGTAGAAAGTGTCCTGCTAGGGAAGAGCACCGGCTTGTATTGTTGATTCCGGTCTTTCAAAATGCGGTACGTCTTTCCCGCAACCCCTGCTCTCCCCGATGCTCTCGTGGTCGTCTCCATCTCACTCTTCGTTTCTCTTCACCTTTTCTTTGCGGTTTCTTGCCCATCTTCTACACTACATTCACTATATTGCCCCCTCTACCCCAAATCAAATCACCATCCCGCCTTACCTACACTAACATCTCACTTCCACAAAAACGCAATCATATCATTTTTCTTCCATTGCGTTGTTTCCCCCATGGGCCAATCTACGCTCGATCTCCAACGAAGAGTAAAGGCGAAAAGTGACGAAATGTCCAAGGTACCGTGAAAGGTGGCCTAGCGTTGCTACATGTCTATGTTGGTTTGATTTTAAGGAGTGTTGATGCGTGTGCAACGCCAGTGCTTTGGGTTGTAGAACGGACCCCAGTACTTCGTTCTCGGTGGCACCGTCGAAGTCATGCTCTTGCAATCGCTTGTATTGGTCGTCATTTCTGGACGGTGCGACGGAGGAATTGTTTTGTTGCTTATAATAACCAGAATGGATTCTTAGGGATGTGTGATATCAGCGTTTGGATTTAGGCAGGACTGTCAGGTTGGTATTTGGTTTGTGCGCTTTACTTGTAGGAAGGGAGGGGTAGGGAGGGTAGGGGGTTAGGTCGGTCACGGGCCTGCTTTCTTTGTTTTAGGAAGGTTTCGTGGCAGTAGTGATGAATACAGCAATTGAAATCGACGGAATGCTCTTATAGATCTAGTGTGAAGCTTGGGAGTAGCAGTTGGTGCAACAGTGATAGACGAATCTGTATCATCGACGTGATTGATATGGCCCCGTAGTCTCGGCGCAGTGCGGCTGATTTACTTGGTTTGGCAAGGCTTCTAGTAATTATGGGAGGTGCTGTCGTTCTGCATATTGCTTGGCGTTGCGAGTCGATGTGGCGTGACTGGTTTTGGGCCGAAGCGGGAAGGGAAACGGTTCGTACCTGCGTAGGATATCCGATGTTGTAGGACTTTCTATGGAAGGAATAGTCCAGCGTCTTGGGTACGTCAGGATGTGGGTTCGCATCGCACACTTGGACTATTAAACGACGACCGAGGGAAGGAAGAACCGCAGGTGCTGCCAACACTACTCGGGTGGAGATCGCGTCAGCTGCGCACCATCATATCTACATATTCATTTGCGTAAGCTTACGGATTGCGTCAAGTGAGAAAGATCGACTCTGAAGATCTAACAAATTCCATTATCACGCACATGGGTATCTCAAACTGACGCCCTCTCACCGTCTCACCGGACTCCCCGTTCCCAACTCACTCGCCTCATATCTTGGACTCGTAGGCCCCAACTCCGCCGGCGTCGCGTCCCCTGCCGTCGGTAGCTCGCTGATCGGTCTCGTCGCCGCCACAGGCTCAGTATTATGCGCGTACTTGTGTTCCTGCACAGGTGCGTACTGGTACGGCACATTTGAAACAGCAGGACTTGGCCCAGCGCCGGGCATCTCGATGGTCTTGTTCTCGCGGCGCTTCCTCGCGCGTCGGAGCAGGAGCAGGATGCCTGCGAGGACGGCGGCGATGGCGACGAGGCCGCCCAGGACGATGCCGGCTATTGCGCCTTTGGAGAGGCCGGAAGAGGAGGAGGTGGAAGAGACGTGTGGGAGGGGTGTAGATGTAGTATTTGAAGTAGAGGCGGGAAGTTTGATCTGTGTGGTGTTGTAGACGGCTTCGTCGAAGTTGATGTTTTTGCCGGGTTTGGTGTTGCACATTTCGGTGAGAGTTGCGACGACTGTGGTGGGCGGTTAGCACGTGATATGAAAGAGAGTTGTAGATCATGAACTCACTGTTGCCCAATATCGTCAGCCCTTTGCCATTATACAAACACTTGATGCAGCTCTGCGCCCTGTCTGTGTAGTTGCCGTTGCTGTCGCAATAATCGTATCTCTCAGGATCGCTCTTGATGCGATAGTCCGATGCAGCGTAGATCGGGTTGCATGCTGAGAAGCATTGCTTGTAAGGTTCGGTCGACGAGATGTCCTTGTTGCTTTCTTCCGCGAAACGTCCGAATATGCAATAGTCAGCTGCTCCACGGTTGTTGACTTGAGAAATCGTTAGCTTGGTGTTGCGCCGAGTGCCGATATACCATAGCGCGCAAAGTGTATACTTACATAGAAACCACGTTGTGTCTCTCTCGCCGCTATCTGAATCCTCCCAGCCACTTGACTGCATGCAGGTCTGGCAGTCCGCGAACTTCTTTCCTACTTTCGTCGCATTCTTGCCCACGTAGTCCGCGTCGATACATGCTACGTCAGGGCCGAAGGTTGTAGATGCATTTGACCAACTTGGGTTGCCTTTGTTTGGATCGTCGAGGCACTTCTTTGCGCATGGAGAATTTGTACCGACTTCCAGACCAGCCACTAACCCCAGGAAGAGAGCAACGAAGCAAATATGTCTTTTTATCATAGCTGCTGGTATAAACCTTGCTAGGTCACGCTCCAGAGTAATCGAATGGTGACCGGATCACGTATTTTGGATCCGCAGAATGTCGCAGTGTTCGTTAACTGAAGGAATGAGAAAAGAGGACCTTACGGCCTTCTTGACACTGAATCCTCGTTGCAAGGCGTCCCATTGCTGTGGAGCACTGTCATTCACTCTGGGGCTGTAACATCCTATTGATAGCGGCGCTAGCCGTAAAGGGCATAGCTGACGTCGGGAAATTCGAGTAACAGGCCTGAAGGTCAGGATCTACACACCAAATCATGGGTGTAAGATCTTCGAGGAAATAAAGCGCGAAGGCATTTCAGAGGAGAACGTCATAATGGACAGGGGATTGGTTTAACCGGAGGGTCGTTGCTGACTGCTTGGGGCCAAATACCTTTTCGTCTACACCCTCGAACAGTTCACACGCTTGAAATCATGTCTGCCAGTATTCCTAGTGTCCGAAGCCGTAACCATCGCCTTTATCGTCATTAAGCTTCTGGGTTGGGGCCAAGAGTAGTCAGGCGAGGCTTGGCCCGTCATGGTGGCGGTGCTTGGTCTATGAATGGTTTCGATAGACAGACATTCGGAGGCCGATAGGACAACAATTCCCTTCTGATATCTTGTTGTACACTTGCGACCATGGCGACTCGATCCTGTGGGCGATACAGCAAACTTCACAACCGGCTCGCTTTGCCATGCGCGCTCGAGGTCAGTCGAGAATGCGAGTGTGTATTTGACCTTCTATCTTTAGTGTAAGCCTGAACTCTACGGCGGCGACTCTATGCAGTTGACGATAGCCCTTATCGTATGCCGTGAAAGATGAATGGTTGCGGTGGTGTGGTGTTGTTCGTCCCACATCGGAGCGGTTTGGCACCGACTTCACGACGCGTTCGGAACCGGAAGTTACGGACGAAGCGCGGATGTTTGCATTCACAGCAACCTCAATGGGTCAACAACCACAGTACTTACCAATTGCAATGAGAATGAACCCATTATTGGTAACATTTCTCATTCATACCATGGATTAATAATCACTGACACGTCGCAACTAAGGCATCCGGGATGCTCTCGATTTCTAAGCTCCCGCAAGTGTGGAACGAAGACGGCCACTGCAGCTTCCCAAACCATTGACCCCTCAACGAGCGATGGCGCTTATAAAACCCCTCACCTTCCACGTCGTACAGCTCCGAAGCACTTCCAGAAGCATTTGCCGCCTCGCACGTCTACGATACCCAGCTACCGCTCCCGCTTTTCCACGACCGCATATCCAAGCTTCCTTCCACGCGTCTGCTCGACAGCTACAAGACGACAACATGGCGGAACGTCCTACCGGCCTCAAAGCAAACAAGGGCATTGAGCTCCTTACGTGGGGAACACCCAATGGCGTGAAAGCGTCCATCATCTTGGAGGAACTTAAGGAGGCGTACGGCAAGGACTACGCATGGTGAATAAATCCGGCCGCAGCTTCTCAACAACTTGTGCTCATGCAAAGACATCTAGGCAGGGAGTCAACATTGGCCAGAACATCCAGAAGGAGCCTTGTAAGGAGCCTAGAAATGCTGTTAATGCATGCTATCAGGCGTGGAGCGAGCTCTGACCAGACATAGGGTTCACGAAGCTGGGCCCCAATGGCCGCATTCCCGTCATAGTAGATCACGACCAGGGCGGCTTCGCCGTCATGGAGGGCCTCGCGATTCTCACCTACCTCACCAGGATGTACGATACCGACCACAAGTTTTCCTTCTCAGACCCGCTAGACATCAGCCGCGCGGAGCAGTGGATGGCCTGGCAGCACGGTGGCCTAGGACCGATGCAGGGCCAAGCGAACCACTTCAACAGGTTCGCCCCAGAGAGGATCGCCTACGGCATGCAGCGATGTAGGTACGCTTCTAGGAGGATACTCTGACACCGCTAAACATGCTATACAGACACTGGCGAGACCGAGCGTCTTGTCGGCGTGCTCAACACTGCTCTTGAGGGAACCGACTACCTCGTCGGCAACAAGTACTCGATCGCGGACATAGCTTCTTACGGCTGGATCCAAGCTCTTGGTTTCACGGGCATCGAGATCGATGATTTCCCGAATGTCAAGAAGTGGGCGGACCGTATCAGCGCGCGACCAGCAGTTCAGAAGGGAGCGGCCATCCCTTCGAAGTCGCCTTTCACCAACGAAGCATACGCGCAGAGGCTAAAGGACGACAAGGAGTTCGCGGAGAAGGAGGAGATCTTGAAGGGACAGATCAAGGCCGCCAAGGAGAAATATGGCTACAAGTATTCCTCTCCTTGAAGTTCCCATGGGGAGATCCCGGAATCGGCGGCGTAGGAAACCTCAAACGAGGCATTACACCAGAGCGAAAGAATAGAAAGATTAATGGCACGGTGATTGTCGACTTGTGGTTGCATTGCTGTGTGGAATTTATCGTCTGTGACCCGAAAGTTGAAGAGAGCAGTCAAGAGCTGAATACCCAGGTACAGTCACTGACCTCCTGCTGTTCGCGTCTTACAATTTAGCCCTGAGTAACTCACACGGACCCACAAGAGTCACGGCGTTTCAGCGTCGGCGGCATCTCCCTGAATACTCACCTTTCGACTGCTTCTGCGTCCATTTCCGCGTTGAAACACAGCCGATGAGTCTCATCGGCGGCTTGTCTCAGGACCAATCAACGCGCACTTTCACCCCTGCCGTCAAGAATCTTGGCGTCCGTCATAGGCGCCAGCATTAGCGATTGGAGATGCAGGGCGCCAGGCTTGCTGGACCCTCTTTACACGCCGTGAGGGCGCCAACGATCGTGGCCCGTTCTTGGGTGCTTCACTGCGTTACAGTCGAGTTCGTATTTAAGACCTCCAGAGAGTCACCAAGTGCGCAGCATCACATCCTGACGTGTCTTCATAGCATACCTTCACTTTAGCAGCTGCGCTGCATTGTTTTACTACTATAATTATTGGGGTCTGGTTCTAGATTTCTTGCTCTCTCCGTTGTCAAGTTTCTAGATTCTTTGTCGATCATTGTGCACAAGAGCAACCCTTGTCCACGAGACGCAACTGCCTTTTCCAACACACCATCCCGCTTCAACGACGTCACGCACGATACACCCCTGCACACCACCATCTCTTTGAGCGCACGCGCTTTTTCACGAACATAACCCCACGACGACAACAGCATTGTCCGCATTGTGCGCGAACGAACCCATTCTTTTGTGGTACAGGCGGTTATAACACAGACTGCATTCCTCTGTCGTCACCACTTTATCGCACTCTCGCATACGCATCACGCGCAACAACCGACTCGGTATCCCTTCGCCTTGCAAACAGGGCTCCAACTCACTCACACACACCACCTAAAGCAACAACTATCTACGTAAGCGCTCCGAGCAACTTTTACAACGTTCGAAATTCTGACATGATCCAAGTCCTCATGGCTCTCAAGTTCCTGTCCCGCGGCTCGATGAAGGGCGAGAAGGTCGGCATGGCCAACTCTCTTCGGGCGAGCATGTCGCCCGGCTCCATCTTTCGCATCCTCATGCGCTTCTTCCAGCTCATAATGGGCATCGTTGTCATCGGTCTCTACGCGCAGGATCTCACCCGCGCCCATAACGCGGGCGTGAAGTACGACTCCAAGTGGATGTACGCCACCATCACCGGCACCCTTGCGTCCTTCTGGGCCATCGTCTGCATGCTCCCCCTCGTCAAAGCCTGGTTCCTCTTCGGCATCGACTTCATCGTCTTCATCCTGTACATCGCGGCATTCGGCATCTTCGGCAAGATGTACATCAACGAGGACCCAGAGGGCAACGGCGGCATCATCCGCATGAAGCACGCCGTTTGGATCCTGCTCGTGAACATGCTCCTATGGTTCACCAGCTTCGTCTATGGCGCAGTCGTCTTCTGGAAGTACTGGAAGGGTAAGCGATCTCCCACCATGGCTGTATAAGCCAACGCTGACGTTTTCGCTTCAGGACGTACGACCTTTACAGGCCGCGCCCCTACCCATACCCAGATGTCTCACGCATAGTCGCGGACTCCCATAGATGACGCTGGGAAGGCAGACTTGTGCTAACTTGAGATACTAGAGGACTACGGTCAATATTACCTTGGACGTTTCCTTTTAGCTACTCGCAATCGCGTCGGCCCCGCAACGCGAAGTTTCCTACTGTTGTGGTTTTTTAGCATCTATATTATACCCTGCGCTGTATATTGGCAGTCGTTCAAGCGCTGTTTTGTGCGAATTAATCTGTCTGCAACCAACGTGTTTGTACGAATTCATCTGTCACTGCAATCCACGTGTCTCTCAGTTTTGTTCCAGTGCCCAAGTTGTGTTTCTCATGTGCGCGTAGGTGTTTGGTGGTAGACTCACGATACCCTTCTCAGCTGTCGTTGCTGTTGTTTCCTCTTGCGTGTCCCACAAAGTAGTGCGTCCATAATATTAATCGTATCCATGCCCAACGTAGTGTTTGGATGTTGATAGCGTGATGTTGTCGGGCCGTAGCTCGACGGCGCAATGTCCCAAGCTATGAGGAGCTCATTTTTTACGAGGAGTTCGCACTAACAATTCGCCCCGACGAAACGCAATAACAACCTTTCACGATAAGAAGAAGTAATTTGAGTTCAAAATTTGATAGATCTTCTACTCTTCTACCGGCGTCTATCAAAGAAAGGGTACCACATTAAGTGTTGTGGTTATGGTGTTGTAGTGTTATGTCGGAGCTTGGTCGGCTATTCCTGATCATGAATGAGCCCATCCACTAGGCTGCCCCGCGATGAAGGCCCAATCAACGTAATGCATGCGAAGAGCGCGGGGCTGAGCAACTCTGTCATTGGGTTGGCATTGCGATTTGCAGCGTGACCACTCGAACGCGATAAATGACAGCTGCCAGCAGCCACACGCGACGGGGTCGTGGTTGAAGGGGCTGTGGGCTTAGCGTGTGCATCGGTACCACTCACCGGAGCGGGAACGCGAGGGGCAATGACTCAGCAATGGGAGGCAGGCGCGAAGAAGGGTCTACCTGAGACAGAGATGCAGGGCATCGCAGGCGAATTGTTTTGAAACATTCATCACAACATGTAATGCTACCCAGTATCATAACAGCCGTGAATCTTCCAGCCAGCACAAGTCACTTGGTGAATGATAAACTGGTACGGCGGGACTAGCCAAGGCGCCAAGGCGCCCAAGCCTCAGTGGCTGTGATGTTTACGAGGGCAGTGGCGTCATGCTGGCCTTGCCGCTGCAGCTGCTATAAAGAATAAACATAAGCCCCCACCGAGCTCCGCCAGCCTTAATCACACGTCTGTCGACTTCATTCCACCCGCTAGAAACACTCTACAATCGCATACTCTAATGTACGGTCAACAAGGAGGATACGGACAGCCGCCGCCTAACCAGGGATGGGGTCAGCAGCCCCCGCCCCAGGGCCAGTATAACGCTCCGCCTCCGCAACAGGGATGGGGTGCCCCGCCACCGCAGGGAAACTATCCTCCCCAGCAAGGCTATCAACAACAACAATATGGTGCTCCTCCACCCCAGCAGGGACAATGGGGAGCACCTCCTCCTGGTGGACAACCGGGCTACGGAGCACCTCCACCAAATCAGTACGGTTCGCCCGCGCCGCAAGGGCAGTATCAGCAGCCACCTGGCCAGTATGGCGCTCCCCCACCGCAAGGCGGTTATGGACAGCCTCCACCACAGCAGTATGGCGCTCCCCCACCGCAGCAGGGATATGGCGCTCCGCCGCAACAGTACGGCGCTCCTCCCGGCCAGCAATACGGAGCTCCCCAAAGCTTCGGCCCGCCCACTCAGCCTTCGTTGGGATATGGCCAACAGCAAACTGCCAACATCGATGTGACTCAGGACGTTGAGGCCATTCGAAAATCCATGAAAGGTTTCGGCACCAACGAGAAGATCCTAATCGCAGCGTTAGCCAAGAAGGACCCCATACAGATCAACACCATCCGTCAAGCCTATGGCCAGCGCTTGATGCGAGACTTAATCAAAGATCTTGAGAAAGAGACATCAGGCTACTTCGAGAAAGGCCTAGTACAGATTGCTCGCGGTCCGCTCATGGGTGACTGTTACACGCTGTACGAAGCGATGAAGGGCGTGGGAACAAAGGAGGCAGCTCTTGATGATGTTCTTATTGGTCGATCAAACGCAGATATCAACGCGATCAAAACCGAGTACCAGCGACTCTTCAAAAAGAGCCTAGAATCCGACTTGAGGGGCGATCTCTCGGCAGCAACCGAGCAGATGTGTAAGTTGGAAAGTAACGATCCGAAAATGAACATTTACTAACAGCGAGGTAGACATGATGGTCATTGCGGCCCGCCGCGCAGAAGACTCGGCCCCAGTTGTTCCCCAAGCTGTCGAGCAGGACGTCACCGAATTGCAGCGCGGAATGGGTAACATGATCAGCAAAAATGCTAGTTCTGTGTGCGATGTGTTGTTCACTCGCAATGACGCCCAGATCCGCGCCATTGCCCAAACCTACCAGCAGCGATTCCACGAGCCTTTGCTCAAGGCTATCAAGTCCAAGTTCTCAGGCCACATGGAAGATGCGCTTGTCTTACTTGTTGATCGAGCAACCAATCGCGCTGAAGCTGAGGCGGTGCGCCTAGAGGACTCGATGGCCGGCATGGGTACGAAGGACGAGCTGCTGGTGCAACGTGTGGTCCGGTGTCACTGGGACCAGGGTTTCATGCGGGCCGTGAGCGATGCTTACCAGCGCAAGTACAATAAGTCGTTGGTCAGGAGAATAGAGGGCGAGACGAGGGGCGACTACGTAAGTGAAACGACAATCATGTCACTTGGGGCGACCGCTAACCAGCCCAGGAGAAATTGATGGTTGCTTGCGTCCAGTAGAGTGCTGGACGCCATCCGCGTTCATGCTTCCATTTCTTTTCTACGACGATTCTACGATGGTTTAGACGACATGGATTGGGTAAAGGTATGCCTCAGTGGCCGGGTTTGTTTGGTATGAGATTGGGCAAAAGAGAGAGATTCAGAATCTTCCTTCCTCAATTATATCCCTTCACCAAACATTAGCTCTTCTTGTTCATGAGGTGTTACTAATTCATATAACCGCGGCTTAAACAACAATCCACACACAGGCCGGACTGACATACCGATTCAAGGCCATCACGAAGCACCGTCGCTGTTGGACATTGGAGGACTCGAATGCAATCCATGACAAAGAAGATGCTGAGTTCAGCGAAGAGTGGGGGTAGATGACGACTTCACTGTCTTTACAGGTCGCAGATGGGCAGGATCTCCGCTTACTGGAAGAGACCAATATCAATCCAATCGCGCAACACGACTGGAAGGAGACTCATTTACCATTTGGCACGACCCAATGATGAGTTTGGCTTGCCTCATTCTCCAGTAGACTATTGTCTGGCACCGCCTAGGGTCCGCATTGACCGGATTCCTACGGTTTATCCCGTTTAGTGCCACGGCGACCCAGCTTCGTTGCTGGAATACATTTGTATCCTCGATAGGCGACATCATATGGTTGCAAGTGCTACAGGTGAGATACTGCGCCGGCTGTCACCCTGTCACTAGATTCTTAGCTTCCGTTTCTGGTGCACCCCCGTACCCGAATGGTTGGTTCGACCCTGCGCCACAGTAGTCGATGCACATCGCGGAGCTGTTGGAAACTAGGAACACTGGATCTCGGCGTTCCCTTGCCGCTCATACCAGTGCCGTCGATGCCGATATGGTTACGAACGACTTTGAATCTTGTTGGTGTTTTCATGTCAATGACCTCGTGGCCGTTACGATGCTACGTTCTCATCCCAAATCGGAACAAGATGGGCAAATCGTGGCCTGGGATCGGAGGCCAAGCACTACGAACAGTCCATGCACCGCACACGGCCGGTAGTTCGCGCTTCCAAACCAGACGCAGTGGGCTTCATTCAGCAGTCGTTTGCTACACGCTCTTGTCGCCCTAAGTCCCGGTCATCATGTACTGATGTACAGACTTTGCCTACGGGCCGATGCCCTGAGTTAAGACTATAAAGCGTGCATTGTTCCCCTGGTTATCGTTCCAGCAGACTCGAGTATCTCGCGTCCTACCCGATCCACCACCATGTCCGCGATTCTTGCCTCCTTCCTTCTCGCCTCGGCTGTCAATGCCAAAGTGCTGCCTCGCGAGGTGGATGCCCGTTCGTCGACAGGGGCATCAGCTAGCATCCTACCAATACCGACTGTGGATCCCGATTCCAGCTCTATCACCGACGACTTCCCTACCTCCGGCGTCTTTCCTACCTCCGTCCCCTTCACCTCATTGACAGACGTCCCCTCGCCGAGCCTCTCCTCGCCCTCGCCCGACTTCTCCGGCACAATCTTCATCGGCATCCCCCCCCAAGCCGACTACACCACGACCACCGTCTCAGCCTGCACCCAAGCCGACGGCGAAGTCGTCGACTCCCTCGTCGTAATCGGCGTTCCCACAGGCACCTTCTCCCCAGGCCTCACCAAAACCATCGTCGTCCCCCCGCAGGCCGACCCCACCACCGTAACCTACTACGACACGCCCCCCAGCAACGCCACAGAAGTCATCATCATAGAGCCTCTCCCTGGAAACTGCGGCCCTTTCATTACACCCACCGGCCTCACCCCGGGCGCTAGCACGACGTCTGCTTCTGCGAGTCCGTCGAATACGGCGGGTGTATGTCCTACCAAAGGCTGCTCAGGCGCCATACTACGCACCGCAGAGACAGTCATCAACGCTCTCAACGCAGTAACCCAAGCATCCATGAACCTGCAGCGTGCAGCGAAAAAGATCGGCGCGCCGCCCGTTTCCCCCCTCACCCCCCACTCCGATGCCTCAACCGAGCTATTCAGCAATCCCATCAGCGACGTAGCCATCGGTCTAAGTCGCATAGTCATCAGTGTGCAAACGGCCTTACCCTCGTTTAATACCTTTCCGGCGTTTCCGCCGGGCTGCTCGAGCGATACCATTGTGCTGGCGTGGTTGGAATTCGTGCGCGTGCATCAGGAGTTACTCGCTATTTTGATCGGGCGCTCGGGACTGCTGGAGACGGGGCCTGTTCGCCGGTCCGAACCTTCTATTGCAAACACTCCGTTCAACCCTGCCTTGGGTCCGGACGGTGCCGTGTTGGTTGGGAGGGAAACGCAGGGCTTCATCGGGAAGCCTATTGCTGTTGCGCTGAGGGGGATAGAGGCTGTGGTTGATACGTTGGCGGTTGGGGTGGTGGATTTGGTGCCGGGGAAGAGCGCGTGTAGTGAGGAGAAGGGGAGGGAGATTAAGGCTAGTATTAAGAAGGCGGAGGTTAGCTATGAGGGGTAGGGTAGGTTGAGATTGGACGGGGAGGGATGGGGTTCGATTCTTGACACTCCTTTGTGATGTCTGTGCGAAATGGTTGGTGCCTGTTTGATTAGGATAGGGAGGGAGACGTGCGAATGGGGTGGGCAGATCCCGGTAATATATGATGATTTGATGACGTGCAGTCTAATCCGCTTTCCGGTCTTGAATCTTTATGTCCGAAAATACAGTGTCGTAACTCAAACATCCTCTTGATCCGAAGAGTTCCACAGCTTGTCGTGAGGGAAGATATAGAGGTATTTATGGAGTTCGGCAGGTTGGGCATTGCCTGAACAACGTGGAGATATATATTTGTGGTTTGAGTATCCTTTGGAGGATGTTGCGAAGTGATTTTAAGGGACGAAGGTATTGCGGGGATGCTGTGGTGAGTCCGAGAATGCGGCTGGGGTTGGTGGAGTGATGCGTGATGTGGTAAGGCTGGTGTGTGAGATGAAGAAAACTTGGGGTGCTTGGTGGGTTGTGGTGTGGCTTTTAAGGCATGTGTTATTGGACTAGTGGACGTGGGTGTCTTATCTGTGTGTCTAATGTGACGGATGATCTAATATATTAGTTTGCATGCGTGTTGCAGTCAATGAACAATATAAATACTACGAAGACTGGAAGGGGATATAGCGAATATGTAGACAGAGACAAATTGCGAAAGTTTAGGATAACATGGTGAGCGTCTCTTCGTCTCTTGACAATTATTCGAAGGAGGTTCCAGCGGCAACTCTAGTCACCCTGTTTAGCCTTATATATACAGGGTGTAGCAACTGACGATTTGGAGGACCGCAAATGCGAGTTGCCCTTATACAGTGAGAATTACATTGGAAATGAATGGCTGGAGTGAGTTCGTAACCAATACCTGACACAACTCTTGAGCTATCTTAGTGTTGATCGTTACTATTGCTACAAAGTAGTAACAAATTGGAACTTTATCTCCGAATCCTCCCTGTGTGTGCCTCTTGGAGATTATCTGGCAATGCTCGTAACCTACGACAATGTCTTATCCAATGTCCTGGGACTTGCTCCAGAGCTACTGATTCCCCCACCGTTCAACCTAAGCTTTTTGAAGGTGTTTCTTCTTTATGGTCGTACCGTTCTCCTCACAGCCATTTAAATACATCCGCGGCATGATTATACTTCGACATTTCTGCCTTTCTTGTACCCTTTCTTGTACCCTTTCTTGTACCCTTTCTTGTACCCTTTCTTGTCACTTCCTGACGCTACTAAATCTTTCTATCTTCGTCTTCGCTACGCATTACCCAGGTCGCCACTAACAAAGACCACTAGCACAGCTGCATATCTATATACACAAAGTTAACATGCTGCCTTGAAATTGTGAGCGTGATACGTACGCTGCTGTGGCTCCAAATAATTCGGCCCTCCGAGCATTCGTCAACAAACCCACACATCCAGCAAAGAAACATGTGAAAGCCGCTATGAGGCCCAAACGCCAGTCCGGAGGGCGTATTTTATATAGTACCACAATTGCACCAATCAATAGCAATGCGGCTAAGAGCGTGCTGAACTATGCCACGAAGGACTCAATCGCACGATCGGAAGCGTATGCGATCCCGTATCTTGATCGCTTGCGGTCCTGTATATCATGTAGTCAGACAGCTATTGCTTCTGCTCCATGTTGACCTTACCGGGAACAGGAACGCTAGATGTTCATGTGCAAAGTGCGTCAGCCTGTCTGGACTCTCAAGCACTCTCAATGCTACCAAATCATCAATCTCGTCGTACACGCCAGCACTACTTCCGCCAAGTGTAGGGAATGGTTCATTGTCTCCGTCATGTCTGTTATAGTACTCTTCTTGAAAAGCACGCAGGACACTCTTCGAGGGAGCCGGCATCGTTGCCATCGTGCTCTCGAACATCAAAGCTTCTCGATAGTCTTTCATCGTTTGGCGGATCTCTAACATCAGCGCCTTTCTTTCCTTTTGTCTTTCGTTTCCTGCATCTTTCGCTGCTCTCATGAACTCTGCGTAGTTACGAGCACATTGTTTAGTAGCGAGATCAGCTACAAGATCGTCATCATCGAACCCTCGTTGCTTCGATTGCAACTCAGCAAGTTCGCTCTGCAGATACAGTAAATTGCGCGCCGCCAACTCGTCGAAGCGCTTGTACACGAAGGTTGTGCGATCGCGATCACTCGCAATGAAGCTCGCGAGCGATGGAAAACCGGAAAGCTTGTGAAATCTTAGTTCGATGTCCGACGCAGTATTTCGCATCGCGAAATGGAGAGTGCGCGATAGGAGTTCCTCTCAAAGATTCATAAAAAGGAGGGGCGCAACTGGGATTGAGGCTGCATTAGCCTGCAGCTGACAACTCAGCCGTGCAAGACCGTGAACGGGGCTATGTTGAAGCGCAGCCTTGTGGCTGCCAAAACCATAAACATTCAAGGTCATTTCTCTTATACTGTATGTTTCCTGAGGACTTTGAAACATGGTGTTCAGTCCATACAATCGCTTTGAAAAGAAGCCCTTTGACAGTGACAGTGGGTTCTGGTGGCCTGACTGGGAGGTCAATGAAGCCCCTGCCGGTCGATCGAAGCAGACATAGAAGCCTAACAGTCATCGTGAAGGCACCACCATCAGGGACAATAAACAGATCCTCATTCTTACAAAGTCCAAAATCCATCAGTCTATCATCAAGGCCAAACCTCGAGCTATCGTCGCGCATTTCGTCGCCACAGCCCTCATGGTCAGCGATACACGCGTTATCGCCCACCTCACCGCCTACTACCATCGACGAGAATATCCCGCCGCGAAACCGTTCGAACCCGATACCCATTCCTCATTACACAACCGCGGCTTCGTCAGACATATCCTTGACTCCTACGTCTCGGCTGCGATGCATCGCAAAGACGCGCCTCGGTCTGCCCATAACGTTCGATCCCCATGGCAGGGCTGCGACAGTGCTAGCATGCGCTGATACAGGTGCGGAGGTGAATGTCATCTCCGGAGAGTTTGCACGCGCCCTCGGATACACTGTTTGCGAGCCATGCCCTCGCGAAGGTCAGTTGGTGCTTGCAAATGGTAAGACCCTGAAAGCTCTCGGAATCCTGAAGATCTCATGCTACTTCGGAGTGGAATCACATCCTGAGTCAATTTTGACATGCATCTTCCATGTGCTCTTGAAAGTCATCTCTCCAGTGATCATGGGTATGGCCTTCCTGGATGATACCAAAACAATGACGGAGTACCGAAACCGACTAGTAAGAGTACCTCGATCGCCTTTCCAGCCTTTGTCGGTACGCTCTGTAGGTAGGCCTCGGAAGCGAATGTCGTGTGAGATAAGCGGGAACTCTGTTTGGGCGTTTCCAGACTCTGGTTCAGATGCTAACTTGATCTCATCATCGTTCGCATCAGCACAGGGCCTGAGGATTGAGGCTGAAGAAGATGTTTTACAGCTTGCAGATGGCAGCATCGTCAAAACCTCAGGTCTTGCGCACCTCAGTATATCTATAGACTCGGAGGCTCCCCGACACTCTAGAACTCTTGCATATGTCGACTTCCTCGTCCTTGACACCTTCCACCATTCAATAATTGTTGGAATCGATGCTCTCGAAACGCTTGGAGCTTTCACCCACAATGTTCACGCTTTCGCCTTGGACCCCAACCCCGTCGGGCCTTCTGAAGTGAACCGAATTCGGTATCTTGGAACCATAGATAATATCAAAGCTTGGATCAAACGATTGATCAGAGGCAAGCAAGACTTATCCATACTCCCAAGTAGGTTAAAATGCATCTTAGGTAGACCTTCATGACTGCTAACATAATGCTTCTAGACAAAGGAGCTCCTACTGCGCTGAACGACCAACGAGAGAACGATCGTAGAGAAAGAGCGATTGCTCGGATCGTGGAGCTTCCAGATTGTGAGCGCGATGCTGCAATTGCATCAGAAGCGCAGAAGCAGCGCATGCACAGGGTTTACTCACACATAAATAGTCAGTCACATCTCTATACACAGTCTATTTGAACTAAAATATGCAGGAAGTGTTGCCTTTAAAGAAATCACGTGCGAGCATGCTGGATGCAACGCCGGTCCATTCTCCTCGCTAGCCAACCTCGAGTATGACAGGTCCCTCTTTAGATCCGTTAAATCACTAACTTTCACAGTTGTCATAAAGCCCTGTACCACGCAAGGCCATGTCTCTACTGCATCTTCCCGACGTGCTCTCGAAGCGAAGACGGCAGAGGTTTCCGTTCCGTCCCCCAGGTACATAGGCACCTGAGAGAGGAGCACGGTGCTATCAGCATATGTCCGTTCTGTTCTCTTGACTATGTTAATGTTCTACATTTGCACAGGTGAGTAAGAAAAACTCTAGCTCGCAAAGACAGCTTTGACCCGCATGCAGTCACGTCAGCAAGTCTCACTCCGAAAAGTTGGGAGGTAATCCTCAACCTCCAACATCGCGCAACAATATTGGAAACAAAGATTCGAGCGAAGGGCGGTCTTCGAAAAGACCTCGTCACATCTAACAAGCCCATATATTGCGAATAGGGACTGTCTATAAGTATTTTCAGGCGCTATCCGAGTTATGTACGACCAACTTCCCCAAAGGCAATCAAACCGAGTTGGTGGGTATCATAAGAGAGATATCCATTCACTAGTAGCAGAGACCCTAGCCTTTCCTTAGGGTTCTGAATCCTGAGCGGTAGTGCATGACGATCAAAAAGTGTCTTTGTCCCGTTATTATACTCTACACTTAGAGAAAACCTGCCCCTAGCGTACGACTAAAGGCACACGTCGATGTCTGAGACTTTTGTTAGGACCCGCCGATTCCATGTCTAAAAACTGGCAGAAACGGGTGCATGATTTGAAAGAAAGCATCTTCTGCATACATGATGGATCGAACTTTCACTCACGATCCACTGCTGCCACGAAGTCCAACACACCATTGCAATCACTCCGTAGAAGGTAGCAGCATCAATCAATATCACAATGATGGCCATTTGGTACTCCTATGTTCAAATTGTTCAAAAATACGTAGCAACTAATAGAGTACCACTCCAGCCACTTGCTAGCACAATGACGACAACCCTTACCGAATCGCTCCACCTGGGCGGACTCTTGGTGGGAAACCTTTTTGGCGAGCGCTCCCGCCTCAATCCCGTCAATATCAAAGAGACGCTGGCTTTCCATGCGTCGATTCACTCATCGTGAAGATTACTGGGATGAGAGTCTGCGAAGGCGGTGCAATTCTTTATATCAGAGAGAATCTGGAGAGCTAGAGATGGATTATCGAGATGACAAAAGAAGGTTCTTGAGTGATTAAAGATGATTATGTTTCTGTTTATGGTTCCGATAGAAAGTATCGCAATGGACAGGCATTCACGCTTGATGATCTCGACTGGGCTTGGGTCTGGCATTGGATATAGCTAGAAGGCTGTAGTGTAGGTTTAATTCTTTGGGTGAGAAAGCATAAAAGCGCTAAAAGAACGTAATTAGAATCTAAGTTAAATTGTATATGATTAAACTAAGGGTATTGTTAGGTTAGCTATATTTACGTGTGTACGTAGTATAGGGTGTAATATATTATAAGTAAAAGGAAATATAAAAGGGTAACTAGTTTTAATTATTTATATTTACCTTTCTAAGCTTTATAAAAGGCTTAGATAGAAAACCTTTTTATACTTTAACTAAATTAGTTTACCTTATTCTTTATATACCTTAATACTATCTAAAACACTTATATATATATAATTATATATATACTAGTAACTTTCTTTTTTAGTAGTAGTAGTATATAATTCTATATTTATCTCTCCCCTTTTTACCCTTACTAGCTTCTCCTATTTATAGTAGCTAATTATATACCCTATATATATAATTATAAACCCTATTTCCTTTTATTTAAATAATAAAATTACTATAGAGAAGGTAGATTTTAATAGGTATATAATTAGCTAGATTCTTATCTTATTTAATTATAGTATAAGTTATCTTATTATATAAAATAGGAGTAAGATAGGGTATTCTTTATTATAAGATTATAATAGTAGTTTTTAAAAGCCTTATTATTAGGTATATAAGAAAGCTTCTAGTACTATAGTTTTATTTTTATAACTTTTATATTCTCTCTACTAGTATATTATATAATTAAGAGTTTAGAATTTTCTAGTTTATAGTTTTAAGTACTTACTAAATTATATAAAGTTAATATTTTTAATTCTATTTAATCTTTTTATATATAATTCTTTTAATTTAATTTTATATATAAGTCTTTTACTCTTATTTCTCTCTTTATATAATACTAATTCCTAGTAGAACTTTAGAAAGATAGTAATAGTACCTATTATAGATAGAACTATTATAGTTATAAATAGCCCTCTAGACTAAGTCTAAGTCTAGATCTATAGTAATAAGGTTATCTTTCTAATTCTATATAGCTATTACGGCTGCTACGCCGTAATAGAATTATGGGAATTATATTAGTAATAGTAGTAACTAATTAGATTATAAGGGGGAAGAATATAATTATAGGTTAGATGCTAAGTATAATATAAATATATAAGAAGTTATATAATTAGATCTATAGATAGAGCCTATAGAGCTATTATTAGATAAGTAGTATATAGAGATAATAGATTACTATAGGGTAAGCTTTTATTATTAATCTATAATATAGTCCTCTATATCTAGTTTCCTTATAGAAGATTACTATTAAGTAATTAGTAATATATTTTTATAGTAGTAATTAATTAACGTTTATACTATACATAATCTATATAACCCTATATGCTACTCATCTCTTACTAGAACCCTAATAGGGCCACGGCTAGTAATAGAGTCCTAGAGGCCCTATTATAATAAGTAAGTTAGTTACTATACTTTCTTTATAGCATTTCTTTTCTTTTACTTTTTTTAATTATTTATAATGATTTTCCCATTAATAATGCGATATTAGATATTATATAAATTAATCTAGGGCGCTTCTATAGTGTTAGACTATAGAGTTTTATTAGTTAATTATCGGAAATCCTAAGTTAATCGAGATAATGGAATGTAATAGATAATTCTTATAATATATAATTATAAGAATGTGGCCCCACTAACGTCCCTTTAGAATTATTATATTTTACGTATTTCTAGCACCCTTCTATTATATAATATAGAGGTAATCTACTTAGTATCTCTAATACTTTTATTCTATATCTACTTTTTAATTAGATTACTATAATTATATATAATATAGACTACTTATATATTCTCTATAATTACTATT